TAAATAAATAACGTTATGCAAAAAATTAAATATATGCCTCTAGATTTTAAAATAGCAAAACTTTTTATATTTATAAATAAATTATTTATAAATAATTAGAACTTAATATTTTAACTTAAATATATTATTATCCTTATAAATAAAACTTATAAGGAAATTAAGGGATTTATAATAATAAGCAATATTCTCTATTAATTATTAATAAAATATAAATATATTACTTAAAGCATATTAATAAGCAAAATTTACGGTATAATAAATAAAGTAAATATTAAAATCTCCTTAATTATAATAATTAAAATAGCTATAAAATGATTCTTATTGCTAAACATACCTTTAATTATTTATATAAACTTATATAGCTTATATAAATACCTTATAAAGCTAAAAATAATAAAGGAAAAGCACTTTATAATTAATATTATATTATTATAAAAATTATATAAAATAAAAAAGATTATTAAAGTAAGGTAAATAAATAAAAAAAATAACCTTATTAATATAATAATAAAACTAACTTTAAATACTATATTATAAAAGCTTATTAATAATAATAAGCTTTATATATAAGTAAATAGGTTAATTAAGAAACCTAAAGTAGCCCTTTTTTGCTAAGAAAGGAGCAACTTACCGCTAGCACCCTTTTCCTTTTAACCTTATTACCGTTAGCTATAAAACCTTATACCTTTTAAACTTAAACCCTTAATATAAACTTTAACCTTTTATACTTTAATTAAAACCTTCTTAATACCTTATTATATATAAGGATAACCTTATAATTATTAATATTATTAATAATTATTATTTTAAAGTTAACCTTATTATTATTATTACTTTTTGCTGCTATTTATTAATAAAACATTAAAACTAACTTTCATTAAATTTATTTATAACTTTTTAACTTCTTTTATAATTAAAAAAATAAATTAATAATTATTATATAATAATTGCAAAGTTTTATATTATAAATATTTATTTTAATTATTAAATTTTTATAAAATCTTTTTCTTTTTTATTATAATAAAGAATATTAATAATAACTTATAAAAATTATTTAATACTTTTATTAATATACCTTATAAAGATAATAATAATAAGCAAAATTATTTAGTAAATATTATATTTACTTTCTACGTTAAGGATATACTTAATATAATCATTATCATGATTACTATTAATATAGCTAGCATTAAAGGTAGCCTTATTATAATTCTTAACCAGAATTAAGATTCCCCTATAAACATTATAATTATAACCTTAATTAATAAAATAAGCTTTGCAATTATAACCTTAATTAATAAAATAAATATTGCAATTATAACCTTAATTAATAAAATAAATATTATAATTATATTTCTATTAAGCAATAAGATAAAGATTAAAATTATTATTAAGGCTGTAAAAAGGGTTAAAATTACCTTAATTAATAAGGATAAAGATAAGCTTATTAGTTTTACTAGTTTTTATAGTAAGGTTATTGCTAATAACGCTTATTTAATGAATATTAATAAGGATATTAATAATAATAACTTTTATTTACTTACTTATTTAATAAATATTAATAAAGATATTAATAATAATAACTCTTATTTACTTAATATTAATAGTAATTTAATTATTATTAATAATAAAGATAATTAAAATTAAGTTAATAAAATCTTAATAAAGATTATAAAAATTATTTTTAACTTTATTTTTATATTAAGCATTAAAAAAAGCAAGTTGCTTATTAAGGTTAATTCTTATAAAATTATTAAAATTAATAAGCTAAAGGCTATAATTATAATTTAAATTAAAATACTTTTCTTAAATAATATCATTATAATAGCTATTATTTAAATTATTAATAACTTTTAATATTAAGATAAGTAAATATTTTTTAATAATATAGTTAAAAAGCTATGTATTTATATTAAAAGTATTGGAACTCTTAATGCAAGATTATATAGCATCCTTAATAATAAGAATTACTAAGGTAACTATTATCTTAAATGCTAAATTATTATAATTTTTATAATAAATAACTTAATAAAAGTTTTAATCTTAAGTATCTTTTATATATACTAAATTAAAAAGATTTAGTTATTAAAGAATTAAATTATTATACTAACTTAGCTTTAAAACTTTTTATATTAAATTATTAATAAGTATATGCAAGGCTTATATATAAAGAAACTTATTAAGAAATATATGCTATTACCTAAGCAACTTAAGCAAAAGATAATCATTAAGGAAATTAAAAAAAATAATAAAAAATAAAAGAAAAACTTAATAAATAATTAAGTTACTTATAATGCTTAGTTTTAAGAGAATAAAAAGTAGCTAAAAGAAAATAATTTAAAGCAATATTAAGTATATTTTAATAATAAAAATAAAGATAAAGATAATAATATTTATATTATAAAAATATATAATAAAAATAAATATAAGCTAAAGAATTTAGCATTAACTTTATAAATATTAACTTCCCTTATAAAAAAGAAATTTAAGATTAAGGCCCTTATATAAAAATTAATAATTTCTATAAAAAAGCAACTTTAAAAGCTAAGTATTAAGAATAATAAGTATAATATTTAAGGAATAATATAATAATAAAAGTTATAAGTTTAAAGGGTAATATAATAATAAGGGTTATTAAAACTTGCTTTAAAACTTATAAGTTATAATTTTAAGCCTTTTTAGTAATACTTTCTTATAATAAAGATTATATATACTTAATATGCAATGAATTATAATTTTAAGGCTAATTATAATAAGGATTATATATACTTATTAAAAAAAGAGAAAAACTATAAGTATTAGCAAGTACAACCCTTATTACTTAAAAGGCTACTTTAATTATCCCCTTCAGGGCATATAGCCTTTTAGAACTTAGACAAAACAACACCAATATATAATTGCTTCCCATATAATTATCATACATACAAGAGACCTACCAACATAGCTCATCGCCAATCCATCCGCATGCAACGAGACCATGACAACCGTCATTTCAGTCGTTCGCCTTCGTACTGTCCTAATCCACCCTTGCCTCCAGCGGCTCTCCAGCAGGCTCACTCTGTCCGGGCGGGTTAGTCAAAAGCCTCCACAAACGTCGCCGCCAGACGCTCCTCAGTCACCTACCCATGTTTATTTGTGTTGACGAACGGCTTAGCTGCTTTTGCCGCTGTGATCAACAGGGCAGCCTAAGCACTTGCAGCCGGATCCGCATTTGCAATCTGTTCCACATATGTTGACTGATTTAGACCGTGGTTTGTCTTTGGTAGTAAGTGATGTTTGGTGTTGTTTTGAGATTTGTAGGAGATTGAGCTGTTGACATTCGTGAAAGAGAGGGAGAGAGGGATATTCTGCCACGGGGTACGGGGCCTATTTATCTTGCTTGGCTACTTGACGACTGCCCTCTCTAGGGTCTGTCGAGTTTTACGTGACCCTGCATATTCGGCAGTCTAAAAGCCGGTTGACCGACTCCCAGACTGCCTGAGTTTGGCCTATGGAAGTGCTCTAAATAATGGGTAGAATGGGGTGGCAGCCAGCGCTTGAGTAGTTCTCCTCTGGCCTATTACGTCCCGCGAGGACGGCTTCTGCTCCGTAATTGCCTCCACCTTCCAAGCTATCGTGAGCCGGCTGTGATGTCGCCGCCACTGCCGTGTTGCAGGTGGGAGGGTCTAATGCATGCACCGCTCGGGGTCGGGTGCCGATACCTATTACCGGCAATGACTCCGGCGCGTACGCGAAATATCTGACTCTCTCTCTCATATGGACGGCATCCGAGGCGATTGGCGTCTTATCGGTCTGGTCGACATGTTATCTCAGGGCACATCGATATTGGAACTCTACACTGCTCAGGTAAAAACAACACGCGTCGCTGGTCATACCTACCTAGAGGTTCTTGCGCTTGCAGTTTTGGGCATGAAACGAGCCCGTTTCCATGCATAGCCCGAGACCGATATGCACATCTATCCAATCCACTTCCAGGTTTTCCATAAATTATGCATATAAGTGACTTCCAGGATAGATTGGTCTTTTACGTTGAACCGATCAGAATCTCATGTCTCTTCTTGACGGTTTTCCAACTATACATTACGGGAGGGACGTTCAAATCGCAAAGCTCTCCAGTCTTGCCCTATGTGGTATTTAGAATCATGAGCGGCAACTTATCATCAACCTAAAGAAAGCGAAAAAGGACAATTCAGGCTTCCTTCCCATCGCCCCCAGATTTCGAGAGCCAAGGGCCTCATGGGTGTAGGTGGTTGTTGTCCCCTTACCCTGCACCGCCACCGCCTCTACCGCCTCCGCCTTCATATACAACGTCTAAGCGCCGACCTACATTTACATAACGATTTCGAATGTTGTTCTCTTCAGGCAACACTGACTCCGCAGGCCTGTCTTTCGGCCAGCTAACCGAGAGGGCGTGGCACAGCTTATCTTATCAGCCCCAGCACCACATTTAAAAGGCCTCCATTTCGCTGCAGCTCATTGAGCAAGAGCTTCTTTTAGCTAGGCAACATTTCATAAAAATCGACCTACTTCTACAGTCAAATTTGTGCCTTGGACCTATACAGATGGAATACTCGTCTCAATTACCCATCAACATGTTCAGGCTTGAGGAATATTCTTTCTATGACAATTTGCCGGCAGGAAAATGGACTCGCATCGTGCTGCTCGAACCGGGGACCTATGATGACCCTATCCAGTGTTCATTATATCTCACACCTCTTCAATCTGCAGGTAAAGAGTTCCTATTCTTCGTTACAATAATAATGATAATTAAAGAGACTGATAACCACATGCGTTTTAAAGAATACGAAGCATTGTCTTACACCTGGGGCAGCACAAAAGATGTCAGCTCTATTACCTGCCAGGGGGTTAAGATTAATGTGACGGCAAATCTCGTTGAAGCTTTCCGTCAAGTCAGGTATGAACACGAACAGCGACATATTTGGGTCGATGCGATTTGCATCAACCAACACAACCTCCAAGAGAAGGGTGTTCATGTCAACATGATGGGAGAGATTTACTCACATGCATGGCGGGTCATTATTTGTCTTGGAGATGACGGACACAATGGCGAATCTGCTAAGATAGCTTTTGACGTGATTAGAGACTACAACCGAATCGCCGCGAAGTACATGGTGGAGTCCCGAATCGCCGATGGTAGTTGGTGGAGGCCGAAGGAGGAGGACGGGGGTTTTGGGCCGGTCACTGGCGACCGGCTGCTCCACGCCGTGAAGATTGTCGAAAAGCCGTGGTTCGGGCGGGTCTGGGTCTTCCAGGAGGTTGGGCTCTCCAGAGATGCCATCTTGGCGTACGGTGGCTCGACCATCAACTTCACCGAGATCATGGAGCTTATCGAGGCATGGGGGCAGACGGGAAACGAGTTTCCCGGTATCTCTTTCATGTCCGGCTGGATCTCTGGATTCTTCACACATATTTGGGCGACTTTTGCCACGAGCATCGACCAGTCATGGTATCGGTCTTCCTTTATCCTGAGAACCTCCGCACAGCATGTCATGCGGAGGAACACGGCGGAATTTTTGGACGTACTCTTCAAAGCGAGACGGATGCAGAAAGCGACGGATCCTCGGGACTTTGTCTACGCCTTTCTGGGGCATCCTCTTGCGAGATCGGAAGACGGAGAGCTCCTGGTGGAAGCTGACTATACAACAACCATATCGGAGCTAAGACTGCGGCTCTTCTCTCGCCTTGCTGAACGATCTCTTCGATTCACTGGCTTGACATGGCACAAATTCCTTACAGATCTCTCCGACGGGCCATCGTGGTGTCCATATCTAGACTGCCATCGAAACTGGACAATCAACGGCAGGTATGATGCCAGCAGAGGTGAACACCTACTGGTCCCGGTCGGGAAGCACCGCGCCCGTGTCAGCGGTTTCTGCCTCGAGGCATCTGTCTATATTGTCGACACGGTCTTACTTTGCGGTGAGGTAGCCGGGGGGGATGAAGACGCTTCCTATGTTCCCACAGAAAAAATGCTTTCCGCTCAGCCCAGTCTCGCGGAACAATACTGGGCAGTCCTGGAGGCCACAGAGAGCCGTAACGGCCTTGCCTACCCGGACAAGGCTCTGGCATTCGCTAGCACCCTTCTGCACAGCTGTGACGAGGATGACCACGCATCGATTGCCAGGAGCTTCGGCGACTTCTGCAGAGAACATTGTCCGATAATCCAGAATTATCTTGAAAAGTATGAATGGCTCGACCAATGGGCCTTGGAGACGACTCGTTTCATACCGTTCATTCCTCGCTCGGGGAGTAGCATCAATGGAGAAAGGTTTTTCACGACAATGAAGGGATATTGGTACGTAAGACTCTTTCTTGACAAGTCGTATGGCCCGCAGTAACCAAAGGGCTATTGCTGAACTGAACTGCTTACACCTCAATGTAGTGGCACAAGTACCCCCTTGGTAGAGCCCGGCGATCTCATCTGCATTATTCCTTCTGTCCAGACACCCCTTGTTATAAGGTCTGTTGAAGGAAAGGACAAGACTTATCGCACAATCGGCTCATCTTATGTTCATGGAATTATGTACGGAGAAGCCTTTAAGGCCTCAGAGCCGGGCCATAGCTCTCCACAAGTACTTGTTGCTCAGTTTGTGTAACAAACTTCGCACACCAGAGATTTGACTGGCACAACAATCGGAATCTCAAAATATTATTAAATTATCTGTGTATATAATTCAGAATATAATTCTAACGACAATGATCTAATTTCTTTATTAACTACTACGTATTTAAATGTCAATTCTTTGTGAAATTAATTGGATACTGAAGTAGAATTTGATTAGGCTGCGGTCACTAAATGGGCGTACCGTTGGCTTTAAGTTTGTTTCATCTCCGCATCGGGCGACATCACTCGACCGATCCTGCTGCCGGTTCATACAACCGCAATCTGTTCTCCTTCAGCACAGTCATGTCGTCTCTCGATGAAGGCCCTCATGATGAAAGCGTATCCTCTTGGGATTCAACTGAGGATCAAGTCTCTGAGTTAAGGTCCCTTCAGGACCTCACGATCATTGAATCTTTCAGTCCAGGCACAACCGTGCCCAAGCACACAACCTTCTACCACATTACGAGCGACGAAAGATTATACTTCGGTCAAACGTCCAGAAACAAAAAAGAGCTCACGCTCCAAGAATTTAGACATGCTTTGGAGCGCATTCCTGATGAAGAGGTCTACCCCAACATACCATCACAACCACCTCTCACCATCGCACCTGACAGCATCGACCAACCGACCTATATCAAGCGACCCGGGCTGAATAGCTTCGAGGATATGAGAGGCACACCATTTGTCCCCAAGGAAATCCTTCAGGAGACGCTCATCATGGAGCAGATCTCCCAGACGGTACATCCCAACATAATTCGCTACTATGGCTGTCGAACTCGCCGCGGCCGAATATGCGCAATCGTCTTGGAGGAACTTGAGCAGACGCTCTCGCAGTTCATTTTGACAACGGAATTCGACACGCTGGACAGGACCAAGTTTGCAGACGGCATAGAATCGGCCATTGAGTATCTGCACTCTCTGGGTCTAGCTCACAACGATCTCAACCCGGACAACATCATGGTCAGACGCGGCAAGAACGACGAGATCCAGCCGGTGCTCATCGACTTTGGGTCCTGCCAGCCGTACGGGAAGCCGCTGGACTCGCTTGGGACTGTCGGCTGGTATGACAAGCCCTTCTTCCACTCGGAACTGGAGCATGATACGTTCGGCCTCGCCAAGCTCCGGAGATGGCTGGAGAAGCCTGAGTGGGGTTGTGAGTGCTGTAATGTGCGCTCCTTAGGTAGTGGCCACAAATGTTACCGTCATTGCAATGTTAACAATCACGTGAAAAGCTGCATTCGACTTACACTGTTAATGATTATACGTCAAAGCCCGTGGCAGTCCCTTGATTTGGAGTCAGCGTACGCCCACCCAGCTTCCACAGTACGCCCACCCAGCTTCCAGCGTTGGCCCACCCAGTACTTCCTTTTCTTAGTATTATATTAATAAAACTAGGTACTTTTCTAAGTTTACCCCGCATATAAAAAGCTAGGGTAGCTATTTTCCAATTTAAGCAATACTTTAAAAATACAAGCCTAAAAAGCCCAAAGGGCCCCAGAGCGCCCAGAGGGCGGCAGAGCGCCCAGAGGGCGGCAGAGCGCCCAGAGGGCGGCAGAGCGCCTAGAGGCGGCAGAGCGCTTAGAGGGCGGCAGAGCGCTTAGAGGGCGGCAGAGGGCTCAGAGGGCGGCAAAGGGCTCAGAGGGCGGCAGAGGGCACAAAGGGCGGCAAAGGGCAAGGGCAAAGGGCAAAGGGCAGAAGTAAACTTCAAGTCGCAAATAAAAGGGTAGCTATAAAACCCCTTTAAAATAGCTATAGCTTTGCTAACTTAGGAACCCCGCAGTACCTATATTTTAGTGCAAATGCAGCTAATTTTCTTTGTACTAGGTGGGCCAACGCTGGAAGCTGGGTGGGCGTACTATGGAAGCTGGGTGGGCATACGCTGACTCCTTGATTTGATGCTCTGGAGGTCTGTTCTACTTGTGACAACGGATATCTCCCTCGAGGCTTTGAGCTCTGCTTGAAGATTCATATTCTTCCCTCACACACCTGAACTTTCGAGACCAATCCGTCAATCCCCAAATTCTGTTCCGCCGCGCTGCTTTACATACTGAGCCCTATTCTCCAGCCCTGACGTGGTAGAAACTACCCAGTTTGCTGTTCTCTAAGTTTGAATTCTAAAGTAACGCGTGTTGATTACACAGATACTACGAAACAGAATACGGATCCGGATTTTCTAACACAACTTTTCCTTCTCTGTTTTGTCACTCAAAGTTTCAGGTAGACCCACATCCTCTTCTTTCCTACTCAGAACACATCATCGAGGATGAGCCGGCAACAAACTACGCCTTCACCCCAGGGCTCCTCCCGTTGCGGTACTGCCACAGCCGGCTCAGCTCCTTAACCTTGCGCGTCATCGTCACCGCCCCTCCGCGGCCAAGCATGCCCGGGGACCCAGGCGGCTGCTCCGAGTCGTCATCGGTGTTATCGCCGCCCTCCCCCCTGGCCCCGACGGTGACCTCGCCCTCCATAAAAGCATTCGTCTCAGCACACCCGACGAGCTGCCCCGTCTTGCCGTCCCTCTCGAGCGGGAACATGGCGTTCAGGTAGTGCTGGCACAGCAGGTGCCCCTCCTGCCCCCTCGCCGCGGTGCGGCTGAAGGCGCGGCCCGCGAACACGGGCGCGCTGGGGTCCGCCGCGCTCGCGGCCTTGAAGTGCAGGACACCCCACAAAGCCACGAAGTCGGTCGAGTGGCAGTAGTGCTCGATGTGGCCGATGGCGCTGCCGCTCAGCGCAGCAGGGTTCCTGCTGCCCGTCTCGCGGCCCGCCAGGGCGCCGGGGGAGGCGGGGGGCGTCGAGAGCATGGGCGGCGGGGAGACCGGTGTCGGCGGCGTCAGTGGGGGTCGTTCTTCCTTGCCTCCTGAGGCTTTACCCCTTCGGCCGGTTTCGAAACTGGCTGTGCTGCTCCTGCCGTCGTGCCCAGGGCTGCGTCGACCGCTGCGGCGAGGGGCTTCTTGTCTGCCTCTGCCTCGGCAGCCGCGCTGCGGAAGGGGTTGTTGAAGTGGTTCGCCGCGTTGCCAAAAGTATAGACCTCAAGCTTGGACAGCAGGTTCTGGGGGAGCTCCTGAAGCAGCCAGTCGATGATGGCGCCGCCCTCGATTCCGCCCTGGGAGTGCAGGATGAAGACGACCTTGGTGTTCTTCTCGTCGGACAGCGCCTTTTTCACCTCCACGTAGCACCGGCGTATGTCCTTTGTGGCGTAGCCGAATGTGCGCTGAACTATGCACTCGAGCAGGTCAAAGACGATCCCGTAGCTTCAAGGGCTCGTATTAGTCAAGGCGTGGGTCGGGGTCTCGATAACAGCAAGTGACACTCACGTTGAGTTGTGAATGCCCAGGACTGGCCGGCCAAAGGTGAGAGCCAGCCTGTCCAGGTTGCTCCTGAGCCAGTGCTCCCCGGTCGCACTCGCACATGCCGTGCGCCACCCCGGGCGCAAGCGCTTACGGAGCTGTTTATGTGTCTCGATATGGATGCCCCAAAGTGGTAGGTGTGATAAGGCCATGCTTCGCGCAGGCCGAAACGCATGTACCGTCTCAACAGGCACTCAGTCTTTGAGCCGCTTCATAAGATTCAAGCCCGGTTCTGCTCGTCTGAACGTCCAAGGATGAGGTCTGGCTGCTTCCGCTGCTCAGCGTCGAAGAGTAGATAGGCTGTTCCAGTCTCACCCACACCATCGGCATGTTCCGCAGGCAGACTAGTTGCTATCCGGAGCTGACATGTCTTATGATGACGTTCCTGTAACCACGGCTACATCTGTAATTCCCGTCCCTTCAGAGTGGCCCTCGAGCTCGGCTTTATTGTCTCCAAACTAGTCCAATGATTTTCCGAGCATGTGCGTGTTATCGAGTCAGGCACGTAGATACTCGAAATCGTGAACCTCTCATGTTCAAGCCTACCACACAGCTCAAGCCGAACTTTGCCGAAATGTCTCGCCCACTCTATCAGACCGTAGATCACTTGATGTCGCAATCGGGATAGTCGAATCGGTGGCTGATGGCACCACAGATGGACAACAAAAAATTCGGTACATGATCGTGTTTTATTTAATCACGCATATTGATCAGCACCACGAGCTCACTGCCTGGATCGCGTCATAAAAATAGGATCTGCTGTCCTTAACGGAAGGCATGTTGGGGTAAAGACAAATATCTTCTCGCTACTCGTATATCATCGATGGCCAATAATCCCGGCCAAAACCGCCTTCTAGCAGCCATAAGCCCACAAGACAAATGGCATTTATCTCAACTCTATGCATCTATTTCCGACCAGAGAGAGAATAAACCTAGACCAACACCGTTCACACACAGAGATATCAAATCCCATTAACAAGACGCAAAGGGCCCTCGCTTCCCTCTCCCCTCCTCTGCTCCGCAGCCTCGGCAGCAAGGAACCCACGGATAGCAGGGCCGGGCTCTTTTGTGCCGCCAGCGCCGTTCGCCGCCTGTCTTCCGAGCGCAAGGTGCCCAAAGAGGCATTCCCACAGGTCTCCCTTGTCGACCGCCTCGCCAGCTGCCTTGCCCTTCCGCATTAGCTTCGACAGCCTGGCGTGCTCCAACTCCATCGAGTTGGCCGCCTCGATCGCCTCGTCGCCCGGCTCGGGCGTGGCCTCCGTCGACTTGCCCTTGCCGCGGGACCGCGTGTTGTCACCGATGTGAGCCATGCGCCTTCGGACGGACAGATTGTAGATTGATTCCTCGACCGTGCCGTCGACAATATACAGCCAGACGGTCGTCTCCTGGTCTTGTCCGATACGGTGCACTCGCGCGATGGCCTGTAGCTCTAGCGCGGTGTTGATGAGCGGCTCACAGAGGAAGACGTGGCTGGCGTTGACGAGGTTGAGGCCACTGGAGTGGGCACGGGCGTGCAGCAGGAAACACTCGATCGAGTCATCCTCCTTGAAGTCTGCGGCACCGTTGGCCTTATCAAAGGAGGTGAAGCCGATTCGATACCGCTGGAAGGCCAGCCTGAGCACGTTGAGGAAGTCGGAATACTGCGAGAAGACGATGGATTTGGCTCCCGGATCTGACTCCCGCAGCCAAAGTAGATGCCGCACAAGATTGTCCACTTTTGTGGTGAATGCTGGTCCATCGAGGTCAATGTCCTTGATCTCGGCCAGCTTCTCAGCGCTGAACTCGCTATAGATGGCTGACTTCTTGGCTGGCGCATCGCCGTTTTGGTCGTGATTTTCAGCGGACTTCTTGGGTGATGTTGTAGTTGAGTCTGAATGGACTTTAAGCTCTTGCGGCTTGAGAGTGATGTCGTGGAGACTGGAGCTGTTCAGACGTTTCTTGCAGACTGGACAGTTGTGGTGTGCCCTGAACCAGAGTGTGATACAATCCTTGCAGAATTGGTGACCACAAACAGTCAAAACTCCAACAGTGAAGTTTTCTCGGCAGATGATACAAAATCGCTGGTCCCCGTCCCTGGCATCCATTTCCTTGAGATGGAGAACTGCAACACGTTAGCACGTGGAAGAGTTGGTCGATGGGTGGGGAAACAAGGCCGCGAACGTCAAGTCACGGAGGACAGACGCCTCGGAAAGGGTGCGATATAAGGTCGAAAGACTGGCGACGGGCTACCTCGCAGCGTACAACAAGGAACCCGAGCAATGTATGGTAGGAAACATCTGCGATTCATCGGCGGCAAGGCCGATGCTAGTAGACAGGAGCTTGTCCCACAGCAAGACTTCCAACGAGAGTGCATAGAAGGCATGGGAGACAATATGAGAAGAATCAATACTTACGATATCTGTGCTTTGCATTAGAAGCCTCCAGCTTCTCGGCAAGCACCTCCTCCTGGCGCAGCATTGCGTTCATCTGGTCGTCCCCAGAGGGCCCCTCGTACGGGGCCACCGAATCTGACACGTTCTGCAGCTGACGGTAGAAGTCCACCCGCGCGTTCATCGTAGAGGTAAAGAGGTCTAGCTCCGAATTCATGGTCTGTGCAACCTTTTGCTGCTCCGAGAGCTGTTTCTGCGTGGTCTTCAACTGCTCCGTGACGATGTCTAGCTCGAGCTTCGCGCGATTCGATCCGTTCGCGACTTCGTGCCGGAGCTTGACGGTCGCAGTGCGCAGCTTCGCCACGACGGCTCTCAGGGAACGGAGATCCGCGGTCTCTTTATCTGGCTTGGGCTTGATCCTATCGCGCACCGCGAACAATTCCATCACCTTCTCTGGGAATGGGCCTTCGCCAGTGAAGGCTTGCTGGAGCGAAACCCTGGCCTCATGCTCGACCAGCTCGTTGGTCTGGCCCGTCACGACATCCTCACGATCTGCAATTGCCGCCCTGAGGATCTGAATATAGACCACGATTTCTTCCATGAGTTTTGTCGAGTCCTCATATTCATCTCCCGTGATCTCAACCTCATCGTCTTCATCTACAAGGGCCTTGAGCAGGAGCTGGATCACATGCTCGCGCCAGTCATCGAGCTGATCGGCTTGCTCGTTCAGACTCGCGGCGAGAAGTTCAAGGTCCTCGACCGCTGCCCGACTCTCAATGCCGCGCTTGTCGACGCTCTTGTATTCCGGTATGACAGCGAAGGTCTGCTTGGATGCTGCATCAGAGATCTTCTTCATCAGCCTTTCCGCCTTTCGACGGCTCTCATCAAGAATCTCTCTGCGTATTTTCTTCGCAGATTCGTAGCCATCGACTTCCAGCTTCTCAAGTCGACGAAAGTCGTCCGAGTCTGGCACGGTCATGTCCTCGTTCGATTTGATTTGAAAGTGCGCGTTGGCACAGAAGAAAACGGCTTTGTGTTGAATTTCCAGTGCTGACCGATAACGTCTTCGGGCCTCTCCTACACGGCCCTGTATTGATATCCTCATCATTGGCATCGTCTTCGACCGCAGCACGATCTCCAGTAGAAGATTTAGCAACTTGGATCTCAAACTGAAGTTTCTCCCGAGACTCCTTCACGATGTTGTCAATAGTCCCCAAGACGCCTTGCCAAATCTCGAGCGCAGTCCCCACACGAGGTGAGTTCTCCAATAGCTGACCTCTCGTCAACTTGGCTGACAGTAGGGCTCGCTGGTCAGCACGTCTAGACACCTCACTCTGCTCGATCATGACATCCAGTACTTCCGCAACAGTGCGCATTGGGCCTTTCCTATGGCCCAGAGCTCTTCGGTTCCGGTGACCAACTTCTGGGTGTAGTGCGGTCTGTCGCAATCGATCCAAGGCGGTTCTCATTCCCTCGAGCACACCAGGGTCCTCTGGATCCCAACCGTCGCGAATTGGGTTACCCTGGGTGTCAAGGCCACAAGCGTCAACCACTTCTCTGAAAAGGGTTTGATAGTGCTGTTCTTCGACCGCGGTGAAAGGCATTGTGATGACATATCGCTTCTGCGCAGGGATGGCGATCTCATGTCTCACGAGCCGCTTCGAGTGACGCAGTGACAGCTGGTTGAAGAGTCGTCTGAAGCCGTCTTGATTGGAGCTGAGCAATGCGTTCCAGGCCGGGATATTGGACGCGTACGGCTCGTATCGCAAGAATAATAGCAAGCCTCGAAGGTCCTCAACGCTGTCTTTCACAGGAGTTCCGGTGACACCCCAAGCGTTGACGCGGGGAAGGAGTCGCGCCAGGGTGGCTGCCTTTGAAACACCACTCTCGATCATCTGAGCCTCATCAAGGCAGACGCGCCACCATAACAGCTGCGTCAGTGGAGACCTGGGTCGGTGGTACTTTCTGGGGTTCCGTCTCGCCCTGTCTGGTTCGCCGAGCGCGTAGTCGAGTTCCGAAGTTAGTACGTTATATGTAGTTACGACCACATCGTGGCTGGCCAAATCTTCGATGAGCGCCTTCTCCATGCTCTGATCCTCGCGCACCTGCTGATTCAGGCCATTGTACGCCATGACATCCAGGCTAGGTGCGTGCTTGCTCAGTTCCGAGAGCCACTGCTTCTTCAAAGACGATGGGCAAACAATGAGAGTCGCCGGAGTCGTCTTGACCTTTTCACCAAGGTAGTGGTCAAAAGCTTCCACAGACTCGGCAGGCTGGCGGTTAAGAAGGCACAGTGCCAGAATCTCAACAGTTTTCCCCAGCCCCATTTCCTCAGAGAGAATGCCCCCTCTGAAATTCTGTTCCAAATTCTCGAAGGGTGCTGGGTTTTTGGTAATCTTTCCAAGAAGCTTGCTGATATAACAGACCTGTCCATCAGCATCCCGTATCTTGGCGAATGCACTTGGAGCATCGAAGGGTTCGAAGGCGATGTTCTTGACGACGCTGTCATTCCCGTCTGGGCGTCCACACCACTGCACGCCTTCTCGTCCAAGCATCCATCGCACAGCTCGACGTTGGAAAGGATAGAGTGTTGCATTCATGCCTTCAATGGCAAAGTCCTCTGGGGGAGTGGAGCCTGCGTCGGGAATGTGTGCTGCTTCGTAAAACATCTGAGGTGAGCAAGAGTCCTGTTTCTTCTGTCTTGGGACTGCGAAAAGTTCAGGGAAGGCCTCAGCCAGGATCTCTCTTCTGAATTTCTGTTGATACGGAGAGAATGCGGTCGCGAAGGTAGTGGTGCTGACATTCCAGTTGACCTGAAAGTTAAATGTGAGTACTGTGGTGCCATCATCTTCATCGAGCCGGACATCTGCATCGACCCAGATGGCATCTTCGGTCCCAGGATCTGACCACAGGACGTCTCGTGCTGCAATGATCGCTGCAAATCGATCTGATACATCTCTCGTCCTGAGTGGAAAAGCAATGCTAAAGTTGCCACCCTTGAATGATGGTTTCGTCGAGACGGTGAAGATGTAAGAGTGGGCAGGTTTTGCCTTGGCATCCGAGGCAGTCAAGCCAAACCGAAGCTGAGAGTGGACACCAGAGGCGTGGGAGGATGTCGAATCCAGAGGTGTGTGGCGGCTTGTCCTGGATATCACCAGCTGCTCCCGAATGATGGGGACAGACTCGGGACCGCCACCGTCGGTCTTTCGGCGTTTAGCTGGACGGCCGTCCTGATCACTGTCCTTGGCAGATAGGAAGCGGATGAGATCCGTGAGGGACGATGGAATCGGATCTATTGAGGATGGTAAGCGAGTTTTCTGGATGAGGTAAAGAACCAAGGCCAGTGGGAACTGACCTGTTGCGTGCGCGTGGACACTGGTATCTGGTTGTGAGCGTCGAGCTCCGACGGCAGCCTTCCGACCCATGACGGCCTGCCTTGTAAGTGAGAGTTACCTGCGGGTTCTCCGTATGTGCATTCTGACAGGCAAATGTGCCCAGCCCAACCTGAGGACCCAGGAATGGGTTACGATGTAGGTGGTTGCAAAAAAAGAAGGAGAGAGAGAGGAAGTGTAAGGAAGTGAGTCGGTAGGTCCCCGGGGAGCCGTAAAGGTGTCGCAGCCTAGAGCCGGTCCATCAATGATAGAAGGAAGGCACCACCCCAACATGCAGGTCGTGCAGGCAGGGGGGTGCCAGGTGCAGGGGATCGCGCGTCATTGGTAACCAGCGAAGCTGTTGGTAACTGCTCTGAGTTGCTCTATCGATAAGGACGCGACGCCACTCAACGCCGTCTTTGCATGCCGATCCGCCGACGCCGCGACCGCCCTGGAGCACGCACGGGCCAGCCATGAATTTTTGAGCCGCTGCAGCTTGCCTCCGTCTGTCTCGACGCCCCGGGAAGCTCCATCTGCACTGCTTGCATTCACTGCCCGCACACTCGGCTGATCTGGACCTCACCTCACCAAATCAAGGGTGCATTGTCTTTCGTTCTTGGTCCTGGCATGGTAATCGACCGGTACGTCGCGCGCAATGCACGCATGACACTGTCCCTCGTCCCCCCATCCACTGACCGCGAGCTCCCCCCAGATCATGAAGACGTCGCAGTTCCGGACGGCCCTGCGCCTCCTGACGCGGCCCAGCACCGCCATCCAGCAACCCCTCCAGACCCGACACGCACACCAGCAGGCCAGCAAGGTGCCGATAATACCGTCGCCGACCCCCTTCGTCCCGGACGTCAAGACCTTCCTCACGCTCATCGGCCGCGGCCTGAGCTCGCACACGGCCAAGTTCCCCACGTGGGAGGCGCTCTTCTCCCTGACGTCGCCGCAGCTGCGCGAGCTGGGCATCGAGCCCCCGCGCACGCGGCGCTACCTGATCCACTGGCGCGAGAAGTTCCGGGCCGGCCACTTCGGCCCGGGGGGCGACATCAAGCACGTCGAGGACGGAAAGGCCAAGCTGTCGGTGGTCGAGGTCGAGCGGGGTCCGCTGGATTTCTCCCGGCACGTCGTCAACGTACCTGTGGACAAGAAGCCCGAAGAGGTCCCGGCGGAGGAGAGAGTCGGCGTGGACGGGTATCACGTCGAGGGGAGCACCGTCGTCGGCCCGTACGCGCTGCCCATGAAGGGGGGACGCGCCGCCTTGGTCTCCGTTACGGAGGGAATGTGGGAGGAGAAGAGGGGCCGCAAGGTTGACGGTGGTGAGAGAAGGCGGGCCGAGGTCAGGTTCAAGAGGAGGGTCGCGGAGCGCAAGGCGCAGAGAGAATCTATGGGCTTTATGTGAGGCGGCACTAGGCGCGAGGCCTAGACCGAGACGGACCAGTGGGGGATAGCGTGAAGACGATCACGTTATCGTTTGCAGGCCTTGTGGCCGTCTGTACAAATACCAATACCATTTGGAAGTCAAGTCATGGTGTGCATTTCCTCAAGCCTTGTGAGAGCCACAGTGCGCGAGGGCTTGCAGTTCGCTCCGAACGGCTCCTTATTTGCGGCTATCAAATCGATAGACTCCACCGAAATGCCGCTAACTGGCAGGTATTGGCTTCCCTAAAAATGTCAAGTGACAAAAGATGCGACAGAGGAAAACGAACACCTGAATTGCTTCCGGTACGGATTGGCACGTGAGCAGCACCTACGAAGAGAATCTACGAGGAAGTAAAATTAATAATCTGATGCATATAGAAGCAATTATTTCCCGAGTGATTTCAGTCATGCAGCCATCAGAATTGAACCGACTGTCTGCTTCTGTCCTCTCAAAATGCTTGAGATCTGACCCGATCACGGCTGCACCGCTGTGTGTAGTTAGGCGTCTGGCAAAATACCTTAAACCGAGAGACAGGATCAGACAGAAAGCATTCACATATGACATGTGATGACCATTTTGACAGGCTGGTACATGAGCAGAGTCTGCTGCAAGTTGAGCTACTTCTGAGCCCTGATGGTTGCCGCACGTCTCTGAACCGCGAAGCCTCGGCCAGCGTGATGCAGATGCGTCCCCACCGTGTAAATCATTCTGACAGAATCGTTAACTGGTGTCTAAACAAGAAAGTCTAGACGTAAATTTTCTGAGCTTATTCATACTCGGAGTCCTGGGCCCATGTCGATCATCTTCTCCAGTTCGCCCAGTTCCTGTTGCACTGGTCGGTGAGTACCGGTGCTGAGTGTGGTCCCCGCTTTTTAGACTTTGGCGGGCCGTGCCGGAATCCCATGCTCCCACGCTGTCGGGTCGGCCCTGTGGTACTGTACCCATGCTCAAGAGAGACAGTTGCAATCAGGAGAATCTTGTGCCATAAAGAGCTTCGATAAGGGACATATTCTGTCTCTCAAGATATCGTCTTATCACCCTTCTCACAGGGAAAAGATGATGGAGACTCGCTGAAGAACACAGAGGGAGAGAGGGACAGACGGAGCGAGGGTTGAGGTGTTCGGGGGGCGGCGACGCCAGAACTTGTACCATCGAGAATCCATCAAATCTGGTACAACGTCATCTGGAATGGGAACGCGTATTCCATCAATTTAGGGTGTTCCTCACGATGACCTTCCTTTTAAGGTTTGGCAGGGCTGGGAAGGTGGATCTGTCCTGACGGTGGCGGGTGGGCAGGCTGGCAGGCTGGCCCCAATGCGGGCGGTTGGCTTACCTCTGTCCGCGTCATCCGATGTCGAATGCGCACCCACAAAAAACTAGGCACCCAGAAAAGTTCCATGCAACCCCCCATATCGATGCACGCCATAATCATCCACTTTGCTGCAAATCATGAATAAACAATACGCGTCTTCTGTTGAGGAGTCGGGGTTGAAGCTTTTTCGTTTTTGTTCCCGCTCAGCCATATTGTGCACTTTACATTTTCCCATTCGAGGAGGAGCGCGCGTGGCGCCTGCACCTGGACGTCAGCCACTGGCTCAGCAGGACCAGAATTGCTCCGGTCGGTAGGGTACCTGCAGTTGGCCACCTAAATCGTGAGGCTCCAGAGGATCAGCGCCCTGCAACTGGTGCAGGAACGAAATCCGTTGCCCAGCTTCTATTTCTGTTGCGTATGAGGCATATGGAAGTTTGCGGGAAGATGAAACTCGTGTGCAAATTGTTCAGGTCACGAGGCCGCGAGAATAGGAGAGACCCGGCCGAGTCTGCTCGGAGCAGAGATCCTGCGGGCCTTGAGATTGGAACCGCCGTCCTGAAAATTATCAATTGGCGAATCAGTGGCCGGTCGTCTGTTGTCCGCTGACCTGTTGACGGGCGGACGTTCCGATTCTCACCGGCCGGCTGGAGCATGGGAATAACGGGGGCGCGATAATAATTAGGTGCCCAGGGGAGCATCGGCGCTCGGGGCCACAGTGGGGTTCGCACCCCCCTCACCCCCAGCACGTGGGCAGGCAGTACCTTTCAGGTAAGCTTCCTCAGATTAAGCTTCTGCTGAAGCCTGCGGGCGGCTCGCCATACCTTATCCGGACGACCAGCCCCCCCCCCCGCCAGCCCGCGACGAGCCACAGAGCACATTCCGACTCCGAGCTCCGAAGGATTGGTCAGCTGGCGCACCACAGCAAGCAGTTCGTCATTCTCTACCAGAGCCTCGAGCTTACGCCCTGACCTTGGTCCCATCTCGCTTAGCTGGCTTGGGTGACTCAGGAACAGGATTCTGCTTCCTCGAGTCACAAATGAGTCACCCCGGCGTCGATTCTGGTCACCCCCCATGGCCCTTTGGCTGGCACGTTGCACGGTGCATGTCGCACACAGGCATGCTCTGCCCTGCCTCTTTGGCAACGCTCATCGCGCGGGATATTCAGGAGCTCCCGAATGCCTTGGATGTCACTCGCGATAGTGCTCATACCAGCCGTATCCATCACTTGCTCCGTCCCGTCAACACCCCTTCAGCAGTGCCTCATCCTACCCTTGCACGAAGTTGCGTTCCAGCATGGAGAGGGCACTGCAGGATCTATCCTGCGGACCTGCCACGCCTGAGAGAGCATGTTCCACCAACGACTCACCACCACTCATAGCCTCACGGCCTCGTGGTCTCACGCGGCCGAGCCGGCTCGAGGTGATCAATTCATATTATCCTGGCATGAACGTCCCTCAATCCGACCGAAGAAGACAAGATCGCGCTGCGTCATCAGCGATGCGACCAAGCTCAGACTGCAGACGGCAAGCCTCAACCTTGAACCCCTCCTCGGCTCTATGCCTCAACATGGCATATGACATTGCACAATTGCGCAACCAGCGACAGGTAAGTTAGGTATTCGCCAGTCTCATCTAGCCGTATCGGCCTCGTCACACCGGCTTTTTGTCTACTATATCCGCCTGTGAAGCCCTTGAGGCTCAAAACAGTCCAAGGTACCGGTCCACGGTACCAATGGACATAACGGTTCAACTCCGACTCACCCACCTCCCACACCGTCGATGCCACACCCTGCCGGTAGGACATGGCGGAGTGGAAAGCTTATATCCCGATTTGCTGAAGCCTGTGGGGGGGCACTGCTTGCTATCTCCGGGACACACAGCCAACTTGCGGCTTCTCTAACAGAGTCCCGAGGGCCCGGGATGGCGACCTCAACCGCCCACACAGCCCAGAGCCGACTACCGATATCAGATCGGACTAAGTTACCAGCAGTATGGCTAGTGCCAGGTGACTCGACGGCCATGCAGACGGCGCCGTTGCTACACCTCTTTTGAGGCTAGCTATCTGCTCGTTGCTTGAGATCAGGCTCAGACTGCTCTAAATCTGACCGGAGAGGTAGGTATCGAGAAGATGGTCTGCTGGTCGAGGCACGAGGAGGGACTTTTGCGCAAGATGGCAAGAGTGTCCAAGTGGACAAAGCTAGCCCCAATAGCGAGCCAGATTTTATTTGCCGTCGTATCTCGCATTCTTGTTCTAGCTCCCATGCAATGCACATAAGCAAGGCTGGACCCTGGGCTCTCCATCAGGTACACCGACCTGTCAACGCGAACAGGGTTTCTTTGTCACTCTCGTTTGACCCCGTTCGGCTCGTCTTGGTTTTCCCTAGTCCGCCCGAGCTATGAGGCACGGTTTCATTTTCAGTGCTGCCTGCCTAAGGTATCTGCAATTAACGCCGTTACCTGCCTCCACTCCTGGCGGTGCCTACCTGCCTCCCCTGCCCGGGCCCTACGGAGTCCACGCCTCCCTCTCACTTCCTCCCGCATCGTCATTTGCCCCCGTGGCCCATCCTGCCGCTACTAGTGTAGCCGCCGCCCACCCGCCATACCCACCCACGTCCTACATTCCCAAGTCCTTCTGACGGCATGGGGGCATGGCGTCGGCGGGACGTCCTCGTCTGTGGTAATCCTTGCTAGCATTGCACCCTCCCAGGTCGGAATTGTGCGTCACCCTCTGTCGCGGCAGGTAGTCATCATGTCCCACCGGGCAACGATGGTCGACTTCGGCATGGGCCGGAGGCTTCCTCCCCCGGGGTGTAAGCTGCGCGTCTACCCTGGCTGCATACGTGAGGACTTACACGTACAAGGCAGTCCCTTGTCGTTCCGGCCGGCTACGAGCCTCTACAAGGGGCTATATAAACATATGGAACTTGCCACCTGAATATTCAGTCAGCTTCTTTTTCACGACATCGCTGTCAACGAATCATATCTGTTTATGTAAAGACTACTACCCCTTACTACCCTATCAAGTAGTTGTTGTAGACATCAACAACCCTCAAACAAACACTATCAACCGGGTTGATGGGTCATTGACCAGCCTGGCTGCCACAAGCACAAGCTACTGTTCTTAGACAGGTTGAGGCATCATCGCGGGCGTGGACACTCGCATCGTGACTCCGTCATTACATGTCCTCGTCCGAGTTCTCGGCCGTCACCGAATCAATAGCAAACCTATCCCTCGTCACCACAGACGCGCCCTCACCACAAGAGGAAGAAGACGAGCGCGTAGAGGAGACAGTCACCCCACGCCAGGCCCATTTTCCTCCGGAAGAGCAGGCTCCCGAGACCGCGCCTGAGAGACAGCACGGCAGAAAGGCAAGGAAGCAATCACCACACTCCGGCTCAGAAACAGAGACAGAGGATCACAGCAACATGCCGTCCGGGTCATCATCAAAACACCACCATCACCACCACTCGTCCTCCAGCTCCTCCAAGAAGCACGGGTCCTCATCTTCGTCCAAGCACCAGTCCAAAGGCGACGACTGGTCGGAGGTGACAGAGCCCGAGGAGCGAAGGCGGATCCAGAACAGGATCGCCCAGAGAAAATTCCGTAAGTATTTTGTCCTTATCAAGAACAATTTCCTGCAGAGCGAGAATTCTTTTGCTCTCAGGTCATGACCGCGGCTAACCCCACCACAGGCGAGAAGGCGCGCGAGCAAAAGGAGCGCGAGGAGCGGGAGTCCCGCAATGAGCAGCTGGCAGGCAGCTCGTACCAGGTCCCCGTGCCCGAGGACTTCATGTCCCCCGAGGGCGGCGAGTACGGCGACTACCTGTCCGGGGTGCCGTGGGGCGGCGTCAGCATCCAGCACATGGTGGCCATGGGCCACGAGAGCGAGAGCCGGCGGGGCAGCCGGCGGGGCGGGCTGTCGGACCAGCAGCAGCAGTACGACTACAGCGCCTTCTACGACCCGCAGCTGTACGACGCGCAGCAGCTGGGCGGCGGCGGGTACGGCGGCGGCGGTGCGGGGGCGGGGGCCGCGGACGACAGCAACAGGTATTTCGACGCCCTGTCCACCTCGGGCTCGTCACCCTCGTACTTGTCGTTCGATTCGGGCTCGGGTTATGACAACTTCTCAGGGGACAACAGCAGCAGCTCGGGGGCGAGGTACTAGAGCTGGAGGAGGATGCCCCCGAGGAGGGACAGGGGAAGGGTGATGGTGAATTTGTGAGTCTGTATCTTCATCCCGAGTTGAATGTGACAGCGGGGATGTAGTAGGCAGCTGGGCTAACGTGCAAGGCAGCAGGCATAGATCTCTCTGACTTTTTAAACTTCCGAGGCAGCAGCGTAGAGGCAGGGTCCTCGGTGACCAGGCGTCAAGAGCTTGCACTCATCTCGGCAGGAAACTCGCAGCAGGCCTGGAGGCTGGGCTGCTGGGCGGCGGTCGATGGTTACGTGTCAGGGCTTACCCATCTCCAACAAATCATCAATGGTGTGCATACACACCCAACTCATCTTTGGCTCGGCTACGGAGTTTTGGCGAAAACGGAAACAGCAAAGTGGCTTTCAACCAGGCCCTTGCTTCCTCTTTTTTGGAGGGCAAAAGAAAGTGGGAGGGATGCATTCGGGACAGCGGTACACGTCTTCTGGCATTTCTAATTTTTTGCCCCTTATTCTTTTCTACTGTCGAATATACCCCTCCGGTCTTGTGCTTTCAGCTAGCTACATATCAAAAGGCCGCCTCAGGCATCCTGTAATGTTTACACAGGGAAGAAGGAGAACACGTTGGCGGAGAAGGACTCCTTGGCGGTGGAGACACACACACATTACATTGAGGCAGGCCTGATAGATCTCCCAATCAACTACGCCTTACATCTGCCAAAATATTTGCCAATTCTCGTGCTGCCTAGACTCTCGTCCGAAAAAAATCACAACACCACCCGTGTCCTCCACAACCCAGAGCGCCAGGCATCCGCCCACGCTCGCAATCCCGCATCTGGCAGGCATCGCAGTCGCCGTAAGGGGACGTTTCTCGGCAACCAGGCAACTACAAACAATGAAAGCAAGAAGAAGTGAACAAAACATGCCGATGTGGGCCAGGCACGCGCGTGCACATGTGCACACGCATACGTAAGAAGCGACAGATGTCCCACTGAAAAGGGCGTGTCTGCCTAAATGGTCCGGCAAGAAGTCTGGTCTGTCGTGTCTGTCCACCCTTGCCCGCCCAGGAGAGAGCGTGCCCCATCCCTGCACCCTGCCTCCCCCTCCCCCCTGCTCCCAGGAACCCAACCCAACCCCAATCAATCTGCATTAGCCTGGCCTGACCCCCTCCCCCCTCCCCCCTTCCCAAACCAGGCACGACCTTATTCAGTGGGCTTGCATGTAGAACACGCGTATCTGGTCAGATCTGGGGCCCGCAATGTCGACATCGGAGTTCGAGGCTTGCGCGTACTGGCAGCGCGAGTGTCCACCTTCCCAGTTCCGTCCTGATTAGGATGGATCCTTCTAGATCAACCTTCCATGTGTCCACGTTTTCTCTCCCCGACCCCACACGTGAGAGGTGCTGTGGGTGTTTGCGTGCGTGCGTGTGCAAGTGTGTGTGTGTGTGCTGCACGGCACGTAGGACTTGCAGCATCTCGCCCCCGGAGCCTCATGTCCCACGCCATGATGACCTGCATGCGTCTCTCTACTTTTCCCTCGACTCGTCAGCCGTGATACTGCCTGCGTCTCCTGCTGACCACGCATCCCTTGGCTACAACGTTACCGCAGGATAGATGGACAAGTCTGCCTTGGGTTATCAGTCCCTGCAATCACCTCATAAACCTTCCTTGGAGGTGGAAGTCCTACCAATACGGCCTACGGGCTTGGGCTGCGTTACCTTTGGTCTACCATCTGGGGTTGGGGATGCAGTCTATCTGCAGATCCCGAGACGGAATCAGGTAGAATGGACGGGGGGCCGGTGTCTCCGAGGGCCGTTCATCTCGCTATGGCAAAGACATAATATCCTCCTTGGGCACTCTGGAGGAACGGTGGCGACCGTCAAAGTCACCCCTGCCCGTAGTGACCTCTCGTCCCTGCCCTCTTAGCTGGCACCCTCGACTCACCCGATTCTTTTTATCAGAGATTGCCCACGAGTATCACCACCGACTTTGGGGGCCATTGCTTACCTCCAGAGTTGCACGTGTTCCAGCTAGACAAAGCGCTGATGGCCTTGCAGCCATGGAGCTTTAAATCTGTCATGGAACTACAATTTGTGAGGTGACATTTACTGGGATTTGATAACCACGACCTCAATGGCCATGTGAGCTTATTTGATGTCCCTGGGGGAAGACGTTTGCTGGCCAGAGATTCTTTGTGATGCAAACATCGGACACGACAACATTTGAACAGTGAGAACAATATTCATGGCATTGACTGAATTAGGCTATGGTGATTGTGTCCAAGGGTAGCCTTAGATTGTCTTCTCTAGAAATATACACTTTACTCAAAAGAACGAAATTTGAAGCCAATGCTGAAGTCATTAATGACTACAGACTGACAACAAACCGTTGTGGTTGAGAGCCAGGCGGTGAAAGGGCGCGTTGCGGGTGTGGGACGCGGCACTGGCGCAGCGGTTGCGAGAGACTCGGACTTCACTAAGCACAATCTGCGCATGCACCCCTCACATTCACCTCACCTGAAGGGCTTATAGGTAAGCCAATTCCACCTGCTATCGCTGGAACACCGTCTACACTGCGACCAAATAGCTCAGTGGTTAGTTAGGTGTTACCGACCGGAGGGTTCCCCGTTCAACCTGCGCCCGGCATAAAAAATACCCAGCACTGGAAGAAAGAGTAAAACCCATGACGGCATCACCAGAAAAGGAAGATGGGGTTTTCCGCCTTACAAGGTTCTTTTTGCCCACTGCAGCAATGATTAAGTCTAGCACAAAGTCAAGCCCGGCGACCAGCCTCACTGATGAGCATCTCAGCAGTCCACCTGGGCATGCTAATAAACGGAGAGTGCCCAGCTTCAACCTCAATCACGTTGTCGATCTTGTGCCTCCCGCTCGCCCTTGCCGCCTCGACCAGGTACCGAGCGGCGGCCACAGTAGTCGGCCTATCTTTCAGGCACAGCACGTACGTGGTCGGGATATCCCGCCACGCGGCATGGGTGGTGGTGCTCCAGAACGAGGCAAAGCTCTGGGGCCGCAGCTGCTTGGCTAGCTCGGCGACGGTCTCGTCGTCTACGTCCTGGTAGAACATGCCCTTTACGTCCTCTGGGAGCACCGTGATGGTATTGGCCTGGACACGGTGTCAATGATGGAAAGCCGGTGTCGAGCATGTGCTTCTATGTGGTGGATAGGCTTCAGATGAATCGCACACTCACCTCAAGGTCGGTTCTCATCTCAGGAATCATGTTGTCCCGCGTGTCCCGTGGAGAATGCTGAAACCCCTCCGGCACGACGAAGGCCGCGATGTACACGAGCCTGACGACACCACCCCTCAACCCCTTGGCCAAGCAGGTCTGTTTGTCCAGCCCCTCCAAGGAGGTGCCGCCGGTCATCCCGCTGAAGCTGTGCATGACCACGACGACGTCTTCCTCCTGCACGAGTTCCGACACGACATTGCGGATCGTCTCGACATCTCCAGACCAGTCCGTCGTTGGCGGAGTCGAGCCCGACGAGGGCAGCGCAGGCGCGAGGGAGCTGTATCCGGCTCTGCCGAACTCGGTGGTGAGACGGTCCCAGCATTGTGGGTTGTGCCATGCGCCGTGGAGGAGGACGAAGACCGGGTTGGACATTTTGCGGACCAGTGGGAGGATGTAAGATCTGTGATAGTCTGACTGAAAGCAGCAAACTTACTTGGATAAAAATGGGTTTGGCGGTATAAACTGCTTGTAGCTTGAATGGCCCGTTTATAGAATAAGAGGAAGCAGGAAGTTCTGCAGCCGCCGGATTTCGTGTTAGCCTGTCTGTTGGTTGCTGAGTGGCCAGTCAAAGGTCAAGGCCAGAGCGGAGGAATGTTAGCGCATGCGGCATGCAACGACATGTGGTGTTGGGGCAGAAGGTCTGGAGAGGAGTATTTGCCCTGTAGTATGTAAAACTTCCTCTCAATCCATCTATTAGAACTGGGCGACAATCTAGGTAAATTGTATCCGAGATTGATCAAGACCGTTGAGCATGGTCCAAAACACACTTTGAAATATGTGGCTTTAGTCTAGAGAATGGATATTCGCACAGAAAGAAACGGATAGTACACAAATACGTTACACGACTAGTGCACTCACATCCAACACATAGTACACATCCAACGCACCTACACCCAATACACCCACACCCAATTTATGTACTTACTGTATAGAAACTGCTTTCCTGTATAGTCTAATAAACTGAAAGATTTCACAGTCTTGTTGCTTGTGGGGGGAATTTAGCAGCTTTGAGTTTATGGCATAACTAACACTTCTCAAATTACAACATCCACTCCAAGTGTGATCAGCCCCGTGTTGTCGCCAACAGATGGGGCTGCCGCCTCTTCAGCTGGTCGTGCAACTCCACTTCCTATCAGTCCAGTCATCTCTTATCTCTGATATCTATGGCATTCTATACAATATCTATGATATTCTCAGTAACCCCTTCTCCTTTCAACTCTTGGTCTTGGACAGAAATGCAGGATTCGCAAGAACACGAATTGTCCTAGTCCGTCGAACGTCAACTGAACTACGCCCTAGGTATCGCTCGGACTCGAAGCTAATCGTGAGTGTCAGATATAAATCTCCTGCTTCGAAGGAGGGTACTATACCTCCAGTATAAGTTTGCTTTGACCACGCATTTGATGGCCTCGATGTATCTTTGGACCTGTCCATCGACCTCCTCGCCCCAGCTGCGGACATGACCCTCTATAACGTCCCATCTTCGGTAACGTTCTTGAAGAAGCTCGCCTACCATGTCAAAAGCCTCTTGGGCCGGCATGCCATTCATACGACATAATGCCACCATGTTGTGAGGTACTCCCTCATTCTATTTGGCCAATTCGGTCAGCTGAATATGACTCCTCGCACGACAGAGGAACTCACTTCTTCCTTACGATAAGACAGCATATCGTTGGTACTGATTTCGATAAGCTTCCTGCACAGACGTAAATCAACCATTAGACACTCACATAGATACCATGTCCGACCCGAGAGCCTCGAGTTCCCGAATGTCTGGATCATTGAACACCTCATCGGGGACATTGAGGTCGTGCGCATATTCAACCAGATGATACAACGGTGATACACCGGCCGATTCTCGTCGGACCAGAATTATTTCTTCCAGGGTTGGTACATGGTTAGAAGACGCGTCTAAAACATGCCTGAGGACGCCAGCGGAGTATGAGCGCATTGCCTCTGCAAATCTATGTTGCACCCCTTGTGAGCAAGTTAGCAAGGAACTACGAGCACCTTTGAGACATGCCATACCAAGCGGTGATTTCTATAGAGCGTCAGCTGGGATCACCGGAGAGAGCACAGAACTCCATACCGCTGCTATCCTTCTTACAACAGTGTCGTGCGCTTTCACAATCTTTAGTTTGGGCTCGTTTTCCTCTGACCCATCCAAGGCGGCCATCAAGCTGTTCATAACTTGGCGCGCCTGCCCAGGTTGATCTTTTAAGTGACCATTGTCGAACACTGCCACAATTAGAGACGACTAAGATAATATAAAGAGTCCGCACAGCTTACTGTCATCAAACGGAAACACCTACGGACTCACGATGTCAGGCTAAGATCTAGTTAAAGAGACATGTGAAACGTACCCAGTTACCCCAATCACAGAGAGTTCGAAGCTCGGCCGGAGGTGCGAAAGGTGCGGATATAGAAACAAAGTATGAGAAGTCACACCGGTGCACAGCATCTTCTGTCCTTTTCCCATATGAGCAGAAGCTGTATTGACGTTAACGACAGCAGAGGTGCAGTGGAGACTCTTGCCAAACCTGGATAACCATTCTTCTGATTCTAATTTCACGTCCTTGTAGTAAGGATTAACATTGGGTGGTAATTTCAGAAAAGTCTGAAACATATCAGGGATAGTGACATCAATATGTTGAAGGTCATTATTACTCTTCTTATTGCACAGAGAATTCAACCTGGATTTGGACGAAAGACACCTGCGGCTGAGCTTAACGTAGATCCAGCCGCAAAGGGAAACGAAAATGAAAATGAAAATGACAACAGCCATTTTTTTCACACTGCTGAGCAATGAACCACCGGCAGTCTCTCGGATGTCCGTCTTGATCTTATAACTGCTTGGGCGAGCTCTCGGCGAGCTTCCGGCGATCTACGAGCAGCTGAACATTGCAGCATGGCGCAGCCACTACGGTATGCGGATCCAGACATGGCTTTTCTAGTTGGCCCTGTTCCCCATAAGAGTGGGGAATACAGGTCCCCAAGACTTATAGTTTGGAATTCCTTCGCCAGCCTCAGCCCTTTCCGGTTAGCAGTGCTGCACTCAGTCAGCGTCGACTCATGATCACGCTGACCTTGGGAATACAAATTGTGCCTCTCACGTCAGAGTTCACTTCGGCTTCCACCGAAACTCTTTCAACATCGAAAATGGCGACATGCAAGTTTGGCAACTATCAATTCCAATGGACCGGACTTCACCTCCCTCGGGAAGAGACGGATCCGCTACGCTATGAGTACGACGAGCTAGGAAGCGAAGTGGTGGAGAAGCTGCAAGAAATCTCCCGGCAGAAGCAACAGCTGGAGGAAGACGGCACAAGCCGGGCCAGAACGGATCTATACGTCCTTCTAAAGGACAACCACCACAATGACGAGACTCTGACGAAATTCTGGAATGAGGTGCACACAGTCCCCGAGTGGGTAGATTGGGCTCAGTTGGAGCGAGGGCAAAAGTTCTTTTACCGATATGCACCTGCGAATCTCATGGGATTCGCCTTGCAAGGCTTCATGGGCGAGAACTCGGCTGCCTCTGGTGTTGTTGAGGTCCTGGTTCGTACAGGTGGTTTCTCAACCCGTGTACTACTGCGGAGGCTTCTTGAGACGTTTCAATTCATCCTCCAAGCGACCAAGTCTCTCGAAGCCATCAAGCCAGGAGGAGAAGGCCACATCACCACGGTTCGCGTGCGGCTGCTTCACTCTTCGGTCCGACAGCGCATCATGAAGCTCGCCAAGTCTCGGCCGGACTATTTTGATGTGGACAAGTTTGGAGTTCCTGTTAACAAGCTGGACTCGATCCATTCCATCACGACGTTTGCCTGCAACCACATGTGGCTTCAACTGCCCCAGATGGGCGTGCACCCGAACCAGCAAGAAACCGCCGACTACATCGCCCTCTTCCGTTATCTTGGATACATACTGGGCACCCCGCATCATTATTTTGATACCGTCCCCAAGGCCAAGGCAGTCATGGAGAGCATGCTCATCCACGAGTTACGCGTCACGCCGACGTCTCTCATCGTCGGGCACAACTTCGTCGAGTGTCTCAAAGACCTGCCCCCTTTCAACATATCGGCCCAATTCATCGAGGCCGGAAGCCGTGTTCTGAATGGTGACGAGCTCTGCGATTCCTTAGGTCTCGGTCGCCCTGGGTGGTATTCGTACGCGTGCTTCAAAGGCCACTGTTGGTTGGTGCAGGTGCTTGCCCTCGCACAGCACAATATTCCATCCCTTGATCATAAGATTACCAAGTTCTGGAAGGATCTCTTGCATGAAGCTGTCATCCAGAGTAAAAGTGGCTTGAACGGTGGCTCAAAGTTTGACTTCAAATACGTTCCGCATGTGGGTAGAGTGACGGGTAGAGAGGATAATGAGCGGCCACCACCTAAGTGGTCAGCGGTGGCAAGACCCGTGGAAACCTTCTATTCCGGCGTATTTCTAACAGGATGTCTGATTGTACTAGGAATCACGTGGTCCCTTTGGCGGGTTGCGTTCCTGTTTATCTAGGAGCGCAATTAGCCAGGAATGGTGTTTTGCAAAACGGCGTGGCGTTTGGAAGGGCAATAATCCATTGGCAATTCCAGCAGGAACACTAGCTTATATAATTAATGCCTTTGTATTGTCTGCCGGTGTTTTCTGTCAAAATGAGGAGTTCAGCGAATTGTTTAGCAGCACTGATGGTTTGAAGAACCTATGAGATATATATAGCAGCATGGCAACCTTGCCCTCCCTCTCACTATTCAATGTGAAATTCCTTTTCCACCAATTGAGGTTGCCCTAAGAATTCTCCAGTCATGAATCCATCAAGGAAACATTCTCCTACAAAAGTCCAATTGGGATCGATTGCCGACTTCTGCCGAAGTAAAACAGGAACATGACAACCGAATAGCACGCAAACCAAGTCCCCCTTCATCGCGTTCTCCGTAGTCAAGCCGATGTGTCCATTGTCGGTAACCAACAGACGGAGGGACATTCTCACAATGTTATCAAAAAACCTGTTGAAGAACGTTTCTTGTATGTATTCGTCTTGGTTTGGAGCTCTCGAGCCTGGTGATGATTGAATAATGTCTGTAATTTCCTGGTTGTTGCCAAGAATGCTCTTGAGACTGTGGCCGTGGATTTCAAGACCCTCTGCAGATTCCAACCATCCCTTAAAGTCTTTGTGCACGGCGGGTAGGGGCGTAACTGAAGATTCATTTCGCCGCAGTTGTGCACATAGCCAAAGGAAGTCTTTGAGAAAGTCTTCGATGGGCATGGCTTTGTGCAGATATCGATCTTTCCGGTCCATTACCAAGCATCTGCAGACACTTTCAAGAGTGTCTGATACTATGCCTGTGGCTTCATTAGTACCACTTGTTGTTGGTTGGGAGGAGTTCAGCGCGGAAGAACTCTGAACCAGATTGGTGTTCGTGGATCCGGCCATCCCATCAATCGTTCCCAAGATAGTTCCGCGGGTGATGAGTTTCGTGCCTTCAAAGCGATACACGGCCGCGATACCTCCGGACGCGGCGTAGAAACGAGAAGCGTCGCTTGCCTCGAAACGATCCGAGAACGGTGGCCGGAAATTCCCAATATGAGTCTTTGAACTTTGACTGACCATCAGTGGAACGACCAGAGGGTCCACCTTCCTCCGCCAGTCGGGGACCCAAGATGGGAGGGAAGAACCAGGTATCGCACGGTAGATGGAAGCGAAGCAGATGACATCCAGAGACCTGTAATGCTCGATGAAAGATTGCAAAAAACGCAGGTAGACCTCTTCGACGCTGAGAGAGTAATCGACGCTGAGAGAGTAATCGACGCTCAGAAGACAGGTATCGGTGGCAATTGCCCTGACACCACAGAGTCGATCTCGATCGTCTGTGGCATCAAAGCACGAACTGTAGGCAGCCAGCGCGGTGAGAGACATGCTTCTAGCCGTATGACCTTTCTGCTCATTTTTTCCAATCTCATGCAAGCGTACCCTTCTTCGGTTCCAAGCTGCGCGGAAGGAAGGTGTAGCTTTAATCAAGAGTGCCGTGCATTTATCTGCAGCTAACATAGCACCCTCAACGTCGGCCCTGTCAATGCTCCGCGTTCCGTACCAGAACGACAGACTTGCGGGCATCACATATTCCTGCAAGGTCCAAATCCTAGTCCACCACTTCTTTTGGAAGATGCGCCAATGCAGCCCAGTGTGAGTCGTAGACATCTTGCTCAAAGATACTGCGGATTAGTTCGTACACGTGTGGATGTTGCCTGGTGGTTTTGCTGAGATGTTCAATGAAGGTGACGACCAGGTCGGTTCCATCTGGGTCGTCCCCCAGCCAACAAATCACTTGGCCAGCATTGCGATAGATACATCCCATAATCTGTACTTGGTGAGCTCTCTCTTCTGGGTTGTCCAGGTCGATACAGATAGAATCAATCCACCACCACACTTCGGTGAACTGAGGACCTTTCACTCTTAAAACGTCAAAGAACGCCTGTAGCGGATCAAGGACCGGAAGCTGTTGGTTCTCTACTTGAAGCACATAATTCCTTGCGTCGCCTGTGGTTTCAGATAGCCAAGTGTAGGAGAGGGCCATGTAGTGGGGTGTGCTTCTGTCGAGCGAAAACGTCTGGAGGATCGCTGACTGTTTTTCATTATGAAGACAAAATTTGATTAGTCGTATCTGTTCACGTTGTATTGGCTCATATACAAAAGCCATGTTATCCGAATGTGATTGGCGTGATGAGAACGTGATAAATTGAAAAGTCATGAGCAGGCTGAATTTTAGAAAAGATGCGGAGAACGACTGCTATAAAATACTACCGTGTGGAGAAGTGTCAGGATGAGCAGCTCCTTGCACGTGATGATAGACAGTAGACACAAAACCCGAACACCTAAGAGAAAGAGGCACAAGTATGACCGAAACGCAAATCGCCGATGAAAGCCGCGATCACCTGCTCAGAGTTGCAATGTAGGATTTGAGGCGAGGTAAGTTGCCGGCCCGAGGCAGAATTGCGATGCAAGCGCCATATTCGACAGGCAATGGCGGCTCTTCCAAGGCGGAACTGGGTCATACAAGCAGCCACCAAGGGTCTGCACGTCTAAGTGGTCTCCGTGGTGATAGCAAAGTGGGGTCTGACAGTGGTGCTTACAGTAAGTAAGAGGCAGGTGTGGCAGCTTATAGTTACCGGGGTGTAAATCCTCGCTGGCACAGGCGGCCTGAAATTGCACCTTTGGTCTGGCTTAAGTGACGGCTCACATGAACAAGAGAGTCGCACAATAGCCTGGCACCCGCACCTCAGCATTTGGACTGTGAGCTTCGGTGTTACCCGAGCGCAGAGAAGAACATGACTTACAACGCTGAAGATAACTATTACCTAGTTCGGCTGTGTTGCACCTTGTTAAGTAAGTGATCAGGGGATTCCTCGCGGGGATAACTTGATATATAATACCAAACGCATACTACATATCAGTAAGAATTAGCAGCAATTAATGACCTGATCACGTTTTGTGATTGTTCAGTATGTAGGCAAATAACTCTCTAAAAGCAGATTGGGGCGGCGGAGGCGGGTGGCTGAGCAAGTTTCGTTTTCCACCCACCCACCTGAGTACAAAAAGTGCCACACATACCATGCCGAGCTGAAGACCCCTCAGAGGCGGCCATTTTGCATATCCTGCTGAATTTTGGGGCCTGTGGGACAATAATCTGCAGGCTGTCAACATTCAAGGCAAGCTGGGAGGAAGTGTGAGCGCCCCCGGCCCCGTGGCGCTGTAAGTGCATGATGTTTTCTAGCGCTTACTGCACCGAGCTGAGAGATTGGGTATAGATATCAGTCTAGTGTACCAATTTAGAGCCAAAGTCACGGCTTGCTACCAAGTTGGGGATTTCACGTTATCTCATGAAAGCTTCTTTCATCTGATACGTTCCCCGGAGATATGATGTGGTCTCGCAGCACGTCAGGGCAAATCGTGAACCGGAGCTAAAAGAATTCTCCGTGGATTTGGTGTTCATTTATCTACAAGTACTGTTGAGACCAACCTCCTAAGTCCTGGTGTCGAGTACTACGCAGAGCCTCATTTACCCTCGGCCCAGCTCATCCTCACACACTTCCCACCAATCTACACTTCACTCCTTTTTTAAGGCGGAAATACCAAATATAGTAGTGATAACAAGCCACGGGCCTTGTCTGCTCTTGACCACAATGGGCCCATGGCTCACACACCCGTACACTCCATCGGCCTTGCTCAAGGCTGAAACATTGACCGCAGTGATACTTGCAAGCCCTCTGGGCATGGATTCAACATGTGATGTAAGCAGAATAATGGTAGTACAGCATTGATCTTGAAACATGACGAGGAAAAATATGACAACCCACTTAGCAATTTTGGTGAGGCACGGAGAGTGGCGGCCAGGCGAGAAAGAGACGACCTCGGGATGTATCTTGCTATATGTGGACATGCTAAAATTAGTGCCACACATGTAATGAGTTGAAATGACGTTCTCAAGCTCGAGATGTATTTGTGTACCAAACAATGGGGATTACAATCAGTCACATGTACTTGGTATCAAAGCCTGGTTGAATATAAGAACTCGTGAGTTGGCTCAAAGTTTTAGTTTCTCGTCCAAGTCTTTACCTATGATTCAATCAAGTTGATGTTTGTCCCCTCATTCTATCCCCTCCAAGGAAAAGACAGTAGAAGACTCTACACGGCCTCCAAGCCTTCTCAGTGCATTCTTAAGTCTTTCCCCATTATCAGGCCCCGACGACGCGTTAAATAACTTTTTGTTTCCTTACCTCCTTAGCTGGCCAGAGGTCTAGCAGGAAAACAATCGTATCTTTACGATCCGACGGAATACACCCTGCTTCACGCTCGCGGTCAGGCAACGAGGCTTGCTTTAAAGCAACACTAGCAATCACAAACTGAAAAGCAAAGCTACGACGCGAAACGAGACTCAAGCAATCATCCTTCGTGTCTTGACGACTTACAAACCTTGGAGCGATTTTCGGGCAAGATGTCACTGCCCGAGGAAGCAGCAGCAAAGTTCAGGGATGGATTCAACCATGCAAGAAAGTTTGTGAATCGACCCAAACTTCCTCCGGGATACGAATGGAACAACAAACTTATTCATAGATACTTTCCACCCGGTTACTATCAACGTAACTATTACGACGATCCAACCCACGTTTCGGGGCCGGCTGGCCAAGGCAGCTCCTATCCAAGGTTAATTGATCCAAGAATCGCTGTGTTTTGTCACCGCGGGCTCTACGACCGTGCATTGAAAATCCCGGAAAATTCGATTTTGGCCATCCGAAATGGACAGGACAATAACAGACTTAATTGTCACGAGCTCGATGCTCGCATCTGCGCCGACGGATCCGCACACAAGTCGTTCTTGGCGCACGATGAAGTTGCCGGTCGCATCACCTCCAAGAAGAGAAGGTGGGCTTCGCTAAGTCTCAAAGAGATCGTTGAAACAACCCTTGTAGCCAGGCGATTCAATTTCCAGACGGAAGATCTCGCGAGCTCGTATGAGAATACTGGCGAGAAGGTGCCGGGGTTGGAAGCATTCTTGGAACAGGTTCGATCAACGCCTACTGGGGTAGGTCTCACTTTGCAACTTGATCTAAGGGGCAACGACTTTCCCAGGGCAATCGAGTGGTTCTCTCGCCGAATGATATTTCCGTCAGTACTGATGTTGAAGGGCTACAACCTCTTCTTCAGCAGTGGCGATGACCTGTTGAAGGAAGTCCAAAAGATCCGCCGGAGCGGAGTGAACAACAAAGCAAGCCAACACAAGGAGTACCCTGGGCCGGTCGATACGGACGACAGCAAATCTTTTAACTGGGATCAACTCACAAAATACCGGGTGCGCATTATTGCGGTGTTCTACTCGCAGCCAATTATGAAGCTTGCTCTTAAAAGGTTTTCGCGGGAGGACCCTGGACGCCTGTCCTACGATCAACTGCTTGAAAAAGCTCGACATCTGTCTTACGATCAACTGCTTGTAACAGCTAGGGACCATATCCAGTCGTTCGACAAGCTCATGCAGCCTGGTGTCTGTCAGTTCATACCCGAAATTGTAACCAGCGGCCTTGGATTGGGTTACAGCGTGAGGAATGATAGGGCAAAGAATCCCCTTGATGGATCGCCCATCAAGGACCCGGATGTCATCCTTGAGAGCCGCCTAGATCGAGCAATGATACAAGTCGCCTTGGAGCTGAAGGAAAAATACCCGAAGATGATTTTCTCAGGGTGCGTCCGTCTGTGTGAAGTTCGGACATCTGGGCCAAACGGCAAGGAACTGGTCGCGGATATGAGGACAGGGCGCCTGAAGACAAGACCGGGTGGCGAGAAGGGGATCTCGACAAAACTGCGCACTATTCACGGGGGACTGTACCCACAGTCCCACATTGTCGTCGCCGATGACCCTTTTGCGGAGATCGCAGCTCGCGTATGGGTCGACGAGTACGCGAAGCTGGACCGGAGGCAGCTACTTACCATCGCGGATTCGGATCTCACGTATAATGATTGGCTCAGGAAGGCTGGGCCAAAAGTTGAAGAGGCTGTCAATGACCTAAATGGTCCTTTTCTGCCGAATACTTATGACGGACCTGTTGATGATAATTGGAACATCAAGATAAAACGCAGGAATCCGTTTAGCTTGTGGGCAAAAGGCATGATGGCAAACATGTCCAAGTTCTGTTGCTGTATGTGTTGCTGTATGAAAGGGAGAAACAAAAGAAACCAGGAAGTGTATTAGTAGACAGACCTCGGAGTAATCACATGAAGCTTTACCTTGCACAGTGATTGGACTCGCGCGACTTGTGGTATCCAGATCTACGGTGTTGATTTGCGATGTTACCTGAAGCAATTGTTCGCCCAGTAGAGGAAAATGGAATGCTTGTCAAATCCCCTCCATGCAGCCGGCGCATCAACGCCCGCATGTTTCACTTGTCAAGATTGCAATGTCGGTGCTCAACCAGTACTAGTAGAACCCTTTAAGCGGAAGACGCTACCCAATGCATGATCTTGTATCCAACAGCACACGAGAATCAAAGCCTGGTTGCCCAATACCTAGGTATTTCAACTATAAGCCTTGAAATCCAACTGCAACTTGATCTGTCGTTTCACGTGTAAAGAGCTGACAAACTGGTCACCTCCCCAAGTCTGGAGGCTCCACATCAGGCCCATAGTCCGGTCCGGCCTTCAAGTTGAGACGGTGAGTTTCGAGCAACAACAGAACAACACCAGGCAGGAACGGTAATCAACTTACCAGCACGAATGCCTTAGCCTTACGGTCACTAGTGGTCAGCATAGCCCAGTCCATCGCAAAGAAACTGTGAGGAAGGAGCACTGCATAGACCCCTTATGGGTATTGATAGGTAGTCCTTAGCCCCTCGGCCCTTTGGCATAAACTTAAATAAAACCACAATCAGAAACCAAATATAACCCTTTTATTGCAGAACCCCTTAACAACTTGGCTTAGATAACGGGAATTAAATGCTAGCCGGTAACTACCATAGACATAGCCTTATTTAATGAAATAATAAGAGCATTACCATAAATTTACTATTAATTTCCAACTGCTTGCTTCACTCTTATATAACTATTTTAATATTTATTTATCTAAATTATTTAATTATATAGCTTTACAAAACTTTATAGCTAAACTTAAACAATTATATGCTTAACAACTCTTATAATTTCACTACCTATTTAAGTTTCTATATATTATAAAGATTTAAAATAATAAGCTTAAATATACTTATCTTTTATAGCTTACTTTTAATAAAAATAATTTAATTTCTTAAGGTAAAACTTATTAATTATAAAATTAATTAATAAAGCAAAAGAGCCTTCTTATATTTCTTGCCTATTAACGGGCGCTCTTATCGCTTAAATCTCCTTTAGCGTTTAATCCCTAAGCCGCTTCCTTAGTTAGCTAAACGCTGCTTTTTAATAATTTATTATATGCATTAATTAAAACGCAATTTTCTTAAATACTTAAATATTGCTAAATAATAAGTTTGCTAAGTTTATTATTATCCTTAAGAGTTTCCCTTAAAAATATACCGTTTATATTAATATATAATTAAGATTTTAGCTTTCCCTTATATTTAAAGAGGAATGATAAAATAGAATTAAAAGGCCTTAAATTTAATAATAATAATATAGCATTACTTATAGCTAAAAACGCTGCCAACCTTATTATATAAGCAATAATATAGCTTTGTAATTAGCAAAACTAAGACTTTATATATTTAATTATTATAGCGTTTGCAAATATATTAATCCCTTAAGTTTATATTTAAGCCAAGCTTATGCAAAATGGCATTAATAAACATTTTAGCATTTAGCTAGCAAATATTAGCTATTTTTACCTTTATAAGCATATTAATTTAAGTATTTAATTTAATGGGAAGATTATAAAATATTTTAACGTTTTTTATTTTATTAAGCATTTAAAGCATATTAAATAAATCCATTTTATGAATAATATTTATTAAGTTTAATCTTAATATTTCTTAAAGAATGCACTTAAATAGCATTCTTATATCTTAATTAATAATAATCGCTAGCTGCTTAAAATAGCAATAATTTAAGCAATTTATAATAAATTAAAATCGCATTTTGCTAAGTCCTTTTTAAATGCCATAGCTAATCTTAAGATAAATTACTTATCTTTTTATTAAATTGCAAAAAAATAAAATATTACTTTATTTCTTTAAATCATTATTATAAACATAAAGGCTTGCAACATAAAGCTTCCTGCATAGCTAATTACTATATTTAAATTGCTTGCTCTTAAAATTAAGTTTAAACTCCAAAAACCTAACGAAGCAACGATATTAAAAAGCTTTTTAAACAACATCCAAAATTGCAAAAGTATAATTCTCAACCTAGCCTAATAATAATATTCGTTTGCTTAGAATATTATCCATCCTTGTCAGCCCACACCCGCCTACAGAGAATCAGTTTTAACTGCCGGTTTAATTGGCTGGTTAAGGCCAAATCTAGAATGCTGGATATAGTTAACCTTGGCTGCTACCAAATTAATACGCCGCGTGGCATTAATAATAGGATAAGCAGTAATAACCCGCTTAATAATAGCTATAGCTGGGAGATCACTAATAACAGCTTATTCTAAAGAACCGTTGCCTGCCTACCCTGCAAGCCCTATTCGCTATTAAATCATATTAATAAAATCAGCCCTATTAAGCCTATTATAGTAAGTCTATGAACTTTATAAAGTAACTTAATATGCCTGCATATTAACTACCTTTGGTTAAGAAAGTTTTAAATAAAGAGTTCTCCATAAATGCAACCGCTAAGGCTTTTAATTATCCCTTTAAGGAAGCATTTCCTATTAATAATCATAATAACTACTTAAACATTATTTTTTTTAGCATATTAGCGTTATTACTATCCGTTTACCGTTATTACATTAAGCATTTTTATAGCAATAATTTACTAATAAATTATATTTACTCCATTTATTTTAAAAAGCCTTGGCCTTAATAAAGATAAATATTAATAGCTTTTATAGCTAAGGCAAAAACTACCAGCCTATTAAATAATTAAGGCTTAAATAATGCATTAAAAGATACCTTAAAGCAGCTAGCAAAAAACTAAAAGGCCTTGGTATCTTATTAAATACTATAAGGGGCGTGGAAATAATTTAATCGCTAGTAAGGATTAACTTAAAACTTAGGATAGGATTTAATTTTCACTCTTAAACTTATTTACATCTTTTCATTTAACTACTATCTAGATTATCATTAAATATTTATAGTAATACTAGCTGTAACTAAATGATAATAAATAAATAATAATTATAATAAAATTATTCCCTTTTGTTAATTTATAAATACGCATTTCTACTATAATTACGTAAACTTAGAATGAAAATTTATAAGTCGTATAACTATATACTTATGCTATTATAATTCCTAAGAAAATATATTAATTGCGAAATTACAGCAATTACTTTATTTACTTATAAAGTTTTTATAATTAAAGACTTAAAGGCTAATATGCTTATTAATATAAATGCCATGAAATTAAAGGGCTTTAATATTATTAATTTAAAAGAATATATTAACATTAACTCTTATTATATTTAAATTCCTATGGAAATAAGAAATTATAGCCGCTTAATAAAGGCTAGGGTACTTACCATGCAATATACTATTATATTATTTAAATTAGCTATTTATTTCCCCGTTAAATATTACTTGTATATTAATAATATTTAAAACTTAATATTTATTTTTACATTAACTTAATTTAGCACTTATGCTTTTCTTATAAATATCTATTTAGCTTACATAATTATTAAAAATAAAATAAATAAGCCTATTATTATACTTAATAAAATATTTATAGAATATTTATATTCTTTAAATCTATAATGCTAAATTTATATTATTAATAAAGATAATAAGGCTATATTTACAGCCTTTTATAAATTCTTAAATTCTTAATATTTAAAAATAATGCCATTAAATAACTTTTAAATGCATATCTTAATAGGCATTAATATATTTTTTAACCTAAACCCTATTAATTAAGATAAGCTTTTAAGTTTCCTTAATAAAAATATAAATATTTTTAAAAATAAAGGTTAAGCCAAAGCTTTATAAAATAAATAGCTTAAGGTTTGCCTTAAGCAAAATTAATAAAATATAATTTTAAAAAAGTATAAAGTTTACCTTATAACTTTAAAGAACGCTAAGGTTATTAATAAAATTTTAAATAAACTATAAGTTGCTAAAAAAATTAAATAAATAACTTAATTTATTCCCTTTTCTTTCCCTATATTTATTATTTAGCAAACTATACTAAATAATACTTAGAAAGATTACATAATGATTAATATTTAAGGATTAAACCATATATTAATCCTTAATGCATACCTTATAAAAAGCCAAAACCAAATTTTCTTAAAAATTATAAATGCAAAATATATTATAATTCTTAACGTTATTGCTTTCTTTTATTAATGGTAAATTTATCTTAAATTTTAATAAATATTTATTATTATAATAACTTACGAATAATTTATATTTAACTACGTTATTATGGAATATTATAGCAGCCTAGCCTATATATAATAATAAATAAATTAGCTTCTTAAAGATATACTCATTAAAGCATATATTAATAATATAATTATTACTATGGATAGCTTTTTGCAAAACTATATTAATGATATTTATTTAGTTTTTAACTAATTATAATAAAAGAATATTTTAATAGGCTTAAAAAAATTTTATTTCATAGCATTAATAGCTATTATGCTTAGCCATTATATTAATTCTTTTAGCCTCTTTATAACCAAAGAATGCTTAAAGGCTATTAAAGCCTTAAAATTTCCCTGCTTATTAAAGGATTTAAAATATTTTATTAGCCTTGCAAGCTATATAAAATATAACATTTTGCGTTTTATAATAAAGATTAAGCCTTTTAAATAATAAAAGATAAATCTTTATTAATTAAATGCCTTAACAAAGCTAAAGGATAAAATAGCTTAAGAGAATTAAATAAAATAAATTATATTTACCTTACTTAGCAATGCAAAAAAAGCTGCCTTTAACATTATAAAATAAGACTTAATTAAGTTTATATTCATTATATACTTTAATTTAAAAAGGCATTTATTTATTAATTTCAATATATTTATATTTAAAATTAAAATGCAAGTTTACTATATAATGGACTTAATTATAAGGAAACTTATAAAAGATGGCTATATCGTTATATACTTACTGCAAACTTTAATTAAAATAATTATATATCTTAGCTATACTTTATTCTTTATAAAACGCTAATATTAAGCTATAAAAATGAAACTTCTTAGCTATATATAGGTACTTAAAAAATATTAATATTAAATTAATATTATTAAATATTATTTTATAATTTGCATAAACTACTTAGCAATCCTTGCCCTTTTTAAATAACTTAATATTATTAACTTTACCATAGCCTTAATAAATAATAAAAGATTAATCCATGCCTTTAAATATATTAATGCCTTTAAAATTAATTTATTGCATAAACTAAAAAGAAAGAATATTATGCTAAATATATTATTGTATATGCTGTTATTAAATATATTACCGCTAATTAAAGATAGTAAACTAAATGTTTTCTTAAATAATTAAGATAAATATTAATCATTTTTCTTAAAAATGCATTTAATAACCCTTATAATACCTTTAAAATTAAATCTATAAAATAAAAATATATATATTAAAATATTTCTTAACTTTTATAAGCGCTTTTAAGATGGCTATTAAATAAACCCTTAATGGGTAAGAATTTTAAACATAATATAATAAAATAATGCTCTTTATAAAAATAAAGCCATCCTTTTATTTAAAATTTATTTTAACCTTATTTAAAAAATATTAAATAAAGATAAAACTCCTTATCTTTGCATTTCTTAATTATATATAATTAAAATCTTAAAACTTACCTATATAAGTAATTATTATAATTATGCTTAATTTAGCAAATTCCTCCAGCCCTTTTATATTAAAAAACTGCATTTTAAGCTGTATAAATTTACTTACTGCTACCTTAATTACTAAGTCTTTAATATTAAAAGATATAAAGCTTATAGAAACTTATAATTACTACTTAGCCTATTATATTTATATTATTAAATTATAATAAACTTTATCCTTAAACTTTCTTTAATAAAAGGCTATAATTATATCCTCTTAATAATTTATAAATTCTTAAAGAACTTATTATTAATGCTTAAAAAATTAACATAAAAAGCCATAAAATAAGCCTCCTTTTTATTATAATACTTACTTTAAAGTAACTAAGGTTATTTAAAAATTATCCTCTTAAACTAAAACCCTAAATTCTTATTAAGCATTTAATTATTAATATAAAAATTATTTAAAATAAAGCTACTTTATATAACTATATACTATTTATAAACCAATAGCTAATTAAAAAAAATAATATAAATTATTAAATCCACGCTTCGCTACTTTATTTACGGCCTTAACAATTCACGAAAATAATTAAATACTTTATTATAAATATAATTTAAATACTATAATAGTAAATCCTAAGTAATTAAGACTTCCCTAAATAAAATTATTAAAGGCTTTACCTTAAATAATATCTTAAATATTATTATAAATTAAATACCTTATTAACTATTAAACCTTCTTTAAAGCTATATTTATATATATAATGCTTTAATACTTATAATAATAATGGTAAAAACATACTTTAATAAATAATATTTTATATAATTTTTTAAAGTTAAAGCATAGGTATTACTTTAATTATATAAAGAATATGGAATTTTATAAGATATTAACCATAAATATAAACTATAATATGCAGGCCCTTTTAAAATTATAAAAAGGATTGGCCGTTTTACATATCAACTTAACTTTCTATATATATAAAAGTTAAAGTATAATATTATTTCTATTAATTACCTTAAGCCATATTCTTTAAATTCATTTAATTAAAATATACCTTAAATTAAACTTATTTAAATTAAAGATTATATAAAGCGCATAATTAATTAATAATATTTAAAACTAAAAGATATAAAATATTTTATTAAATATATTAAACTAAAACTTAAATTTTAAAAATGAATAATCTTGCCATAACTAAGACTTAATGCATAATCATTGCTTAATAAATTTACTTATAAATAATTATCCATTATAAACTTAATATAATAACTACTATTAATAATTATTACTAATAACTACCATAATAACTTATAATAATATTTACCTAAAAACTTTAAATAAAAAAATAAGATAAATATAGCACTACTTAAAGCATAATTTTAATTCTCTCTTAAGAATTATAAACTTCTTCCTTTTTTTTATTTTTCTATTTATTTTTATTTAATAAAAGATATACTTAAGATAGCCTTGCAATTTAAGCCCATTACTAATGATAATAGCGAAAAGAAATAAGAGTAGAAAGCTATTTAAAAATAAATTTAAATAGCATAAATTTAAAGCAAAGCGCTAAGTTATAAATCTTTTTTAAAATTCAAAGCCTTAAATTAAAAATATTAATAACATTATATATTAAAATAACTAAGTTAGCTTAATAATTACCGCAAAAAACTTATATATTACATTATAAATAATTCTTAATTTTAATAGGATTAAAATTAATAAACTTAATAAGGCTATAAATCTCCTTACCCTTATCCATTTAATATAAGAGTAGGAATATAATAAAAAGCTTCCGCAATTTATTAAAAAGCATAAAAAGAAGGAATATAAGTAATAAATATATATTTGCAATAAACTATAAAATATTGCTAATAAAAAATTTAATTAATATCTTTTCTATATAAATGCAAAGATAAATTAACTAACTAAAAAAGCCTTAACTTTGCTATATTCTTTATAATACTTATTTAATATAGCAAATTATAATATTTCTTCTTTTTAAGCTAAATCCTAATTTAAATTTAAAGGATCCTTAGGTAAAAGCAATTTTAATAAAAACGTTAAAGCCGCTAAATTTATGCATAATAAAATTAAAGAAAACCTACTTAAAAAACTACCTCCCCTTAATAATTACTTCTTTAATAGCAATTTTAATATCTTTATTATATTATCCTAAATTAAAAAATATAATTCATTAAAGAAAACTAATTAAAAAAAATTTAATATAATGCTTATAGTAAGTTTATAATACAACCTAAAGAAAATAAAGTTTAATATATCTCCGCAACCTATTATATTTCCTATTAATAATGCAACAACCCATTAATCCATGCTACCTTTCTTATTTATAATAAAATATGCTAATACTTATTTATATTCCCTATTAATAATACCCCTATCTTTAATAAAATAATAAAAATATAAGCAATATAAAATAAAAAACGCTAAATTTATTATTAAAGTTAATAAATAGCAAGCTTAAATTACAAAATTATAATTAAAAAACATTAAATTAAATACCTAGCGGAACTTACTTTAAATGCAACTTAATCTTAATACTATATATATTATTAACTTAAAAGATTAATTAATTAAAAAGGATAAATAAATTAATACCTTAAAAGGTAACCATTATACTTTATTTATTAAAATAATTATAAATGGATTTAATGCCTTTCTTATTATTTAAGATATTATAAATATTATTATTAAATTACTTAATAATAAATGCACTTTTAAATTAAAACTTTTTATAAATAACTTTAAATTAAGTAAAGATATAAAAGCAGCTAATTATAAGAAATATAATAAATTACGGGATAAACCTTAAAATAACCTTAACGCTTTAAAGAATGGAAATGAAAATTATAAGGAAGATAAAGATAATTTAGGCCTAATACTTTGCTTAAAAGATAAAACATAGGATAACTAATTTATTAAATATACCTTTTAAAATTATTTATTAGCTGCGAGGGCGCTGCTATTTTTTAAAGGGGGCAAATTATAAGGAAGGAGCACTATATAAACCCCTTATGGGCATTAATAGGTAATCCTTAGCCCCTTGGCCCTTTAATACAAACTTAAAATAAAATCACAACCAAAAACCAAATACAACCCTCTTATTGCAGAACCCCTTGACAGAAACCGTCCATAGTTAAATGCTCAACGGCACCATCCATAGCGATAAACACCTCGTCTATCTGCGGATAGCCGCTCTCCATCACATACTCGAGGCATGCTTCGATGTTTCGGCGGCGCTCAGGGTTCGTTTCGGTCTCAAGTGCTCGCTTCGACGTGCGTTTCGCGCAGTCCCAAAGCGCCGGGTCTGCTTTGGTGGCCACAGTTACTGTGAATTCTTCGGCGCTGGAGCGTATGTTGCTGCTGGCATTCCCTTTGGACTCGGCTGGGGCGGCGGCCACGGGGCCACTGATGCGCCTCTTCCTACCGGCCACTGTGAACGCAACTTTCAGGCAAGGAGTTGACCAAATTAGGTATGTCGTTGAGAACCGTCAAGAGGTCGGGCTAATTGTGGCAGGTGCGCTGTTGGTTAGGTAGATAGGAGGCGCAGCTGTTGTAAGAGAGCTGTTATGCTTGTGACGTGGTCCGCGCCATGCTAGCAGCCTTGCAGTTCCATAATATTACCTAGCCAGCGGGGCTCACGATACCTTCTCAACTACTGGGATTGTAGGAATAGTACATCTGTGGCATGCCAACGTAGTGGGCACATTGGATGCAATGCAGAGATTTAGAGATATACAATCTTCATATTACATTTCTTTTTACTACATTCTAAAATACTAGCCTGCTTAACAGTGAGCTTAGAATGCAACATGTCGCTTACTGTCACGAGAGGGTTCAGAGACATAGCAGCTGGCCTCAAATACGGCAACTCAATTTAAGTAGGCGTTATCTCTCTAAGCAAAAAGAAGGGCATTCAGAGGGCCGCGGGGCACTGCAGAAGCGCTGCAGAAGAAGGCACCCGGAGGGCGTGTAGCGTTGCACCCGCGCACCCACATGCACCCTCTCATTCGTGTAACCATTTCTCCACCACCAGTAAGCTTGGTGAAGTTTGGTGCGAAACGAGGGGTGAGCGAAGGACCTTTGACGCCCACTGTAGCGACTCACATTCATCTGGGGCCCCGGTGATACGGTTTTCAAAAGCCGCACACGCCCAGGAGTCTATCGAGATGTGATCCTGGTTATGAGGGCTGAATATCTCTCTGACCATTGTACTCGAGGACTGGGACTATTTCTGGCCCCTGAAAGTCTAATAGCCGCATGGTAAGACAAAAGATACACATGGATAGTGATCCTGCGCCGGCACTAGCAGGCAGCGCTGACAGAAACCCGTCTCACATTACCGTCAAGATAGCCAATGAATGCCCTCCAAACTAACCTTGTAGGAACCTTGGAAGGCTTATCTCCAGCCCCTTTCCGAACTTTCCTCCTCACGCTAAAAAGATGATCTCGTCAACGTGATTCTGTGGAACCACAGTGCTTTCGAGACGTTCTTGTATATATGATTGCCTGACCACGCAACAAGCCAAGATCGTCGTGGTTTACTGCCGGCAAGGATGGCAGCTCACGCGCGACCGGGGCCGATCTCCCCGGCGCTGCAGAACAGCTACGGACCGGAGGCGACCCTTTTCGAGCACCGGCCCCAAGACGGACCTCAAGTCGTCGCGTTTGACGCGCCCGAGGCAATACCGGGACAGTCACCGTATCACGGTTATGTTTCGAAGCCATACGAAGAAAAGCAGCCACCCTCACGAAAAGAAAGACGCAAGAAGATTCTCGGCCTTCCCGTTGCATTGTTCTGGGTCCTTGTTGGGGTGGTTATCCTGGTGATCTTGGGCATCTCACTTGGCATCGGCCTCGGCGTCGGTCTCAGCCAGCGCGCCACTACCTCTACATCACCATCACCATCACAGTCATCCTCGGAAACATCAGACCAAACCCAAGGAACTACATCTACAGCCGCCGCCTCATCCACACCATCAACAGCCACAACATCATCAGTATCGAGCAGCACATCATCCGCACCCGTGACCTCCGGCACGACTGGTGTAGCCGACAACAGCTGCACATATTCAGTGCCCAAGACGTATTACTCATCCGCTGACCAAGCCGTCAGCTTCACCACGTTCTGCTTCACCGACTGGCCCAATAGGGAGGCTGCTGCTGACGGGAATGGGACGATAAGCGATATCTATTACACTGTCCTGTACACCTTTGAAGACTGTATGGACGAGTGCGTAACCTACAACAAGGATCTCACGGAGGGACAGACCAAGTGCGCAGCTGTGACTTATAACAACAACTTGACGAGTATTGTTGCCGTGGGCCAACAGGGGGGAAACTGTTTCTTAAAGAACAAGAAGGGGGTTAACCAGCAGGGAAGTGCGACAAGTGCTTGTGCAGCTATTGTGTACTAATGAAAGCGACTTCAGAATTCCTTAATAAATAATTGAACTTGGTTAAGGGGCTGCTGGGTGGAACTGCCAGTGACCGGTCTTACCACAAGGGCAACCTGAATAGCCTGATCGCAGTTGTCTTCGCACTGCCTTCTTTGTGGCCCTCGAGCAGGCCCACTCCTTGACTGCTTCTCCTCTACGCCCAAACATCCTGTTCTCTTCCAGCTTCCACCGCTGTTCCGCACGCTTCGTTGCGCCGTTAACCGTCGGCCTCAAGGAGGTCCTCGCGAAGCACTACAATATATGGTGTCGACCTTTCCCTCTTTTTTTCTAGCATCTGGCATCCGATGGCCCGTATAAATAAATGACAGGGTCTAGGGATGTGTACATGGCAGGTCTTTCAGGGAACTTGTTGCGGACTCAGCACCTGGGCAGTGGCAGTGGCGGTGTTGATCTTCAAAAAGAAACGAAGCGGAAGTATCGGCTTGTTAGCCGGAGAGACCGGAGAGGCTAACAATAAGCGTCGTTGCCATACTGGGCTGCTAGCAGTAGCAGCATTGCGGTATACTTGAGTAGTGAATAATGGGAAGTGGTATTAGGGGTGCTTGTCTTCACAGTTGTGTAATATTCACACCGCATTCCTCCCTAACCCCGTATTTTTGCCCCGTTTTCAGGGGAACCCGCGCCCCAAGCTGGCACGAGCCACCGAGAAAGGGGGTTGAGGATAACTTCGTCACTCGAAAAAGAAACAGCATCAAGTAAGGAGATTGCGGGGTGGCAAAAAGTGGACAGGATGATCGCATCGCCAAGCCAATACGACCAAGTTCGTACCACTTGCTCTCTATTTAGCGCTCGTGTTTAACAGGGGTACGTGAACACACCGACTCAGAACAAGGCACGTCCCAACACGACTGAACCCAAGGAACGCATATAAGAATGCATGATAGAGACGGACTTCAGCAATGAAAACAAAAGATTCAACTAAGCCATAACTCCCCAATCCAATACATCACACACGCCGCAGACACTCGTTACCTACCACCCACATCACCCCTACCCTATCAACCACAAACCACACACTCCGAAAATGAAGACTACTGCCGTGTTCGCCGCCACCCTCGCCTGCGCCAGCAGCGCTCTCGCCCAGAATGAGCAATACTACAACCTGGTCGCCTCCGCACCCGGCGAGCCTTTTGACGGCCAGGACCTGAAGCCCCTCGAGGGCCACTGGCACATCGGCACCCAGGCCAACTCCTCGTGCGGCGACGCCGCCCCAGCTGTCGCCCTCATCGACGAGGCGATCGCAGTCTACAACGACGGCACATCTCACCAGCAATACGGTAAGCGAGCTTCCATCAACCCGACATGAACACACACAACGCACCCGCGCGTCATCCGCCCGGCGTTTCCCCGTACGTAATGGTTTCCCAATAACTGACATGTCTCCAGCATACGTCGACATCTCCGGCGCCGCCGACGGCCTCCTGGGCCTGACCCCCGCGGGTACCGCGGGGGTCCCGGGCGAGGCCCCCAAGGGCCCCTTCGCCCTGATCGGCTCCGAGCAGGACCAGATCTACCTGTACTACAACGGCGCCGACGCCGCCGACAGCCAGTGGCTGGCCTGCCCGGGCGAGACCGACGGCGAATTCTGGGTCTACCCCGAGCAGGCCTACTCCAAGCCGGTGGGCAAGGACCAGTGCACCGAGTTCCGGGTCAACGCCCAGCAGGTCGAGCAGCCTACCGAGCCCTGCGTCTTCAACTAGGTTCTGAGCACTTGGTACCCAAGGAGAAGTGACAGGCCACATCATTTGGGTGGGCAATGGGAATTCGTGAAAAGTTAAAAAGTTTTGTACATAAATTAAACTTAATTCTCATCCAAGGATAAACTTGACGTTCGAGTCGATCTTCCCCGGATCGTCTGGACCCCTTGAATAACGCATCAAATACCGCATCGCACTTTCTTCTATTCAAAAGGGCCACGTAATTTGGGATTCCATGACTACTTCGACGGCGATATTATCCACCGAAATGGGGATCACTGTACATGCATAGATTGAGTTGGGAAACAAAAAGTGGATGTAAATAATAAGCGGACCTACTGTGGACCTGATGTGGATAACTGAATAATGTGTAGAGCAAGTTGACCGGCGCCCGTCGGTACCTCCTTTTATGCCTAGGTTCATGCTGTCCACTCGGCACAATCCCAGTAGAACGGGGTGAAGATCTGCATATCTAGGTATCGGTAACCTTGCAATAACTAGGTACTATAAATAGGCACCTACCAAAGGCATACAAGCAGTACGCACCTATCAACTACATTATATATAGTTGTGTACGTGCGTGTGTGTCTGGATTGCTGAGAAACGATCTTTGAGCTCTCATGTTATACATAAAATTGGTTAAACTGACCCGGTTGTGTGTTAGAGAGAGTGTGGTGGGCGGAGGGGATTTGGCTGACAGCAAGCGGTATTTCTTACATTGAGCAATTAGCACGCAAAACACCAGACACCAGTTTACAATCTGTATTTACATAGACTGTTTACAAACTGGACACTATCAACATCACTCCAGCCAACCTCTTTAAGCCTCACATGTTGTTTACATGCAACATGCAACATGCAACATTTTGGTATCGTACATCCGTTCCTAGCATTTACAGCTTACGGGGCATACGCGCTACCACCAAGCACCATCAAGGCACCGAGTGTACTGTTCCAGCACGTGACTTCCCCGCTCATATTTGACAAGTTTGCCTCCAAGGGGAATTCTCCTTCAAGTCGGGGCTTCCCTACTTCCCAATCGCCTGCCGTTTCCATTACGGAGCATAGATAATACAGGACTGGTTTCATTGTACGCGATCGCGAGTGCAGACTCCAGGAGGCCCATAGCTTCAACATGTTTAATTCATGGCGAAGTCCCAGAACGGCTACAGCGATGCCCTATCAGCCGAGTTGGAGCTCTTCTAGCCTTCCTCTCTCACCTCTGTCAGACGTGTACCGCCAGGGTTTGCGCCCCGGCGAGATCCGCCTACTTGTGCTCGAAGGACCCGACTCTCGCAAGATTTTGCGATGCAGGACGGAACAAGTCAATCTCTCAGCAAGGTCTGCGTATACAACAATTTCATATACGTGGGACGGAAACGAGAAGCCATGGTACGGGAACTACGACTCATCGCCAAAGCCCATCTTGATAGACGGAGTCCTCACCGGCATTACGCAGGCTGGAATAGACGAGGTAGAGTCGGACAAGGTCGCTAATATTCTGAATCTAATGTGGTTACAAGGACGGACGACTATCTGGATCGACCACATATGTATCAACCAAGAGGATGCTGCAGAGAAGAACGTGCAGTTACAGCTGATGGGAGATGTCTACAGCAAGGCGTTGAAAGTAGTGACGGTCCTGGACGCACCAAACCAAGATACCGATATAGCCCTGACCCTTGCGAACTGGGACTTGCAAAGTCCTTTCTGGAAAAAGAACAAGCGCAGTTTATTCCGTGCGCTGGCGATTACGTTCATGAAGGATTACTGGAGGCGCACATGGATATTACAGGAGCTGACACTGGCCCAAAATCCTCTGCTATGCTGCGGCAACAAAACTTTGGATTTCACCTGCCTCACCGACTGTCATAGAATCTTCATCGAAAATATCGACCTGGTGATGTCGCTAGGAAATTTCTGGCCGTCAAGAGTGTGGACCACGATCCAGCAAGATCGCGAATCCAGCAGGAGTGGGGTCAAGGTGAGGCCCTTTGACCCAACAATTCTCCGAAAACACGTCGTCAAACAGCCTTTTTTGCAGGTCTTGGCTGCATCAAGGCAGTTCAGCAAGTGTGCTGACCCGCGAGACCTGCTGTTTGCCCGACTACCGCTCGCTTCTGATGCGGTTGAGCTGCTACCGTCTCCCGACGTCACCCAGACGGTTGAGGAACTATACACAACGTTCGCAGCAAATAGTATTCGATGTACCCGACAACTTGACATCATATTATATGGGCAATCAGCGAACAAGTCCCTGCCGAGCTGGGTGCCAGATTGGACCACCAATCCCACAGCTGCGTCCGGATGCGAGCTCTCTCCGGACAAGGTGGTTGAGATCGAGACCGCTGACCGCAGTCACGCCGAAGCAGCCATGGCTGCGCTAGAGTGGAGTCCAGAGGCCTGGCCTGAGGTTTCTCACTCAGGCAGTGAGCTGCGCGTGTCAGGGCGTGTACTGAAAGTGCTCGATCACCATGCCGACAACCTCCATCTGACCATGGATGGTCCCCAGAGTTGGTGGGAGGCCGCCACGGGAAATCATAAAAACGAAGCACCGCTTGGGATCGTTTTGTTGCTTTCTGGCATGAACCTGGCACATGGAGACATGCTGTGCGTGCTCAAAAATTGTCCGGCTTTTGTGTTTCTGCGACCTGTGCAGGGACACTACATACTCGTCGGGAAACGTCGCCCACACAAGGTTATGACAGAATGGTGGGCGAAAGATTTTGTGTCTCTGGTTGACGAACGGCATCGACGAACCGACGAAACTGGGATGTGGGCAGATCTGATCAACAATGTTGATGTTCAAAATGTGATGGAGGCCTATAAACGATCAACAGGTTTCGCGTCTTTCTTCGAAAATTGGATGTGGTCTTCTTACTACAGCGGCGCATGGGTGTTTCAGTCACCAGAGGCCATTTCGAAACTAGAGCAGAAGACCTTTGTGATTAGGTGAGGCCGCCGGAGAGTTCTACCTTCCAGCTTGAAATAGTCGCGGGGACCCAGACACACGCAAGGCTTCGAAGTTAAGATCAGCATGGGCTGAAACCACGCGTTCAGCCTGCTGCCAAGATGTAATGAGGTGACGGTGGGAGGCCAAACATGTACTCTGCGATCTACTCCAATAGAGGTAGGACTTTTGGCCCTCCTTTCGACCGCTGAGCGCTCATGTTACTTCAACATGAGGACTATACTAATCACGGGACTTTTTATGGTACCTAGCCAAAAGGAACTCCCCCCAAGGACCCTGTGTACCAATATGTTATCTCCGTGCTTAACTTTGACGATTATGACAGTTGGGTCCACAACCGAATGGATAGCATGACGGCCAGGGCTACAGCATTCGTCCGCCAGTGGGCGGTTGTTGAAAGAGGTCGCATGCTGATCATCACTGATCAGACCTATGGGTCATGCCAGGAGGTGATCTCTGTTTTCAAATATTCTAGAGAGACGGGTCATTAAAACGAGCTTCAACTTGCGCGCCGTGCCAAATTGTGTTTCACTGTCCCCAATTCGCACTAAGATTGATGTGAATATTACTTATTTGTGAGAAGAAATAGGTAGGCGAAGAGGAAGCACACTGTGGGGCTTTCCTTGACGGCGGATTGGACAAGTGATAGTCCAATGTGCGGGCCATTATAGTTCATTCATACAGCATCCAGTGGCTCTGTAAGATTTCGTGGCTCACAAAGTTTTCCTGGCGATGGCCAATGGAACTCGTTCGGTTCTTCCCAAAGATCAGGCAATTTCTCTTGCACTTATCTCACCTGCATCCGCGTGAATGCGTTCACCACCAGTGGGGCGGGCAAGTAGAGGTCTCTGTGTGTAAACATTGAGCGGGGTTGAGGATCATGACTGCACGTGGAACCCAAATTGATCGCTGCAGCCACGTCGATCGCGAACCCCTTCGGTTACACACTTTTTCATCCACAACATGGACATCTTGGACATTGCGGTCACTTGCTGTGGATTGGCCCTAAAATGCGCTCAAATCGTCAATGAGGTCCAGGCCTGGCCCGAGGAGCTGCGCAGAATAACCCGCCGGATCACCAGACTGGAGCCGCTCCAGCAGGGCCTCATGTCACATCTGCAGAACCAGCCCACACCCGGTCTCGCTGGGCGGCAACGGGAACAGAAGAATGAACTCGAAAATATCGTGCGGGAAACGAACGAGTGTTGCAAAGAGACACACAACATCCTCGGTGAATGCCAGTCGAGGAAAGTCGGCCAGGCAGGGTTGGAGTCCCGGGAGTCGTGGCTCGGCGACTTCTCTCGGAGTTTATACCAGAAGTATGGGGCTACGGCAACAGCCCTGAAGAGGCTTGAGGACAGCCTTGAGGAGAATTACCGGGATCTGAACTGTTATATGGGCCTGCTTGGGATCAGGCAGGAGCAGGCCAACCACAATGCGCTGGCTGCGATCTCAGAAAGAATTCGCTGCTTGGAGTTGGAGAAGGAGAGGGACTCCCTCAGGCGGGACAATGATTCCCTCAAGCAAGATAAAGCTCGGCTCATGGCACAGTTGAAGAAACTTACTGTGCACCTGGCCCCGCCCATGACTCTGCCGCGAGGCGGACAGGTGAACGATGGGAGCCTTGGGACCTCCCGATCTGTTTCTGCCGCTGTGAGGCAGCCAACACCTGAAATCCGCCCATCCCGGACAGACTACAAGATCCTCTTCACTGATACGTACGGCGACCGCAGCACGGTGTCCGAGTTTCTTGTCAAAATACTGGGTGCATGGACCCAGTCCAAAGGCGGTGAATGGCGTGTCGAAAAGGTTCACTCGGCCGGCTTTCTGTTGAGAGAAAATTGCGAATGCGTGAGTGAGATTGAGGAGCTTAGGCCCAAACACAAATTACATGATCTCCATCCTTCAGGACGAGGCTGGCCTCCAAGCCGCACGGGTATGAAGGCGCTTGATGATGCTATGAAACATTTCATCCCCCCAGGCTCTAAAACGGAGATCCATAACCAGGTTCGCCAAAGAAAGAAGAGAGGCCTTGCCAGAGACATGCTCAGGACATATGACTTCATAATCGTCTTCAGTCGGGCAACACACAACAATATGTTAGCAGTACGTAACGCACTGGTTACGGCTTCTGGTCAAGGCATTTTACACAGAGGGAAGGGCCGTGTTGTGCATCTCGGACAGTATCTATCATCCTGTGGAGATACAAAGGACATCGCGGCGCCATCAACGAGCAAGGAACGGCGCCCGATCAGAGAAAATTGGGACCAGAAGGTTGTGGAGCTACAATTTGCAATCCAAGCTTTTCTCGCTGCAGAGTTGGGTTGGAAGCAGCCGCAGATATTGAAGTAGAAGCAGAAACAGGCCAATACAGCATCACCAGCATGCTAAAACACTACTAGGAATATTTAGACAGATTCAATCTACTAGGACTAATAACTTATAGGGCGCTTTTGAAAATCTGCCTTTCAGCAATCAGATGGTAGTAGCAAAGACAGTAATGAGTAAGCATCATAAGCCAGTCTCCACTCCCACAAAAACAACTCAAAATTTAAATTAGTACCGACCTCGTGGCAACTCATCAACCGGGCTCATCACTAATCCATTTAAGGCCGGCCCTCGCCAACAGCCACAGTGCAACACACGCACTGCGCACACAGAGAAGAGGGTGGGGAACCGGCGAGAGACAGAGACAGTAAAAGCACAGATAGCACAAGCTATGGTGGGTATACGCTTGATGAGCAACAAAACAGCGAACCTTTAACATTTACAACCATGGCATTTAACCTCTTTGCGAACCAACTGGTCTTGCATCAACACCAGTACACGGTTCGTATGACGAGGTCGAGGACATAGACTGTGTGCCCGAGGATCGCCTTAGTCTTTTGACAGTGTATCACGCAATGAGCACGAGGTTTCCAGCAAAGCTAGTCTGCGAATGCAAATGCTTTTGCTGGGTGGCGCTGGCTCCTCCGGTGCGTGTCTAACTGATCCTGCAATTATTCTTTACTCGATGGCGGAAATAGCCTCTTCAGCGCCTGGATCAGGGGTACTAAATCCAACAGCTGACTACAACGCGTGAGATGTTTCCCGGGCCTCCCGGGCTAGATCGATCCATCACGGCCTCATACCCCGAAGCGGAACATGGAGGAATCGGAATTCCGGACTTGCCAAGAAATCCGTGATATAATTATTAATTGTGGAAAGCTTCTACAAACATGTATCAAAAGTCTGCCACATACCGATATTTCATGTGTAGATCTTGGTTCTCTCTGTGTCTGATGTCGTGGATGGCATTTCCAAATGCATGGGCCTTACCCATGTCTTTGTCTGAACGCGTAAGCTGACCTGGGATTTCATGTGTAGATAAACGTCAGCCCTATCATTGCACAGCAAACTTGGAGAGAGCTCGCGTGCGACAGTGATCTTTTTTTTTTGAATCCCGGTCTAAGCCTATCAAGAGCCACAGAATGCGCGAATGTGGGCGGGCACGGGAGCGCCGTTGCGTCAACAATCCCGACTCCGCACGTATTCGTGCACGGAACCCGGCCACACATATCCTGCGAAAAAGTCTGGAGAGCCATGTTCCGTAGCCAGGGGCCCGTCAAATTTTATTAAAAGGCTCGAAGATTAAGAGTTTTAGTAATCGATGGGGTGTGTCCAGTGGCACCGTGGGTGGCCCGATTCCTGCCCCGAAGGAAGGACTCGGCTCGGTCTGTGTGTGTCAAAAAGCCCCACAGATCCACACGCTCGCGTATAAACGTACGGCAATCGTATCAAGGTCCCTAGCCGCATACGCACAGCACGGCTGTCCCCATTCTGCCCTCCATGACTGCCGTCGAATGCCAAAAAGCAGAACATATGGGATGACATTGGCATCTCAAGTTTGAGCATCACAGACATCACAGTTGAGTTGGCCAAACCGCCGGCGAGTGTTTCGGATCGCTCGGCCAGGCTTGTGCTGCCAAGACAACCTTAGGAGGACTAACAGCATCCCTTGTCCGTGGGGGCTGCCAGTCGTCACCAGTACCCGCCAGGTGTGCCGGGAACCGAAAAGTGACAAGTGGAAGAAAGAGATAACCGCACAGTAATCTTTTATGCGGCCAGGGCCAACACTGGTGGTTGGTACACACGTACACACACACACACAAACCGACCGGGACCTCGGCCTCGTACCGTGACCCGTCGCACTGCGGAACTCCTCCAACCCGTCAGCACGGGTTCACGGTGCATCGCCGACCTGCTCTGGCCTGTGAAGTGATCCGCCAAGGCTCGCTTGGCCCTCCTGCCAGCTGGTCTGTGATGCCTCTGCCGCCTCGGATTCGTCGCTTCGCAATGCGACAGGCGGGCTCCCCCCTGGTGCGTAGGCAATATTCCGGCGGGATTTGGACAAGGGTGTGTGGTTTTTCTCTTTTGGTTCGGCCCCCCCCCCCCATCGGCACCCACCACGTCGGCCAAGAAGTAACACCCGTCTGTGGTAAGGCTGCCATGGCCACCCCGGCTTTAAGGTGGTCGCGTGCCCACCCCCCTCCAGACGTATAAACCTGGCCGGCCCTCCTCTCAGCAGTCTGCAGGGCAGCGGTCAATATCAGAACTCGAGCCTGATATCTGTTTGTACCGTCGGACAAAGTTACACCAAGTCTCGGTCTATCACGACCGCCATCGACTGCCTGGGACCCAGGCAAGCTTTGTGTAACACAAGCCCGGCAACGAAAAATCCCCCGATTTCATCCGACTCTCATCAACCATGGGCGTGGGAGCCTTCCTCGAGCCGCTGATTGTGGTGAGCCTTCTGGCTGGAGGGACCATCATCAACCGCGATCGGCCCGGCAGCGGCAGGCGGAGGGGATATGAGAAGGGGATCCGATCGTCTTCTTCCTCGCCGAAGCGCTCATTCGCCGGGGATACGCTCGAGGCAGAGTCGGGAAGGCGGTGGTCGGGAGATGGCGACGACTCAATGCCGCTCAGCCCGTGGAGCGCGGATTCTTTGGGCGGTTCATCGGCGACGCTTCTCAGCCAGGGAGATGACGAACTCGGCCCCAGGTGGCGATACCGAACGTTGCGGCTTTGGAAGTGGGAGAAGAAAGTCAAGACGCCCAACACAGAGGTCTTCGAGGATCGTCTTCTCAGTCGGGTATTGCGGAGGTTGCCTTTCCTTGTCGAGGCGTGGTACTGGGCCCTGATCTACTGGGGTGAGTATATCGAGAGGAATATCATGGGTCACTCACTGGCCTTGAGGTTGTCATGGTGAATCGTGTTGCCATAATGTACTGACATGACCTGCCTCGAAGGTGTACCAAGTTGGTCGGGCCATTGGTGCCCTGGCAATGGACGAGACGACCGTCGACGTCGCGCGGCGACACGCCCTGCAGCTCATCCACCTGGAACAGCGACTGCACATCTTCATCGAGCGGCCCATCCAGGAGTGGTTCCTGCAGCACGCGACGCTGATGCGCTGGACCAACCGGGCTTACTCGTTCATCCACATCCCGGGAAGCCTCTTCCTCGTCGTCTTCTACTACCTCACGACGACACGGCCGAGGCGTAACGCGCAGAGCACCCTGCCGAGCAAGTCCACGCCCACCGGGGCTGGATGGAAGGCCACGGGCCTCCCCCCGCTCAACCCGGCACTGTATGAGCAGAGGCGACGGACGATGGCCATGTGCAACCTCTTCGCCTTCGTCATCTTCACGTGCTGGCCCTGCATGCCACCCAGGCTGCTGAGCGACCCGAACTACCAGGGACCGGACGCAAAGGAGGCCAAGGGGTACGGATTCGTCGACACGGTCCACGGTGCGGATGGCGAGAGCAGTGTTTGGACAACGAACAAGTTCTGTAACCAATATGGTGAGTTGAAACTCTCTCGTGCACTTTTGACTCGCAGTGTGAACGCTCCGCTCTCAGATCTGCCACCGTCACACACTCTGAAGCTGACGCCCGGTGTCCAACAGCGGCCATGCCATCCCTGCACTTCGGCTACTCGCTCCTCATCGGCCTCACGGTGGCCACGATGCCCGTCCAGTTCCGCGGCTGGAAGCGGCTGGCCCTGATCCTCGGCGGCATGGCGTACCCGGGCCTCATCCTGACCGCCATCGTCGCCACGGCCAACCACTTCGTGCTCGACGCCGTCGCGGGCGCGTGCGTGGTCGCCGTCGCGTGGCACGCCCAGAGCATCATGCTGAACCTGCTGGTGCTGGAGGACTACTTCCTGAGGCTCGTGCGCATCCACAAGCCGTCCAAGGAGCTGGCCGGCTCGAGGGATGCGCCGATCGAGTAGGGGCTGCTTGAGGAATGGAATCTTCCAGCGGCAGATTAATTCTGTAACATTAGTGTGTCGCAATATTAAGAGGCTGCTTTTATCTGCAGCTCATTCATTTTCATGCGCTGTTCACTTTTGGAGAGACGGAGTTTAGAGGACTGGTCTTGAGCTGGCTGTCAGAGGGGTTTTGGCAGTCTCACATCGGTAATACCTATTTGAGTCGACACTTGGCCACAGCATTTGGTTTCAGCTTTACAAAGACTCCTCCATGCTGATCTGAAATCCATAAATATCACCATCACATTGCTTAGCACGAATATTAGCCCATAAATCAGCCCTTGAGGTCGAATGTACGGCATTACCGGTGTGGAGTTCTCGACTGGACCTCCATCGAGTTTCTTGCGGAGTCGAGGTTCAGATGACCGCGAAAGTCCTTGGAGTCTATCTTTCATACTCGATAGCCCCCTCCTTGGTCAAAATCGCGATGAATCATCCTTTAGGCAGAGGGAGGCACAGGGAAGATCTGCACTGGGCAGTTAGGAGTAGCGGAACCGGCTTACCTAAGCATAATTCACTTACCACTTTAGGCCTCTTGTTTACTTCGCGCCCGTTTAGTACTCTGAATTGCTTCATCATTCTTCCTTTAAAAGATAGTGACAACTCATCTTCAATTGACATGTTGTGGCCATTTGTCTATGTCCCTGTAGTTCTCTTGTTACATCGCTGCTTCTGCGTAGTGATCGTGATGCGTGCAATCTGTGACATTTTCACCGCTCTAGCTGTAAAAGTGCTGCTATGCCGCTGTTGGTTATTCACGATACCTCGCTAGATAGAAAACGGACCATGGAACTAGCTCCTTCGGAATGGTTTGAAATTCCTCTCACTCCTTATCTGTAACTCGGAGCAGAGTTTCCGGATCTTCACTCTGAGCATCTACTTTCTACGTAGTGCTGACCACCCATCTCAACGCCAGATTCTTAGTCTTGGATTCGGATGAAATTCTCGGGTCAGAGCAAGAAAATTCTCATCGTAATAGTTCCTTGATTCGTGATTTTCACATCTCAGGCGCCCTCTCCAAGGACCAGCATGGCTATCCCTCAGGACGATCTGGCTGCGCAAGCCGAACCTGGTTTAGTTCTTCCTTTGCACTATTTCGACAACAGCGCTATGTTCACAAACATTACCATGTACGCAATTATGGTCTTTGACGAGGTCTTGGAAGCCGACAAGCTTGCCAAGAGTCTCGAACAACTCGTCCGACGCGAGACCTGGCAGAAGCTGGGTGCAAGAGTGAGGAAGGGGGTAGGTCTTAAACATCCGTTTCTTTCGTAGTCATTTGGAGTGGATCATGACAAGTGGTAGAAAAACGGGCCTGATCTACATGTGCCGCGGAAGTTCTCCCCCGCCCGCCCGGCTATTGCCTACACACATCTATCTTACGACGTGGCCAAAGCAGACCACCCTGTGGCATCTCGCATGCCCAGTTCCGAATCGGCGCCCACGGACCGCCCTGCTCTTGTGGGAAATCCAGAGGATTGGGCCGAATTGTGCTGTGGCGCTGACGGGCCGAAGTCACTCCAAGACTATGTCGGCTCAGATCGACCCGTCACTGGCCTCCACATTGTCTCATTCAATGATGCCACCATTGTCACTCTGCACTGGCTTCACGCTGCGGCCGATGCTATGGCCCTGAAGGCAATCTTGGATAACTGGGCGTTGATCCTTCGAGGCCGGGAGGACGAAGTTGCCCTTCTGCATGGGTTTGACGAGGACCCTTTGCGCGAGCTGGGATGTCACCCAACAGAGCCTTACGAGCTGGCAGGCTCCGAGTTGTCAAAATTGGGTACCGCAGAGTACGTGTTGAGGAATGGCTACAATATCCTCATTGGGCAGAAAGAAAACCGGACAGTGTGCATTCCGGCCGCTTTCCTGGCCAAGCTTCGGGAAAAGTCACTGCAGGAGCTGAGGGACGCGGGCCATAAGAACCCGTTCCTAACTGACAACGACATTATCACAGCCTGGTTCTCGCGCCTCGCCTTTTCTCACTTGCCCTCTGACAAGCCCGTGACCATCATGCAGGCCATGTCTGCCCGGCGCGCGCTCGAGCAGGACCTCCTACCCCCGGACAGGCTCTACGTCTCCAACTGCCTGAGCTTCACGAGTGTGCTCAAAACCAAGAAGGAAGTCGACCAGTCCCTGGGTATTTTGGCTGGCGACATTCGACGCGGCATCAACAGGCACGGCACTCGCCAGCAGATCGAGGCTTTCCAGAGCATGGTCAGGGCTAACGAGTGGCCGCTGGGCCCGATGCCCATTTTCTTCGGCAAGCCAAACATGCACCACATTGGCTTCTCGAACTGGACCAAGGTCAAGACCTACTTGACTGATTTCTCGGCGGCAGCTGTGACGAAGCGGGATACGCCTCTGTTCCCGACGTTTGTCTCGCAGATCCAGACCGGCATCCCTTATCCTGATGGGTTCTTGATTACCGGGAAGGACTCTCATGGCAATTATTGGCTTGAGGGATACCGGCCTGATAGACTGTGGGCACATGTAGAAAAATTGCTGAAGGCGGGTATTTAATTTTGCGCGGCCGTGGCTCTGCTCACATACGCTTTCTTCCCGAAACCTTGCTTTGCTACAAGCAAGAACACCAGCAAAGACATCAACAGATCAGTTTCACTATCAACACATTCCCCACTTATTTCCTTAAGTAGGAGCAGATATAAATTTACAGGAACAGAACGGAATATACCGGGACAGATCAGAGCATAATATGGACGCAAATATGTAAGGGATGGAGGGGTGTGTTTTTCATCAAGCCTACCTCTGCATTTGAAGTGTTTGGTCTTTCTTCTTTTGTCTTCAGCAATTACTTGTTAGTTGCCACTAGGCACCTAAGCTTCTTCCCAAAGCAAGGAGAACAGTCCGAGGTATATCCAGGCAATACACATAGTACATAGTGCTACCTCAGCAAGCAGTCATATGCCCCTTGACTCATAAAAGAACATGACATGCCTGCAAAAAATCCAGTGCTGGTCTGTTGCCGAGACACTTTGGACACTTTATAACAGCTTAGTTCCAGCCCGCCCTTTGGCATGCTGCGCCACAGGACCCTTAACTCCTCTCCTCGCACTTGGATGCAGTCACCAGGCAGCATAAGAACATGGATGGACGGCTCTACGATTTTCTTGCCTTTTCTGTGAGACCCTCTTTTGAAGGTGGTAACGATTTGAGAATTTCTATCTACGTTGATGATCAAGTGCCTTCGCCATGCAAGGCGAAGAGCGCTATCAACAAGTGGGAGCATTTCTTCTCCGTGTCACCAGTAAACTGACGAGCACAGTGAAAAAAATTTGAAGCTCGCTTAGGAATGCAATATCAACCTTGGTGCAGGGATTTCGCTAATCCTCTCTGTAGATGTTCAAATGACCAAGATGCCCGCAGGCTGGAGAAGAAGAGAGGAAAGGGAAGGAAACAAGTCGGGGGGATGTCTGGTCTTATGTAGTTTTTGGAGGCGGGCGCGGACGGCTTTTCACCGCTTTCCAGGATTGGCCAAGAAAGGTCAAGTGTGGTGGTACCTAGGTACCTACCCTTGTCACAAGCGGCAGAATCTAGGCAGCCCAGAAAAAAGTTGGGGACCAGATGGGGACGATCGTCGCATTCCCTGACTTCAGCAAAGCTCCCAACCATCGCAGAAATGGAGGTGACTGAGGATGAGAAGTCTCGACAAGAGGCCCGCGACAAGAGTATGAATCTCATGGCCCCATTGCTCTTGTATACTTGCATTGCAGTCCGATTAACACCAGCCCAACACAGAGAAGATATTGAAGCGCAAAGAAGCCCAGCGCGCCGCGCGCAAGCTTGAGCGCAAGATAAAACGAGAGGGAAAGGCCGAGGCCAAGGCCGCCCGCAAGTCCAACGTCAAGCGCGCAGGGAAATGGACCGGTGAGCGCAAGGAGCTGGACAAGCTGAAGAAGGCCGCCAACAAGGCCGCGAAGCTCGAGAAAAAGAAGCGGCGCGAGGAGTCGAAGGCGGCAAAGCTGCAGCAGCAGGACGAGAAGCTACAGGCCGAGGCGGAGAGGGCCAGGGCCAGGCAGGCGCACCTGGCTGAGCTCCAGGAGCAGGAGAGCACGGTGATGGAAAAGCTAGATGAGGAGGCCGTCGAGGGGACCGGGGAGACGGACGACTACATCCCACTTGACGACGAAAAACCCCGCAAGAAGGATAAGAAGAGCAAAAAGTCGAAGACGGCACAGGACGAAGAGGCCATCGAGCACAAGCCAGCCAAGAAAGAGAAGAAGAACAAGAAGCAGAACCAAGAAGCCGAGACTGAAAACACTACGACCGAGATCAAGGAGGCTGAGAGGCCTTCAAAGAAGGACAAGAAGCGCAAGCGTGACGCCGACGCCGACGAGATTTCTGCGGATGCTCCGGCAGATACGGAATCACCAGCAAAGCAGAAGGCGAAAAAGGACAAGGAGGACAAGAAACAAAGGGCAGAGATCGAGACTGAGGCTGCGCCAGCGGATGAACCAGCCGATGAGCAACCTCCCGCCAAGAAGTCCAAGAAGTCTAAGAAGCGAGACCGAGAAGAGGAGGCCCCCGATGCCACGGCGGACGTCCCTGCCCCGGCCGCCGTCCCGGCCGACGAGGTGGAGCTGAAGAAAGCAAAGAAGGACAAGAAATCCAAGAAGGAGAAGAAGAAGGCAGCCGCGGAGTCTGGTGGCAAGGACAAGACTGGTCAGGACACAGCAGACAGCGAGAAGAAGCAGCCCGCGCAGGCCGAGAAAGCTGCGGCAGCGGCAGCGGCAGCCGAGGCCGCCAACTGGAACGTTGGTGAGCTTGAGGGCGGCGCATCCAGGCAGGCCAAGTTCCTGCGGCTCCTGGGCGGCAAGGGCGCCGGTGGTGCCGCTGCTGCGTCTGCTACATCCGGGGCGGCGCGGCCGCACTTCAACGTGAACCAAGTCACGGGGGACCTGGAGAAGCAGTTTGAGGCCGGGCGCAGGATGAAGCACGACATGGGCGGGCAGCGCAAGGGCCTGGGGGCATAAGCGCCGCGGCTGTCTGCGGCTGTCCGATCACCGCTAGCCGTCATGCGATATTACAGCAGAAGAGGGGAACCTCTGGCGTCCAAAAGCGGAAGTATCTCAGGGAGTAGCTGCAAAAGGGATACCACTTGCTGCGACTTTTGTAATTCTTGCTAAACCCGGCTTGTGACCCTCCTGCTTCAGGAGGCTGCCCAAAAGCCAACCATGCTGTAATAAAATGGGTAAAAAAGAATAAAAAGGAAATACTGTGAACTCCGTCCCGTGATACAATGCGCCTCTCTTGTTTATTGCCAGGCGCGCAAGTCATGTGCTAGTTTCTCGTGTGGGCCTAAACCACGCCTCTCTTTCTGCCTCGGATGCTGATGCTTTTCTGCACGGCGATCAGGCCATTCTCAAGACCGCGACTACCCATGATCCTTCGCGAATATGGCGCGTCGTGGTAGTCGTCGTTGTTTGCCCACTGCGGTGGTGGTCGTATCGATCCGCCCGTCTATCGTCCGCCGAAGAAGATGCGCGAGAGGACCTCGAATATTATTCCGCCAAAAACGACGAAGGCGAGGAGGCCTTAAGACACATTGCCGTTAGCACTTGTGTCTCCATCGGCAGGGAGTACTGGGGCGGGGTCTTTGGGGGATGGGGTGCGTCGCATACCGAGCCAGATGGGGGAGATGGGGGCCTTGGCCGTCTCCTTCTTGGTCATCTTCTTGATCTCCTCGGTGGACTTGCCCATCTTCGCCTCCTGCTCCTTGGCGAACTTGAGGTTCGCCCGTCGCTGCTGGGGTGTTTGCGCCTGTTGCGCCGGGTCAGCATGGGCGGTGGTCATGGTGGAGATCGAGAGGCGCAATGCGCGCATGCGTGGGACAGGGGCGCATGGTCTTACCATCGTGAGGTTGAGGTGTGAAGGAGGGGGGGATTGAGTGTCGAGCCGGTCGGGTCGAGTCGAGTCGAGTCGGGTTCAAGGATTACAAGTTTATAGTGGAAGGCGTGAATGAGTGGCAGGATGTCTGGGTACCTGGCAGGGCTGAGGCAAGAGAAGATCAATCGGGTCGAAGGGGACTCGGTTGGTATATGTAATGCAATGTTGAAGTAATGAATGGGGACAGATTTCAGGGACCCTAGGACGACCACATCTCCATATTGAATTTCCGGGAGACGTGTCGTCCAAGAGCTACCCCTGCCCGCAGCCCGCCCTTGCAGTGGCAGCTGGTAATCCAAGTCCGTAGTCTACCTGTTAGCCGTTAGCTGTTCGGTTGATTGCGGGGGCGCTAATCAGTGGGGACTCACCTTTCGACCAGAGCTAGAATTGGATGGAGCTTTTTACATTCCACATGGCAGCGAGGGTTTGGCTCCCAGGGTTCTACTCTATCACTGGCCCCAGCTGAGATCATCTCAAAGACCTTTCACGACATAGTTCTTTCCCGTACATCAAGATGAGCTCGAGGGTAATACTGTCAATGGCCAGCCGTCAGGCTCGGCTCTCGTCCCCGGTAAAGGCGTTCAAGGCCCCCATCCAGCGACGATTCGCCTCGTCTGAGCCGCAGCAGCCTTCACCCCTCGTAAGACCCTCGTCGTCCTTTTCTGAGTCACCCTGCTGCCTGCCTGCCTGTTGCACACTGACACGTCTCCTCTCCTAGTCCCAGTTTTACAAGGACTTCACCAGACCCGTCGCGAAGGTTCTACTCATGGCCATGTTCACCTACCAGTTGGCCTACTGGGGCTGGGTCAAGCTGGAGCAGGATGAGATCAGGGCCGAGCGTGAAGGTGTGTTTGCTACCTCTTGATCTTGCTTAAAACGTGTTCTCTGACTGGTCAGAGTAGGAGAGGTTGCGAGGCTCGAAGCCCAGGTCGCCAAGTTGACACATAAGTCTTCGGCCTGAGCCACCGCGTTGACGGCTTTTGGTCACGAGTTGACCACGTCTACGGGTCTGCTGCAGGAGGGTGGGAAGGTCCCATGCCATCAGACGCTCTGAAAGGAGCCGAATCGCTTGCCCGTTCGACTTTCTCTGTGACTCCTAGCGCCCAGCAACCCAGAACGCGGCCTGTTTTCCCGCGATTTGTCCAGCATGACGAGGGACGTCGTACGGAACTCGTCCCAGGCCAAAAGGAGTTTCAAAAAACCTGGGGCTCTATTATCTGCTCTGGGATCCTCCAAAATAGGGTGCCGCTCTCCCAAGGAGAGGGAAGGCGACCCTGTGGATGAGCCATTATGTCTTCGGCGGTATCAATCTGCGGCCTTCGGTTTTGAAGTCACACACAAATCCGACATCATCCACACGCTCGGCTCCGCCATGCACTCACATGATGATGCGAAGGTCAGACTCTTTGCTCTCGAGGTGAAGAGAACGGCTTGGACTTGCAGATATTAATCGGACCTATCCAATATTACTGTGAGGTCCATGTCCTCATGACATGGATAAGATCGTCAGAGTATGTTCACCGCTGCTACTTGACTCTCCAAGTGCAAGACCGTGCTGGTGAAGAACACCTAATATAACTCCTCATATTATTTTATAGCCCTCTCAATCAACACGTGCAGGACCCTACTACTCGGTTTTCAAACCTCTCGAGCGGCTGTAGTACCAGTTTTTGACCGCGCAGAGCGCCAAGCCAGAAGGGTGACTATTCAACGCTGATCCGAAGCGTAGATGCATGGCCACAGCAGCCATAAGCACTAGCCACCTAGGCCGTGTCCAGCTACGAACAAGTACGGGATCGCAATGGCGGGAGCGTCACAATCCTGCGGCGCCGATCCGATAATTTTACGACCACCGCAGGCCAGGAGAAGAATGATAGGCCCCTCGGGCCTGGCTAAAGACGCGCCGGATAATGAGAGCCTGGCTCTCGCCTTCGTGTCTAGCCAGGTTCAGACACCTCAGCTGGTGTCCCTGACTTCGATCGTTGCCTTCGAGGGCCTAACGATCAAAATCCTGGGCGCCTCGTAATTCTCCGTGTGTGCTATATGATTTAAATACGGACAGCTGCAGCCATGGGTGCGGCAGCTGAGAGTTACGAGACTATCCCAAGTCCACAAGCTCACCATGACGCCCTATCTGCTGTGGCCGCTTGGTGCTGCGGTCTTGTTCTACATCCTAAGATTGTTCTTCATCCCCAAGCCCCTTCCTGGAATCCCATACAACCGGCTCTCCTATCTGTTGCCATGGGGCGACCTCTTGAGCTTTGGGATCTCCTTCTTCGTCCGTGGTGAAGTTTTCGCGTGGTTCAACGCCCAGTCCCATCATCACCGCAGCCCCATCTTCCAGGCCTTCATCCCCTCCTTCAGCACATCCTTCCCCGTGCTCGTGGTGACGGACCCGGTAGAGGTGAGAGAGATCGTGACACGCAGGCTCAGGAGTATCGACCGGTCGAGGCTGATGGGCCTGTGGTTCGGGCTGCTGGCCCCTGGCGCGAGTATCGGGATGCCCTCTGGGGCCAGCTTCAGGGCTCTGAGGTGGGCTTGGAACTCAATGCTGAGCACTGTGTTCCTTGGGATCGTGGGTGGACCGAGGATCCGAGACGCAGCCTTGGATCTGGTCGAGCTCTGGACCTTGAAGGGTGGCACAGAGCAAGGCTCGCCCTTTGAAGCATGCGCGGATCTGAGGTTGGCGACGCTCGAGGCGGTGGTGGGTTTGCTGCTCGGAAAGGATCTCGGCATGCTTGGTGTCGAGAGTGCCGAGTTCGAGGGTGCAGAGGACCGGAAGAAACTTTGGCCCTGGGAAAGGAGTGGACGAGAGGCCCAGCCGAGGCGCTTCTACCGAGACTTCAGTCTTTGTCTCGTGTGCCTGGACTGGGTCACGCAGGGCATTTCGCCAACGGTGTACTTGTGGGTGTTCAGGCAACTCTTCTGGCCGTTCCAAAAGGCACAGAAACACGTCGAGGCCTGCCTACAGCGCGTCATCGACGACGCGCGCCAGGTGTCAGCGGGCAGGGAGAAAGCCGCTTACGACTCGCACAGCGCGTTGGAGCTGGTCCTCGACAGAGCTGCCTCAAGACCACAAGCCCGAGATGCCATGTCAGACGCTGCGCTGAGGAGCGAGCTCATCGAGCTGCTTATCACAGGCCACGAAACGACAGCCTCGTCCATCGGATGGGCGCTGAAGTACCTCGCTGACGACCAGGCTGTCCAGGGGAGACTCCATCAAGAGCTGCTGCGATTTCTGCCGGGGTCAGGTACTGTGCCGACCAGCGAGCAGATTATGACAACCCGCCTTCCTTATCTCGATGCCTTCATTGCAGAAACACTGCGATACTCGTGTACCGGGCCCATTTCTTTCCGCGAAGCCGTACAGGATTGTACCATCCTCGGTCACCGCATCCCAAGCGGGACGCCCATCATTCTCATGACGCAGGATGTCACTCATCAAGAAGCGACGCACCCGGGACGCGAATCAAGGCCAGCAGGGAGTCATCCAGCGAGCCCCGGCCGGCCGGGCCTGGGCAACGCCGAGCCTCCGCTGAACGAGTTCCACCCCAGACGCTGGCTCAGCCCCGACGGCGAGTTTGACCCGAACGATGCGTCATCGCTGAGTTTTTCAGGGGGTGCAAGGGGCTGCTTTGGCCAGAGGATAGCGATGCTGGAGATGAGAATATTCCTCGCGGTCCTGGTGTGGAACTTCCGCTTTGCGAAGCTGAGCGCAGGGCTGAGCCGCTATGGCTCGCTGGACGGCCTCACGAGAAAGCCGAGCTGCTGTTTCGTCCTGCCTGTCCCACGGCGAAGTCGGCCGGCGGAGGGAGCAAAGGTGGGCAGGCCGCGTCTGCCGCCTCTCTGCGAGGAATGTGCAAGGTGAAACTTCGGGAACAGGTAGAGAGAAAATGCCACTCGGCGAAGTGAGCAGTCACTCTGTTTGACGGGTGCCTAAAAGACTGCCCAGCTCAGAAATGCACTCGGCTCCAGTCCTAATGCAACATTATTGAAACCTCAGGACCATAGGCCGCGAATCCTGCCGGACCATGCCGAATTCGATAGGTCGTCGTCCTCACGATCCATTGTATCGCTTGGCACTTGTAGGACAATACATCATCTCGTTCTACGCATCTGCCGGCGAAACTTGTGAGAACAATACCGTTAAGCAATCCGAAAATTCCAAGAAGCTATGGCTTACCTACCTGTAGATGACTCGGCTGCGGCTTGAAACAGAAATCCGGCGGCAGTCATGACCGTGCTGAATGTTCTGCGGGGCCCTTCGCTCGCATTCGGGTCTTTGCCGACGACCAGGGCAAACTGACACCTGTCAGGGCTTCTCCGTTCGTCCCATCACCACCTTGCACATGAATGGCGCCAACGCCGAGGACATGTCCAGGCCGCGGGTGCATGATCAGGAGTACAATGGGGCCACGCCGGGAATTACAGAGAGGAAATCAGTGGAGCCGGTCGAGGCTTGAAAAAATTGGACACCGCTGCGCATTTCATGGCATAAGCTGGTCCGCCATGCAACCCGACGGATGCAGGACTAATAAAGTGCACAAACTTAAGCTCGACCCTGACACATCCTCACCGCGCAGGATCGGCGGCAGGATTTCCTTTGAACTCCTACAGGAGAATGGGAGCGAGCTTGCTGATTTCGGAACCTTGGCGGGACCCCCGGCGGAGACTGTCCGAAAGACAGGAACGGCGCGGAGAAGTCGGGCCCACGACAAGCTTTGAGATGGAACTCCCACGGCTGGGAGGGAAGGAAGACTCCTGGCATGGCGGCCACGTCGACGCGACTCGGTGATGAGCTGTGTGGTGGGTTTTGTGCGCGGGAACAACCCTGGACCACAGGTGACCGTCATGCCGGGAGCTCCCTCGGCATTGGCTCCCAGCCGCGATCTTCGTCCCGGCGCCGAAGGGGAACATGCCTTGAACCCGGCTTCACCGGTCATAGCTTGGATAAATGCTTAATCCATTTAAGGGACCACACGTGGGGAGCACAGATGTTTGATGTTACGAGGCAGAAATGTCGCAACTGCCCGAGTCGGCAAGTGGGCGGCGATGAGCAGCGTGGCGGGAGGAGGAGAATGGGCCATTTTTTTCCTCTTTCGCGCTCAAAGGGGCCATTAAGTTGATGCTAAGCTTTTTGGACCCAGTTTGTCAGGAACCTCGTATCTTGTGGGGAGAGTTCGTTCCAGATCCTTGGCATTTCTATTCCCGCCCTCAACAGTTGCGAGTCAAGAGCCATCCATCCATCCCAGCTCGTCCTGTGGTGATGGACGGTTGCCCCTTGGGGACTTGGCAATTTCGGCCATACCTTTCGGGTATAGGGCTGGCAGATTCTGTTGTGGGAAGATATACATCCATATACATACACATATATACATGTAGCACCATACAATGAATGCCCTCGCTGTGTGGAGTGAGAATTCCGCACGTCCTTCGTTTTCTTCCCGTCACTCGTTAGACCTGCTTGTCAACACCCATCCGCCATGTTGTTCACAAAGTGGCTGTCCAAGTCCATCCTGGCCCAGGCTGTGACTTCTCTTATGGAGACGAGCCGGGCCATTCCCTTTAACGACCTATATCGTCAACTCCCTCACACACGGCACACCCACCCTCGGGACTTACACGTCAGAGATGAGGTAACCGCCGCGACCTGTACCAACCCTGAACAACGACGAGAATGGCGCTCGTTGAGCACGGCGGAGCAAGAAGAGTACATCTCGGCCGTGAAGTGCCTGGCCACAAAACCTTCGAGGCTGAACTTGACCACAACACTCTACGATGACTTTCCCTACGTACACAACGAGCTGAACAGCAACAGTCAGTGAAAATGAATTCCTCAAGGCCCGCCCACCATCCCTCAGAGCACCCTCACTGACAACCCCCAAATTACAGTCCACTTCGTAGCCTCCTTCCTCCCCTGGCACAGGTGGTTCCTCCACATCTACGAGCAGGCCCTCCAGTCCGACTGCGGCCTCTCCTTCCCCATGCCCTACTGGGACTGGAGCCTCGACGCGGGCCACCTCCCCGACTCCCCCCTCCTCTCCGGGTCCGCAACCACGGGCTTCGGCGGCACGGGGCCGGGGGGCTTCGTCCCGCCCTCCCGGCCCAACCCGCTGACCTCGTGCGTCCCCGACGGCGCCTTCGCCGACCTGACGGTGGCGTACTACTCGGGCGCGGCGCGCGCGCACTGCCTGAACCGGGGCTTCGCAGACGGCGCGGGCGACCAGGACCACCCCGAGCGCGGGGCAAACATGTCGGCCTACTACTACACGCCTTCCTTCCTGGCCGACATGACCGAGTCCAACACGGGGTTCGCGCCGTTCTGGCGCGCCCTCGAGGACGGGCCCCACGGCGCGATCCATATCGCCATCGGCGGGGACATGATCCCGGGGACATCGCCCAACGACCCGCTCTTCTTCATGCACCACGCCCAGGTCGACAGGCTTTGGTGGCTCTGGCAGCAGGCGGACCCGGCGGCGCGCGCTGTCGACTTCGGGGGTAATAGGGACCCCGTCGCGGACCCGGCGGGGGCGGACAAGGCGGAGCAGGCCACCCTGGCTGACTCGCTGGCATTCCTCGGGCTCGGGGACGACGTCACTGTCGACGCGGTCATGACGACCGAGAATAGCCTGTTGTGTTATGCATACGAGTGAAGAAGCATGTGCATGCAGAAACGTTCATAGCGATATGTCTTTTTTTTTTTTTTCCCCTTCTTCTTTCTCTCGATAGATATCGCACCACGGCTTTGTAACGCCCGCTGGTTCTTATTAGATACCCAAATGATTTACAAACCAACCAACCAAAGCTGGGAAAACAAAGTCCTCAGAACGCCGTTTGCTTGTCGCAAGTCTTTCAGATGCTGCCATCCCGTCTCTGTTGGATTCCTGATAGTATTCAGCGGTGCTGCGAAAATATGTTGCCACTACAGGGCAAAGGCCTCCAGTATAATTCAAATGGTTATCCACCTATTCATCACTACCCAAGACTAGTCTGCAGGCCGGTCCACCACAAACCATGCTCAGTCACTCTACCAGACCGCCGCTGTGGCAGACAGGAAGAGCGCCGACGCCAGAAGCCACGGCACAGCCAGGCCCGGCGCCGCGTCGTAGAAGTGGAATGACCCAGGGTAGTTGCACGTGATGTTGCCCTGGTCGTTAAGGGCGCTCCTGACGCCGTAGCTGGTGTTGAAGCCCGTCATCCACGGGCGCGGGCACGCGAAGCCGAGGGCGGCCGGGCAGCTCTGCACCAGCTCGTAGCACAGCTCCTCGCACGGGAGCACCTCCTTGTACGGGCCCGGTTTGATCGTCTCGTCGATGATGGGGTTGCGGCTGCGCTGGAAGCTGAGCTGGCTCTGCTGGGAGCCCTCGTAGGGGGCGAGGAGCTCCGGCGCCGGGCGCGAGCCGTCCGGGAGCGTCTCGTTAATCGCCCGCGGCTGCAGCCAGGGGTCCGTCGCCGAGAAGTCCTCGCACCGCGGGATCGTCACCGAGCACAGCCAGTTCTTGTACGCCGACGCGCACGTCGTGCAGTTGCGCACCAGCGAGTACTGCTGCTGGTCCGGCGCCTCGCACGGGATCTGCTGCAGCGACTTGTTGAAGCCGTCCCAGAGCGCCTGCGCGGACAGGTCATAGAATTGGCCCAGCAGCGTGGTATTGGGGAAGGTGACGTTGTTGCTGGGCACGGCGTAGGCGACCTGGTCGCAGAAGGTGAGGTTGAAGACGAGTGCACAGTTGCCGCCGGCTGTGGAAGTCGTCAGCATGTGGTGGACCCGCGATATATGATTGAAAATTCAGAGCTAGACCTACTCGACTTGGTTTCGAAGGTGGTGGCTCGCAAGACATGGCCACCACCTCCTGGAACGTTGACGTCGGCCGTGGCGTTTGCGTTCCTTGCCAGAATTCCCTGGTACTTGGAGCTGGCATTCAGGCCACTAAAGTAGAACTGCTGCTTGGGGTGTCCGCCTGCGCCTCGCCTCGTTATGCCCGTGGTTATCTGAGTTGTTTCCTTGCCGTTTCTAACAGCAGCAATCTGGGCATAGTTGTCCAAGCCACAGTACGAGTACCTCATGCCGTTGATAGAAGGGACGGCATCGTTCTGTGCGAACATGACATATGGCCTCGAGTCCATGAGCCGTTGCTCTGTGTCCTTGTCCCGAGTGGTGGTCAGGTTTTGTGTCATGAGGAGTACCGAAGTCGTGTCGCTGTCCACCCAGAAGAGCTCGTCACTCATGGACTCGTTGTAGCTGTGGTACCACATGTCGATTGACGCAGCGATTTGGAAGTTGTATATCCCCGAGAAGTCTTCCGACACATTGCTCGCAGAGACGCCCATGTAGAGATCATCCGAGGCGGTGAAGTTGAACATGACCGCACCCTCTTTGAACGGCACGACCTCCTGCTTGCTCGCATCAGCCGACGGTCCTGGGGAGGTGTTGTCTGTCGAGTTGGACACGTAGAGCGTCAGCTGTGGGGGCTCCGATGCTGTCGTCGAATTCCCCGTGGGCTGCAAACATGTGTTTGCCGAAATATACACCATCGTGCCAGTAGCTCGCTTGGATAGCTGGTCTGGTTCGTCCAAGTCTGCGAAGACATCCACTTCTTCCTCTTCGGACGTCCCGGCCTCTCCCCGCAGCTCTAACGAGGCGGCATCCTGCCTGCTCGACAGCTGCGAGCTTGGGAAAGTATACACCAGCGTGTCGCCGGCATTGAGGTTCATCTGGTTGGGGACGTTGTTCGACAAAGACAGTGTATCCCTTTTCGTCACCTCCCCAAGTATACTCCGGTCGAAGGCATCGAACTCTGGCTCGTACAAGAGATCTCTCGTCTCTAACTCTGCATCTGCAAAGCCGGCCGAGCCGTCCAGTATTATCGGCGAGCCATGGCTGATTTCCTCAGCGAAGGCGAATTGTGGTGGGAAAAGGGTGAAGTATATGATGATCAGGACAACCGTGGCGATGGCTGACGCGGCAAATCGTGACTGCAGCGGAGAGAGCTGCATGGTGAGGACATGCCCTCACGGGGCTGTCGATTCCTCGGATCGTATGCGTCCGTCCTGCAGATGCCAGCGTCCGAGCAGCGAGTTCGTATGGGAGGGGCGAGGCTATTTGCATGTGACGGGGTGTCGTGGCCGTCGACTTTGGGCTCGACTGGGTTGTGGTGGCGTGGATAGGTCTAGGTTTTGCTGTCGTCGAAGGAATACTCGGAGTCCAAGTTTCTCAATCTTTTCGTTAACGAACAAAGTAGACAAAGACAATGAGCTGGGTGCAGGAAAACAGGGGCCGGAGAGGGCATTGGTTTCGTGGTTGTCAGGTTTCACTGCTTGGGATCTCCGACACCCAGAGGTGAGCTGAGCCGCTGGATCGGACCGCGACCCTGGCAGGTCCCCAGTACGGATTCCCAATAGTGCCTTGACCTGATTTGGAGGTCTCGAGTACTTCATCCACTGTACGCCCACAAAGGTGGATCTTCCCGCTCAGGATCTACAACTAAGAGCAACTTCGGATTCCAATCATGGAAGACAGTGTTACTATGTGCAGTTACTGGACATACCCTGAAGCTGACAGAGTCCCAATTCAGATGTGTACTGCGGGTCTGCTGCCAAATGTATCCGTCACTTTGACCAACAATAGCATCCTCGGCTGGCTAGCTGCAGCAACAATCTAACCCCAAATGCCGGATGTAACGGCTGCTACGAAGAAAGACAATTGACCGCACATTCATGAGCTGTGTGTACCGTCCGTCCTAGTACGCGTGAAAAAGTCAAACATGAACCATCATTTGTTCTAAACGCCTCGTTCAAAGAGACGAAATGTCCCCCCTTGGCCTCCTCATCCCACCAGCTAACAGTACAACGCCGCCATCCCATCTATTCATATTCCGATGCGCCAATCGCCTGCCCCGGCTTGGCCGGCGATATTGAAGGGCACAAAGGTTTCATCCTCGCACTGTCACTGCCGAGCAAATGTTCACCCGTAGCTTCAAGGGCCACGCGCGCCCTCGATTGGTCGACAGATCCTGTGGTGCAAGTCGCTTACTCGGTCTTGTCGGCCTGAGCACGCAGGCCAGGGGCGGTAGAGCCGCCGAAGTACCGGCCAAGCGTGGGAGCCAGGAAGGAGCGGAAGACGATTTCGGCACCCCTATCGCACTGTTAGACGGGATCTCGGGGGCGTTGTCCGGGATTAGGGAGTACTGGACATACCTGAAGGTGGGCAGAGCGAGCCACAGCAGGAAAACGAACTTGAAGGTGTAGTAGAAGGGGAACCAGTAGACGACGCTAAGCAGGCTCTCCAGGACGCTGCGCACGATTATTAGCAAGGGCGATCTATTTTGGAGCGCGGAGGCATTGGAACTTACGTGAAGAAGGAGAAGACAACCCAGTACTGCGAAAGATAAGGACGTGATTAGCGCATAGGTCGATCCAGGCGGACCAGATGGGGGTCTTCGACGTCCGACTTACGGTCAACCACTGGGTGTCGTCAGATTGGCTAGCAGTGAAGAGGGCATTGAGCGAGTAGTATCCGGGAATGGCAAAGCCGGCCAGGTTGGTCAGGAGCTGACCGCCGAGGTTGAAGACGATGAAGAAGAAGTACAAGGTGATGACGCCAATGACGGTGTACGTCTTGGGGACATTGGTCTGCTTCTCGAGGTTCTGCAGGGTAGGATACTTGGACAGCTGCGATGTGTCAATCAGTTGATGCGACGGTGACCATGTATCTGGCGCGAGGACACAAGGGATTCAGAAGCCAGAGGCCAGATGCAGCTCGGAGCCGACGGGCGGGCCGCCCTCGTGACCAATGTCTTTGTACATACCTCCTTGTCGAGCTGGCCAAGGTAGTGCTGGACCTTGTCTTGGGAAGAAGCCATTGTTGCTGCTGGCGGTGTTGGGCTTTATGGAGGAGCTAAATGAGGTTGTTGTCGGTGTCTGGAGTGTCTTTTAGGATTGAAATCTGTGTAGAGAGAGTACAGCTGGTCAGAATGTTGCGCTGGCACAAAGTTGGAGCGACAAAGAGGAAGCTGATTGCGGGGCCAAGGGGCTCAAGCTTCGGAGCCCCGGAGAAATGGGCCTAGCACAGGCTTCGCTGCTGCTTGCAGCTGGGATGGCTGGCTCAGACTGACTTGTAAAGGGCGGTGCAGAGGTTCTTTGGGTCAGAGGAGCAGGCCGCTGTTGGATGGATTCAGACGGTGATGATGCTATGGAAAGGTGAAGGAAGAGCGTATGTGTCCAAGAGAGGAAGGCTTCACTTTAGACTACATACAGCAGGAATGCAAGACAGCAGCAGGTTGGTCGGGTTCGATGGTGCAGGTGGTCCAGCCCTGGAGGGAGCTTGATTTTAGTGCCTTCGATGACGACTTACCTCTGACGACACTGCTGACATGTGTGAGCACTGAGCAGAGAGCAGACAGGCCAGACAGGTGGCAGGGAGGGCTGTCACAGGTTGACCCGAACTCCTCCCCCAACCCCGGCCGGGCTTGCCTGCCTGCCTCAGGCACAAACATGCCCCGAGGCCCCGCAGTGAAACCGACCTTTCCTCTTTCATTCGCTGGTGCTGGCCTTTGTTATCAAGCCATACCCCGGGCGGCCCCAGCGTGCCCAGCCACCTGCAGATCCGACTCTGGTTCATCAAGGTCTCCCAGCCAACAACCCCCAAAATAACAATTCCCACTTCCAGACCAGAGCAGCAACAAGAGAAACACCCCGTCTGCTCGCCCGTTGTATCACCGTGTCTGCCACTCGGTCAATCACTCTGCATATACAACTCACCTTGTCTCCACTCATTCATCATCTCTATCTCCCCTGCTCCGTCAGTTTTGTTTGCTCATAGGCCCCTCTCCAGAGATCCAGTCCCGAAGATCCAGACGTCCAGAGAGCGAGCGACTCGGCATCCAAATACACACATTCTAACCCACACAGGCTCCATGGCCTCAATAGCAGGTAACATTGTGCCCCCTCCTCCTCCTCTATTGTTGCAGCCGCATGCCACGAAACCTTCCCCGTCTCCTGTCTCCAGGCTTGTCTTTGTTGTACCCGTTGCTGACTGCGTCGACACGCAGAAGCGTATTCGCGCTTCTCAGCTTCCAGGCGGCCGAGCGAAGGATCAACAACATCGGCGCGCAGCGCAACCACCCAGCCAAACAATGTCGACCCGGGCCGCCAAGACCCAGACGACCAATTCGCCGCCCAGTGGCTCGCGCAGCAGCAACAACAACAACAGCAGCAGCAGCAGCAACAACAGAACAGCCAGCTCAGGCAGATCGCACCTGCGCCGCGGCCTCCCTCTCCCGAGTATGTACTGGCCGCCAGCTCTCTTCCGGTCCAGCCCGCCCGCGATTACTCGGTAGAGCCTGCGATGCACAATGGCATGGGCTCTCAATTTCGCTTCCAGCCTCAACCCCAAATGGTCCGACAGTCCCTCCCCGTCGACACGTTCATGCCCGGCAACGGTCACCCCGGCCACCCCGGCCTCGCGAACCAGATGATGGATCGCAACGACAGCCCAGCCCCAGACTCGGGACTCGAGATGGGCACTGCACCCAACAGGGCGAGGTCAAACACGAACAACGACCAGGAGATGCGCGAGCTGTTCACAAGGAATAGCCACCGGTCGTTGCAGGATGTGGCCACGGAGCTGCATGGAAACGAGCGCGGCCCAAGCAGCGAGCGAAGCCGACAACTGTTCGCCATGCTCTGGTAAGGCTACCGGATATGCCCTCGTTTGAAGTCGCCAGGCTGACAAGAAATGTGTAGGATCAAGTCATCCTGTCGAAAAGGCAAGACCTCGGTGCCTCGCAGTCGCGTGTATGCTAGTTATGTCAAGCGATGCGCGCATGAGAAGATCGCTGTCCTCAACCCTGCCAGCTTCGGCAAACTTGTTAGAGTATTGTATCCGGGACTCAGGACGCGGCGTCTTGGGGTGCGCGGGGAGTCCAAGTATCACTATGTTGATTTCGAGTTGATCGATGAAGACATCGATCTTGACGAAATGCCGAGCCAGGCACCCGCTTCGGTCACATCAGGGCCAAGTTTTGCTGAGAGCATGAGGATGAAGTGAGTTTTCCACCTCCACAACAGAGACTGCCCCGTCTAATTTGGCCACAGCAACACGACGCGGCCCTCAACAGCTGTAGAAGTCGAAAAGCCCTCACTCTCTCCGGTTGAGGACGGCCCTGTCGACAGTCTCAAGATCGAAGCTCCTAGAGGCGGCGGGTCCCATGAGCACAAGCATGCTATATATAACCACCCACAGGTCCAGACAACGGCGGAGCTGGGCGGAACCGGAAGCAGAACCTCCAAGCTCCTCTCCCTGCGGCTAGAAGACACATCCCAAACACCAACACGTCTGACCCTGCCCGCGATTGAGCCATACCTTCCTCAAGGCACCGACATCGACGCTGCGAAATCCCTGGAAGCGCTCTATTTGTCACATTGCACTTCTCTGATTGAGTGCATACGGTTTTGCAAGGAGAAGAATTTCTTCCACCTCTTCACCGCGTTCCATGGAACGTTGACGGTGCCGGTGCAGAAGCTGCTGGCTAATCCCGCCCTGGAGACATGGATTGAGCAGTGCGATCTTCGCATGTACCAAAACATGATGCAGATAGTTTCTGTCGTGGCCCTTCAGGTCATCCCACCGTACGGCCTGCAGAGTCTGCGAAACATCTCGGAGAAGCTGGTGTCTCACATTCGGCGATCCTTCGAGGGCCAGCCCTACCATATCTTCAGGGCCAAGGAGGCGCCCGCCGCTCTTTTTGCTGATCTGCTGGACCGGGCGTTGAGGGTCAACACGACTGCTCACGCCACCGCCAACTTCCTGCACAACCACGCAAACCGCACACAGATGTATCTCGACTTTATTACATTTGTCCGACCTAGGAAGATCGCACAATGCGTGCCCGTGGAAGGCATGGAGGATGTTGTGCAGTTACTTGTCTCGGACATCAGGCAGTTGCTCGACCCCAGGGATGTCCCGTTGGAACTCGAGCAATGCACCGTGCAAGGAGACTATCACCGCCAGAACCCGAAGCCCGAGGAACCCGAGAGCCAGGACTGGACAAATTCCGCAAACATCCTCGACCGCTGGGTGGACTTCCTCCGGACCCTTTCAAGTCGATTCCCATATGCCTCGGCTGCGGATATCGTGCTTTTTGTCCAGACCATCGGCACGACCATGGTGCGAGACCTGACAATCAGCAGCGCCGACAGCTTTGGGGCGTGGTGGTGCCTGAAGTGCTTCCTGGACGAGATGGTTTGGTTCCTGGCCGAAAAGGGCGGGTTCATGAAGCAAAACAGCACGCGGGCCGTCGGACCAACGAAGAGGAAGCAGGATGAGGAGCCCGCCGGGGGCGAGAAGCGCAAGAGCATGCGGTACAGCACCGGCAGCGCCAGTGATGACCCGATACTGGCGCTGATGGAGAGCGCGCAACCAGTCTTGGGTGGCGGCGGCCCAAACGGTGACCACCAGGCTGTCCTCGACATGAGCGCGGCCAATTACGATGATAGCGGCATCTCATTGCGGATGTCGGGCGAGGACTCGCCCATGAGCAAGTTCACCTCTCACTTGGACAGCCAGAGGCTGCACGACGGGATCCAGAACACTACGAACGGCCTGAGTTGACACGTGGGTAATATACAGTGCGAGTAGTTTGATGTTTTGCCTATAGCTATTTCTCTTCCTTTTCTTTGATCTCTCCGTACAGAGAGCCTTTTGGTGGGCGGGGCTTCTCCCGAGGAAGGGATATCCATAGGGTCCTTTTCAGGCGTTTCGGGAACCGGGGACTTTGTCATGCTTGACGACGTGTACGACTACACGATGATATATCCACAAGGGGGGCGAGGAGGGGCTTCTCCCAGGTCTGGTGGGTCGGCTGGTCAGTGGGTTGCAGGTCCCGTGTATGAGTTTGGCATATCGGTCTCCGGAAAATGGGCTCTCGGATGACTCCATATTTGGGCATGTAGGGTACGTGCGGTTGCTTTGTGGCTTTGCGGCGAGCGTGGTAAAGTTGATACTGCTTTCAACCGAGTTAATGTATTGAGGGCCGTTGGCCTGCGTTGACTACACAGATGAACTAAATGGAGAGGACATGGCCGAGACTCGCAGGCAGGTTGAGGGAGAATACACTCCGCGCCATTGCTTGCAATTGAGCCATGATTTGCAGTTCGATATGATGGATGGCAAGCAAAGTAAACAGCCCAAGAGTCACAGCATCTTACCTCATTCCGTGCACTTGATAAACGAGTGGAATTTAGGGCTTATCTAGTGGTCTACCTAGTAGTTTTCAGCGTCGGCAACATGAGGCGCAAAGCATGTGATATTGGGGCCCGTCGTTACTTAGTAAGCCCTGTCTGTGTCTTGAAACACGACGGGCCTGCGCCAAGCCAAGTCACGATGGCGGGGGGCAACGGGTCGATTCTGGTCTTCTAGTGCCCATTCCAGGCCCCAAGGGTCCAGTCCAGTCTGTTTCTCTCGGTGACAAAGGCAAAGCTGTGGTTTCATCAACCATCGAGGTCCTCTCAAACCTGCTACTTATCCTGGTGCTCGATATTTATCACGAGATCCGTCTCCGAGCTGAGCATCAGAGTGTCTCGGGCCGTCCCCCGAGGAACAAACTTTCCCTTCCGACGATCACAACCGGGCATTTCAGGCACAGCAGCCACAACAGGCGGGCCAAGATTCCGCCCGAGTCAAACTGACCGCCGAGGTTCCGTCCCGTCATCAACCTCTCATTCTCATTTCTCAACTGCTCTGCCGTGCATGCGTCTGCATCTACATCCTTTCTTACCAATTGAGATCTACCGATGATCTAAGGCCGTTTCTCACCAGACTTATATTTATTTAATTTTGTATACCAGCACAGCGCCAAACATCATCAACATGGTTAAAGAGATAGAAGGGAAGTTCAACGTCGGGGACACAAGCCTCTACACGAAGACGTGGCTCGTGAGTAACACACATTCCTCCCACCTGTCAACCCATCAACATGTCAAACCCTTTCACCCGTCCGTCCGTCCCGCTGCCCCGACTGCTGGTCACCCTCCCTACTTTCCGCTCGCCTCACCCGCTGCCGTGTCTCACACGACCTTCACACCCTCACACATGCACTCACATGCACTCACATGCACTCACACACATATGCACGCACCCGAGTGGCCCCTCATGCTAACACGTCCCCCGCCACCCCCTCCAGCCCGACGACCCCATCACAAACACCAAGGCCAAGCTCGTCTTCGTGCACGGCTTCAGCGACCACGTGGGCCGGTACTACGGCTTCTTCCCGCACCTCGCGCGTTCCGGGATAGCCGTGTACGCCTTCGACCAGCGCGGGTGGGGCCAGAGCGTGAGCCGCCCCGCGGACCGCGGCCACTCGGGCCCGACGGCGACGGTGCTGTCGGACATCGCGGCCTTCATCAAGGGGTCCGCCCTCCCCGCCGAGCCCACGGGGGCGCCCCTGTTCGTCATGGGCCACTCCATGGGCGGCGGCGAGGTCCTCGCCCTGGCGAGCACGCCCGAGTACGAGGAGGGCATCGTCTCGCGCGTGAGGGGGTGGGTCCTCGAGGCGCCCTTCATCGACTTCCCGCCCGCGGCGAGGCCGGGGGCCCTGAAAGTGTTCGCGGGCAGGCTGGCGGGGCGGGTCCTCCCGCGCGTGAAGCTGGCCAACCCGATCCCGCCCGAGGACCTGACGCGCGACCCGGCCGTGGTGCAGTCGCTGCGGGACGACGACCTGTGCCACGACACGGGGACGCTCGAGGGCCTGGCGGCGCTGCTGGACCGCACGGCCGAGCTGGCCGCCGGAAGGTACCGGCTCAGCCCCCGGGTGCGGAGCCTGTGGCTCGGCCACGGGGACATGGACAAGGCGACGTGCTTTGACGCCTCGAGGGCGTGGTTTGACCGCCAGGGGCAGATCCCCGACCGGGAGTTCAAGAAGTATGAGGGGGCTTATCACCAGCTGCATGCTGACACCGGCCGGGAGGAGTTCTACGCCGACGTCGAGAGATGGATCCTCGCGAGGTGCGGCGATGAGCCCGCCGAGGCGGCGGCCGAGGACGCGGCGCAGGATGGGGGTGCTGCTCCCAAGGAGTCTGAGGCCGCGCAGGCTCAGGGTGGGGGTGACAAGGTCGGGTCCAAGCTTTGATGCTTGGGCGAGTACCGCCCTGGCGCGCAGATGTGATGTGACGATGTCTCGGGGCCATGGGGCCCGAGACTATGCGGTATACGGACGCACAGCCTGGGACCTGGAATCGGCCCATGTTGTGGCAGGCTGTAACAGTGTGGTGAGTGTGACCCGGGTTTTGCTCCATCCCTTCTTGTGTATGCGATGGCGGTGGTCGACGTATTGCACAGTATTCAGTGGTTCCTGGTTCAGGCCCAACGGCTGAGAGGCTTCCTGGTCCGAGGAGCTTACGTGTCTGCGCATCTTCGTCTTATACCGGCTGGAGTAATCACCGTGTATGGCTACTACATTTGAAAGTCATACAATGTTTAAGACCATTCGAAACTATTGGCGCTGTATCTTGGTGTATGCACCGTCATGTTTGTGCTGTCCTCGATTTGACCACTGCCTTAAAAAGGCATATTCGGATAGCATGAGAGGTGTTGCTGGCGCCCGTTGCCATCCACATGTTCTCTTTTCGAGGCTCTGTTTGGCTTCATTGGGCAGCAATGGTATGGACATGGTTCAGTTTTGGTTACTCAGGGCACGTCTTCAGGTGACCTCGGCATACAGGGAGCTGGATGGGCTCACGCAACCGCATGAAGTCTACTATGAGCCCTGGAAGCGGAGCACACATGGTCTTTCTAGTTCGATTGTGTCTGCGTCACGAAGGAAACAGAGGTTCTCCTGGTGGTGCATAGCACTATCACGGCACCGTGTCTGTCTGTGTAGCACCGGCGAGGTGGCTGCAACAGGCCCTTCAAACCCTTCTTCTATGAGGTTGGCGCTCTCATGTCGTAGATCATGTCATTGCTCCGGATCACAAGACCATTGTTGGCCAGGAACACTAGACGCGACATCTCGACTCTGGATGGCCCCGCCACTAGCTCAGTAGAAACACACAGAGCTGTTTTAATGGCAGTGTGAACGCCAAGAATCTCGAGCAAGGAGATGATGGCCGTCTTGTTGTCTGGTCACAAGTCATTGGTCGTTGGCTGGTAGTAATAGTTCTGGGCGAGGAGTGGCCCAAGACAAGCACGACAGGGCAATTGGTGCCGGGCCTGGGTGCCAGCGTCGACGATGACGGTGGTTGTTGTGGAGGTCCACAGCATATATAGACCCAGGCCAAGATGCCCCGCCCTGCCCGTCAAGCCCAAGCACTGCATGGGCCAGATATCTGCTACGGTCACAGAATGTGCTGTGACCGTAGTGCATCGCATCGTAGCTCCGGCTGGTCGGCAGTGTCGACGGGGTTGGAACGCTTGGGATCCCGAGTTGCGCCGAAACATGGGGAACATGTTATAATGGCATGTGCCCCGACATGCGCTTTCTCTCTCTTTCCCTGTTCCTTCTTTCTTTCCACCATTGCCAAGTTCAAAACATATTTATGATCCACAAACATATATACCGTCTGTCGATATTCTGCAATACCTCTCACAGGACATGAGTCGGTCCAAGGAGCTCACCGCCGGTTCCCTCCCGGGGCATGTCGTACCAGTACCTATTTTGTATGGGACAGCAAACACACCCGTCTGACTTGTCACCACTGCCAATCACGACCCCAAACACCCACCGGCCGACCTGTCAGTCCAATGGACGGGTTCGACAACAGCCCGTGGCTGGCGCGACCTGCGGCCACGGGGTTCCGAACCACCCGGGGCGGGCGAGATTGAGCCTCACCAGGACGATGTTCCCTGCGAGGTGGCCAACCATGCATGTACATACGATGTCATGCAGATCAGAGTCAGCGGAGCGGGGAGCTCAACCTGACCTGCTCGAGGTGGATCCAGCCTCCGAAAAGACCGCATTCTACCTCCTCCACTGCTGGTGTGCCGCTGTCAGCTCCAAGATTAGGCTGTCTGCATCTCGCTCTCGCTCTTGCTCTTTAGCGTGGCCGCCAAGTTGCGAAGCTCCCCTCCACCCCCGCGATAGCTCTGGGATTGCGCGACGGAATCCCCAGATACCACGGAAAAGGAAAAGGGCCTCATTTAAACAGCTCCAGGGTGGGTACCAGGTAGGGAAGCTTCTCTTTCAAGGTTTGCGTATAAGTTACAGCTGGTGTAACGGCGACTCTATTTGTCTTCGTGACAGCCTTTTGCTCTGCTTGCTTCTGCCGAAGTTTAATCTCAACAACACCAGCTCAGCCTATCGCGCTAGACGGACGACCACCCGCCTCGCTTAGCCTACGACGTCAACTGGGCGAGCCACCTCGTCTCGTCTCTCTCTCTCTCTTCGTGCACGCGACACGCAAACACAAACTTCGATCACTGACCAGTGGAAATCGTCCCAAGTTTCCCCTCCTTTCGACTGGCAAACAGCCAGCCTTGATCGATCCAAGATGGAGCCCGACCTCTCGGCCACCATCACCCACCACCCGCACCCATTCCACCTCCACCACCACTCCTCCAATGTCTCGAGGTCAAACAACCACACACCAATGTCTGGCACGCGGTCCACCCATGGCAACGGCAATGACAGCGACAATGTCGCCGCAAGCACGGCCCTCGAGGGCGAGCAGGTAAAGGGCGAGCAGGAAGGCGCCCACGCACGGCATCCCCCACAGCAGGAGGACGTCGAGAGCCAGAAGACGGGCGGGCGCCTCCCGCGGTACTCTGTCGAGAGCGACCCCTACGGGCTGTCAGCAGGCTACAAGACAGCCGACGAGCTGGAGAAGATCAAGGCCAACATCTCTAGGAAGCGTGACGGGCCTCCCTCCTCCTCCAACGCCGCCGGCAGCAGTACCTCGTCGCCCGCCCCCAGCGTCAAGCAGGGCAAGTCCAGCCTGCTCCCCAATTTCGGCCGCAAGGCCGTCCAGTACCGCCGACTGCAGGGCTTCTACAACCGCCAGAACGAGACCATCGAGCGCATGCTCAAGTCGGTCGACGAGCACGTGGCCGAGGCAAAGCAGGAGCAGGGCGAGGACCAGCTCAAGTTCAAGATCGCCGTCTGGGGCTCCTTCGTCGCCAACGTCATCCTGGCCGCCCTCCAGGTCTACGGCGCCATCTCGTCCAGCTCGCTCTCGCTCTTCACCACCATGGCCGACGCCATCTTCGACCCGCTCAGCAACGTCACCCTGATCTTCGCCAACCGCGCCGTCCGGCGCGTCGACCCGGCGCGCTTCCCCTCGGGCAAGGCGCGCCTCGAGACCGTCGGCAACATCACCTTCTGCTTCCTCATGACCGCCGTGTCGCTGATCCTCATCGCCTTCTCGGCGCGCGAGCTGGCCGACCGCGAGGGCGAGGTTGGTGTTAACCGCTTCCACCTGCCCTCCGTCATCGCCGTCAGCGTCGCCTTCGCCACCAAGCTGGCCCTGCTCCTCTACACGTGGGCCCTGAAAGACAGGTACTCGCAGATCCTGATCTTGTGGCAGGACCACCGCAACGACCTGCTCATCAACGGCTTCGGTATCCTCACCTCGGTCGGCGGCTCGAAGCTCATCTGGTGGATCGACCCGGCGGGCGCCATCATCATCTCTGTTATTATCAGCTTCGCCTGGCTGCGCACTGCCTTCACCGAGTTCCTGCTGCTCGTGGGCGTCGTCGCATCCGTCGAGACCCAGCAGCTCATCACCTACGTCTGCTGCACCCACAGCCCCGCCATCCGCCAGATCGACACCGTCCGCGTCTACCACTCAGGCCCGCGCCTCATAGCCGAGGTCGATGTAGTGATGGATCCAACCGAGTCTCTACAGGAGACGCACGATGTAGCCGAGGACCTGCAGTTCAAACTTGAGAGCCTACCTGATGTCGAGAGGGCGTATGTGCATGTTGACTATGAGACGGATCACAAGCCAGAGCACTTCTTCAAGAAGGACCTCTGATGAGGCCCCTTTCCCTGCTTGGATTGGTTTTAATTTCTTCTCCAATCCTTTTGATTTGAATGATGGAGCATTATGAGGCGTTCTGGCTCGGCCCATGCCTCTTCTTGGTTGGGGGGTATGGGTTATTTGGGGGTTGGTAATAGACAGGTCCCCCCTCCCTATTGCATGAGCATACAGAGATGATTTCTCAGTCGCAGCACGTGTGCCCGTACTCCCTTGCATTTATATGTCCATCATCTATTCTGTGCATAAAAGTGAGCGAGCACATGAACTTGCTTCAATCATGCACTCATAGGCAAGAGCCTGCGCACTGTAGACCACGCCTTCCGTCAAGCAAATCGTATCCGGCTTCCGCTGCTTTGGTGTTTGCTGAGGCGCACTACTACCGCCGCCCGTATCTCAGCAGTTTTTCCTCAACCAGTCTCTCTAAAGAGGGAGAAAAAGGTTTCCGACGCGGGCCGGTTGCGAAGTGCACCAGGATGAGCACATTTGCCAAGTGAGACAAGACCAACACGAGGAGGTGCTGGTTCAAGAGCTGGGTCGCAGGTCTTGTGTGAGCGATATTTCCTCAGCTGAACCGGGTATTTGCTTTGCCGCCAGTAATTCCCGACCGCGCCATAAAAGTGAATCCGGACCGCCACTCTTCGGGGCCCTCCCGGAGTCAAGGCCGGAGACCTAGCCAGGCTGGGGAGCGGGAAGGGGGGCGTGCCAAGGGGCCCCGTCTTGACGACATCGACCGGCATCATGGCGTACACCCGACACCGGGGCCGGCAAGACGAGTGGCCCGCCTTCCGTGCTGAGCGCCGGCCTGCTTCCCTCGGCAGTCGGGAGGCTTGACTCCGGGGTAGAATACCGTGCCCGGTGGAGAGGGTGAAAGCTCGGGGCTGGACAGGCGGTACCGTTCACGGTGAGGATGCTTCTCCTCGCACCGCCCCGCCCGCCATCGATTGGCAGACTTGGGTGACGAGCAGCACTGCCTTTGTTCCTGATTACTAGCATTGACGTAGAATACTTCCTGTACATCTATCACTGCCGGCCACGACCTCCGCCGCGCGCCGCGAGCGCACCTTGGCAATCTTGGCTGGCCCACCCGTTCCAGGCTCCCCGGCAGCCTACCTGACGAGGGACATGGTTCTGATGAGGGACATTTCCCAAGATGCCAACCACGATAGTTCCCGTGCTGCCGTACTGGGCAGGGATAGAGGTGTCTAGGCACAGGCGGCTGAGGCATGAGTGCACATTGGAGATTGGTGCGATGTGCCAAGACACTCAACTGACCACCCGCCTCGGGGTAGCACCCTTCCCTTTGCAACGGGCCAGTTATAAAGGGCCTTGATCGTCTTCCACAGGTCGATATCTCCTTGACGACTTATTTCCCCTCTATTGCGACAGATTCCCGCATACAAGTTCTGTGTTCCCCGCGTGGGGGGACTTTGCCTTGGCGAATAGACGGCTGGGGATATAACGTCTTTCACAGCACAACCACGGGGACCATGGAAGGGGAAGATGAGGAGATACAGATTCTTACCTGCCCTCTGCGGCACTGGTTTATATTGTCAGTGTTGATCGGTTTACTGCAGGGATTCCTGGCGTTAGGTTTCATCCCGTTGGACTGGCCATCTGCTTGATCGGACGCAAACCCCCGATAAACAGCCTCCTTGATTTATAAGATGACAGGGTCTGTCACGGCAGCCCGGCCGCAGGGCGCCGATGAAAAGTCGGCCGTCGTGCTGCAGGACGACGGGGGCGGCGATAGCCCGTCTGTCACGGAGGGCCTCGAGGAGAAGCCGAAGGCGACATGGAAATCATACCTGTGGGACACGTTCGACAAGTCACCCGAGGAGCGCCGGTTCCTGTTCAAGCTCGATGCCGTGCTGATGACGCTGGCTTCGCTGGGGTACTTCATCAAGTATCTTGATCAGGTGTGTGCTTTACTCCGGGACTTATAATACAAACGGCGCAGTATCTAATTAATTTAATTGTATGCAGGTCAACATCAATAATGCCTTTGTTTCCGGCATGAAAGAGGACCTGGACCTTTTCGGGAATGAGTTGAATTACATGCAGGTCTGCTGGACCGTAGGATACGTCGTGGGAGAGATACCCAGGTACGACACACAAGCAACGACTTCTTGTGACTGAGGTTGACTAACAATCATGCCAGTAATTTGTTGCTCACCCGTATCCGGCCTGGGATATGGATCCCAATTTGTGAGGTAAATTCGAATGGCCAACTCATCAGCGAGTCAATCACTTGCTGACAACCACGTTCAGGTCACATGGTCGGTCCTCACGATCCTCCTTGCAAAATGCCAGACAGCTACCCACGTCTACGTCCTGCGCTTCTTCATTGGCCTGGCAGAAAGCACCTTCTACCCGGGGATGCAGTACATCATCGGCTCGTGGTACCGCAAGGACGAGCTGGCCAAGCGCTCGTGCCTGTTTCATGCCATGGGCAATGTTGGATCCATGGTCTCGGGCTACCTGATGGCGGGAGCACACAATCTCGACGGCGTCCACGGTTTTCACGGGTGGCAGTGGCTGTTTATCACCAACACAATAGTGTCTCTCCCCGTAGCCATCTCGGGTTTCTTCTTCCTCCCGGACCTTCCCGAGATCACCAAGGCATGGTACTTCACGCCCGAGGAGATTGTCCTCGCCAAGGAGCGCATGCGCCTCGAGGGCCGCGCGCAGCGGGCGCCGTACACGCGGGCCAAGTTCAAGAAGATCTTCTCGAGCTGGCACATCTGGGCGCTGGTGACGCTGTACATCCTCTTCAACAACGGCAACGGCGGCACGTCGCAGCCCGCCTTCCCCCTGTGGCTCAAGGACCAAGGATACAGCCTGCGCGAGGTCAACATCTACCCGACCATCACCGAGGTGGTGAGCATCGTCACCACCCTCATCTACGCCTGGACGTCCGACAGCCTGTTCCGCGGCGCGCGCTGGCCCGCCATCGTCTTCTCCGGGCTCGTCAAGATCGTCGCCTACGTGCCGCTGACGGTCTGGGCCGTCCCGGACAGCCTCAAGTGGGCCGCGTTTACCCTGTGCGGCTTTGGCGGCGGCATCTCTGGGCTGACGTTCGCGTGGGCGCACGAGATCTGCAGCGACGATAACGAGGAGCGGGCGCTCGTCACGGGCGCCATGAACCAGATGGCGTATGTCTTCCAGGCGTGGCTGCCGCTCGTCATCTGGCAGCAGGTCGAGGCGCCCGCGTACCCCAAGGGGTACCCGAGCATGGTTGGGCTGTCGATTGGACTGATCGCGATCGCGTTTGTTATTCGGTTCCTGCACAAGAGGGAGATCCGGCTTAAGGCTGCTGCGGCCTCGCCTGGTGTTGCTTGAGGGTGTCTATACGAGCTCTGTATTGTGTTTCGAGGCGGAGCTCTGGCGGGTTCATTCAAGTGCTTAGCTGCAGTTGTATGATTCAGCCTCTTCATTCGGAAAGACACGTTCAGAGTGCTGAAAAGTCAACAACACTTTGATGGTGGTAGTCGGTCTCTAGAATTGTTCTGAACTTTGATCTCAAGAGGAAGTGTGGTTCCATCTCCATGCGTCACACTCCCAGGAGACGGAGTAGAACAAAATGCCTACTTAGGACAGGTTGAAATACTTGAGGAATCAATACTCGGGAATCAAACAGACCTCATGATTGCAGCGCCGAGAACAAACATCTCTGATGTGGATGGCTGAGAATTTCCAATCTATAAGACGTGCTGTAAAAGTACCGACTGGGAGACTTACGCGCATTATAGCAGCGACACAGGAAAGCAGCCCCATGGAGAGTCACTTGCAGAGCTAGATGGTATCCTTAATTTGAAGAATGATCAGCCTACCGTTTAATGGACAAATGTGGGACTGTGGGATCTTGATGATGTGATGGTATGAAGTTGAAGGACTGCGAGATCGAGGGAATGATCCAAGTCTTGAGATATTCGGTTCTGTACCTAGTAGCATTCCTAATTGATCTACAATCTTCAGCTTGATTGGCTTTACAATAACCCCAACAGAGACTTCGCATCTCACACAGCTAGGCTCAAGTGACAGACAAAAGTCGGCAAATAAGGCAATCATAGGAGCTCGATACGGAGGATCAAGTGTGCTACCCAGGCATGTGTAAATATCTTTCGCGCACAATAAGGGGAAACCCGGTTATGTTTCGGGTTATCCGGAGGTGCTAGGAACACCTCTATAATAGGACCGAATAACCCCTCCCGTTCCCGAACCTCGGAAGACCTGCTTGCACAGTCAATCCGTGCCCTGGTCACAGTGCAATTCCGGAGCACTCCCGCCACACATTACATGCACTCAGTGTTGCCAAGTGAGCCGAAGAGTGTCCCAGCCGAGCCGAGCCGGTGAAGTGCCTTGTGCAACTCCCTTGCCTATTCCCCGCAGTGGTCCAAAGACAAAGTGGGACGTGACTGTCCCCGTTGCAGCATGGTATCATCGGGACTTTTCCCAGATTTCTTGGACTCCGGGGTAATGTGTGCGTAGACGACCAATAGCCAGGGGTGTAATACGTATACGACTATGATATCCAGGGGGTTCTCTTCATGACGTGCACCACTCTTCAGACCGTCTCTGTCGTCCTCGCTCTACTATCATCCGAGTCAGTTCGTCTGGTGAATAGCTTGGGTGTTATACCCACTATCCAGGTTGCAGAAGCCCCACCATGAGTGGATGAAGAGGTCAATCTCCGTCCGGAGCGCAAGGTGCTATAGCGCTGCTGAGTCTTTAAAAGATGGTGGTTTGCGCACGGTGTTATCCTCGGCGTCATATGGGTCTATATGTGTGCCAAGTCCCTAGCCGGTCCATGCAAATTATTAGACTAGTAATTGTGATTGCACGTGGGAACGGAATGCTGTGGAAAAAGCGAACGCTTAATCCGTCAGCCGGATCAAGCCTTATACCGTAGGTACTTTAACACACCCCCCAGTTCACAAGGTGGTACCCACCAAGTGAAGTATATGCCATGGTAGCCCCTATACACGTAAAACGCTTCACCTAAGTTATATACCCTAAATGCACTTATATAAGCAGTGCCATTTAAACGGCAGGTGGTTCTTAAACCTGCGGACTTTTCAGCCTTTAAACTTAAAACCTTTATGAAACCTAAATATAAGGGGCTTAACCCAGGGCGCCTAATTTAGTATAGCTCAGGGGAATATAGCGGTTAATCGCGCTATATAAACGAACCAAGGGCCCATAACTATGGAAAAAGCAAACGCTTAATCCATCAGCCGGATCAAGCCTTATACCGTAGGTACTTCAACAAATGCTCGTGGTGAAATGGACCGAGCCCGACGATCAGGGACCGCTGGCCACGCTATACCTACCAGGGGGAGGGGGGGTCTTTATATGGGTTACGCAATGTAATCATGTTTTAACATTTAAACAAAATTTTGAAAATATAATATAATACTAACGAAATGCTATTAAAATACTATTAAAACCAAATTATATTAAAGCTTTAAATCATGTTAATATTAACTTTATATTAGCATTAATTATATATTAGCTAATATCATTATAATTTTATATTAAAAGCTTTAATTTAAACCTTATTAACTTTAAACCTAATTCTATTTTTAAATATTTCCGTAATTCCATAAATTCTTTTATAATAAATAATTAAGTTAATAAAAAATAAATAAGTAGTTGGGTTAGGGATAAGGAAAAAAAAGAGTTTTTTTTTTACCCCTATATTAAGAGTTAACATAATATTAAGATTAATATAATATTACAATATGTTAGGAATATTTACATATCAGTAACGTATAAATAATGCAATGTACACATAAAAAAAGCATGTCAGAACCTTAATTACATATCACTATTATATCGCTATTCCATTGACATCGTGGTGTGATGTTGACAAAAACCCCCCCTCCCCCTGGTAGGTATATAATTTCTCAAGCGTCCAGGCCTGGCATTTCATTACCATAGAATTGGACCAGCTTCCCAGAGAATATGGGTCGAGGTTCGAACCATGACTGCCATCAAGTATCTCGTCTGTGTCGCCAGCATCGCTGCGCAGCACTTCGCCTCGGCTCGAGTCATTACAAAGAATGACCGCAGGTGAGACTCTCATATTCAGACGTTGTTATCCTGAACGCGTGCACTGAGGACTTGAATCACAGAAGCGAGGATGTGTTTGTCCCTGTCGGCGTCGCGGTTGGATCTGCCCCTCAGGTCCAGACCGAGGCGTACGCGCCCTTCACGCTCGACGAGACTAACCCCGTGGCCACGCTCGACTACGGCGGCGAGAGCGCGGGATACCCCTTCTTCGAGGTGTCCTCGCTCACCGGGGCGGCGCAGGTCGAGGTGAAGTACACCGAGGAGTTTGATGGGCTCAACCAGCCGTTCAGCGACGGGCCCTTCTCGTTCAGCAACCAGCTCGGCAACACTTTCCGCGTGGAGACGTTCAACTTTACCTCGGCGGGTAGGCTCGTGGCCCCGCTGCTCCAGGGCGGGCAGAGGTGGGAGTCGCTCCGCCTGCTGACGCCGGGCTCCGTCTCGTTCTCCGCCGCCGGTTTCGAGGCTACGGTCGACACCGTTCTGCCGGGCGATCTTCCCGGGCAGTTCAGCAGCGATGACGAGGTCCTGAACGACATCTGGAAGCTCGGTGCCAGGGCGGCCACGGCAGCTTGTGTCGACAAGGGCTCGCAGAAGGCGATCTGGGAGGTCGACGCCGAGAAGGGCGTGTTGGCGAGGAATTCGCGCCCGTCTTTGACGGCGGAAGCCACGGCCTGGGGCAACTACACACTCGAGTTCGACACTTTGATCCAGAAGGGCGGCAGCTGGTGGTCAGTTGTAAGTTTCTTCCTCCAGGACGACAGACTGCTCGGTGAGGGTTGTATAATGCTCACTGTTCTTACTTAGGCACAACCCATCAAGGGTAACGGGTACACCTTGCTCCTGACCGGAGAGCTTCCAGAGGCGACCCGGTTCGCGAACACGAACACTTCCCTGACGCCACCGAACACTATCTCACTGGCATTTGGCGTCGATTTTGTCAACCAGACAACACTTGCTACCTGGGTGCTGGACGTCTTTGAGGTTCCATTCGCCGTGCAGGAGAACAAATGGTACCACATCACTACCTCGTTATCACCAAGCGGATACCTCGCCGTCTCGATAGACGACACCCAAATCTTCAACGTCTCCCGGGCTGCCTACCCCCTCGCCACGGGAGCCTTCTCAGGCTCCTTCGGCTTCGGCGCCTACCAGGACCAGGCAGCCTACTTCAGGAACGCCGCGGTCCACGACACCGCCAACGGCACCTCCCTCTACGAGAACGCCCTCACGAGCGACACCGTCCTGGCCGAGTACGGCACCGCGGAGCTGGCCGGGAGCGTGTGCCTCGACGGGCCGAAGCGCGACCGGCTCGTGTGGCTGGGCGACTTCTACCACACTGCCCGCATCCTGGCCGCGAGCACGTCGCGCGTCGACCACTCGCGGGGGACGCTGCAGTTCCTGCTCGACTCGCAGGTCGCCAACGGCCAGCTCGACATCTCGCCCAACCTCGGCTACGACGTCAAGGCCTCCGCTGCCGCCATGGCCGCTCCGGCGGGCAGCTTCGGCCTGCCTGATTACCAGATCCTGGGGCTCATCTCGTTCAGCGACCATGTGCGCCTGCACAACGATGTTGAGTGGGCGAAGGAGACGTGGGAGGGCTGGCAGAAGAACATTGACTGGCTCCTAGCAACGTACGACACCACCGGGCTCATCACACTCCCCAGCCCATTCGCCTTCATCGGAGGGCCGGACGCCGGGTCGCCCGTCTCGTGCGCCGCGGTCCAGGCCCTGCGTGGGGCGGCGGACGTAGCCACCGCGATAGGCGACTCCGAATCAGCAGAGCGCTACACGACGGTCGCCTCGTCACTATCCGACGCTATCAACGAGAAGTTGTGGAACGACGACATCGGGGCGTACTCCCTCAACATCTACAACGCCACCGAAATCTCGGTCCCGGGGACGGCCTTCTGTATTACCTCCGGCGTCGCCTCGGCAGACCAGACAACCCGCTCCATCTCGGCCCTGTCGGCCCTGCGCCTCGGCCCGGGCTACAAGGACACCTCGGCCGTGTCATCGTCCGACCCGGCCGTCAACATCTCGCCCAACACGAACGGCTTCCTCCTCTCGGCCCTATTCCAAGGTAACGCGACCGCCGAGGCGGGCGAGCTGCTCAGGGGCCTCTGGGGGCCCATGGTCGCGGACCCCGAGACCGACGTCGGCGCCAGCTGGGAGTACGTCAACTCGGCGACGCTGGCGCCCGGGCTGGGCCTCTTCACGAGCCTCAGCCACCCCTGGGGCGGCGCCCCGACGTACGTGCTGACCGAGTGGGCGGCGGGCCTGCGGCCCGCGGCGGGGGTGGGCGGGTTTGGCTACAGGTCGTGGGTCCTCGCGCCCGGGTCTGGGGCGCGGCTCGGGCTCAACGAGGCGAGCGCGACGGTCGTCACGCCGTTTGGGGACCTGAGTGTCGACTGGAAGGTTGAGGGGCAGAAGGTCTCGGCCACGGTCCATGCGCCGGTCGACACGAGCGGCAGCTTTGTCTACGGCGACCAGGCCGTGGCGCTGAGTGGAAACTCCACGTATCAGCTGTCTGTAGATATTTGATCTGTCGTAAATCAAAATGAGAAATTCTTTTTATTGAGCACAATGGCTGCCGCAGAAGTCCGCCAACAAAGCCTGACGGGCTGTCATTTACTCCTCGCCCGGATATGCAACGTCACCAACTTGATTCCACAGTCCTGTCCGGCATGCAGCAGGCGGACCGGTAAGTTAACGGCGAAGGAATACAATATCCGGGACTTAGAGATTGTACTTTCTATCGGCCATGCAATCCCAAAACACCACCAGCAGCCTTATAATAACCCGGAGCCACATCGGTCTGCAAGCCATCTCGGGGCACTTCGAGCTGGCCGTAGGCTGCTATGGTAGACTTTTGATGGTAAAGGTCACCTAACAGGCCCAAGAACCACACGGCGCAGGCCAGTGTATTTTAGTCCACAGAAACAGACCTTTGGATAATTCAATCAAGCGGGTTCAGCATTGACCTTGAGAAGTGATACTAGCTGCCTTACCATGCGCGCTACACCCACCCGGGTCCGTATAGGTTCTCAGAAGTTCACTATGGGTCGTACTCGCCTTCCCTAGCCAGCGACGGTCTGAAGCTGCTTGCCAGAAGACCGAAAACCGAAGACCAAAGGCAGCCTGTGGTGGCAGCAGTTTTCTGAAACAGTGAACAATAAACATACCTCGAAGTGACTGACCTGATAAATGGTTGAGAGTCAGACAGTGAATCCCACCTAGTCTTTGTTGATATTGAATTCTGCAACTCAGTCTCTGTATTCAAAAGCCTGCATGATCCGATAAACCGCTGGCCACCAGACACCACAAGCTGTAATTTTCATAATCGAAGAAGTGTTGGCCTCGAAAGGGATCAGCAATACCACATTCAAGAACCACTCAAAATGGACACGGAGGAAATCAAGGACACGGTAAGCCCTGGGCCCCGACCGACGCCCAGAATGATAGCTGACATGGTCGTCCCTAGATTGTTGTGGCGTGGCCGCCACAGCCCAAGGTGGACGAGGACAAGGCTGCCGAGTCGAAAACCAGCCGGGACTCGATCAACGTGGCGACAACCGGCACCTCGACCGCCGCGCCGCGCCCGGCGCGACAAGCAGAAGAGGCTCCCGCGCGGGCCTGCGGGTTCTGCAGGCAGTTTCTCAGGGGGGACGGGCCCTGCAGCCACGTGCGAGGGACTCGTCAGTCTGCCCAGCCGAGCAGATAGGCCTTGCCGGTCATGAGGCCGACAATCGGTCGCGGGTCCAATTTAGGAGGCTTGTGCTGTTTCTGCTGCTGCGGCGTCGGAGAACTCAAAACAGACAAGGGAGAATCTATCAAGTTGTGAGCGCGGTGGAAGTTGTTTTGATCAAGGGGGCGTGGAGTCTTGTCACGATCCTGGCGGAATGTAGGATTTGGCCGGGAGAGCCGCGTGGTTGGGAGTACAGCCGGTCGTTGCAGGTAGACCTGTTGCCTGACGCCGCTCAGTCCACGTCGAGGCACCGCGATTGCGTTGACTTTTTTGTCAGAGGCTTAGAGAACAAAGCCTTCAGACACTATGTACGATTCAATAACTACGCCAGTTTGATTGATCGCTGAAGGCCAAGTCTCGTGATCGCGGGCGCCTGTCGAGCGTGGACTGAGCTAATGTGGAATGACTCCCCGTGTTGCCGGTCACGCAATTAACGCTGGTGGCGTTGCATGCGAGGGCGGGCTGGGAGTTGAGTTCCAATAGCGCCATCTGTCGACTGACAGTAGATTTCTTGGCCCCAACAGGATCTGGGGAGGATGCCGTTAATCAAACATGAGCAAGCGAGCAGGGCGACATGCGATGCAGGCAGGGTCTTTCAAGGTTGTTGAGAATAATAATAACAACAAGAGAGAGAAACACGGCGAGGAGCTGAGCCGTGTGAGCCGCCTGCTTGCCCCGTTTCGGAAACGCCCAAAATGTCTGCTGCAGGGAAGAGCTTTCTTGCTGTGGCTTGCCCGCCCTACCGCACCGCTGGCGTACCGCCCCTCGAACCCTGCTCGCTGGTGAGCCTGGTCCCCATGGATGCTGGCTAAGTGACGTTGGTCTTGGGTCTGGGATCACCGACCGGGAAGTACTCACACGTGCGTCTCCATCAGTGGCGTCAACGAGACAGCCAGTTCTATTATTACTGTTGTTCCAGATAATGACCGAGCTCAGCCCTATCATGCTGATTGTGTCAACAGTCTGGTTTCTACACGGCCTGCGATGCTATACGAGACGGGCACTGGAATGCTTCCACCATTGCAGCAGACAGACAGCACAGCAATCTAAAAAAGAACCCTCAAGACGCGGCATCACACACAGACCTCACAGTAGATACGACCCAAGGGTCGTGCAGGAGGAGATTGAATCTCTCGGATGCAAGCCTGTACGTCTCTGTGCATGGTCCGACCCTTGCGCTCCCATCTCACCTGCAGAACTCAAAAGTGTGCCGGCGTGTTCTGGTGGTGCACAAGTGGGAGAGCTCGAGCTTGTCCGAGGGGCTGGCCGCGGCAGCCAAATTCAATTCAACCCGGCTCATTTCCACCAGTGTGCCGTGCTGCCTCGCGTCGTGTTGTGGTGTGTGGTGTGGTGTGTGGTATTGCAGTGCAGTGCAGTAGCAGCAGCGGCGGCAGCAGCAGGGACTGCCAACGGCTGTCTCGCTTGGAGCGCGCACCCTCGACGACAGTGTGTCTGAATGAGGCCACAGAGGCCACTGAAGCCACAGAGACAGGAGACACATGAGACACATGAGACACACGAGAGTGGAAAAAAGGTGGGAAAAAATCCAAACAAACGGTGGGCTGATGGATCGAACATTCATCCCGCCTCTCCAACCTTCACCGGGCTTCGACGGCCGTGTGGGACACGGTACCTGCGACATGCACATCATCTGTTAGCCATCTCCAGGACAACCGCATGCGCCAGCTATCATCGCGCCGTGCCACTGCATGTCCCCTTCCCATGTCGCTGCAGCAGCCAGGGAGCTCCACTCTCTCTGCGAGCTGCACCACCCTGCACCCTGCACATGCAGCTGCAACCAAGCTCCCAGCTCCCAGCTCCCCAATTCCCATGGGGTCAACAGAGGATCGTCGGTTTCCTGGCGCCCGCGTTTTGCTCTCATGACCTATTTCTCCTCCTCACCAGTCGCCACCGCGACGCCTTTGTACTATATCCGTGGCATAGCGGCATAGCATTGCTCTTTCTGCATTCTTTCCTTCCCATTTCCCCCCCATACGCCCTCGCAACTACACACAATGGCTGCGCAGAACGGCGAGGACGCCTACGTCACGGTATGTGGATCGTGAGGAGTTGGAGGTCCTGCCTGCACCCGGGTGCTGCGACTCGAGCCGCTACTGGATCTGGAGGCACTCAACACTTCCCCGTGGGGTTGGCGAGTCAGGACGGCAACGAGACAGCAACGGGCAGACCAGAACAACACAGCTAACAATTGGGCTTCAACAGCTGCTGCTCAGCGACACATACCTCCCAGGTACGCTCGACGAGACTCCCAATTGCTCCGAGAAATCTGCATTTGTCCTGACCCTCTTGCAGGAGCTCTGGTACTCGCCCACTCGCTGCGCGATGCCGGAACCACCAAGAAGCTGGCCGTATTGGTCACGCTCGATTCTGTGTCGGCCGAGGTCATAACACAACTCAAGGTGTGTCTGTTCCCTGCAAACAAGTCATGCTCGTCGCGAACCTCTGCTGAGATACTGTCGCAAGTCTGTCTTCGACCATGTAATACCAGTCCCCCGCGTGCGAAACGAGAAGCCGGCGAACCTTTACCTGATGAACCGTGCCGATCTGCACTCTGCGTTCACAAAGATCAATCTGTGGAAACAAACCCAGTTCAGAAGGATTGTGTATGTGGACGCGGATGTCGTAGCCTACAGGGCACCCGACGAGCTGTTTGACTTGGACCACCCTTTTTCCGCCGCCCCGGACATCGGATGGCCCGATCTCTTCAACACGGGAGTCATGGCCCTGACCCCAAACATGGGCGACTACTATGCCCTGGTGGCCATGGCAGAGAGGGGTATTTCTTTTGACGGCGCAGACCAGGGCTTGCTGAACATGCACTTCAAGAACAACTACAACCGCCTGAGCTTCACCTACAACGTCACGCCCTCCGGCCACTACCAATACGTTCCCGCCTACCGCCACTTCCAGTCGAGCATAAACATGGTCCACTTCATTGGAAGCGACAAGCCGTGGGCTCTGGGCAGGGAAGCATCCTCCGGGGGCACTCCCTACGATGAGATGCTTGGGAGGTGGTGGGCCGTTTACGACCGCCACTACAGACAGCCGGTAAGTATTGCTGTCACCCTCATCGGACTCAGCACAAAGACTGACGTCTATCACAGTCCCCTCCACTCACGCCGACCGACGCGTCCCAAGGCCAGCACAAGATCCCCGAGATCGTCCAGTACTTTGTCAAAGGCGAATTCCGTCCAAAAACAACCACCTACGTTGTTCCGACCGGGCAGCCACCGCTCCACCAAGGTAGATCCACACATGATGCGTATCATCATGCGCCGCCACCACCCTCGCAACCTGACTACTACCATCACCAGCACCATCCACAACACCACGACCAGCCTCATGAACATCACCATCATGAGCATCCGTCCCAATACCACCATGAGAAGTCTCTGGCAGGAGACTCCGCCCCGCACCCTTATATACCCCCTCCCGTCCCCAGCGAATCGTTGAGTAATGTTGTTGAGGGGACAAAAGCTGAGGCTCGAGAAGAGCAGGTTTCGGGGCCCCATGGAGGGGCTCCTGTAGTACACCATGAGGAGAGGGAGCATAAGCCTGAGCCACGCCCAATCGAGTACAGCTGGGATGCTCAAAGGTGAGGAGTCACTGCCAATACCGCCCATTTGAACATGGTCGCTGACTATCCACAGACAAGCTCCGCCTGCAGATTCCAAGCCCGAGGCTATGAATTTCCCGCAGATGCATTACGAGATGTCTTCCGATCCAGCTCCATTCGTCCCTCCTCAGCGATACCCAAGCCCGCCGAAGAACATGTGGTATGAGGTACCCAAGGAAAAACCTGCTTCACGCGCCGAGAAGCCCCGGCCGATCTTCCCTTGGGAAATAGAACAGCCGAGGGCCTCCCGGGTTTTCGCTGACGATGTATACCCTCCCGAGCCGTCCTTGACCGAGGGTTCGACCGTTGCGCCTTCCGGTAGGAGGACATCGTTCCTGGAATCCCAAACGACGATGACTGAGCCTTCTATGACAGAGTCATCCACCGCGGACCACAAGAGCGAGCCTAGTTCCCCTGCCACCCCTACCATCCGGGTCACACATTCTGATCCCTGGGCCTCTTTCACGCGGGTCAATGCGTGGGATGATGATCCCGCCATTGATAAATATGTGGGCTCCATGCCATTATACCGTCGGCACAAGAGCTCAGGCAGCCTCGTGGGCCAGACCTCGCCCCGGGCTGTGGGTGGTAGTGGCGTCGGATCCCAGCAAGAGACGTCAGCCGGCGCAGAATGGCGAAGACGCGGTTCCAAGCTGACCGACTTCCCGACTGCCGTCGAGCGACCCAGTCTCCCTGTCACGCCTGCGCCTATTCGTCGGCCGAAGTTCTGGGGCGCTGGTGGCCCAGGCATCGATGACGAGGGTGAGGATGATAGCAAACTGCCGGCAGCGGACGGAGTGCCCCAGCAGTCGGAGTGGGTATGTGAGCATGGGCGTCGTTTTAGCATCGGAGATTGCCCTTGTGATTTGACTAACTTATTCCGATTTTATAAGGACCCCGTAGCGCGGCTTCAACTGCTGGCAAAGCAACAATCCGATTTGCTGCTGCAGAAGCTAGGCGCTGGCGAGGTGTCCGGAGGTGGCGACGCTGGTGGCGCGACTGGCGGAGAGCACAACATACCTAACCGGCCGTTGCCCTTCGGATCCGAAGACATCGTGTCACCAAGGTATATTGCGCGTTCGTCCAACGTCCTGAGTCCCCAGCCTGTGAAGCCACCCGGTGCAGGGCCACAGGGTATCTTGGGCCAGGCCCAGGGCGAGAGCGAGGCGACCCCACGCAGCACCAGTGCCACCGCCACCGAGACAGCCAAGCCTGCAGAGCCCGGAAGCTCGATCCCGGAACCGTCTTTCCACGGCCCCGGGGCGGCCTGGGAGAAGGACGAGGGGTATCTCGCCCATTCGACCGCGTTGCCCCCGTCTGAGGAGGAGAAGGATGTACTGCAGACGTGAGGAGCGTCCACGGCCGTTGCCAGATGCGAATGTGCCGTGGGCGATGGTCTGTTACCTAATACCCTTTTTGCCACTGAACTAGCGAGCGCCCATTGTTGACTTTTTTCTTGTTGCTTACTATGGAAAGATGGAGAGCACAGAACTGTGGGAGGGTGAGGAAGAAGCGAGATCTCGACTTGGGCGATGCATTTGATGCGGAAAGGGGATCTCTTTGTGGGATGTTTAGGCTCGTGTCTGTTGTGAGTCTTTGGAAGAAGGAAGGAAGAAGGAAGGAAGAATAAGAAGCGTATTATGATACCTCATGGGGGCAAGGGATTAGTGGCCATGGCACGGGAGCATGGTGAATGGCGACGGTGGTGCGTAATACGACTCGGGGGCTCTTCGAGAGAACGCTGAAATACGATCTCGATGTCTTCTAGGCCGCATGGTCTGGCAACCTTTTTTCTCTGTCACATTCGCTTTCTCTCTCTACTCCTCTTCCTCCTTTTCATTTGTCATATGATTTGTGAGACTGATAGTGTGTCTGCTTTTCTTTGCACTTCTCACGTTCACTTTGGGACGTCAGGTTCGGATATGGATATCTTTGGCTTATGGGTTGGCACTTACGGACGCAGGTGGGCGGGAAGAGAATGAAGTCTGGAGGATCAAAATAGGGCTGGGAATGGGATTGGGTGTAATGTTTGCATTCAAGGCCGGCGGGCGGGCCGGCCGGCTGGCTGTTTGGGTTAATTTGACTGGCATCAATTATCAGACCAGCATATTTAATATATCGCGAAGCATTCAAGCTCTATACCACTACAGATTCCAGCAGCCGGTCATATTACCATTACAATAGTACACGTGTGTGTGGCGATGCAACGCTTACCTCGTATGGATCGATGAGATCTTGGCCTATGGGTCAACATCAAAGGTGGTAAAGACGGACGGATTTTATAATTGGTAAGCCCAGCTTTGTAGACATTGCACAGTAGAGCCGAGTATAAAGCCGTCGACAATGGTACGATAGGGATGAAAATGCCATGCCGTCCTCATGGCTACGGGCACAGATAGTCTAGGTGCCGCCGGAGTGTCTCCTACTGTCTGACGCGGTGGCCTGCTGCGTTGCTCGTTCAGTGATGTCGTTGCACATTCCTTGAATATACAGAGAGACTGGGGCTGAGGGGCTAGGATGGTTTCATGGTCTGCTGGTGCTGTATCCCCTGCACAAAGACAAGTTAATATGCAATAATTCTAGCACATTATTCCAGGGGCAGGTGTCTCTGTATGTAAATGCTCATTAGGATCCCAATCATTTCCACGCGTAAACCAGTAGAAGCCTACGCTTTCTTATAAAGAGCCCTCTTGTAGGGCTGCACAACCACTTTTCAGATGCTGAGTCAAAAACAAGAAACGCGTCAACTGTGGATAGAAGAAAGGAACTCCCAATCTAGAAATTGTGTTGCTGCCTTGAGGGCTGGAAGGTAACTTGCACTCTCCAGCATCTGAAACAGGTAACCGTGGTTGAGCAAGGTTATACAAGCAGAGCATGACTCTATTTGCTGCGCCTCTCGCTAAAACGACCATATCAACTTGGCCGGAATGCTCTTGATTCTTCTGAGAGGCCTTCTCATTCAGCTAACGAACTGCGCCGTGTTCTGACTCACAGACGTCCAACGCTCAAGTCAGTCCCCTCCAGGCCCCTCCAGGCCCCACCGGCCCCCTGGTCACATCTCAACCCCGGCGGCAGGAAAGATGGCACAGCTACCGGTATATGAGAACAATCAACCGTACAATGACTGGGGTGACTATTTCCCTGAAGATGATGAGGGCGATGTTACGGATTTTACCGAAGGAGTTGACGGTTACTCCGTGCGTGGAGGGTACCCCGGGCCGCCTTGTTACCCTGCCACTGTCGGCGAGGCCATACAAAGCGGTGGCAAATCCTATCGTGTTGAACACAAACTTGGCCACGGATCATTCTCAACAACATGGCTTGCATTTGAAATTGAAACCAACACCTCGGTTGCCCTCAAGATCCACCGCACCTTCACGACGGCAGGCCAGACTGAGAGCCGAATACATCAGGACCTACAACGACTGATACCAGACCCCAGCCATTGCCATTTGATATTCAGCACTTCAATATTTTCTCTTCCTGGACAGTTCCCCGATGATACCCATGTAGTGGTAGTACTTCCTGTAACGGGGCCAGACTTGAAAACATTCATGGGTCCGAGGGGCCGCACTTCAGACTCTGCTACACGACTGCGTGTGGCCAAAGATATACTTAAAGCAGTAGCGTGCTTACATTATCACAGACTAATCCATCGAGGTACTTGTCATGGTCAATCAATTCTGTTTCCAGGTAATCATGGCTAACCTATCAAGTAGATATCACCGACAGGAACGTCATGATCGGACTTATCCCTGGTGCTCTCGACCAAGGACCAACACCGTCAGAGCGTTACAAGCAAGTCGGCCGCCCAGAGAAGTTCTCCTTGCCACTGTGCAGTTTTGTCTGGAGACCAGGAGACCTTGTTGCGCCTATAAAATGGCCCTCAAGCATTCTCGACAAAGACCGCATTTCTCGGTGATTTCGGGTTGACAAGGCGCATCGAATCTCCCGCGACAGACCCCTGCCTTCCGCCTGAGACTTGCTGCCCGCCAGAGCTCCTCCACGAAGGTTCCGAGTCCACCTACAAGTCGGACATGTGGGGCTTCATGTGCGTCTTCACCACCTTGATGGCCGGTTTCAATCCCTTCACCGGATGGAGCGACTCCAGTACCCTGGGCAGCATGTTCGAAATGCTCGGGCCTCTACCTCAGGAATGGGAAGGTCGTTGCGAGTGGCCGCATCATTACCCCGAAGAGCAGCGGCGCAAGTGGCATGACCACCCGAGAGTCCCAGAAGACTCTCTTGGGGACCTTTTGGATCGTACCAGGGAGGAGGACCTTGGGCCACGGGAGCGAGAACTGACATTGGAGGTGGTGCACAAGGGGTTTCGATACCAGCCTTCGGAGAGGATTTCAGCGCAGCAGCCTCTGGATGATGAGTCGTTTTGGGAGCTTGTGGCAATTCATGGGATAGAGTGAGCATGTCAATATTAATCAAAGACACCTATACACAGGTTAAACTTCTGTAAGATAAACACCTGTTTGATAATCTGACATGCAGATTGTTCCATGTTACAGTCTGCGATCTATTCACATCAATGTCTGTCCAAGCTGCCGACATACATCGACAGTTCATGGAACGCCAATTCCTCTATAAAGAGCTAATAATGGCCGGCTATGCAGCTTGTATGACCGTTAGAGCTCTTCACGTCAAAGCGGAAGCTTGCAGGCCCAATCTCGAAATGTCCCATGTCACGTTGTAAAGAAAGTGATTCTCTCACCTAACTCGAGGGTGAGCCTCTAACGGACAAGAATACATAGTCGGAAATGACGGGATACACTACAGTGACCTGTGGACTAAGAGCTGCCACATCACCTTTTCTGGGATGTGCCTATCTACTTCCTGTAGTCCAAGAGCACCTCTCGCCCACTTTGAAACATAGGGAGGGCAGTTGGTGCTGCATGATTCGTCATATTTTACACGGGTCTTACATGGTTTCTTCTGGTGCTTCGACTCCCGTCTGAGGTCGCACTCGATGTTTCTTCCGAACTCCTCAACCGAGGTACTTTCCAGGACCCTGATCCACCAGGGAACTCACCAACACGAGGCACTTGGGGTTTCCGTCTGGGCTTGATGGCAGCCTATCACGTTCCGTAGCAAGGAGCAATATCTAGAATCTTTCATCAGGGTCAGAGGACGACGACAATGACGGAAAACCTTCACATGGCTCAGAGGACTCATAGTATATGAGGCCCCCGGTCTTTTCATGCCTAAATTCCCGTAGCAAGTCGTACCCCAAATCCAGTTTTAGTAACTCAAGAAGTTGGACACTTGGCGTGCTGATACCCGAACACCGTCGCATAGTACAGACACTCGGAGGCCCCCGCGCGTACTTGGACTCTCAACCTCCCAACCAAGTGTCCGTTTGTGGAGAAGATCGACCGGGAGTTGACCGATCTTCTTATGAGTTCTAGTAGAATACTAGCCCACTGTGTATGATATCTAATTGCAAGTGGGGTCGTTGTTGGCCCGGTCTATAGTGTCGCGTTCCCAGTTGTTTGGGTCAAACTGTCTAGGTATACTAGAAACCCTATTCAAAACAAAAATCCAAGTGTAAACTTTTCGTGGCATCCAAGGCAGAACTGCCCGGGATCCTGTCGCTTTGCCAAGGCGGCCTGGTGCCCCACCAACCGCTGACTAACGAGAACCAACGTCAGTCCTCGAAACCGAGGCATTCACGCTCCCACGAGCCATCCCTCCACAAAACTAGACTTTGAACACCCAGGCGAACTTGACATCTCTCCCCCACCCCAACCACTGAGGCTCGTCCATCATTTGTTGTTGGCCTTCTGAATTGGCTCCCCGTCTTGGTCTTGTTTGAGCGGAGATGACAACCCCGAGATGGGCTCCGCGAGCTCAGGCCTAGCCGTTTGCTGTCACTAGCGCCGACGAAGTACACGCGCGTTGGCAATGATTTTGTTTTCCGCGTCCACAAACACAGACTTGGGGACAGGCGCAGGCCCACAGCCCGGGTGTTTTGTGTTTCTGTGCGATTTGAGGTTGTCCTTGCGTGTCAACCATTTGCCACAGAGGCCGCACGGGAACCTCTCAAATCCAAGTACACCCCCTTCCATCTCAATCCCATGGGCGTTCTCTTCGTGCCTGGTGAGGTGTTCATTGCGCTTGAATCTCTCGCCGCAGTTGTCGCACACGAATTTGTGCTCCTTTTCTTCCTTTGGCTTCCCTCCCTTTGCCTTGACGACTTTCTTTGTCCCGGAATCATTCTCCTTCTCCTGCTCCGGCTCCTCCTGCTCCTCCTTCTTTTCGACTCTCTTGCGCTTTCGCGACTGTGGCTTGGAATTCATCAGTGGACTCGAAGTTAGTAGTGGACTCGTATTCGGCAGTGGACTTCTGCTTCCCGAGCTCGTCAACACGGAAGAAGCAGAGCTGTCAGTATGGCCATCGTCTTCGTCAGTCCTTTTGAGTTCTCGTGGTCCCTGCTGCCCCTGCCCCTGCTCCTGCTGGGGAACCTCCAGCTTGTCTTTTGTGGAGTCACCAGGGGCCAGTGCTTCAGCACCAGGGCACCGAGTAGCGGGAGACCCGTGATACGGCTCGGGCTGCGCCATTGCCCGCTGTGCTCGGTCCTGCCCAAAGACAACCGCAGCCTGGCTAAACTGAAGCAATGTCCGAGCCGCTGTCATTTTACTACACGGCTCCAGGGTCGAGCTGGTCCCAATTCCTACCTGCCCAGGGCAAGTCGCGTCTTCTGGCTCGGGGAGCTGGCAGGACGGCCCGTTCGCATCGTCGGTGGTGTACACAGCATCGGTAGTGTTCAGCCTGGGGCCTGAATACTTGTACCAGTTGTTTCGTCGTTCGATATACGTGATAGTCGCATACTGATGTTCAATGGCTTGTTCCGTGTTGCTGTAAGGCGGTGCAGTGTGGTTGTTGATGTAAGGTCTGGAAGCCCTTCGCTCCATGGCCGCGGATTGTGGGGGCCGCACTGCCATTTCTTCGTCCTGCGAGATTGCTCTTGCGCTGCTGGGCCCTGGTGCAGCACCGGCGGCATAGGGCCGTGAAGCACGGCTTTTTAGGGTGCTGCGAAAGCTAGAGACTCCGAATGAGCTGGAAGGGCGTTGGGCGGTGTCCACGGCACGCGCACGTTCATTGGGCAGTATGTGCCTCCCGAGCTCGTTCGTAGGCCGTGTTGATGAGGGAGCCATGGTTGTCTTGCTCTATCAGGAGGGAAGGAAGTATGTGACAGCCTCGAGGGGGCCGTGGCCTAGTTTTCAGGGTACCTACGTATGATGACAACAGTCAGTGCTGAACAAGAGAAGTCAGGGACCTGAGGTCACAAATCCGGAAGTGGTAGCTCGAAGTGCGCTTGAACAAGTGTCTCACGCGACTCTCTCTTATGATTCTCGATATTCTCAGGGTTGACGAGCGAGAGATGCCAGCCGGGGATATACTTGCCCTGATTTTGTACAACGTTGGAACCAGTGCAGGTCAGCAGTGCTGCGTGGTGCTATTTGTCGGCGTGATTCCAGCGATTCGCGTCTGTTGTCCGTCTCTGATGTCCCAGAGATGGTCTTCGTCTTACATGAGGGAAAAGGAAGATGGGATACAAATCGCCCAATGATTTGCACAATTTATTCACACGGAATTTACCCCAATAGTTCACGCTGGAATATTGCTGGAAAACCTCCAGAGAATTGGACGTTTTGCACTGCGAATTGCGCCTTATTCCTATCCGCTGCGGTTAGCGCCCTGCACCACGGTGTGTCCTCGCAGTCTAGCAACTTGAAGCATGTCCAACATGTACCAAATAACATTCCTCAAGATGAGGGGATGTGAACCGATTGGGACCAGTGCAAGTGAGCGCTGGGCGCCAGTGGGTTCATGAGCAATAGCGCACCGGATGGGAAGACTTCGGGGTTTTAGGCGTCCTCGCTGCAACGGTTGGCAGAAACGGCACCAGGGCGATAACGCCGCAGGGGCAACCGACGCCAACCGCCCGGCAGGACAAAATTGACGAGAACTGCCATGCCGCAGGCTCGACTTTGCTGGCTCTGTCTCTAGTGCTCACCCGAGCGGGAACTCGGGCTGCACCAAGGACGGGTGTGGAGCGCGCGACACTGGTCAACGAACAGAGCCGGCGCCGACTCGGCTGCAGGCTCCGTGGACAAGAAATGGCCGAAAGGGGAAATCGCGATGTGCAGCATGTAGTTGCACCTGTGCATCCGGCAGTATTGCTGGGGGCCTCGACTCCCGACCATGACGGCATGGCGACGACGATACTTGACCAACGTTTCGGGCAATTCAAAAGCAGTGCTTAAAGAAAGGGAACACGGCAACTTACAATTGAATGCTGAATTATGCTTGACGTGGACGGTATGCTTGAGCGAGGCAGACGATGCCAATGAACGCGGACTAACTGTGGGATACCTCATGCCCCAGGCGCGAGGGAGGGGATGCAAGAAGAGGAAGACGGTGTGTCTATAGAGTCGCTGTAGGTTTTTTTTTGGGGATGGAACCAGGTCTTGGAGCGTCCAAGAGGAAGAGAGAGGAGAGTTACGCAGGTAGTGCTGTAGCGTGCGGCCGGGGAGGAAGGGGGAGGGGGGGCAAGGGGGGGGGCACCGGGCGACGAGTGGGATGGTCGACAAGGAGGGCAGGCGAAAGGGTAGGAGAGGGTCTATTTATGAGGGCGAGCGAGCGGGAGGGACTCGAGGCGACCTAGGTCTGCACCTTAGGTCACTCTACTACTGAGCTCATGGAGGGGGGACAAACCTGAGCTTCTTCCCACCCGGGCAGTATGTACCTGCTTACACAGCACGCTCTGAACGCACGTGGAAACAGGTTAACACGGGGGGATAGAGAGCGCTTGGGGCTCATACCTAGGGTTGACAGAAGAGGTCTTGCGCTGGCTGTGTAGCAGGTAGTATGTCCAAGTGGTGCTGGCTGTAAATCGAATGGGCTGTAGGCAGTGCATAAGGCTATATCACCGGCAGCGCCTCGTGTTGATGCAGCCCAATTTCATGTTCCATGTTATGCTCAGTGCTGAGATGGCGAATTCAATAAAACTTGCATTCATGCAAAATTGATCTCGAGGTGGCTATGTGATTTGATGTGTACTGAGTATTGTTTGGGTCGGGGAATGCTCCATCTTGCAGCCACTATTTTGCTCTAGGTGACGATCTCGAGGTTAAAAATGATGAGCCGCCTCCCATATTCTTGGCCGCGCATTTGGTGTAATGGTTCAACAACTATCCAGACTGATCGCGGGACTCATCTCCGACACCAGATGAAATAAGGGGAAAAAAATCCGAATTTCCTGTCCATGATCATTTCCACATTGAAGGTGTCCAGTCGGCCTCGGTTTCGCGGGGCACTCGCCAGCCTGAAGCATCCGTCCCGCTGCATCTGCAACACCACCACGATGTCGAAGCCCGACCACTCCGAGAGGACCGCGACCGAGCCTCGCGACCCAGTAAGAAATGTTGCGGCTCAGAATGCTCAATAAGAAAACCTGCTGACGCAATGATCACACTCATCAGTCGCTCCACACGGTCATTCTCAGGCGGATCGAGGAAATCAACCCCTCAATCCGCACCTTCCGCCTCGCCATCCCAGCGTCCGTGGGACGCATCAGGGTAAGCACACCTGCGTCATCATTCATCAAGTGTTTATGAGACCATTGTATCTTCCAAGCCAGCATACGCACCTCCGGCTCATTCAGCCCTTCCCCGCGCTCTCTTCTCTGACCCCAGAGTGCTCGAAGAACCACGGCTAACGCACCCACCCCGCGACGACCAGTTCCTCCCAGGACAGTGGCTCGACGTCTTTGTGCCGGGTATCAGAAATCCAGGCGGCTTCACCATCACCTCCTCGCCCTCGAAGGCCCAGAAGAAAACAGTCTTGCCCGCCAGCGCCGCCCCGGCCGATGGCACCACCCCGTCCCCACCGGCCCCTGCGCAGGAGCCTTACCTCGAGCTCGCCGTGCAGAAGTCGCCCGACAACCCGCCGGCCCAGTACCTCTGGAGGCCCACGGCCGAGATCCTGCACTCGGAGCTGCGTGTCCGCGTGGGCGGCAGCTTCGTCTGGCCTCCCCCGGGGGTCCAGCCGACGGTGAGTGGCCGTGCCCTCTCCACCCCCTCTCCCTCTCCCCGACCACGCCGCACCAGCACCAGCCCGCCCACCTTCTCTCCCACCTCGCACTCCACCGTAGAAGCCGAAAGCCCAGACAAACTGACGTTACATGATACCGTACATAAAGACCCTCCGCAAGATCGTCTTCGTCGCCGGCGGCGTCGGCATCAACCCGCTGATGAGCATCGCGAGCCACCTCGCCGAGCGGCCGGACCCGCGGCACACGGTCGAGTTCCTGTACTCGACGCGGGACCCGGGCGGCGAGGGCAAGCGCGACGCCTCCAAGATACTGTTCCTCGACCGCCTGGCCGGGATCTTCAACGGCGGCGGCGGCGCACTCAAGGGACGGCTGGGCTTGTTCCTGACACCCGGAGGCCCCGGCGCAGGTGCAGAAGGGGGAGGGGACGGTGGTGACCTCCAGGGCATCCCGTTCAAGAGCCGGCGTATCACAGTCGAGGACATTGCGGAGGCTGTCGGCGATGACAAGAAGTTCGCTGTTGTCTACGTCTGTGGGGTGCCTGCGATGACGGATGAGTTCGTCGAGAAGTTGACTTCCCCACAAGGACTGGGCCTGGAACCTCATAGGGTTCTTTACGAGAAGTGGTGGTAGAACGGGATAGAGGATTTACAAGCAGAGGAATTATTCTATTGTGGTGGCCAAGCTAACTAGTTACTCCGAGATAGGACTCTGGTGCCTCTTTGTCATGCTACAACTTGCCGTCGCCAACGATGACGGCCGGGGATACCTCGAGCTACTGTTACCTCTGGGGAGAGCCACGCTCCTGGGACTCATCATGCCCCAATCCGATGTTTGCAATTTCGAACCACACTAGATCCAATTGCCATACTTCTCGTTTCCGTCTTGGCCAGACAGGTGAGGCGTTGAATAGTTGCGACCAGGTGCCTCACGCAACGGCTGCCTCAGTGGTGAGCGAGACCGGTTACGGCGCAGCGTGTCCCAGAGCCGACCAAGTCTTGGGCTCAGCACCCGGCGAGGCGGAGCCTTGGGAGAAGGCGAGCGGCGGATCCATTCGTACTCATCAAGCTGAAGGTGCGGGAACCTTGAAAAGTCGATGTACTTCTCCCCAATGTTGACGGTGGACTTGCTAGCCTTCGGGCCGGCGGTCTTGCTGTCTTTCGCTGCTGGCGACCCATCGTCGCTGTCCAAGACATCCGCATAATTCTTCAATCTACTCCCGTTGCTGACTGTATGCTCGCCTGGCGAGGCCGACTGGAACTGATTGACCCTCAATTCATCCTCGGATGAAAGATAGTTCTCATAGTCGGATACTGACCGGTCGTCGGGACAAGACTGGTGATGATTGAGAGTAGGGTAAGCATCTGACTTGGCCTTGTACACCGGGACCTCCTGGGCATGGCCGTATTCAACAGACTCGTCCAAGAATGAACCGTCTCTGACGTAGCTCAGGAGCGACGTCGCGATTGATGCAGTGGATGTCTTCCGCGAGGGGCCACAAATTTCATTTGGTACGCCAACAGGCAGGTCGGGGAGCGGCCGATCCGGCAAGGGACGCTGAAGATACGAGTCTGGAATACCATCGGTAGAACCGTCCCTGAGCGTTTTGCTGGGCTGAGGCAGGTTATGGCTCGTGCCTGACCCTGGGAGCAACTGTGGAGGAGTCCTAAGGACAAATACTTTCTCTTTTCGGGGCTTGCTGCGCTGTTCTGAACCTGGATGGTCTTCATTGGAGCTACTGTCGTCATCGAAGACCGACTCGTCGGGATCAGAGCGGATGATTGGAGGTTGATCCAGGTCTTTCTCGAGTGGCGTGTCATCGATGCTGAGATCAGGAGTGAGGTCGATGCTGTCAGTAAATGTGCTGGTAGAGAATGTATCGAAGATGCTCGAGTCATCGGAGGGAATCAGATTCAGCTGACGCAGGTTTGCCAGAGAACGGTAATGGAAGCGGAAGCTGGCAAAGGGCTCGTCTTTGGGATCGATGAGGTGGAAGTCGAAGAACGTGACGTCTTGCGGATTGTCTATCAACCCACCACTAGGTGCGCTGGTCGTCTAATGTCAGCCATGTATCAACACCAGCGAACAAATTCCGAGACTTACGCGATTCCGTACTTTTCCTGATGCCTGTACTGATCCAGCTTAGCAGCTCTTCTCTTTCGGCCCTTGGCCCGGAAGACTTGGACTTCGATGAGCCCACCGTCCTCCGCAACAGACTTTTCCTGCTCGCCTCCCATGAAATGGAAGTACCGGGCCTCAATTCCCTCTGGTTTAATGGTCGTGCCGTCCTCTTCGTGCTCCCAACGATCACTAGGCTCGTACAGGGCCTTTTCGACCCGGCCCTTGTCCTTGACCTTGGGGTTGATGCCCCATGACGTGATGTGTCTTCCATTCATGAACAACTTGAAGAACAGGTGAATTGGAGGGCTGGACTCTCGTTCGACAACATATTTGATACAGAATTGGGCACCTGTCCGAAGTCAGTAACTTGTGTAGATCAAGGCTGGAGTGGATGCTGTCCGTACCTGGTACAGACGGGATGTACACTGACACCGTCGGGTTGGCTTTTGATACTCGAGATGGATCTTGATGGTTGTCATATGGAGTGCCGAGTTGAACGGAGGACCCATCAGGATGGGGGTACTCAGGGAGCTTGCCGACCTCAGACTGTGCGAGTACGGAGATGTCTATGCCCCGAAACGAAGGCATCTTGTGCTGCACCAGCGGCTGTCAACCGTAGCTCATCAGCCAGAAGGTTGGTCTGGCGTGGTATTTCAAGGGTAACTGTCCAGAATCACACGCATTGACGTCGTGCATGGATACAAGAGTGTAGATCACGAGGCGAGTTGATCTCGAGGCAAACAAGTCCACCGCGGCAGGGATCCCTTCAAGTAACCAATAACTTTGGGAAGGGGGTGGGGAGCAGACTTGAAGGAGGGTGGAATAACCACGGCGTCTGTTTTTGATTCGAAGTCACTTACTCCTGCAGTCACAGCTGCTGCCTCAGCCTAGGAAGAGTGTGTACCTGCCTGGGTAGGAAGCTTCGATCCTGTGGCCCCTCCCCCAGCTGGCTTGGTGCAAACACCACTTAACCGCGAAATCGGACAGCGAATGCAGCCGTACATAAGAAAGCAAAGATTCGCTTGAAACTGACGAGGACGTCTGGAACCATGCACGATCACAGGTCTGCATGCGCTCACATCTCAAGATGATGCTGACCAGGTATCCTCACATGCAGATAGATGCAAATGCACAGCCAAAGGTAGAAGCTTGGGTGTTCTGAGACCCACAGAACCCCTGGATTCTATTCGGCTGATGATTTCCAGCTTTGAATGTACAACGAGACGACCTATGACGCCTTCCACCGTCTATGAGCTCGCTCCAAGAACCTTCTTCGTGTCGTCCTCCTTGTTCAGCAGGCCTAGGTTCCGTATTTGCCCCGCGGTTGGCGCATTCTCTCGTCCTTGATTGATCTCCGCCTTCCTGTACGCTGCCTGTAATGCCAGCACTCGGGCGGCCTGCGAAAAGCGATGTTAGTCCTGGTCTGCTCTGACGCAGCAGCTCTTCTGGGTGTGGCCGACCTCTTTCTTGTGGTGCATGCACTCGTAGTAGTCCTCCAGCGCAGGCACACACTTCTTCTTGCCCGATGTGTCCTCAGAGCTCGTGTTGACGACGTAACATGCGAGCAACTCCTGCCAGAAGGGGAAGCATCGGGACGGACCTGGCGAGTAGAATCGTCAGCGCGGTGTCTCTGTCTCTGTGGGCCGGGGCCATTGGCTCCCGAAGAGGCGACTCACCCCCGTTCAGTCCGTATCCTGATGACATGGCGTAGATGTGGGTGTGGTATCCAGGAATTTGGTTGAGATGTCGCCGGCGAAGTCACCTGTGTCGCATCGCCAAATGATGGCATGAAGTCGAATCCGGACCTCGCGATTGGCAATGGTGGAGCTCCAGGGTGCCGTCCTGCCTGCCGAGGACTGCACAGTGCTCCGAGTGCCAGGATCGCCGTATTTGGTAGCAATGCCCACTAGCCACAGGCGCCACCACTACACGACAGGGATGTTGATTGCCTCCAAGGAATGCGACAGCTTTACGTATAGAGCTCAGCGCCAAGCTCCTTGGATCTTCCTTCTTCCTTTACATCTAGGAGACACAATCTTGTGATGACGCTGTTCTCCTGATCGAAGACTCCAGCAAAACGGGAGAGCATGTGTTGCGTTGATCTCCCACCATGAGTCCCGTTCTTTCAGCCCCGAAGATTGTCCTTCTCGCTGCGCACCTCGCCGCCAAAGCGGATCTCGACAGCTTGTCCTTCGTCGCCGCGCAACATGGCTCCGTGCTGCGAAAGGAGTTGCTTCTGCGCATCCTGCTCACCTACCTCCCCGAGACCCTGAAATCCGAGGAATATGTCTCGTTTATCGACGAGATCGAAAAGGAGGAATATGTCACACACGAGCACTGGGACGTCGACATATCGACTGTGGAACACCTAAGCGAGGAGGACGCTGTCAAGAAGGTCCGCAAGCTGCATCTGCAGAAGCTGTCATGGCCACAGGCACCGGCAGAAGCTGAGGATGATCCCCTCACACTATTTCTGTTGCGCCGGGCACATAACGTGGACGAGGAGGCTGGGCTCTTGACCCAATTACCCGATTTGCTAGTGCCTTTCCTGGACCACTCGCCCTGCATCAGAACGTGGACAATATCGGTCCTGCTGCCTCTACTGCGACGGAATTACGAGTACTACCCCAATGACAGCATTCCGGTGACGCTGTCAGCCTTCGAACACCTAAGCGACCAGGCGGCCGTAGACTTGCTCCTGTCACAAACCGGCCAGCGGGAAGAAGATTACCCTTACATTGCTCGAGATCTCCGAAGTCTGCTAGGACCGTGGTTGTATAGCGAAAGGAGGTGGACTACCAAAAGCCCGGCTGAAGCAGAAGCAGAGGGCGCCGAAGAGGATGGATTAATATGCCCCGGCTGGGAGCAGATGCTAGTGTGGCTCACCGCACATGCATCAAGTACTTGGAAGGTCGCTGTCGAGGCAATAGATCATTGGCACTCGCCAGAGGACGTCGACTTGGGCGGATATGGTCAAATGTGGCTGAATGAGGACAAGCAACAGTACCTGGAGCTCAGATATGCTCGCGCTGCTATGGCTTCGGCCTACCTGATTTCTGAAGCAACAACCGATGCACTGACAGGCGCATACACCATCGTTGCAGAAGTCGCCAAACTTCTGGACGACCCTCTACCACCACTACAGACTGCGGCCTCCAATCTGACCCCAGTCCCAGACCTTGGCAGCACTAATATCATGTTCGCAAAGAATGTCACTCACCTTCGCAATAACCTCCTCGACGAAAGCAACATCCTCACGAAACCATCGAAGCTAGCTACGACCCTCCTATCCGCACTGGTCGTCAGCGCTTTCCTTGCGACACGCGCAGGGTCACCTTGTACACTCAGAAGAGCTGGTGAATTGGCTTTACTACAAGACGAGCGTGAACAGAAGACAGAAGCTCTTAAACTCATCCATGCCATCAGCGAGAATGGTCCAATCTCGGATGACAGGTTCTGGCTCAAAGCTAGGAACGAGATTCTCTGGCTGAGAGACTGGGGCGCAGAAGAGGAGTCAGGCCCGGACGAAGACCAGCATTACCACGGGATATTTGGACGTGTCAGCCGCGAGTTTCTCGAGGTTGAGATCTTGAAGACCCTTTTGGCGCATACCCGTACGTAGCATCCGTGCTCTGCTCCTAGTATCGGGCAACCCTGATTCTGACTTTGTGAACAGGATATTCGCTGGCAAAGTCTCTCTACGAGGACTCGACAGAGCAGCCACTTTCGAAGAAAGTTCTGCAGGACACCATCTACGCCGCAGCCATGAGTGCCTATGACAACGCTTCGAATCCTAACCGCACCAGGGGTGGAGTGAAGAAATGCAACGACATGTAAGTATTATGGGAATTAGTTAGATGATGTAGCGACTGACGTGTCATCAGATTGCATGCCTTCCCGCAGACCATAGAACGGTCATTTGTGGCGACGCAACGGATCGAAGCCCTGCTCAAGGCGACCCATGCTTTGAGTGATTACCGGCTCGTCCTAAAACAGGGCGAGCCGTTTACGCCTGTTGTACTACGCGTGCACCAGGATCCTATCTCCATCATTGCGAAGGTGTTGGAACAAAATCCGAAAAGTTATACCAACATTCAAGACCTCGTCGAAGTGGGCCGTAATATGGTGGTTGCAGGCCTGACGGTTCGTGACAAGTCAGGCCATTGTGCACTCACACCAGAATTGGAGCCGCAAGAAATACTACACACCGAGAGGCGCATCACGGCGATGTGCATCGACGCAGCCCTGACGGAGGATGACTTTGAAACTGCATATTCCTATGTCGTCAACCGGGTGGCAGCTCTGGGCAAACCGCCACAGCCGCTGAGTCGCAAGGCCAGCAACGGCTCCTTGGTGAACAAGGCTGCATCTGTTTCGACTCAACGGGATGATTGGTCATGGAGGGCAGCACTACAAGCCGGCAAATACCGACGCACCTCGCGGACCGTCAGACCTACCCATCTCGGGACCGCGAGCGGCAACCCCAACATCCGGCACCTGGAGCAGAGGATCGAGTGTCTGGCCACCGCTCTTCGGGTCGCCCCTTCCGCGACACTATCAGAAATCCTCAACACGTACCGCCGCACGGAAGAGGAGCTAGATACGGCCATAAGCGCCGAGCAGGAGCAGGAGAATGCCTGGGACGAGGCGGCCGACATGCACACGATGCCCGGCGGGTTTAACGCACCCTCTCGCAGCGCCACTGCGCCAGCTAGACAGCCAGTATCGTCTTCGCGGCACACGTCCGAGGAGGCGCCGATGTCGCTCTTCGACCTGTCGAGAGCCAGCATGCGCTCTGCACAGCGCAACCTGACGGCGCTGTCCAATTTCAACACCACCGCGCAGGGCAGGGGCTTCGACGCATCGGTGGACGCTGGTGAGTCGACGGAGCAGCAGCAGCAGAGGGCGAGGAAGAGGGACCAGCTCAGGGAAGCTGCCGTTGGTAGTTTGACTGCGGGAGTCGGATGGTTGATAGGGGCCCAGCCGACGACCCGTGGTCCTGAGAGGGAATGATGGGGGCTTTGCAAGATGCAATACCAGGGGAGAGGGGTGATGATCTTACAGAATAATGATACCTATTTCTATTTGACATGGAATTGCTGCCTCTCAACTGGCTGCGCAGGATGTAGAGATGCTAACCCATACATATCCTTTTGCCCGCGAGACTGTCCTGGCGAGAAGCACGGTCAGGAACATTAGAATTCCATACGAGGCTCTCGATAGACAAAAGAGCTTTCGACCAATTGAGAATGCGATGAGTGTTAGTGTTTTCTCCTCTATTTTTTTTTTCCTTTTTTCATTTCTTCCCATCCCCATTGGGTCGAGTCGGGTTCCAAGACTGCGAAAATCATACTGTTGATGGCTGTGCTATGTGCCGCTCAAGATCACAAGGGTCCTGTCCCCACAGCCACCCGCCCTTGCCAAAAACAAGCTGTGGCCCGTGCTAAAGCTGGGAAGAGCGGCTCCAGCTCCCCACCATGCCAACCTGGCGGCAGGCTTGTCGCATCATCGCCGCCTCTGTCGAGTCTGAACAACATCACCTTCTCCCGTTCATCATTCCCGCCACCTCACCTTACCGTCACCTCACCCAACCTGCCTTTCAAGGCCTACCTCCACGCACACGTTATCCTCACCACAGCACAGTGGCCTGGCTTGTCTTTCTTTTTGGAGTTCGTGTCGTGTCGTACAAACCTGTGCGACCTCGAACTGCCACTAGTGTCAGCCAACCTCGAACTACTACTGCCTCGCTGACGCTTGCATTCGGTTTTCTCTAAAAATCGGCCATATTTATCGCGCCGTACAGTATCTTTTCCTTTTGCAACTCGAACAAGTAACATCGCAAGCAACCTCCAACACGGCGGCAACCTTGCCAACGACGCGACGATGGGTGTTCCCAAGTTCTTCAGATGGCTCTCGGAGCGGTACCCCTCCATCTCCCAGCTCATAGCAGAGAATCGAATCCCCGAGTTCGACTGCCTCTACCTCGACATGAACGGAATCATCCACAACTGCACCCACAAGGACTCGGGCGATGTCCAGTTCCGACTGAGCGAGGATGAGATGTTCATTCGCATCTTTAATTACATCGAACACCTGTTTGGTAAAATCAAACCCAAGCAGCTCTTCTTCATGGCTGTGGACGGCGTTGCGCCACGGGCAAAGATGAACCAGCAGCGCGCGAGGCGATTCAGGACCGCACTGGATGCTGAGCAGGCAAGGGATAAGGCGATCCGAGAAGGGAAAGAAATCCCTAAGGAGGAACCATTCGACAGCAACTGCATCACGCCGGGGACAGAGTTCATGGCGAAGCTGTCGCAGCAGCTGAGATATTTCATCAACAAGAAGGTCTCCGAAGACAAGGAATGGCAGGGCTGTGAGATCGTGCTTTCCGGCCACGAGGTCCCCGGCGAGGGCGAACACAAGATCATGGAATACATTCGTAACGCAAGAGCACAGCCGGATTACCACCCCAACATGCGGCACTGTCTATACGGCCTCGATGCGGATTTGATCATGCTGGGTCTGCTCAGCCACGACCCGCACTTCTGCCTCCTCCGTGAGGAGGTCACCTTCGGCCGCCAGTCCAAGGTGCAGTCGAAGGAATTGGAGCATCAAAATTTCTATCTCATGCATCTTTGCATTGTTAGAGAATATCTCGAGTTGGAATTCCAGGACTTCAAGGAGGATGGCGCGAATAAGCTGGACTTTCCCTTCGACATGGAGCGGGTTATCGATGATTTCATTCTCATGGCGTTCTTTGTCGGCAACGATTTCTTGCCCAACCTGCCACGGATACACATCAATGAAGGCGCTTTGGCGATGATGTTCAGGATATACAAGTCCGTCTTGCCGAAATGCGACGGCTACATCAACGAGGGCGGCGCAATGAACCTGAAGCGTTTAGGGATTTTCCTTGAGGAGCTCAGCAAGGAGGAGTACCGGTTTTTCGAGCACGAGGTCGAGAGCTCTAAGTGGTTCCAGGCCAAGCGAAAAATCGGGAACGGAGATGCGCCCAAGCCGAAGGGCAAACTCGTCGTCACATCAGAGCAGAAGAAGCTGTGGAAGGAACAGATCAAGCCCTTCCTTACTAAGCGGGCCTCTGAGACTCTGGATCTGGGCATCAGCCTGAAGGCCGCTGATCGCAAGTTCGTACAAGAATTTGCCGACAGCGCCCGCATCAACTGGAAGACTAAGGAAGATGACGACGGGCACCGGCATCTCGTGCTAACCTTCCCGCCGAAGCCAGAAATGGATGACGGTGAAGGCGTCGAAGACTTCGAGGAAGAATCGCAACTTGCTATCAATCGAATTGTCAAGAAGTACGACAACGCGGAGGTCCAGGACGTGACAGCAGAAGAAGCTCAGGCTCAATACGACGTCCTCTACCAGCAGAAGTTCCAAGAGTGGAAGGACAACTACTATGCCGAGAAGTTCCCTGAGTGGGCAGGAAACAAGGAGGCCGAGCTGAAGAAGCTGGCCGAGAATTACGTGCAGGGCCTGCAATGGGTCTTGTTCTACTATTACCGTGGCATCTGCTCGTGGCCCTGGTTTTACCAGTACCATTACTCTCCTCTGATCTCAGACGTTATCAAGGGGCTGGGTGCCGATCTCGACTTCAAGCTGGGGCAGCCTTTCCGGCCGTTCGAGCAGCTAATGGGTGTGCTTCCCGACCGAAGCAAGAAGATCGTCCCTACCGTCTACTGGGATCTCATGACGAACCCCAACTCACCTATCGTCGACTTTTACCCTAGAGACTTTGAGCTGGATATGAACGGCAAGAAGCAGGACTGGGAGGCTGTGATCAAGATCCCCTTCATAGATGAGAAGCGTCTCCTCGACGCTATGGCCACCAAGAACGACTTGTTGTCCGACGATGAGAAGGGGAGGAACGGTTTCAATGTCCCCATCAAGTTCACTTACTCGGCGGATCGCAACTTCATCTATCCATCATCCATGGTGGGCATATTCCCTGATATCCCGAACTGCCACTGTGTGGAGAACATATTCGACCTCCCGCCCACGGAGGGTCTGAACTACCGGCAAGGTCTGATGGAAGGAGCCATGCTTAATGTCTCAGCCCTGGCTGGTTTCCCAAGTCTGGCAACTCTCCCCTACACTGCGACTCTGGGCTTCCATGGGGTCAATGTCTTCCAGCAGGACAGTCGTAATGAGAGCATGGTCGTCACGCTATCCGATTCGGCGGTGCGAACCAAGGTCGAGAACGCGAAGCAGAAACTTGGCCAGCGGTGTTACGTCGGGTATCCATTCCTCCAAGAAGCAAAGATCGTCCGTGTCTCCGACGAGCTGTTTGACTTTACACTTGCAGAGAATGGGTCCGGCGAAGTCGTCGTAAAGGACCATTCCAACAGGGAGATTGACGATTGGTTGAAGAATGCTAGGTATTGGGAGGACTTCTACAGCAAGCGTTTGGGCATCTTGATCGGGGACGTGGAGTCCATGGTCCACGTCGAAATGCTCAAGGGATTGATCAAGACCGACGAAGGTTCCACCATCAAGGAGTTTGGTGAAATACCAGGCATGCGGGATTTCTACGCGTCGCAGACCATTGTTGACGACGTGGTCAATGAGGATGAGCGTTTCACAGAGAGAGCAGCCCTGCCTCTTGAGGAAGAATTCCCGGTTGACTCGCATGCCTTCTACCTGGGCGACTTGGCATATGGCCGGCCTCTCGCGGTGACTGGCTACAGCGACAAAAAGCTGGACGTTATTATCTCCAAGATGAAGAACAAGGAGCCAGACTTTGCGAAGCAAATCATCCACAAGAGCGAGCGCGAGAACAGATACATGCCGTCTTATCAAGTGTCGAAGAACCTTGGCCTTCATCCCCTAGCCTTCAGCAAGATCACATCTTCCTACCAAGTCCTCAGCGTGGGAGATCTCAAAGTCAACTTGGGGTTGAACTTGAAGTTCGATTCGAAGAAGCTGAAGGTCCTTGGCTTCACTCGAAAGTCCGAGACGGGCTGGGAGTTCAGCAATGCGGCGATCAAGTTAGTCTCTGACTACATGGTGAAGTTTCCGGACTTCTTTGCGGGGCTGCAGAAGAACGTGCAAAGCCGGGATGTTAAAGCAACTGATATCTGGCCTGACGAGGCAACGGCGACAACAAGAGTCAAGGAGATTGGCCAGTGGCTCAAGTCAGTCGGTACGAACGGCTTTGCGAAGGTGCCATTGGATGCTGAACAGCTCGACTCCACCGTTGTCATGGAATTGGCCTCGGCATCTGAAGCAGCGTTTGAAGCCTGTAAGGAGACGACTTCTCAGGCAGTCAAGGGAGTGCCGCGGAGCGCACTCTTGAAACCTGGAGACGCAGAGACCCGACTCGGAAACCAGCGTTTCCATTTGGGAGACCGGGTTGTTTATGCGCAGGATATCGGCAAGGTCCCTATCGCCTCTCGAGGAACCGTGGTCGGCATTAGCAGGGTGGGCAGCAAGAACATCCTCGACGTCGTCTTCGACATCACCTTCATGAGTGGAAACACTCTGGACAGCCGATGCCCTGCTTTCCGCGGCCAGACGATCCCAGCCTCGTCTGTTCTCAACCTGACCGACAGACAGGTCGTCATCGGCTCCAAGGCTGCCATGGCGCGGGCGCCCCACCCGTCGCTGACTACGCTCGTGGCGAGCGGTGGCTACGGCGCGCCTGGTGGCAGACAGTTCCGCGACGCTGCTGCTCCTCCACCGCTGACCGGCTCATGGCGCGGTACGGTTAATGGCTCCAACGGCCACGGTCGTGGTCGTGGAGGACACAACGGCCATCCGCCGCAGCGTGGAACTCTCAACATTCAGCCTAGCAATTTGGTGTACCGTCCGTCGCCGAACCAGACACCTCAACAGGACTACCAGCGAGGTGGCCGCGGAGGCTTCCAGAATGGCGCCGCTAGAGGCGGACGCGGCGGTGCCCAGCGGGGACGAGGCGGCGGTGGTGCAGCACCGAATAGTAACGGCCATGCAGCACAGCAGCCATCGTACAACTCCTACCCACCACCCCCGGGCCTTGATGGTAACAGCAGAGGCCGTGGCCGTGGTAGGGGAGGACGCGGCCGTGGGTCACCGGCTCCGCGTGGCAGGGGTGGCGGCCGGCCGCAGTCGCAAGCCGCTGCTCAGAGCTAGAGGTTCTCTTCATCGCCCATCTCAAGACCACTCGTTACCAACCAGCCACAGCAGTCGCAAGACTCGCGAGCTGCTACTCAGAGCTAGAAGCCCTTTCCAGCACACGAACCCGCGCCATCGACTACACCACCAACCAAAGACCATGGTGGTCCGCCAGCACCACACCTAGCACCAGAAGGAACACCACCGGCCGTGACCGTTGTGGATGCTCCGGTGTCCCCTCATTCAGCTGGCGAATGTCATGACGAGGGACATACAGGACCTGCTGATCATACCGAGACTGTGGTGCTGGCCGGGACCGACGACGTAGGTCGCCGCGACGTTAGCAGCGACTCCAGGCATCTTTTGAATACGCTTACATCCGGCCAGGCATCGCCCCAAACATATCGTCATGCCTTACCCGACCCGTTCTTTCAGCCACATTACCACCCTACACGTGAGAATTATTCCTGCTTCCTACGGGGCAGAGATGGGCGGTACTCCGGCGCGCAAGTTCAGCTGGCCTTGCCCAACGACGAAGGCTTGCCGATCTACGTATCCATACCGCACCTCGGGATCCATGGGATCGCCTTCCGCGTCGTGGACGGATCCCGCTTCCGACAGACGTCACAGTCTGTCGCGCAGGCTGATGAGTTGTCAGTGGAGCAGGAAAACGGACATACTACAGAGGCTGATGGCCATCTGGGACATGCAGGTGGAGTGGACGAGGGGGGTGGCCTGGTTGGGGGTATGATGGCTAGGTTGTTGAATATTATTTGGCCTTGGCCAGTGCATATGGTTTGAGGTATTTGTTCCCGAGACGGGTATAGAACGAGACTATGCTCTTGCACGGCAACAGCGATTGGACTTGGAAGAGGAACAGCGATAGAGTACAGAATAGCGAGCGCTGACAGAACAGCGGTGGGATACTTGGTGTAAACTATGATTCTTGAGATTTTTCCCTTTACGTGAGATACGAGAGTCTGGCGGGGATGACCCTCTCTCGGCTCGTGAATGCTTCCTTCCTCTCTTTCCTCCTGCTTTGAGGATGCTGAGCTGGCTTTCTCTCCCATGCAGCGGAGGCCGTCGGATTGACCACGGTTCAGGACAAAGAACGCCAAAATCACGACCTCATCAGGCTCGCTCATGGGAACGATCCACCTCCGGCAGCTTACCTCCCCAGTGTCCGTGCCTCTTAGTCCGATGCCGAGGGTCTCTCATGAGTTTCCCATTGAAACTCTCTCCTCCCCACCCCCTACAAACTGACGATCGTACCTACCAAGTTAGTCCGCGACGGGCGCGCCTGGCAGACTATGCCTTGGTTTTCTTATTGTTGGTCTTCTTCTTGCTGCTGCTGCTGTCGCCGTCCTCCTTCTTCTTGATGGCTGGCAGGGCGAAGGCGTCGCTCGCGCCGCCGGCCGTCGCCTTCCACAGGCCGTAGTCGCGGCCCTGGTCCCAGGTCAGGGCGCCGACCCAGGGCTGGACGTTGTAGTGCAGGCGCAGCTCGACGCGGTCGGTCTCGGCGATGCGCGACGAGGGGTGCGTGATCTGGTACTTTGGGCGCTGGTTCTTGAGGGAGAGCTTGCCTCTGTTTTGTTTCGCGCGCGTTAGCTTCAAGTGATTCGTCCATCGCTGTTTCCTCCTTGGCCCTGCTCCGTCTTCCCAGCCATCCCCTCCTCTCCCGACTTTTGATGCTTACCTGCTTGGGTCTATCGGCTTCCCCGCGGCGCTCTTCTTCAGCTTGCGCAGGGTGGCGGGCCCGATGTTGGCGAGGTGGTCCGAGCTGGGGCTGGTGATGATCTGGTCCCAGATGACGGCCTGGTTCGTGGCGTTGTTGGCATTGTCCCCCGCGGCCGGCCACTCGGCCGTGACGTAGACAAAGACCTGCTTGGTGTTCCAGTTGAAGAGGGAGCTGAGGTCGGCGTCGAGGCTGAACTTGATGATGGCGTACTCCTCGCGCTTGGTCGAGTAGTAGTGCGGGCGGCCCTTGACGACCTGCGTGTTGGTGGGCCGGATGGTGCCCGAGGGCGTGCGCGGGGCGAGCAGGTCGGTCCCTGCTATGAAGGCGGCGACGACGAAGGCGACGGTTGTGAAGAAGCCGAAGACGTTCTGCGCGCGCACGAGGGAGGTGTACATGGCGGGCGGGTGTTTGGGGGGCCCAGAGGGGCCTTGCTCGGTCAGTGTTGGTGTGGTGTTGGTGGTTGTTTCGGGAGAGAGCACTTCAGCTGGTCAGGCTCGGAAGGTATGTGCTATTTTCTATCTTGCAGTCATCGCTGCGAGTTGGTGGTGGGATATACCAAGTAGATATTAGATATCTATTTGGTTGTCGGGAGGAACGTGGCTTCTTGTCCCCGTCACAAGGCAGTAAGATGAAGCTTAGGCCACGTTAGAGCTGCCTAGTAGCGACCTGCCTGCAGTGGCAGTCGGTCCCTGGCTAAGCCTGACAGTCCCTTATCGAATCCCTTATCGCTTAGACTAGAGTGACACTACCTGGGAGTCTTCCCCGAATTTACTCACAACCGGGTTAGTCAGCGACTCATACACACTCCACCTACATCTCGTCCACGTCACGGCGATTTACAAGGGCTGAAAGGGATATAAATTATACACAAACATTCCCATACCACAAGGCTGGAGTCAAGGCCTCTGAGTACTAAATCATCCAGTCTGGTATGTAACGAAATATGTGTGAGCACTGCAATAAAGGTCGCATTGGGGACCACCAGACGGAAGGAAGAAGGAAGAAAGGCAAATGAGCCCTCATCTCTAAGCTATTAACACTGGGGAAGCGCAGCGACTGCGGCACAGGATTGCTATGGCTCAGCATTGTGACCCAGCCATAGGTACCATACGTTCATATCATGAAATAAAGCAGGACCTTATAGGTCATCGCCACCATCCCCACTCTCATACTCCGGCACGTCATCAAACATATCTGTTTCGGTCGCATCAGCGGCGTCATCCTCGCCCTCGTATACAGGCTGGTCCAGAATAAGGTCCTGGGGGACAGGGCTGCCCCCCTCCAGCACGGGTGAGTCCAACCCATCGTTGACGGCTAATTCTTCACCGTGTTTAGCGAGATGGTGACCTGACGAGTGAAGCTTGCGCTTGGAATATGCGCATTTGAAGCACAAATCGAAACCTCCTAGAAACCCAGTCCCGCAGTCCAAGCAGCGGAAATAAATCCCGTATATATGCTGTGGATTGATCAGCAATAGGTATCTAGTTAAGTATTTTCTTTTTATGTATATACCGCTCTGGTACTGCTCATCAGGGTAGCAAATCAGGGCTAGTGGTATAGCCAGTACTTCGGCGCAATGGGAAACGTATGTGTGGGAGAAAACTTACAGCGAAACAACAATCACAGTAGCGTGAAGTGTCAGCGCCACGCTTTCCCCTCCCAGTGGAGCTCATGCCCCTCTCGGTCACTCTTTCTCTCAGGAGGCTGATGATAGCTGGATCTGCTTGATGATCTGAATACTCAGCAATGTCGGCAGCCGACCAGCTTTTGTCGCCTTCGTCAGCCCCTATGCCGCCAACGCACACGCTAGCATCGACGGCCGCGTTATTGAGAAGATACTCAATCATCTCCTGGGGCTTATAGGAAGACGAAGAAATCCACGTGGGTTTGGAAAACCTCGCAGCCCATAGCAGAGGTGTCCAGCCGTCGTCATCCTCGACGTTGATGTCCACCCCGACACGTTGCGAGCGCTCAATCACAACTTCCATAAGTTTCACATTGCCAGAGAGAGCAGCATAGTGCAGCGGTACGCGGCCCACTCGGTCCTTGGCGGCAAAGTCGCCGTCCGGAATGCACAGCTCGTTGAACGCTTCTAGGCTGTTGTAGCATGCGAGATGAGCAGGCTTTCTTTCGAACTGGTCACGGACGTCTATTGACACGCCAGAGTCGGCTTTGTCAAGGAGCAGCCGGATGACACTCGGTGGGGCCATTGCGCTGGCAATGTTGATCGGAAACGAGAGCAGGCCTGCTGGGCGCGTCAACTGTGCCCCGGCGTCCAATAGCATCTTGACTATAGAATCTCGTGACAGGCTGATGGCCGTCATTATAGGCGTGCCACGATTGAGATCCTCGGAGAAATCAATGTTGGCGCCATGGTGCTGAATCAATGTCTTGACCATCTCGATGTTGTCCACCCTGACGGCGTGGTGTAGTGAGGTTCCATAGGTACTGGGCGTATTGACGGATGATTTCACAACGTCTTGGGTCAACCAGAATTTGAAAACATCCATATTGCCAGCTTCAATCGCGGCTATGAGGGGACCTTGACCACTGCTGTTGACGTCCAATATAGCGCCACGGCGGAGAAGTATCCTGATGGTGTTCACCGAGGTATAGGGACTGATGCTGGTGAGGACGTTGTTGCCGAACTCGTCTTTGAAGTCGACAGATGGGCCGTACATTAGGATGGTCTGGGCGAGCTTGTTTGTCAAAGGAGTCGGATTTGCCATCGCCGCCATGAGAAGTGGTGCCTTGGCCCCAGTTTGCTCGACCATGTCAACATCCGCCCCAGCCGCAAGAACCATGCCCAAGACCTCCTGGCAGTTGTCACTCCACCTCACTTTATCGAGAAGTGCGCTCTTCACTGAAGGATGTTTGATATCGGGTTTCTGCTTGGGACTGGACAGGAGGTGCCGAAGGCTCTCTGCATCACTATTTTCCACGGCAAGGGCAATCTGCAGGGGCGGTCAGGAAAGGTTCACATTCAGGATGTGGACATGGAGTGCTGTCCAAGACGAGGGTGTGAGGAATACACACCGATGTAGCTCCGGATTCAACTTCCTTGTTGAAATCTGCCCCGAACTCGACGAGTACCTGGATCACGTCTGTATGCTCCTGGACAACGGCTGTGCACAAGGGCGTCCACCCATTCTTGCCACATGGGGTCTCCAGCGACGGCGCAGCTCCGGACGTCAACAACAATCGGACGACCTCGGAGTACTTATTCAAGGCGTTAGTTCAGACTCGATCTGCTTGTTTCAATTCTCAAGGGGAAAGAAGACTGAACAAATACTCACTCCCTCGTTCGCAGCCGTCCAGAGCGGCGTCCAGCCATCTTCATCAGAGACGAGAGGGTCTGCCTTGTTCTCAAGCAAGTGTCTTATGATGTCGGTCTTCGAATACGTCCCGATGTACAGGATTGCAGTGCTCAAGGGCGCCCGGTACCACCCATCGGTCTGATCCGCCTTTTGGATGTCAGCACCTTTTTCGAGCAGCAATTTGACAATATCAAGATTGCACATCTCGACGGCGAGCGCCAAAGGCGGCGTCGAGTCTTCGGGTGTGTAGTTGGGATCTGCAGCTGTCCAACCTTCGCCGCCGTTAAGAAGGAGCTCGCAAATGTCGTACCGCCTCCGACGAATCGCAAGAGCCAGCGCACTCTGACCCTCTTCGGCACTGTTGGCACCGACACCGTTCTCGAGTAGGATCTTCATAGTGTTATACCTCCCTCTCCTTGCCGCCTGAGGCAATAGCGGTGGTGTCTCTGTAGCTGTGTATTCCACCAGGGGTGCGTGCTGCACGAGTGTTTCAAGGACAGCATAGCAACCCCAACAGCTGGCATGGGTGACCGCCATCCAACTGTGATTGTCAGTTGCCTCAATGTCAGCCCCTTTCTCCAGTAGCAGCTTGACAACATCGCGGTTTCCGCCGTGGACAGCAGCCATCAGGGGCGTCATGTATCTCGATGTCGGCTCCGGGTTTGCGCCATGGTCGAGGAGAAATTGCACCATAGCTAGATGCCCGAGTCGACTGGCTTCAATTAAGGCACATGTCTTGCCAAATTCGAGTTTGGGAACTCTAATAGTCTTGGCGTTGATATTTGCGCCGAGTGAGAGTAGTCTGGCAGCCGCGTCTTGAAGACCATATCTTGCCGCGTAGCAGAGAATAAGATGGAGCCAGTCAAACGGAGTGATTGGCGCTGGGGTACAGCTTTCAATAGGAGATTTGGACTCCTGCTCTTCATTCTGTGGATTCGAACCCTGCTCTCGAGATGGCTCTGAGTTGTGATCCATGTCTGTGCAAATCTTGTGCAGCTCGTTGTCTTTGCCTTGATTCCCAGCACCCTCGTCGTCTTCTGTGGTCTGTGTAAACAGAGTCTCTTGTTGCCGTCGTTCCTCCTCCGAGGTATCCTGAGCCGTGGCTCCCAAGGCGGACCTCGCTGGCGAGTGTGAGGGCGCTTCTGCTGGTTCATGCTCGCCGCTATGAGGCACCTGCTTCTCGGCTGGTCGCGTTTTGATTGCTTTCCATCCCGGCTTCTCATGAGGAGCTTCGGGAATACGCTGGACCACCTCTCGGAATACCTCATGATGTCCGCTTAACGCAGCCTCTTTGACTATGTCGTGCAGAACATCGTTATCAAACTCCAACTCCGTAGGACAGGCTTCATAGAGAGCAAGAAGAGTCGATAAACGACCCATCCGCACACTTTCAAGTATAGCTTCACTCCAAGTGCTCAAATCAATGCTCTCCCTCGTCAATAGAGTTTTGACAATGGAGTCAAGGCCAAAGTGTGCCGCTATGGCAAGAGGCTTTGAGGCCCCAGGTCGTGGCTTCACAAAAGGAGTCTGCAAGCGGCCATATGCTGCGATACAGTTGTTGAGAAGTTGCGTATCGCCAAAGACCTTATTCAGAATTGCATTGTGCCGTAACCCATTTGTCATGGTGTAATGATGAGCCCAGTGCTCCACAGCGTAGGCAAACAATCCGTCGGTCCTTTCATCACCGTCCAAGTGGCTGAGACACTTCAAACAAAAGTCCAATACGTCTGCGTGGCGCTCGCACTCGTTCTCAAGGTGGAACCATTGGCTCTCCGATCTTGGATTTGCTCCTACTGACAGGAGCCAGGACCTCAGTTGGGGATGGCTGAAGCGCACCTCGTCGTCTTTGATATGAAGCAAGCCACCGAAATCCCGTAAGATCTGGCCAGCCTTGTAACTCATGCATGGATCTGTTCTGGATATTCGGTGCTGCAAACAGCCAGTACCGCATGCACGCTCAGGTAATTGGTGCAATGTGACAAATTCGAACACTCGGAGGGGTCTTCGCAAAGTTGACAGCCTCGAAATAACGTTCAAGGCTCGGGATCGGTTCTCCACTGATATCGCTTCCAGAGAGGCCGTGAAGATCTGGTCACTGAGCGGCAGATCCGCCCGAAGCAACTGCATCGTTCTCATAGGATCCGGGCTTGCCTTCATCAAAGTGAGGAGTAGACAACGGAGATCTCCATCTGCTTGACCTGAGGCGTACATCTGCCGAATTTTCTCTGATGTTTGTCCGTCTGCATATCTCGGGTCTTCCTGCAAGAAGAAAGGTATTTCAAGTCTTTCATCGAGATTTTCTTTAGGAGGAACAACCGGTACACCAGAGTAGCTAATTGTGGTGACAGACTTCTCGGGGAACCGTGAGAGCGCCTCAGTGATCTTCTGCCCGTGATTCGAATTTGCAGTGGTGACTATCACAATTTTCAATGGCTCCTCGGTAGACCGAATTTGTCTCTCGATTTTGGAGATGAGCCACAGAGCTTGCGACTCGTGGCATTCGTCGAAACAGCCCAGTACGTATACCGCATCCATTACTGCCCCGATGGAGATCAAACGTTCCCAACAATGATCTATCCCACCTTCCAAGGTCCATGGACTGTAAGATTATATCAGCTGGAGTATCTTTTCTCTCCCTGTGATTTCCAGGGAGAAATTTTAAGGCAGCAAAGGAAAGGAGACAGGCGAAAATCAGAGGGCCCTACTTACATGTAACGTCCTATAAGGCCAACAGTTTCTGGCGTTTTGATAGTAACGGTTCGACCGAAGGCTATGTGCGAACATATCGAGGCAAACCAAGACTCCAAAGAACTGAATCGAAAGTCGTCAGAGTCGAAGTTGAAGTAGAACTGGAATTGCCAAATGTTTGTCTTCATACGCTGGAGGGCGCGAAAACATTCTTCTGAGGTGAGTTTGGCATCAGTCTCACAGCGGATGTGGACAATATGATTCCAAGTTTCAGGCTTCATTAGCTCCTTTAGCTCTGTAGAACCATCCAGTAGGTGCCTGGGACGAGAGAGTGGATACGTGGGTGGCATTTGGTCGAGGACGCGCTGCATTGAGTGGAGCTCGTCTGGATCCCAGTCCCCCCCTGATGTGTTGAATTGTGATTAGCAAAGTATGGATTAGAAGGCTGGCTGTGCCTAGGTAATTGGCACACTTACATAGCCAGTCGGAATCAGGTTTGCCCTTGAGCGGATGTACGGTCTCATTTATTGGGCGTGGCAGATCCAGATGGGACCGAGCATTGCTAAGAACGATTTCGCCATCGACGCCAAAGGAAGCGATAAATGAGGAGAAAACACTCTCAGAAATCTCTGTACGAGAAGAACAGTAATTCACTAGTAAAGCTTGGGTAAGAATTTGCGTGTGGATGAAGGCTCCATTGATCTCAGTCACTGTCTGGGACAAAGTTGAGGCGGTCTTGACCTTGGGTCTCAACTGGAGGCGCAGAGACAGTAGCCTGAGTAAGTTCTCCTGCAAATCACTGTTTCCGGTTGAACGATGAGGACAGCCAAAAAATATCTACGACGATGGGTTCGTTAGATACTTCTCCGCTGAGGGCTTTCTGAAGACGGTCGTGACTTACAAGAACCCGTGTGGACCGGAGAATATCAGCATACTTCTCCTTTTCGTAGTGTGCCAGAATCAGGGCCTAATTATATCTCAATTAGTATATACCTACGGAAGTAGTGAACCCGTCTTGCGCAGCTTTCACGATACTTGAGTGCAGTGCCCAGAATGCTTACCGCTTTAACTACCAATCCTCCTACATCGTGAGATACCCAGAAGACGGGACGGCGTGCACCCTTCCAAGTCAAGTCTTAGTATTCTGCCTACTTATTGCGCTTTGCCGGAATTGAATCCCAACTAACCTTGATTTCCTCGCTACGGACCTCCAAGAGCTTGGCGAGAAGCTCTTCAGCCATCTGGTAGATACCACTCAATGTATAGCAGCTCTTCAAACTGTCGTTTGGATCATAACCGTACGAGACGACTCGAGCAGCGAAGGAAGTTCCTTCGGAAAAGGCATCATGCAACCACAGACGTTCTGGGTTGTCGAATGTGGCCCAAGTCTTGTTGCTGTGGCCACAAAGACCATGAACAGCAACGACACTTGATATTCGAGGTTAACGGTTTATCCAGAATTTTGTTTCGGAGTCTGAGAATTGGATTGATGCAAGGGGAGTTAACCACTCACTCAATACCAACAGATGTTCCTAGCCAGGTGGGATCAATCACCATTGCCCCCGTCTTGCCCTCATCTTCCTCAACGATATTCAAGGGTCCCTCAGATCTCGCCATGGCTTCTTCCTTTCCGTCGTCGACACGGAGGTTGCCTGAGCTGCTTAATTAGATCGTGACCGAATGTCACCTTATTATTTCGACCGGCATCACCCTCATCACCCATTCCGTAGCTGGTCGTATCTGTTTGGTATTGACTGACGTGCTAGACTGGAAGGACGCTCTCTGCGAGTGGAAGCAAATACGCCCGAGACACACGGCTCTAGGCAAAAGCCAGTACGGTGAGGTTCGAAAGGGCAGGAATCACCCGGGATTGGGTGCCCGCTCGTGGCGGCAGCCAGATGACGATCTACATTCTCTGTACCACTTGCTTACTAGAGCAAGTGCAGAATCCATGTCACCCGAGTTGCCCTTTTGAAGCTGATGGTTGCATGCCTGCAGGAGCTGAACACTCGGCCACAAGTAGTGCTCGCGGTGTACCAGTGACTTTGGTTTCGTTCCTTGCAATTCGGAGGATTGGTGGCTGACAGGCTATAATGCATGCCGGTATTTGCTGTTCCGGAAGCCAACCCGAACCAGGCCAGCAGCCTAGAGCCACTGCAGGTCCCCGGTGGGCCTCCAGGTGTCTTTTCCAGAATCCACCACAATACAACTAATAAGTAGCCTCGCCACCAATCGCAAAGGGGGCCTGCACATCCATTCTGACTTCGCAAAGACTATCAAGGCTGACGTTGTCCAAGTTTTCGGTGCCATAATGGCGACCTTTCTTCGCCTTCCTCCCTGTGAGGCGTGAATTAAAGAGGACCGGATCATCCAAAGGGACCTTCTTAAACTTGGAACGCAACCCCGTTGCAAAATCGCAGTCTGCCTCTAGGGTGACCTTGGCGTTGAAAAGTTCACAATCAGTCCGACGAAGAAGAATGGCAACGGTCAGCGAGTCCGGCACTCCGGATTTGCGATGCTTGTTCTCCAACAGGTTCCATGCCGCTGCAGTCGGGTCGCCTTTATTCCGACCCGTCCCAAGGTTGATAGACCCTATGACTTTTGTAGAGTCGCTAACATCGCGACTCCTGGTTTTCTCCAGCTTCGCCGTGGCGCTGATGCTGGCCACAGATGCGCCAGAGACGCCCAGGTTCAGGTCGCCACCTCGCGTGGTCGACACCTGGTCTGTAGTCGACATCACCGTGAAACGCCCATCGGGAGCGATGGACTCGACCACTGGGCAGTCATCATCCTCATCTGCGGCGAAAAAATCGATTTTCACCTCTCCACGGAGCACACGGCTCGAATTTTTGCGCGGGTCGAATAGGAATCGGAGGACCATGAGCGTTCCTTCGTCGCCATCGCTAAGACGGCCATGTGTGACGTCAAGAAGCTCCACGCGGGTATGAACATTGCCTCCTGTTCTCTCGATAATGTTGCGGCGCTCGAAGTCGGTCATCGAAGTGTTCTGGGTCCGGAAGGTGTCTTCCTCGCCACTGACAACATCCTCAAGCCCGATATCCAGACTCAGAACAGCTTCATCCACTTCAGCTCCATCGATTTGGTCGGACTGAACAACGGTTTCAGACATGGTGCTCTGTAAAATAGAAACAAGATCAGAATTAAGGCACTTGACGAAGCGATGAGACCATCATGGCTCGTATTGAATACCGCTGGCGTCAGCTTCTGCTTTAAGTATCTCGCAGACTAAGTCATTAGTTTTCTCAGGTGGCGGCCTATTACCCAGGTAATCGTGGAGGTCGCTGGTACTTTCCGGGTACATTAGCATGCACAACCTCGACCCGATTAGGCTAACACGGCCGTCTTACATGCAGATGACCTTCGAACGCGGTCAGCAAGCAAGCGATACTACTGGAGGGGAAATCTAATAGGCCCAGTAACACATGCAATACAAAATGAATCTGTTCCGCTGGTCGCATCCTTCTGCACTGCCTACCTACAGGTGTGCAGCTTCAGTGGCGCGTCTGCCTGATGGGGATATGCATGTAGCAGCGTGTGGCACGTTCTGTGTCACTTTCACATTAGCATGAGTAAAAGAGGCCACCGAGCCGAATATTAGGAAGACGATAAAATATGGTCTGCATGGGCGATTGCGTGACGCTGACACTCCGAACGTGCGGCTAAGTTCTAATAGTTTTGGACTTGCAAAACTCTTATGCCCACCTTGAGAGCTAATCATAACGAATGCCATTAAGCTGTCAGCTCGTGCTTCCAAACGTGGTCTCGATACCAGATATCGATCGCGCAACGCAAATATCCCCTCAGGCCGCCTCGATCCGCCAAGTTACGGCGCTCCTCGGAGGACAGCAACCATGGATCTTCACGATGATGACGATGGAGAGTTGACTCTCGATCCCGTCGGGCCCCAAGAAGGGTCTTACGTAGAAGACCAAGCCGAGGAGCAGTTCAAGAAAGATTACAGGGAAGCACAAGATATGCAAAGAGAAAAGGAGCTGCGGAAGAAGAACGAGAAAAACGCCAGTGGGGACCTGAGCAAAGAGAGGACGAAGGAGATGGAATCACAACTGGAGGCTAAGTTCGCTGAATTTGCCTCTCGACGAGAAGCGCACTGGGGCGCCACAACATCCAAGGACCGGAACTTCTTGCACTACCTCGCGTACGAGAGTCTCTTGGGCGTGGCGTATTACCCTCAAGCACTCGTCAAAGTAGCAAGCACTCGGCAACCACATTTAATGGGTGCTTTGGATAGTTCAGGACGTACACCTTTGGCAGGTAAGGCGACGACGTTTGGACAAAATTCTTCGCAAATCCGAAATTTTGAACTGATTCTTTTCTATTTATTAGTTGCAATTGCCGAGGAAAATTACTATTTTTGCTACAACGCAGTCCTGCGTCTCAACGCAACGGAGGCAACGAATCTGGGCGAGCAATTGAGAACCGAATGCAGAATAGGCTCAGGAAACCCTAACGTGGATGGAGAGAGGACCACTTGCCTTCACGCCGCGCTCTCAGCCACGTTCTACAAGAGTCGCAAGATCAACGCCGAGAAGTTCATCACGAAGATAATCAGCCTGGTACCCAACGAAATGTTTACCCAGACGGACAGCAGCGGCCGGACACCTCTGCACCTAGCCGTCCAGTATGAAAAATGCCTCCCATCTCAGGAGAGAATCGTTTTGAAGCTATTGAAAGAGGGTCCTGCGGCTATCAACTGCAAGATCAAGGGCGCGGGTGGCTCAAGTCTCTCCATTTTCCAGTTCCACGAGGAGAGCAAGACATTGTGGGAGAAGAAGCTCAGAATGCAGATGGCAGCTAAGAATCAAAAAAGTCTGCCTCTTGCACAACCAGAACGAGGCCAAACTAAGCGGGGAGACGACATGGCCCCAGGCAAAGAAGAAAAGCAGGCAAAGCCCAGCAGTGATATGTGGAAGACGGAGTCGAAAAAGGTTGTCGAGTCGACCGCCAGAAAGGGGGAAATGCTGCCGCCGTCGTGGTCGACTCTGAAAGACAAGCCTCTAGCTGAAAGAACGAACAAGCCTGATGCGAATGTCGCCGTGCGGAGGAACTCCATCACGAGTGCCAGCACTCCGGTGACAGAGCGACGAGCAGGGGGCTCATCTCAGATAGGAGCGTCACCAGTCATCAAGGCCCAGGATTCCGTCGCGGCCCCGCCCAAATCAGCTGATAGACAGCTTGAGGATCACCTCGAGGGCTTACGAGAGACAGCTGCTGCGGTTTCTGAATTGCTGAAGCTGTTTTGTTTGAGGAACAATGAACCGGATATCGCGTCTCGTTTTCTGCGGAGCCCCGATAGCCTAGGGAAACAAGGTAAACATATGGTCTACCCCCAATAACATCAGACTACGCATGTGATTCGACTGACCATATAATCCTAGACAAGGCGCTGTGGTTCGACTTTGGACCGCCAAGAAGACTCAGTATGAAAGACTTCACCAGAAGCAGCTTTCAGTATCTCGAGTTTGAGTCTATTCTTCAATACGTGGCGTTCCCTCATATCCAACTTGTGACAAAGCAAGGTAATAGTCAAGAACAGTTTCCAATGGTAGCCTTGTTCAACTGGCTGCGGGCGGAGGGGCGTGGTGTTAAAAGGATCATCAGAGTCATAGTAGATGACCTTGAGTCTCCATCACACACTGATGTGGCCATTGAGCAATCTCTGGCGGGTTTTGTGAGTTAGTCCTGACAGTCTCGTTCCCAGAGCAGAGTTCACATGTGCCCAGTCTGGACTGACGTGGTCTTAGAAAGTGGAGGTGTTGGACTGGAGGCGAAAAGACTTGTGCCCTGCCTCCCTTGCAAAAGTCGGCGACCATCTGAGAGAAATCAGTCTCTACTGGAGTGGAAGCAATCCAGTTCTTCGTGCGTGGTCTGAACCTGATGGACTGGCTCAACTGACCAGCTTGGAGACCATCAACATTATTCAGGTCAACGTAAGTGGGCAGACTCAACCCAACTTTACAAACCTGGTTGAATATACTGATGGAAACCATAAAGGTTACAGAATCAGAGGACAGGATTAATCAGAATTTGGAAGACTTTGAGAAGAGGTTGTACAAATCATGGCTCCTTCGCGAAGGCAGAAGCAAGCCAAGGGTCCTCATCCACCCACAAATTCGGGGCCTTCCAGGCGATTTGTCTCAGCCTGAGAAAGTCTTACCCGGTTTCACAAGTTCACATGACAAGACTGTAGACTCACACAGGTGGATTGAATGCATGAAGAGGTTTTCGAACGAGTTTCGTCAGATCAAGGAGCTGAGGGAGGCTCGAAACAAGGTTGATTCTCGTCTGGGCCCTGTCGTGGTAGCTCTCATTGACGACGGTAAGCTTTCTTAACCCTACTGGCGCTGGTTTCAGAACTCAAGAACTCCGAGTAACTAACAGGTAATGAAAACTCACAGGCACTGATATCCATCACCCCGACCTAGACCTGCAGAAGAAGTTTGACGGCGAGAGCTTCTATAAATATAAGGAACGGTCCGGTGCCCGTATGGCTCCTTGGTGGCACTCGGAAAGCGGGTACGTGATTATCATGGATGTTTTGGGGCGTGTGTTGTGCTCCTCAATTTGATGAACAGAATGCTAATCGGCCCTCAGACACGGAACGCTCATGGCCCGCCTTATCGCAGGCATCTGCCCTTCTGCTATTATTCATGTTATCAAGCTGCATACAGTATGTGATACTCTGATCTTTGGCACACAGCCCATTTGCATCCACGGGGGTGTTCTGTGAATTGGGAACTGACCTAGAAAATGTGTCAGTTCTGTGCTGGCGGGTCCACGAAGCTTCAGATCGATCCCAACAGCGCTGTTGAGGCCATCGCACACGCAATAAAACTCGGCGCTCACATTATTTCCATGTCCTGGACGATCATGCCGCCTGAGGAACCAATGAGGAAGAAGCTATTCACCGATGCCATCACGTCGGCCATATTCAATTCAAAGGACACGCTCATGTTCTGCGCTGCCTCGGACCAGGGCAAGTATCCCGACCGCACGTACCCACACGCCGTAAAACCCAACATCTTCCGTATCGGCGCCGCCGCCGCCACCGGCAAGATCTCGGACACAGTCGGGGACCAGCAGAGCCTCAGTTTCATTCTTCCCGGCCAGGACGTGGTGATTGACAACTGGTACAACGACGTGGAAGACAAGACCCTTGCCGAGTTCGAAGCACACACGGGGTCATCTGTGGCCACGGCACTCGCTGCCGGACTTGCGGCTTTGATTATCGAGTGCGTTCGGCTTGGGGTGATCCACACAAATAACAGCCCACAACGACAGCAGGAGGACCCGACCCTCGCAATCAAGGCGAGCGACTTGGAGCAGATCCGGGACCACGAGACGATGAAGACGGCCATGTCCTCCATCGGGACGGATAGCAACACGGACCATCTGTACCTCAAGGTGTGGGAGTTGTTCGACGCTGGGAAGCTGAAGGCTGCAAAGAGGAGGCCTGATGGTGAGCTTGAGTTCATCTCAGGTCTGGCACGGCACTTCTTGCGCAAGGGCATTACGTAGATTCTCAGAACACATGTGTGAAATAGACGTGTCCTTGACTACAAGGGGCCCGTCCTGCATTTGTCTGCCATGGAAATCCTTCACCAGCTGCTTTACCAGCGCCCTTAGTCGGGAGTCGGGCAGACGCCACTTTCCATCTTGGTATTGGCGACGAACGGAAACAGCTCTGCGGGCCGTGGTCGGTTGGTGTTGATCTTCCTCAATACCGGCGGAGGCTTGTTTTCCTTGAGACTGTGGCGTTGGCTTGGCTTCTTAGTCTGTTATCTGATCAGCCCTAGTGTGGGATTCATCATAGCATCCCCAACATGTCTGAAAGGCTTCCAGAATAGGGGACCTGGAAATTGTTGATGTGGAATGATATATGTGAGTCCATCCCCTCCAGAACATACAGGTTCCCACTAACACAGTGAATCAAAGTGCCGTGTCAAAGGTCTCTACAGTTACCATATGGCTTTTGATAAATCAGAGTAACTGACATCCCATAGGGATGATGAAATAATCTTCACAAGCTATCGGTATAAGTTACCTAAATGTCAAGTTCTGTCAATCCTCCTGTCTCACCACATGTATACTCAGGCTTCCTTCTCATACCATGTAACCACCATGGCCATAAGTAGATCCCCCCCCCCCCCCCAACCATACACTATCACTACACAAATGAATTAAATTTATTTGCACCCTGGTTGAGCAACTCTGAAGCTATGTACACTGCAATTTAATGAATGAATAGAAATTCTCAAGGCAACTAGATACACATAAGCTGGTCTTAATTCAAATATTTACAATAAGAGAAATTTAAAGTTAAAACCTAATCCTCTTATAACCACCATGATCCGGAAAGCAAAATCTCTTTTTAAAACCTTTCTAGCTTTATATCTTAATATAACTTAGTCTAATGGCTAGCCATTTTAAAGCCATATGCTTGGGATAATACAGCTAATATTACTTTAATATAATATACATTAGCCTTTCTAAACATTAACTAAGCTAATGCAAAGCATAAGATACCCATAATAACCATCCCTAGACCTAAGACAAATTTTAAATCATAATGTTGATCTATAGCTGAAGAGACTACACTAGTCCAATGGACAGTGAGTTCCATCACCTACAATGCTTACAGACAACTTTCAGGGACCTTGCTGTCTGTGACGGCTTGCCATGCAGTCACTGATCAGTGTTGGTTTAGCTAGTCTGTATGGGAGGGAAAGTACTTCAGAGAAAAACAAAGATTGTGGATGCAATTGGGTCATCTCTGCTTATATAATGAAACATGAAGTGTCACCATTACACCACATGCCCGTTTTATTTCATTGTCATTTTAAGAATGTAGCAATATATATATACAAATTAAATGAGAGAGCTGGAACTCTTCCCTACAACAACCTGAGTCCAGGATCTGCAGGGTTACTGACAGGACAACACCCCCCCCCCAACAACAACAACAGCGCTCTAGACTAGTGAGCACTATGCACCCCTAGGCAACTCTCGTTCAAAGGAGACTGTTTCTTCATTCCTAGGTAATGAATACCAAGCTTGGTAAAGCACATATCCCTCACCACTTCAGAATAGTCACATCCCAACCTTATGTGCAGATCCAGGGCCAGCTGAACAGGAGGTATGACTATAGAGGTATTTTGAATTAGACTGCCTTTGTCCACATGCTGCTCTACTATATCAAACGATGTTCCTTAAGCCTCACCTCTTTTGAGCATTTCAGTGCCCTTCCGAAACATCAGCCCGCACGCACAACGCTCGCCACCCAGTAACCGTCTTGGAATACATGTTGTAGCACCACCAAATAGAACACACAACAAATCGCCCTTCTTGGCAGCCGTCCGTGTAAGCACATATAAACCCCTTGTCACCGTCGTTGTGAAACGCACGCCCTGCGCGATGATATTACACCGAAGTTGTGAAGAACTCGGCATTCCCGTTTTTGCCAGATCGAAATAGACGCATCACCGTCCGCCCTCACCCTCCCTCTTGGGAAACGCCCTCACGAGATACATAGCCATGTGAGCGGCGCGCGTCGGCGTCCTCGCGGGCCCACTTCTTTACTCTTGAACGGCATCCGGGGCACCGTCTCCATGTACGCCCACAACGCACTTGCATTCGCCCGGCTGACGGCCCTGATGGCGTCGTCCTCCACCGCAGGCCGGTACTCTATCCGCGAGTCCAGCCCCCCCCCCCGGGGGGAGCCGCAGAGCCCATGTTAGGGCTGGAACAGCAGCCGGGCCTTTGCTGCATGTCGCTGCCGCCCGCCCTCGGCAGCGAGGTTGGCTTTGCGGAACTTCTTCGCGGGGATCTCGCCCGACACGCTGTTTATCGCATCGAAGATAACGCTCCTGAGCGTGGGGACGCGCCCGTCGGCGGAGAAGGTCACGTCTGCTGGCCTGCGATGTCAAGAGTCACAGAACAGTGGAATGTGGCCAGGTGCCAGAAAGGATGAAATCCCCACAGCGAATATACGGCAGCCTTCTCACTCACAGGTCGCCGAGGTTCTCCCAGCATGCGATGACTGAAGGGAACCTCGTCGCACCAGCGTCCAATCCATGGGAGAGTGTGGCATTAATGGGCATCACTAAAAGACATCGATATCAGCAAGCTTGTAAAAGACACCATGTGTGTGTGGACTGGAATGGAAAATTCCGGGTTGAGCAAGTCCCAGGCCACAGGGCCATTTCTCCGTGTGCAAGTTGCTGTTTGTTATATCATAGGGCTGCCAGATCATATTTACTTGGCCTAGGTCTGACGGAATAGATCATCTCCCGTGATAAAATAAGCTTCACCCATGTCGCAGTTGCGCTGAAGTTGGAACCGACGACATCCTTTCGCTCATTGGGTAGGTTAATTATCCCCTGTAAGCCGGGATCTACCACTCACGACGAGGTTCAGCGCACATCCCCATCTCCCAGCCGGCAGGACCCCTCACTGAATGGACTGTTTTGCTCGGAATCCCGCGTCGATAAAAATTTCCATTCACTCTGTCCAGACAGGAAGGATGCGATTTCCACCTCATCACGCTTTGTAGTGCTCCACTCGACGGATCTATGCGCATGTGCTATGCATCAGTATTACACAGAGAAGGAGTCCCTCCCCTCCTCTTCCTCCTGCGGGTCATGGGTATGATGACGTCCTCCGAATTGCTCCCCCTTTGTCCATTGGCAATTGCCCCGAATTACCGCCTCGTATGCTCCTTTTCCTCCCTCCCGCCCCGAAAATGCGTATGATAAATTGTTGCTTTGTATGCCGTGTGTATGCCGAAGAAATATGGTATCGCTAACAAAATGGAATCGTGCAGTTGGTCCTCATCTTTTCGGTTGATGAACCAGGAGGTACAGGGGCTCATTTCTTCACAGCTTCCTCCTCCTGCGGCGTCGGCGCCGTCACCAGGACGACAGTGTCAGGAGTACCCTCCCTGATTGACCGTTCCTCCTCCTCCCCGCCCTTCGCCGGCGCCCAGGGCGACCCCGGGTTCTGGTCTTGATCTGCCGCGGCCGTGATTGGGGATGCCATGGGAGACGCTATCTCGGGCTCCTTGCCCTTGGGGCTGGACGGCGGCTGCGACGCCACCTGCGTCCTGGAGCTGTCGCCCTGCTCCAGGATCGGCCGCGGCGGCGGCTTCAGGCCGTCGTCGTCGCCACCCTCCCCCGCGCCAGCTGCCGCATCCCCGGGGGACACCACGCCCTCCAGCGGGGCGGTGTCCGCCCCCGCCGGCGAGGCTCGGAGCCGCCCGTCGGCCTTGAGCACCTCCGCCGCGAGGCCCCTGAGGCCCGTGAGGATGACGTGCGGCCTCTCCCAGGCTAGCAGGCCCGGCACCCCCTGCGCCCGCTGCGAGAACAGCACGCTGTAGTGCGCGTTGGCCCACGCCGGGCAGACGTACCCGGCGCCCGCGTCGGCCTTGGTGGGCGCATCCACCTGGACGGTCCTTTCGTTTCCTTCCGGGAGGGCCGCGGTATCGGCTCCCCCGCTCCTGCCTCCTGTCCCCGTCTCCCCCAGGAAGACTGTGATGCCGACCCTCGGTCTCGTGGCTGGCTTCTTGGCCGCCTCTTTCCTTGCGTTGTTGTTGTTGTCGTTGTCATGCGTGGCACAGTGTGCCCAGAACCGCATGGCGTATTCCGGCCCGGGCAGCCACGCGAGATTGGTGAAGGTGATGATCTGCTCTGGCGTGAATGGCAGCCTCGGGGCGAGTAGGCGCAGGCCCTTGAGGGCGAAGACGAGGAGCCCCGTGGGGGAGTCGCACATTGCGTACCTGCGGCAGTGTCAGTCCAGAGAGCCTCGTAGACGAACTCGTCTGAGTCGACGTCTGCGGAGATGGTGCACAAGCGTGCACTGCAGCGGGACCCACGCTGGGCCAATGATCGAGAATAGCAGCTACTTACGCGAGTGTGTTTGGCTCCTTCAGCCCGACATTGTCCAGGCCGAACTCGGACGGTGTGAGCGCCTTCTTCTTCTGCGCCAGGGCAACGGCCGTCTGCTTGTGCGCGGAGAGGTCCTCCTTGCTGTACCCCAGGATGGGCGCATTGAGCACGGTGGCGATGGTCCACTTGGCCCACTCCAGGGGCGCCTCGGACAGCTTGGGCGAGCACAGCGGCGGGGAGATGAGGTGGGCGCCGAGGCAGGCCCCCGGGTAGGCGGACGACAGGCTCTCGACCAGCTTCCAGTCGATCCTCGCGGGCGACGACTGCGCAGCGCCCGAGTTGCTGACCAGGTAGTGCTGGTAGCCGAGGCGCAGCATGAGGGTGTTGAGCATCTCGGCCGTCGCGGGGATCACGGGGGTGTTGTTCGGGAAGGGGTCGCTGAAGCCGAGCCCTGGGAGGGCCGGGATGACCAGGTGGAACGGCTGGTCCTGGGACGCATCCTCGGGCTCGGTGAAGGGCTTCACCAGGTGCGCGAGGGCGAGGTTGGAGAAGGGGAAAGGCGGGATCAGCAGGAGTGGCAGGGCATGGCTGTGAGGCGACGGGGCGTGGATGAAGTGCAGCCGAAGGGGCGCCTCTGAGGATGGGGTCGATATGGCGGTGCGGAACTGGGGAGTCTTGTTCAGAGTCTCTTCCTGCTCGCGCCACGAGTATTTCTCGAGCCTGCTGCCGTGTCAGCACGGCCCTGACGCCAGACTCCAGCCTCCCGTGACGAGTCGTCCCATATCCCACAACCCGGGCAGCTCTACTGCCGGCGAACAGGGCGACTTACCAGAAGTCAATGAGCGGCTCTACCTGAGGCTTCGGCTCCCACCAGTCCTCGGACGGAGGCTGTGTGCTCTCGTGCGGAAGACGAGTCAGCTCCAGCTTCTGCCTCGTCAGGTCGAGATATCTGCTCGAAACCTGCGGGTGGCGTCAGCAGCCTGCCCTTGCCAGCGACGAGAACATGTACGTTAGGGGAGGAGGCGACTCACGTGGATTTTGTAAGGCTTGATCTCGTCGCCGGACGCCACCGGCGGGGCCTCTTCAGTATCGGCCATGATGCTACCGCGATGCCACACACATTATCCAACCTCACGGGCAAGTCTTGGCACAAGGATCACAAACAGGAATCAACATGTAAATCCTAGAGCGAGCGTGAGTTTCTTTCAGTCGCAGAAAAATGAAAATTTCATGTGCGATGATGCGACGCGAAAACAGGATTGTAAATGGCAAAATAATTCTTGACGACACCTATAACAAGAAGGAGATATGGGATAATAAACACGCGCGCTGCCTCTTCAACTTTCCCATCAACGACCGGTCAAAACAGGAAAGGCGCCTACCAGACTATGTAGCAACTTCAAGGGTCCAGATTAACAGGGCAGCTATCATCCTGGCGACGTGGCTTGACATGCCCCCAGTCGCAGATGTGGCGTCGTTTCCATACAAAATGTCCTTCTTCAAGCGGCACGGAACCAGCACAACTTCTCGAAAACGGCACCGACGTGGCTGTGCTGCATGCCCGCTAACAACACTCCGGAAATGATCGACCCCTTTCTGGTGCTTCCTGCCGAAGGTGATCCTCGAGGGTCCCCGTCCTTCCCGCGGCCAGGATTCCAAGGAAACCGCCCGGTTCTATAACGAGAATGCCGGTGTACCACCACAAGCGCAACCGGAAACTTGGAAGGAGACGACGAAAGAAGAAGACGATCCTGCTCGTGTGAGAGTGGCGAAATTTCTGCACGGCATTTCAGACACATAGACACACGCACACACACACACACACACCACCTAGTTCTTGCGGGCTGCCTCCGAGACATGCATGCACTGCATGTCGCGACCGACTCGCACGCCAGTGTCTGTCCGCCACACCCTCTCACACACCTCACACATATTGGGGGCCCAAAGTGTCACGGGCTGACGGGCAGTGGCGAAAAATCTTCCCCACGAGATCCCTCCGGCGCAAAGCGCTGGGGAACAGGTATCCTGGCCAGCCCTGATTGGCAAATTGCTGTTCGCGTCGCATTGGGATATTCAGAACCGTGGGTATCAAGGTTCAGAGTAATAAGCTTATGGCCGCTCCACAGCACCATCTTCTGTATCTACCGGGAGGCTGGCTGCCCAGTGGCGACTCGGTAGCTACGTGCAGGAGGGTGTCACCTCAGACCCCCAAAAGCCCTCCCAGCAGGCCAATGGGCAGCGGACCGCGCGCAAACTGCAGCAGAGGCATGGCATGACGTCTTGGCATGTGAGAAGCAGACACACCGCGCGCGCCTAGACTACCTCTTCTTAACCGCCGTGTCGGTCAAGCACAGCCGGTCACGGGCCAGCGAGCGCATCACGGGGGGAAAAAGGCATGTGTCAAGGGTGATATATTCCTCGGTATTAGCCTTGTATTCCAGATCTTCGCATCACGACTGCTCTTTAGAAGTGGTTGAGCAGCGCCGCGCCTCAAAGGTACGAGACGCCAGTCATTCCATCCCCTTCTCACAAAAGGGGGGAGGGAGGAGATAGGGGAACAGGCTCTATGCACGCCCGTCCCCAGAGAAAAAAAGGAACCCGCTCACTAAAAGGCCTCTTCTCACCGACTGAATGGACCTGGCTTCACTGGCTCCGCAACGAAACAGCTGCATATGTAATACAATCGCTATGCGTGTGACCCCAAATCCCGTCGCCGCCCCTCCCGGCATACACCGGTTGTTGCCCTCCCAGCATGTCTTAACCCAGCATCACCCTATTCCTAACTCCGCGCAGACGGGTTAGGTGAGCCGCCCGCAGCGGGGCCGCTGCCGCCACCGCCTGCGCCCTGGCCGACCTGACTGTAGCCCTGCTGGGCGGGGCCCCGGAGGTTCATGGCGCCGATCCTGGAGACGATGTTGCTGCCGACCGCGTCGACGGCCCCGCGGGGGCTGGTCAGCGTCGGGCCCTCGGGCGCCGTCTCCTGCACGCGGAACAGCTTGATGCCCGTGCCGTTCCAGATGCCCACCGTGCCCTTGGAGATCTGCATCTCGCTGCTGAAGATAAAGCTCCAGATCAGGGACTCGTACCACCCCAGCGCCAGCGGCGACCACTCGAACGAGTGCACCCGCACCGGAGACGGGTCCACCCCAACTAGCTTCACCTGGCTGATCTTGCGAAGCGTCTCGGGCGAAGCGTGGTCCGCGATCAGCGCCTGCCGCGGCACCAGGGCCGATACCTGCGGGATCGCGCTCAGGATGGTGTGCAGTGGTAGTTCTGGAAGCCAGCTGTCGATCCATTGCGGAGTCGGCTCGAATTGGCCGTTCATTGACTGGCCAGACATGGAGTATCCGCTGAGGCTGGTCATGCTGTTCTGCCTGGAGAAGTTCTGTATGCCGGCCGGCATCTTGCCCCTGGCCTTCTCTGACATGCCCCGGAGCTGTGTTGGGACCGCGTCCTCGACGTTCGACACCACCGAAGACGCCCGTGATGGATTTTCGCTTGGATCGGATTGCGAGGGCGTGGGACGCTCTTCGTCACTGTCATCCTCGTCATCGCCAATGGTAAATGTGCCGTCCTCCTCGGGAACGTTGCTGAGTGTTGGTGGCCGAGAATGGCCCGTCACTGGACTCCTCAGGCTCTCAGCGGAACTTCTGGTGGAGTCAATGTCTGAAGAAGCTCGAGCATCCTTTCGCCGTCGATTGCGCCTCTCGATCTCTTCCTGGCCACTTTCCAGGGTAAAATTGCGAAGAGCCTCAAACCGTTTCCTGTTTCGCAGGACTGCCGCCACGAACTCGGGATTGTCTGTAAAGTGTTAGATGCATTCCCTGTAACCCTGTACCACTCTTCAACTCACTCTTGTACTGGTGCTCGAGTATGGAGTTCATAGACTCGAGCAATGATCGTAGAAGGGTGTGGTTCGTATCATTCGCCAACAGGAACGAGGGAGAAGACATCGAATTGAAGAGCTGCATCATCTTTGCGCCGGTAGCAACACTGAGTCCCTCGAGGTAGTAAGCAATATTGTTGATAATCGCCAACAAAGCAGGGTAGATAGCTGTAAGCTTTCCATTGCTCGTGGTGATGAGGTTGTAGATGGACTGAATGATGTTAGAGCTAGACGTCCACTTTCAAATAATTTGTGGACTCACTTGTACGAGGAAGTCAGCATAGCTGCCCCTGAAGCCCTGTATGCGGATCACAGGAGGCAGGGTTTCTTGTGCTTCAAACGGCTTGTTGAGGTTGACGCCGAAGTTCTTCTCCACACTCAACGTTTGGAGGAGGAACGCACACATCCTCACGACCCCTTGCTTTGAAGCATCGCTCTTGTACTCGAGAGCGTAGAACAAAATGAGGATGGTGAAGTCGTGTGCCCTCTCGGTGTCGACAATGAAGGAGCGGAACCGCTTGTTGCATTGCGTTATCTCCCAAAACAACATTATCATTTCGGGTGCAAACCGTATGGACGACTGGGTTCCGGGGATATAGGAAGCATTAGCCTGCAGAGGCTGGTTCAGGATACGCGTCATTCCGTCAACGATGAACTGGAAGTCCTGCGGCCGGTGTATCCGTCCGAGAAAGTGACGGAACCAGTTCTTTTGCGGCTCGCCGTTTCTCTCGGGAACAGGATACAGAAGCGTGACAAGAAGTAGTTGCAAGGAGTAGGTGACAAGGATCTGCTTTGGGTCCTTGAAGACAAGCGTATTGTACGGTACTCGCCAACTCGCAGGGTTGTACTTCATGGTCTGGGCATTGTTAGAATTGCACGCAACAAGTTCAACTCAAGTGACCTTACAGTATTCAGCAACGAGCAGAGAAGAGACAATACAACCTGCTTGTCCGAGCAAGTGCAGATGTGCGTAAGAGCTTTCGTGCCATTTTGTGGGAGCACTGCGGCCGACATGTACAGGCTCTGGCCGGTGATGGCGAGTAGCAGGCGCAACACTTCGATGCGGTTGCTCTCAAATTCCTTGGTCGTAGCAACGGTCTGGTTACAGCCGACCCCGCTCTGCCATATCGCATAGGTGACCTTGGGCTTGCCGTGTTGTTGCTTTGAGACGGTGAAATCGGAGAAGAACAGCAGGTCGACAAGGGTGTCGATGAGCTCTTCCGCCAAGGGCCTGACCTCCTCGTACTCATCTGACCGCCTGCTCCTCGCTGCCTCCTCTTCGTCGTCGTCGAAGAGCACTTCACTGGCTATTGCCGACTCCCGCGTCTTCTTACGCCGGATGCCCCAGAAGAAGCGGTCCTCCCACTCGTGCAGGTTGGCGGCCTCGTAGATGTAGGGCAGAACCCTGGTGAGAACCCGGATGCAGTTGAGGGCATCGCGCTCGGGGGCAATCTCGGGGTCGGGAAAGGACGGATGGTGTCGCAGATTGAAGAGCCGCGAGGTAACGGCCAGTATCAAGGTCTCGAGGTTCTCGATCGCATGGTCTCGCGTGCGCCGTATGTCCGCGGCGGCAAACAGGCTGAATACATCGTCGGAGGATTCGGGGAGCTCCCAGAACTGTTGATGAATGTCAGCGACAAGGCGGCCTGGCCGAGCTTGGGGGGACAGGATGGGCTACGGACAGAGGTCCAGTATGGATCGTCAGCAGCAATGCTGCGCTCTCCACTGAGCCTGAAGATGCCCTTTTTGAAGACAAGCTTCGAGTCGCTTGCACCCATGTTGGCAGCGACCCGATAGCATGTCTCAAGCCTGCTCTTGTCCTGGTCGAGGAGGGAGATGGGTCTGCAGGGATTCACTGGTGAAGGAGCCGCAGGTGGAGGGCGTGTAGGTTTGGACGTTGATGCCTTGGGGTTCTTGAGGCCGGCAACTGGGCAGGCCGGCGAGCGGCAGTGATATCACTCCCCTAATAATGGCTGCACTCGGGCCACCTAACCCTTTCGCCTCGATTGCCCTGGAGTACCTAGGTACGAATAGCTATCTACCTACCCAGGTACCTAGGTACCTGGGTATCTAGGTACCTGGGTATCTCTATTTGCACAAAGCGACCATGGCATTTTCGCGATTTGCATTTTCGGCGATTTCAATTGGCACATATCTTGCTCCTGTTAAGCAGCCTCTACCAAGGGCTTGCCTCTACCAACTCCCTAGACACTGACTCGTTACGCCCGGTGAAAGTGAACATTCAAATGTAGTCTCCGATTTCCTTGTGCTCATTTGGTATTGTGTAAAATTTGTTGGTTATTTACGTACGGTGGTATCTCAAGTTACATGATGCGGAACTTGGCAATGTTGCCAGGCGCCGCTCTCTGAAGCTGCAAGACCAGAGCCATCAGTATGGCAGATTCGAGACCATGTGCCCCGTGTCTATTCTGAATATCCTTGCTTTCTCTGCTTCAATATGCCCCATCCGGTCCCGGTCTGCTCGTCACAAAGACCAGACGGGCGGACGCAGACACCGGTCATGAGCTAGAGATACCATGCTTCTTTGTCGGCCACACCCCGTCTCGGTGCATCCATCCCATGCATTCGCTTATGCCATCCTACGACCAGACGTTGCCCGAGGATCGACGACTCCTATCGTACAACCACTTGTTGTTCAGGCCAACACTTGTCCTTTTCCCGCCGATCGGGCTGGGGGTCGGAGGTGGTTCCGAGAAAAGGCTAGATGCAGTGCTGAGGTTGAAAGAGCTCGTGCTCGCGTTGTAGGGGCTCGGAGACCCATACGACGATCGCCGTCCTCCACTGTAGCCCACAGCCTTCTGCAGCAGTGGGCTTGCTGCGGGAGAGTATGGAGATCCGTTGAGCCGTGTCGCAGAGGCAGGGCTCCCATTTGCAGACAGAGGCGAACTTGCCGGACTCGGCTTTCCGACGGATCCATTTATCGAAGGTGTGCGGGTGTATCGCGGGGGTGTGCTGTAGACTGAGTTCGGTGTGGGCGGAGCTGAGCTCGGGGGCAGACCAAGAAGAGCGCGCTGGGCCGGCGTCAGGGCAATGTCGGAGAGGTCGTCTTTCGACCGTAGTATCGGGAGACAGGCGCGGCCCATGTTCACGAGAGGAAGTACCTGGATACCCAGGACGGTCCAGCGGACGTACTCTTTCACGTCGCCTGACCTGAAGTTGCGCGTTAGCTTCAAGAAGATCCTGCGCACAAGGACGGATCGAGCCTACAGCGGCGTTGGGCCATACTCGGCGGCGGCCAAACGTATCAAATGGATGATGATGACAGCGGCAAGGTTGTAGACAATAGTCTTGACATTGTCACTGCCGAAGGTTGTTGCTTGTTGGCGGCGAGTGATCTCTTTGATGCGCGGATGCTGCCAGTTCCCTGGAGAGTCGACAGCTGGAGCTGGGGTGGCCTTGGACGGTGTTGAGAGAGCTCTGGTACTTCGTGTCTTATTCAGTGCAAGGGCTGTCGTGGAAGACATTGCGAGTTGCCGCTCGCACTGCGCGGCAGGGTTGATGCGCGGTTGGTGATGTCGACGCAGCTATGCCACGGGCCGTCAGAAGTGCGCAGGCGGGGGGAGAGCACAACGTGATATTCGGTGGATGGTGCTGCTGTGGTTAGTAAGATCTCGGGGGAGTGGCGATGCCGAGGCAAGCCCGCGGGGGTGTGGTGGTTGTCGTCGACGTCGGCGCTGGGTGGGTGATGTCGAGAAAGGGAAGGCAGGCGGAGGAGCTTAAATCGCGGCCTGGCCAAGTTGGTGGATGAAAACAAAGCGCGGGTTCCCAGGCGACCACATCCCTGTCGCCAGCCTCTTAGATCTCGGCATCAGCCGCTAGCCCGTTCTGCCCGTTCTGCGCTCGGAGTCTATGCTGGACCCCAGGCCGATGGAGCCCAGTGCTACTGTAGGTACACACGTACCTAGCCCCGCTACCGAGTGACAGCTCAGCCCCGAGGCTTCCAGGATTAGACTCGATAGAGGTAGCTGACGCCCGCCTGGAACCAACTACGTATTTGGCTGACGGTTAGGCAAGTCCTCCAAAGCTATATCAACCCGACAGCATTGGATCGCGTCTGTCACCCGTCATCAACACGGATCAGAAAAGAATCACTGCCCATGATCCAAATGATCTGAACCTTTCACCAGTTGCGCATCTAAAACCGAACCGATCTCACCATCCGCGCCCGTCGGAGCCGCCGGCCCATCTGCTCAACATGGGACTATACGAGAGGGCGATGTGGCAGTTCGACGAGGGCGTCACCGGCCTGTTCTCGCAATGGAACGCCTGGTCGACCGCCATCACCACCTTCCTCGTCATGTACCTCACCTACCAGCTATTTACGCGCCGCGACCCCGAGACCCATCCTCTGCTGCTTGCCCGCCAAGCCCAAGCCTCGCCGGTGCGACACCCAGGCGAATCGTCCATCTACCGCTCACACTCCGCCCCTCATGGAATGCCCTTGAACGCTGGTCTGAATGTTAAAGAGCCCGGTGCCTCAAAGTGGTCCCGGGGACGGGACGGTGACCTCAGGGACGTCTGGCGGCAGGCCGTCAGCGGCACCTCCCAGGAGGGCAAACCAGTCGGCAAGGGCAAGATCTTGACTGTCTTGGGCGCCGAGAAGGTCTTGGAGCACAAGCTTGGTATGCGTCCTAGGCTTCTTCGAGTATTGATCCTCATTTGCTAATATGCGCAGACGACGTGACCCGTCAGATCAACCTCATCGGAAAGCACATTCACGACCAAGGCGGCGCTCGCGTCGCCATCTACCTCCCCAATTCGGTCGAGTTCCTCGCGAGCCTTTTCGCATGCTCCTTCCACAACCTGACTGCGATCCTCATTCCTTTCGATCAGTCAGATGAGGCGGTCATCTCGATGTTGCGGCGATCTGCCGCCGACACTGTCGTCGCCCTGCCTGGCTCATTCCCCTTGGACCTCGTGGTCAAGAACTATCCGTCCTTGCGACAGGTCATCTGGGTAGTCGATGAGGGAAACAGACACTTGGACTGGACCGAGGTTCCCAAGGGCATGGGAGGCAGCATCAACGTTTCGACCTGGCAGGATATCGTACAGGACAGCCCCGTGGAGGCCGGTACCGAGGTCCTTCCCGTCCAGGGCCAGTCGGAGCCCCGGGATATCACGGTCTTCTGGCAGTCCAAGCCGGGCGTTCAGGAGGAGATGGTCCGCTTCACAAGCGCCAACTTGGTATCCGCCATCGCCGGGCAGCTCTTCGCCGTTCCACAGTCCCAGCGCATGACCCCCTCGGACCTGTTCCTCCCTGCAGACGCCCTGACCAACACGTACACCCTCGTCCTCACCCTGACTGCTCTCTTCTCCAATGCCTCGGTGGCATTCAACTCCTCAGCAAGCGACGAGATGGACCTTACCCTCGCCACCCGCGGAATCTCCCCCACCATCGTCGTCGCATCCCCCAATACCCTCCTCAAGACGCACGCCGAGGCCACCCGCAACGTCAGCTCCTTCCTCGCCAGCAAGATCCACTGGCTGCAGACCCGAAGCCTCACCCAGAACGGCGTCATGCCCGCCGCGTCGCTGCTCACGAGCCTCAACGACAGCCTGCGGCCGGCCGTTGGCCGCACCCCGGGCAAGCTCCGCCTGTTGTACACGGCCGAGCGCGCCGGCTCAGGCACCCCGCCGCTGTCGTCCGCCGTGCTGTCCGACCTGCGCATCTTCCTGGGCGCGAGGGTCATCTACGCGCTGAGCGCACCCAAGGTCGCCGGCGCCGTGGCGCAGACGCAGTTCTACGACTATCGCGTCTTTGAGGACAAGTACTCGCACTTTGGACCCCCTCTCACGTGTACGGAGATAATCCTGCGGGACTCGGATGATCACAAGGTTACGGATGACAAGGCCGAAGGAGAGGTGAGTGTCATTACTGAACGACTGATTGATGCTCTGTTGCTAACATGAACTTCTAGATTTTCGCCCGCGGGCCTTGTGTGGCAGGCAGCGAAGCTGCGCTGGGTGTAGACGGCATTATCCGCTTCGACAACACGATTTCCTACATTTGAGGGGCCACCGGAATCCGCCTGTTTGAACTCGTAAACACTCGTGTTGTGTAGACTAAGAATTGATTTCTGGGGTAACTGACGATTGACGACTTCCCTTGGGCATGTACAGTTGATCACCCGAGACAACGACTGCCAGAGCAATGACCAGAACAAAACAATACTACGTGTCATCAAACCGTACAATGCCATTACCGTAGATAATAAACCATCACGCAACAGGCCATAAAATGCACTACACCAAGTTTACCAACCTTGGATATCCCAACGCCTGTACACCACACCACCTCCACCCGCGCTCTTTCCACGCCTCTTGACGGATCAACCCACAACGTCCCATCCATGAAGAAACAGGCACACGCACCAGACCAATCAAGCCCCGTTCCTGTAGACCTGCGCGCCCTGGTTCCGGAACATGATGGTGTCCCGCCTCTGCATGATCATGAGCGTGCGGTTGAGCGCCTGCTCGCTGAAGCCCTTGCCCTCGACCATCTCCCTGCGGAGGGTGGCGAGGCTGGTGCTCCAGCCGATGGGCAGGCGGCGCTTGAGCTCGGCCTCGACGCGCGCGACCTCCTCGCCGAGCTCGCGCCCGCCCTGGTTCGCGCCGCCCTGGTTGACGGCGTCCATGGTCGAGCACAGGAACAGGCGGATCGCCTCGTCCACGTGCGCCTCGGTCGCGATCGGCGACAGCGTCAGCTTCGCCAGCGACTCGGTGATGCGCACGATCGCCTCCAGCTGCCGCACCGTGATCGGGATCGACGACCGCGTGTTGGCCTCGAGCTCCGACGCGTGCACCTGCTTGCGGATCTGCACGAAGTGCGACGACAGCTTCTCTGCCGCCTCTGGGCTGAGGCGGGGCGCGCAGCGTCTGGGGTGTGACTTGATTAGCTTTTGTGGATTCATTTGGGGTGGGTGGTGCGACTTACGATTTGCAGTAGCTCAGGTACCGCTTCATTGTCTCCACAGGGATCTCAGACTCGACTTCAGCCTCGGCTGCGGTGCTGCCCTTGTGGATGCCCATGACGTGCTTTGCGATGCTCTCGTCACGGCCGCGCTCGTGCGCATCCTTGACGATGAAGATCATGTCGAAACGGGAAAGGATAGTCGTTTGGAAGTCGATGTTCTCGCCGGGGGTCTTCATGTCGTCGTAGCGGCCAAAGATGGGGTTGGCAGCGGCCAGGACAGAAGTCCGCGCGTTCAGGATAGTGGTTATGCCTGCCTTGGCGATCGAGATGGTCTGTTGCTCCATGGCCTCGTGGATAGCAACTCTGTCTTCGTCACGCATCTTGTCGAACTCGTCGATACATACGACGCCACCGTCTGCAAGCACCATGGCACCACCCTCCAGGTAGAACTCCCTAGTGGACTGGTCTCGCTGCACGGAGGCAGTCAGACCGGCTGCCGACGAGCCCTTTCCTGAAGTGTAGATACAGATAGGAGCAGCCTTCTCGACGAACTTCAGCAGTTGCGATTTCGCGGTACCAGGGTCACCAAGAAGGAGGACGTTGATGTCACCTCTGAGCTTCATTCCATCAGGTAGGATCTTTTTCGAGCCGCCACAAAGCAGGCACAGGATTGCCTTCTTGATGTCGTCGTTTCCATAGATGGATGGCGCGATGCACCTCGCCATGACCTGGTAAAGATCCGGCCTCCTGCTGAGCTCCAAGAACTCCTGCTCTTCCTCCTCGGAGAAAATGGAATGACCCTTTGCGGTCTGGTCAATATCCGTTTGGATTCCGGTAGCTCGGAGATACGGTGTGCGGATGGCAACGGCGCCACCTGTGGATGAATTCTTGCTGCCCTTGTTCTGGTAGATCGAGAAGATGCCCATAACAGTACATCTTGATCCGGGTACAACGCGGTTGGTCAAGTATCGATCAGCAGAGATGAGCACATGCCGTGGCAGCTCTCCAACAGGTACCTGATCGGGCGCCTCCTGCAGCTTAATGACTTGTTGGTCGACGAACTTCGAGTTCTCGTGGACGACGAAGTAGGGGTCGAGGGGACACGGGTCCGTTGGATCGCCCTTTTGCCTTTGCCTGCCACACCTCCTGGGCAAAGTCACGCCCGAGAAGCCACCATCGATGCCTATGAGCTGGGTGTAGCCGCAGTTCCGGCAGGAGAGGTGCAGCTCAGTCGCCTTGGATGACATGACAGAGGCACCAATGACAATTCCGGGCACCCGCACAAGTCGAGATATCGTGAGGGAGTCCAGGTTTCGGATAGACACATCTTCGGCGTTGGAGTGCAGTAGAAGTTGGTGCGGCGGGAGGCTGATCTTTGCTTCGTGAGGGAAGACAATTCTTTGCGTACATTTGCGCAGCGCATTCTCAAACTGTGAGAAGTATTCTGTCGTCAGAGATATCATTCAACATGGAGACTTAAAGAAGATCCGAACAAACCAATGGTATTATCTCTGCTGGCTCTGTGACCAGTCGATGCGCCAACTCCTCGTTGTATTTGATCAGGTCGCCAATGTTGACGTCGCAGTAGTATTTTTGAAGGAGCGCATTCTCGCGCAACTGGTCTCTGCATAGGAGTCAGCGAGCGCTATGAGTGTGTGTGATGCTCCCAAGGATTGCGCATACCTGTAGACGAAGACGTTGTCGAGCCTGAACTCAAGAATGAAGGTCTCAAGCTGTTTCTGAACCTGGAGGTTGGTGTCCTCCCCTTCCTCCTGGGGGAAGACGTGAAGGGTATGTACAGACCCACGATCCATGATGAAGTCTGTAGGGAATGCGATGTGAAAGAATCGTCAACGTACCAGAAGGCGAAGTCTGGAGTTGCAGTGGGTTGGCATGTATGGAGGGGGAGAAGCCGAACAAATTGTCGAGAGGGACCGATAAACCACTTTACGCGCTCCAGGACGCGCCTTTCGCGCATGAAAACGCGAGATCCCTGCCACTGGCTTAAAGTGACAATTGCATGCGCCACAGCATGTACAGAGGTACAGGGGTACACCATCAGCTGCGCCACACAGCGACTTGTCTTTCTGGGTATTGAGCTTCTGTTTGGGTTTAGCTGTTCTTCTGGGTGGGAGACGATCCCGTCCTCGTCTCGCTTCAACAACCCCGGTCCAAGGAGGGAATGCGCAACCGCTCCTCCCTCTCCCGCATTGCTTTCGTGTGCTTCTTTTCTGTCATATATCGGCCAGCCACAGAGTCCTAGTGAATCCGAAGTCCATAATTCTCTCATGTGCAGCGCACCCGGCCCAGCGATGATTCCTCGGTAGCAGCGCCGTTATCGATCCATTGATAGCAGCGCCGGTCTCCCTGTTGCCGTTCTCAGGGGCCGTGTCGTCAACCCGTGTTCTGTCGCATCCTCTCGCTGATTCGCGGCCATCATGTATTCAAATCCTGCCGCTCGAAAGTCCATCGACAGCCTTGCTTCGCCCACGTCTCCGCTCACCCATCGGACAGACTTCCCGTTCCATAGTGGAAGGCATGGCTCTGTCAGCACCAGGCGAGGCTCGACCGCGAGCTCCTTGCACTCGGTCGGCGGCGCATTGGATCAGGGCAGCTGGAGCAGTAGCAATACCATGCTGGAAGCAGGACAGAATGGTTTGTGTCCTTTACTCCCCCTGACGAGGCCTCAAGCAAGCGTGTCTGTGTGTCTGCGTGCCTGCGTCGCTGACTATTCGTAAAGCAATATCTACGCTCCTGCAACCACCCATCGTCCGAACCGGCCTCGTCCCCCACACGTCCGCTCCAGCGTCGAGTGCCCACAGGCCACCGACAATCAGAGACATACCTCCGGTGACCCTGACCAACATCCAGAAAGTGAACCCTGCCGAGTTCCAGCCATACCTCAAGCAGGTCGGCGCCCTCTACACGCAGCTAAAACAGGTCAAGGCGAGCGAGGAGGAGGACACGTTGCATCGAAACAGCCGTGGGAAACCAGATGAGCTCATGGAGCCCTTCGAGGACAACCGACTGCGCCCGGGCAGGCGGCCGCAGGGGTCTCGAAAAGCGTCTGTGTCCTCAATATCGTCTTGGACAAATGTGGACGCGCCGAGCCCCGTGCGAAGGTCCAGTTCGAGCTATGCTAGGAAATCCGCGCAGGGTCCACCACCACTCTCCACGATCCCGCTGGTCTACTTCGAGGAAGACTTCCATCTGGAGAACCCCAGGACATTCGATGTTGTAAGCGAGAGGTCGGAGGTGGTGCGCAAGGAGGACAAGAACTCAAACGGGGATGCGCCAGCGCCTCGGAAGACCTTGTCAACGAATGCGATCCTCCAGGAAAAGCTATCGTGGTACATGGACACCATTGAGATGCACCTCATCTCTTCCATATCTACGGCTTCGACCACATTCTTCAGTGCTCTGGGCTCCTTGAGGGAACTCCATACAGAGGCAGCAGAATCTGTGGACAAGATCAAGACGCTGAGGCAAGAACTAGAGGCTCTGGATGAGGAGATAGTACTCACTGGGCTCAACACAATTCAGCAGCAACGGCGACGTGAGAATGTTCAGCAACTACACCATGCTGTTCTGCAACTTAAAGAGATACTGAGTCAGCTAGTGAAGTGCGAGTCGCTGGTTGACGAAGGGGACGTGGATGCTGCCCTCGACAGCATCGACTCGCTCGAGAGACTCATAGCCGGTGAAGAGGACGAGTTCAGGCCTTCAGCCCCGGCATTACGGGATGTCCAGCTTATCGATCTACGAAGTGCCACTGCGCTCCAGGGTGTCAGTGACGACGTTTATACCTTGCGATCACGAATCGGCAAGGCTTACGAGACGAGATTTGTGACAAGCCTCATGGCCGACCTTCGACGTCATGTTGGGGAAGTGTCAAACCAGGAGGTCCTCACGCGCTGGCATACTGCGTCTATGCGAGCTAGAGGCGGCCGTACTCGCGAGGCATCTGCGTTCCCATCATACCTGGGCTCCACCGACGAAGTCCGGGCAAAACTTATTGAAAGCCTGGCAGGTCTCTACAGGGCAAAACAGATTGGCGTCGCCGTCACAGCATACAGGGAATCTGTGATTAAGGAGATCAAAAGTCTTGTGAAGCAAGGCCTGCCCAGCTCAAATGACGACGACAATGCGTCTATGATGTCTGCTTCAACTGCTACTGGCGGGCGGCATCTCTCCCAGAGGGAGAAGTCATCCATCCTCGCGCGAAATCTGCGCGCCATGGACCCTGGTGACGCAGAGGAATTGTTGGTGAAGATTTACGTCAGTGTGACTGAGACTTTGAGGAGAGCATCAATACAGGTCAAGGTGATGCTGGACGTCGCAGCATCCATTGAAGATGGGTCGATCCCATCCGGTCTCAAGTCGCCACCCCTTAAATCACCGCCTTTGAGCCCAGGTGCGAGAAGACAGTCCATCGCAGGACTCGAGGCCCAAGAGGAGATTCACAAGGTCATGGACTTGTCGTCGCTCCTCGGGAACTGCATTGACATAGCTCAAGACAAGGTTGTGAGGGTGCTACGGGTCCGGTCCGAGCAGAGCACACATCTGGAGCTGGTCTGGTTCCTCCGATATTTTACTCTCAACCTGCATTTCGCCAACGAATGCGAGTCAATATCTGGAAGGGGGGGCACACAACTGAAAGACGAGGTCAACGACCACATCAAAAGATTTGTTGCAAGCAATGGAGACCGTGAGCAGCAAAAGCTCGCTCAGGGCATGGAATCTGATCAGTGGGGCGCGATCGATTTTACCGAGAAGCACACTGCTCAGCTGAGCCGGATCCTGGAATGCAGTACGAGCGATCCAAACGACTGGATTCTTGGCACACAGGTCTGGATTCCATATCCTGATGGGGACGAGGAGGTTAATGGCGTTGAAAATGCACCCCAGAGCAACGGATCAGGAAAGTCCAAGGCTGTCATCGATTCCGAGGCTTTTGTGCTGCCGAACTCTGCCGTATACTGCTTGGAGGGCATGTCGAACTTCCTGCACCTAATTGTCGGCATTCCATCCATCACATCAGACGTCGCGAAGTCTCTTGTGAAGTACCTCCAATTTTTCGACTCCCGCTGTAAGCAGCTAATCCTCGGAGCCGGTGCTACAAAATCCGCCGGCCTGAAAAACATCACCACTCGACATCTGGCCTCGTCCTCGCAAGCGCTGTCATTCATAGCCACTTTGATACCCTATGTTCGCGAATTCATCCGACGGCATGGCGGCTCGGGCGGGGCTGCTTTAATGGCAGACTTTGACAAGGTTAAACGGGACTACCAAGAGCATATGCAAACCATTTTCGACAAGCTTGTGGAGATCATGAGCGGGAGAGCTGGGGCACACGCCAAAACCGCGAAGGCGATCGAGTGGGACAAGGACGAGAAAAGCCCACACCCATATATCGAGACGCTTGTCAAGGAGACGTCACTTTTGCACCGCAACCTTGTCAAGCACCTGTCGGAAGACACCGTGCGCATGATCATGATTCCCGTCTTCGCCAGCTTCAAGGAGCAGTTCGGGTCCGCGTTCCAGGAGGCGGATCCAAAGACCGAGGCTGGTCGGGACAGGTACGTGCTTCTCGAACACCCAAGACATGCGAGACACCACTAACATTAGACTTAGCATGCTGCGCGACATAGAACTCTTCAAGGCGAAGCTAGAACACATCGACGGCTTCGGGGACACGGGCGACTACTTGGTGGGTATCATCAACTCGAAACAGGTCAAGAGCGCCTCCCCGCGTCCGAGTGAGACCAATGGCGAGGACAAGGCTGCGGCAGAAGACAAGGCTGCGGCAGAAGACACGTCAGAGGCCAAAGACACAGGACGCGGCAGTGAGGAGAAGAAGCCTGCGCAAGCGGGATTCGACGGTGCCACACGCCCTCAGTAATTGTGGCGCATCGCATCCGGTGATGGTGGTGGGAGGAAGCGGACTGCCAAGATATGTAGCATGAGCGTGTCACACCTGGTGGAATAATATACTATTATCGGGTTCTCTGCACAGCGGGCCCCGATCACACACCCATCACTCCCTAAGCATCGATTCGGCTCTTGAGCCTGCCGACTTGCGCTGCCAGCGACGACAGCCCAGAGTATTTCTTACCGGTCAACATACCTACGGCTTGTGACACCATAGCATCACAACCCGCCACCGCCACGAGGGACAGGGACCCATTGTCGGCGCCGGGTGTACTTGTCTCATGGACAGAGCACGGCAGCAGAGCCTGCCGGCCAGCCTGCTCACCCCCCGTGCCTCGCGGCTCGACTTGCCCAGCAAGAAATACGATGGAAGAGCAGGTTCGCCCGTCCCCTTCCCCCGCCCGGGCTCTTGAGCCCTCGAAACCACTTGGCGCACGCATGCACGCCATCAGAAATGCGGTCCTTCCCGCGCAGAGATAGGGGGAGGGAGAGACCTGGCTTGAAGCCATACGGTCTCAACACCACGCGGGCCAAGCACGAGCAAGAACAGGGTTGCCCGAGACCTGTGCGACGATTTATGTGTGTGTGTGTGTGTATGTAGGAATACCTACGCGGGTGTTACCTTCGCACTCTCCCTCCCTCTCGGGAGGTGCCTGGTTCGTCCATGCCCGGGCAGGCGGGCGCGATGAGGCACCGCAGCACTGCCGGCGCCGTGTCACCGTGGCTGAGCTGGGTCGGATGTTCCCAGCTTGTCGGACGGCTTGGCCTGCGTGCTGCTGTCTTGGCTGGTTGTCTCGCCTTGTCTTGCTCTGGCACTCTCTCCCCGGCTGCTTTTGCTGGTGATGTGTTTACTATATGCTCGTGCCCGGTGTGGCGTCCCTCAGCCTTAGACAGACACACCTCCGGCAGGGGCCCCTAGGAGAGAGAGAGAGAGAGAGAGGCTGAGCGGTGAAGAGCCGGGACTGAGTGGGTTGAGACTGTCCCGTTTCTGGAGATTGAACGACCTCGCGCGTCAACTCCCTGTTTCTTCTCGGCTTCTTTGTCTCCGGGACGGCAGCGAGGCACCCGCATGCGAGGCCAAAGGATCACTCGTTTCCCCACGGGGGGCCGTTCCCTCACCTCGGGGGATTGTTCACCTTCACTTTCCACGGATAGGTTGTGAGAGTGGGTTGGGTGAGATAAGGAAAAATAGACTTGGTACACCCACACACATGGTACACAGCACAAAGCAGGCGGCTGACTGCATTGCCGCTTCGGCGCCACGGACTGCCCTGCCAACCAGTCAGGTGGCGTGAGCTAGGATCTGACTGCGTCAGCAGCCAACGTCAGACGGGATCCCGAAGGAGGCTTTTTTCCCCTTTGCTTTCCTTTGGCCTTTCCTTGACTCTGTTTGGCCACCGGGCACCCGCTGGTTGAAGATCCTCATCCCCCTATTCTCTTCTCATTATTATTATTAGTCCTGCGCATTGCGCAGTGCATTTCGCAGCTAGGCGGGCGCGGAAATGGGCGACTTCATGCGGGGCCGGCTCTCCTCCTTCTGGGTTGGGTTGCTTAATTTGGCCGACTTGACTAGTTGGTTGCCTCGCAACAGATAGGTCGCGACCCAGCATTGCGCATTATTATGAGAAAGGAATTGCAATTCCTGCAGTGCCGTCCCTCTGGCTTTGTTGTTGCGCGCTAGAGCTTGCTATTCTCGGCCTATTTTGCCGCGGTGATGCGTGCACTGCCGCAAAGGTTCCGCTGCCGTGGCCTTCTCGTGCCGACGTGTTGTCCAAGTCTCCGGATCATCCGGATCAGGGGCAAAATGCAATCGGTGCCCAGCTGCATCCTGCTCCACATCCTGGCCCCTTGAAATGCCAGGAAGCAATCGTTGGCTCCTGCAGCCGACGTTGTCGCCCTCGTCGTTGTCGCTGGTGGCTCCCAAGCGACACGAGCAGGTTGAAACATGGCCTGAAAACAGCTCAGCCGTCACCCAGCAGCCATCGGCAGTTCATCTCATGTCGTTAATCTCCCCAAAGTGATATCCAAAAACAGCGCCTCTAATTTTGGGACGAACGCGGGCCAAATGGACAATGTCAGTTAGTTGGTTTAGGGCCCCCCTCCCCTTCCCTGCCGTCTTGGCGGGTTGCTTGGTGGGCGCGCCCCCAACAAGAGAGGATGGGGAGGGAGTGGGTGCCCTTTCAAGGCCTGCCCAGCCCCCGCCCAGGCCACAGCCGAGGGCCGGGAAGGATCCAAATTACCGGCCGACGATGGAGTGATGTTGCGTCGCGCGCACCAGACCGACGGGCAAGCGAACGCAAGCGAGGGCAAGCGAGCCAGGCACGCGAGCGATCTCCCTTCTTCTTTTTTTGTTCCGGGCTAGCTGTCCTGAGCCTAGGGGAGCCCCAGAGCCCTACGCGGCCCAGCGGGCGTGCGACGATCGATCGCGGAATATGACGAGAGACAAGAGTTGCTAGACTACCACGTCCTCGGATTGCCGGTCCCAAGAAATAAAGCAGTACCTTCTTTTATGATCAGCATACTGTAAAAGTAGTATGTAGCAATAGTATGAACAGCACAGACTAGTGCACGCATGCGGCTCAGGGCTGAGACACACAATGAGGGGGCCAAATTCCAGGTCTGCTATTTCCGATACGGGATTTCTCCACCAAACAGGAAAAAAGCAGTATGTACTTACCATGCAACGAGCAAGAAAAGAAAAGGGAAGTGCTCACAGCAGTTCAGCTCGCCTCGGCTGTCACTTTCATTTGGCACATGGGGGCCCTCCGCCCCTCAGCTTCGGTGATGAAGGAGAGCGTCAGCCACAACGGCGCCATGACGCGTGCGGAATCACCGCCTGGATGGGGCGCTGACGCCTGTTGGTGATGAAGACTGCAATTCACGGCCGGACCCACCTCTTACGAACGACAGCCCCAGCCATGCCAAGGGGCCAAACCAAGGCCGGCGAACAGGTTCGACAGAACACGGTTTTGAAAGTTGTCACTATTTCATGTGAAATCTTGTTGGTGTTATCAAAAAGTTCAAATTGGATGTTTCGTACTAAATTTTATGTACAAGTATCGAAGCTTTGAATAAGGTGCAAGTGCTCATCTGAGCTTGGTAATGAGTGTAGTGAAGTGATAAGATTTGTTGAAGCGAGTGCCGGTTGTTCTGGAGCTGTACCACTCAAGGTGCAGGTAGATACAGCTCCAGGACCGTGAATTTGTCTATACTCGTCAATCGTAGAGCCGTCACCCCTTTTCTATCATCCTCGCGGAAAGATCAAAAGCCAACATCGCTGGCGCGCGACACCTTCATTGCCCAAAAACTCCTCCTTCCTGTAGCTGCTTGCTTTGCAGGCGCTGGGGGAACGGGGTATCTCTATAACACAAGACCCTCGGCTTCGGTCTTGTGGTGTGTGATTGAATGTTAGATATTGTGGTTGATCGTAGCTTCGTTGGAAAGCTGCGCCTCCAGAGCGCGCTGTTTCACCTCCACCGCCATCCTGCCTTTCTCGTCCCCCTGGTTTGGCCGAGCTCGAGCTTAGATCCTGAACTGTCGCGAGTGCAGGCGTGCGGGGGTCCAGTTGGCGTCGGTGACGGCAGCACGAGGGTAGACGTGCTGCTCAAGATCCCGAGTGGCCAGGGCAGCCTTGTACACGACTTGGTTGCCAGCGCCGAGGGTGGTGATCAGGTGGGTGCTTGTCGTGGCCTTGGTCTGGATATCATCGGGGAGGCGGTAAAGTGTGTCGCACAGGAAGTTTGTGCAGCCGGACACGGGAGACTCAGTGTCTGCGGGGTACATCATGTAGACGCCGCTGTGGTCGTTCTCGTCGACGATGGCTGACACGTCAAAGTAGGTCAGGCCACCCCAGCTGTTGAAGTTGACCTCACCAAGCATGCCAGGCGAGTTCTCAGAGCCAGAGGAGACGGCGTAGTAGTTGCCAATCCAAGAGTCGGGGATGGTGACAGTGACGTTCTGACCAGCGGGGACATCGGTTGAGTCCACCGAGGCGAGGCCCGAGTTGGGGGTGAAGTGGACGGTGCGGTCGGTCTCGTCCATGGACATGAAGGTGATCTGGTTGACAGCACCCGCCAGAGTGGCGGAGGCAAGGAGTGCGAGAGTGCTGTACTGCATTGTGACTGATGTCGATATATCTATGGGCCGAAGTGGATAGGTGTATATATTGTCAGAAGTAGACCGGAGCAGTTTCCAGAAGTGATGTGCTAGATGGGATTCCTTTCGAAGGCTTCCTGGTGTCTGCGCAGAGAATGATCGTGGAGATCGGAGTCAAAAGTCGCCCGGGACTTGAATTTGTCTAAATGGTTTGATATTGCGTGTTGCAAAGAGTGAATAGCCTATGGCTAGAATGAGTGTGTGTATTCCGTAAGAAGGAAGGTAAGTTCACAACGGCTTGCCGAAATGTGAAGATCAGGTCAAGGAAGGAACTCCAGGGCAGGGAATCGTGGGACAGGCTTCTTTATACTCATCCGTCTCCCACATGTTGGCCATGCTGATGGGAGGGAAACAAATTAAAATGGAGGGTGTGATGGGGTTCCCGTTGTGAGAGAAACGCCCAGGCATCCTGGCAAAGCAGGTCCCAGGTACTACGGGACCTGGTGACAAGGGCGGTCCAGACAACAGGAGTGGGTCTCTCGACATCCCAAAGCAGGCCGAGTCAAGACCCGACGGGGCACGCCACGATTCTCCTCTGCCGGGACCAAGATCGGATGCGCTAGCTGGCCAATGAGCTGGGGCTGTTTTCGGTGTTATTGGGTACCCGCCAAATCTTTCAGTCAGCAACTTTGTCTTCAACGGTCCAGGTACCCGCAACCTTGTTTCCCACCCTTTAGCCCTTTACCCACTGGGGCCAACACTCGTCAGTGGACGGCCGAGAGGGCCAAGGCTGCTAGAAAACAAGATTTGACTCCCTCTTCGGCTCAAGAGCACGCTTCTGGGATCATGCCCCCCCCCTTCCACCCCCTCCGACTTCCAGGACAATACCATTCTCCGCTTGGCCGCGGGCGTAGACTGGCAGCCGTCTGCCGCTCGCAACGGCTCTTACCAGCCATACTATAGCGTCCATGCGGTCATCTCCCTCGAGTCCTTGAAACAAATCAACAGAAGCAGCCTGTCGGGCGTGCAATCCTGTCGCGTGGGCCTCACTTGGGGACGAGAACTCAATGTCCTGAGCCTGCTAGCAATGTGCAACCGAGGGCCGGCCGACAGCCACAAAAAGAAATAGGGACCCGGCATGCGTGGCCGCCACGTACTTGAGTACATCGCAGTGCGTACTTTTGGATTTAGCACAATGAGAGAAACAGCGGCAGTGGGAAAGGAAGAACACATGGCGCCGTTGGTTTCCCAGAATACCCATCAAAGGAACTGGACTGGGACAGGCTACTGACGTGTCCCTTCGGATGTCCTGGGGCGGTTGGGCCTGGACTTTGGGGAAATAAACCAAGGAATAAGAAAAAAAATAAGGAAAAAATAAGTTTAGCTAGTGAGTTTCGCCAAGCGCTAGGACCTTCCAGCTGGAGGTGGAGCGGCAGTCAGGCACTTCTCAGCTTTCATTGGCTGGGTATCGCTTCCGGTGACGGGTACCTGAGCGACCATAGGGCCAACCATGTGTCTGTTCCTGACAGGCCCTTCCTGCGAGGATTCTTGGGTGGGATCGGCTCAGGGGCAAAGCCCGCGTCTTTGCATGTGCCTGGGCCGGAAACAACACTGCTGTTTGGCTGGGGGTTGAAATGGAGGGTAGGACAACCCAACAGGACCTCGGACCTTCATTTCTCACCATGTGTGCCGTTGCAACCATCCTCGACAAGCCAGCGTGACAGACATGGATTCCCAAGAAGCCCATGTGGATCCTTTCGCCATGGCATGCTTTCATCAGCACTTGGCTGGAAACAAGCGCGCAATGGTCTGAGCGAGGCGCACCGCGCCTGTGTAGAAGCATCCCTTTTTTTTTTTTTTTTTTTTTTTTTTTTTCGCCGAAAAAGTTCCATGAATGGAGGTGAGGGGTTGAGGGGTTGAGGGGCAGAGGAGACCGCCTAAACCTGCTGGAGATTCAGAGGTGCGGAAGTGTCTGCAGGTACACTAACTGCACGCCAAAGCCAAAGCCAAAGCCAAAGCGGCCGACTTGTTGTGCCGGCCCTCGGAGCATTGAAGCCGGGTGGACACTACCACACACGTAAGCAGAGTTGGTGCAGCAGCAGCCACACTTGCCACACCGGCAGACGGGTAAGGTTTTCCCCCTCATTGTTCATCTTTTGTCAAAAGCCTGAAAGATTGGGTCTGCTGTCAAGCGCGAGCGTGGGGTGATGGTTCGGATGCCAGTTGCCTCTGGCACAGCGGCTCATCCAACCTTCGCCTCCCGGCAAACGGCTTTCAGTGTCCACCCCAGTAATGGCGAGTTCCACCGAGGACTCCCGGATAGGTCAGTAGACGTTGACGCTGGTTTCCACGGCCGTGCTACGTCTCATAGAAAGTCTGGGCCATGTCCAAGCGACTTGTCTTGGGTGCGCTGCAGTTGGGGGTTGGGGCCAACTGAGCACAGCAGCGCAGGTGTGCGACGTGTCTGCGAACGAGGAGGCGTGGGCAGTCGGTGAGATTGCTGCCCAGCATCGTCCCAGCGAACTCGGTCCAAGTCTCACACCGGCGCCCTTCACCTGCATCTAGCTGGCCGCAATGGAGGGGAAGTTGTTTGTGCCCCGGCTTCAGAGTTTTCAGCCTGCATGTGAACAGACCAACAAGCCAATGTTGCTCGGTGTCACAGTACATTGGGCGGAAGTGTATCTCAGGAGCACTTTGCCCAGTGGCGCGGGGACACAGGGCACCAAGTAACAGGAAATCGCGCATTCCAGTTGCTGTTATTGGCGGATGCTCGTGGTGCGTCCTACTCAGTCAGCAAGTCAGCAACAGTGTTGTCAACCTGAGAAGGCTTGCCAAGCACTTCCAGAACAGGGTTTTGGCGGACGGGACGGACGGGACGTGCGAACCGCAGATCGTTGCGCTTCCCAGTGGGTGCGAGTGTGCCTAGAACCGACCAAAAAGTGAGCATAACCAGGGTCCGGGTTCCCACAAGCCTCTATCGATAGCGATGGGCGAATGGCCTTCCGGGCCGATTGCGACGTCAGAACGTGTGCTGCGATGGGTCACCGATCGACATTGATCGCCAGGCACGTCGGTACCACAGTAAAAGGTTGACTGACAGCTCGCCAGTCGCTTGGGAACCGTGAAAGCTTGTGTTGGTAATCCATCGCCGATCGTGGCCAAAAAGACATTCACTCTTCGCTCTGGACCCAACACCTCGGGACCACAGAGCCGAGGTCCGTGGAGATCGTCTCTGTGGGTTGAGACTGTTTTCCAAGACGACTCGCGTGGCCGAGAATCGGATGCTGCAGAGTTTGTCCACCATTACATCGTTATGATGACTGTGAACGCCCACGAGTGCGGAGAGTAGGGTGGACTTGTTAGCAAATTCTCGCCCGCACCTCGGCAGCTCGCTGACTCTTGCTCCATGAGCCCACACACGACCGCCTGAAAAACGGGTTGCTTCTGCCCATGCCATGCTTGGGCGCGAGGCCAAACTTCGAAGAATGTGGCCCAAATAGGAAGGCATCTCCGGAAAGCGTGGTTAACAAGAGATCACGAAAGCCGGTCGCCTCAGAGCGTCGAAAGACGCTGCACCATGAGAAATAGTACAGTGCAGGAGCGCAATGGCTGGTATTCGGCAAGTGTCTTTCTCCATCGAATGGACTGCGAGGGTTTGGAGCGCGATGTCCACGACGACCAAGACTGAGGTCCAGGGAATTTAACCAAAGATCGTCCCGCTGCGATGTCGTTCCTGGTGCGGACAGTATCAAACGGGTGTTGGGGTGACGACATTCGTTTTTTCGAGTGATAGTAAGCAGCTCTGTATTCCCAGCGTACCCAGTAGGTGCTTCTCTGCTTGAACTGTGGTGTCAGAGGTCAAAAGTCGACGAGCAGAGGACCTCTCAGAGCCTCTTCAGTTCCGATGGTCAGAATTGTTGGCCCTGGCTTGACCAGTCACGCCAAACCCAAGGAGTGATTGCGTTCGCTTTTCCTGTCCGACTCACACGCGTAAAGTCATGCACCAAACACAACACGATTAAGGGGGAAAACCTTCTGCATCGCTGGTCAAACGAGGAGTAAGTATTGCCCGAGCTGGCGATGGACCCCAAAACATCGATGTTGTCCGATTGCTGGTAGATTGATCCCGCATCGGCCAGAGGCTGGTTGGTACATCTCTGCTCGGTAACGAAGGTAGAGCGCTCTGCTTCTAGACCACTCCTTAGAAAGGTCCAGTGCTTCAGAATTTTTCCGAACGCCATTTTCTTTTCTGACAACTGCCGAGTATCCAAGTCTAGGCCGATTCCGAGCCACCAAAATCGTCGGCTTTGTGAAGCGTGGGTGCCAAACGGCGTCGGAAAGCCACGCGACGGCTCTGCCGCTTCGATATTTCGAGTAAAAGCGCCGGGCAAGACCGCGCCGTCGTAACGCGGGCCGAAGCCTTTTCGGGAATTCTCTCGACGGTTGCGATCTGTCACCGATCGGGTCCTGGTTGAGTTGGGACTGCTGGACTGTCTTGAGCAGATGTGGTTGTTTCAACGGGATGTCGTTTTCCCAAAGGTTGACGGGTTATTCCCATTCCGTCAAATTAAAGTGCAAGTGCAAATGTTCAGTCTTGTTCTCGTTTCACTTCCCCTGGTTAATTAGTGGAGGACTCCACAAGTATTGAAGATGGCGAGAACTTGTCCGGCGCATTCCAGCAGGATTGAATGTGCTGTAAATACCGCCGACAGGGGCTGTTCAGAATTGGCCTGGCCAAAAAAGTTCGCAGACTCAAAAACATGAGACTTATTAGACCAATGTCATGCCGATAGCGCCCGAAGAGGCGTGGAGCCAACAAAGGGTTCGATGTTTTAGCCTCTCCATCGTGGTATACTGCATTGCGCGTTCCAAACTAGAGCAGTCCCGAGGGAGGCGGTCAAGAGGACTGCGAAGGCTGGCAAAAGCCTCGTTTCGGCCGAGCAGAGGCTTAGAGAAAAGAACTGCAGCAAGAAAAGTCTTTCGGCGCCGGTAAGACATCGAAGCTAGTACTTCCGGCTTCTGGAAGCGATTGGTTTCTCGGTTCTTGATCCAGCAGATTTCACGTCGGCTCGTAATGCGGCACTTTGGTATTCAAGTGGCAACCATGAGTGATCTCGAGGCTTGCCGGATGCAAGTCCACAGTCAGTCCACAGCAATGCCAAATCACACGAAGATGAACCTTGTTGGTGGGTAGTTAGACCTTTCTCCTTCAACAGACAAGAACGCAAAGGTTCGAAGGGAATCGCGAAGGCAGTCCCAAAAAGCGACTGGAGTAAATCCTCGGCCTTGGTGAATATTGGAAGAGGACAGAGGGATGCTGGCTGGGGTGACCTTCTTCGGCAATGTGAAGAGATCTTATCTGTCGTCGAAGTCAAACCGAGTTCGAGTGCACCGCCAGGAAGGCCTCTCAGGGCGTCGTAGGTCGGCAGCATTGTTTTAGGCAGCCTCCGAGTACTGAGCAACGTTACCGTCGTGCCTTCGTGTAGCACAGGCTCTCCAAGCTGTGGACGCTAGGGGATGCATGATGCCTAGACAAACAGCTTTGATGCACACTTCTGTTCTCCCGCTCCTGCCCTCAAGATCCCTGTGAAGAAGTTATTCGAATTGCTCTTGTTGAGACACAGCTCGCCATTCGACATTCGGGGGACAATCGAGACCGCGTGGAGCATCCAGACCCAGGCGGGCTCAGGTGAGGATTAGCCTCGTATGTGGCTTTTGACAGATTCCTGTGCTTCGCCCGTCAAATACAGTGAGGTTCGTTTGGTTTGCCTTGATGTCTCTCCTGTCCATCATCACTCGGTTCGTCGACGCAAAAGCCGGCAGTTCTGCAGTCAGCACCGATCTGAACCAAGAGTGCCTCTCGACACCCTTTTTGTCATCTGTAGGATGAATTTCTTCGGTGACAGATACATAGGCTTCGCACCTGAGCAAGTGTCGTCCGAGATAGTCTGTTGTCTGCGAAAGCATACTGTTGGGGCATCAACTCTCTTTCACGGTGAGCGGAAACTTGCTGACTGGTTAGCTGACTATCACGATCTTCCCTCTGTGCACGACTTTCATCATGGAATTATCTTTTGAGGTACACACACTGTAGCCATCACGCCGGGGGCGACAAGCCTCGTTGACAGTGACACTACCTCAAAATGTGTGTAGCAGACACCTGCCGTATTCGCTGAGCATGTCCCATCAGCTAGGAAGGGGCTAAAGACTTCCCTCATCGCTCGCATTCGACTCGATGGGGTATCGAATTCGGCATGAGTTCGCTCCAAGGAAGGATTCTCCTGGAAATCTCTCCAAGTCGCGGGGTGGGCAGATGTGAAGGCGTGGTTGCCCACGTAAGACTCAGTCCAGGACGATTCTCATGAAAGGGCACACATGATCCAATCTTCGAAGCCCGTGGTATCATTGAGGTTTTTAACAGCACGCATGGATTGAAAGATGCTTCCGGCCTTGGGGCGTTGCCTGCACTCGTTGCGCGGTGGATAGAAGCATAAATCAAAGTCCAATACCTGGAGATTCGGGCCTTGAGTGGCCAAGGAGCGTTGCAGACGGCTAGGTTCGCTAGTGCGAGAGTTCCCGGAGCGAAAGCAGCCCATGAATGTTGTTCTCACTGGGACGAAGGAACCGAGTCGGGAGTGTCCTCGAACTGAAATGGCTTATTGGCAAATTGGCAAGCTCGCGGCCCTGTGCGACGTTGAAGAGCGCTGCTGACGCAGGCGATGCATGGGTTGTGCAAGCACCGAGGTTACGGAGCCTGAGAGGCTCAGCAAGACAGCCTCTGGGTCATCGTCAGCCACCTCGTCTCCGATTTGCTAACATCGCCGTCATGCCGGTGGTTCCGGACTCCCCAGTGTGTTTAGTCCAACCAAGGCCCGAACAAGGTTTGGTGCCTCTGAGGCTCATTCTTTTTTTGGGCATTCGGCCCGGTTGAGCCTGTGAGGCATTCGGTCTTAGCAGTCCGCCGTGTTCAACGTTCGCTTCCCAAAGGGCAGTGTGACGAGGAGGATCAAAGGTAACGTTGGACCGAGGCGGGGTGTGGGCTTCTGTGCCGGACCGTCAGCCAGATCACAACATGGACGGAGCCCTCATCGGGCAGTGCCAAGGTGAACCAGCGTATTGGCTCACAGAAGGCATGTTGACCGACACGAGGTATGTCTCCATCGTCGACTCGGCCAAATGGAATCGGCCGTGACTGATGCGACGAAGGACGACGAAGGGATTGATGGCGGTGACAGGCTGTCAATGCTACCTAGGTAGCTTGCTGCTTGGCAGCTGCAGGGATCCCCGCTCTGTGTACACCGGACTATCGCCATGCTGCAGGAGCCCTGTCTCCCAAAACCGAAGTTGAAAATCGGGTCTAACCAATGGCGGATTACTTGGCTGACATTTGGTCGAGGATTTCTCGTATTTGACCTGGACGATAAGTTGACTCGACACCATCAACAACCCTTTGTGCACTGTATTTTCTGCAGGACAAGCTGTCAACGGTACCGGCTTGAGATCTCGAAATCCCTCCCCAAGGACGGAAAGATTCCAAAGCCTTCTAGCTCCCCCGCGAGCTGGTACGTCACGGGGTGACCCAACGGTCGATAAGGTGAGGCGAGATACGACATGGCGCGTGCCATCGTCACAGTTTGGGTGCCATCCGCCGTCAAGCTTCCGCCGGTTCGGGTCTGGGCTTGACACGTGCAATGAACTGGGACCTCTCGAGCCACCGGCCATGACAACGTTCAGAGTGAACCGGGTAATACGCTGGCAATCACGTTGCCTTGGATCGCAGACCGTGAAGCACAAAGCACGGCCATCCCATCACTTTCCTATCGTGTATCCCCTCGGGCAAGTGCTGCTCAAGGCATCCAGCTGCAAGATCGAGTGGGACAGTGCCCGCAGCCGTTGCAGGGAAGGAGGTACGGGGACCTCGGGACAGAGTAGTGAGCAGAGAAGCCAGTAACCAGTGGCTGACTCCAGAATGGGATGTTCCTTGATGCGATACGGAAAGAGGCGGCTGACCTCTTCTGCTCGCCTCGCTCACCCTTTGGGGACTGGTCTGTCCTTTTCCTTCCAAATTTGATCCGTGAGAATTACTCATCGGGCAAGAAGGAGGCGGGCCGGCGGGCAGGCAGGCATGGGCATGGGCATGGGCATCTATGTCTAGGTATCTGTCAGATACCGCGCATACCTACCTACCTTGTCCACCCAGGCAGGTGGGCATCCAAGTGGTGGTGTGTGGCGTGTGTTGCTGAGTGATGAGGAGAGGCCGAGTGTGCCTTCCTCTCGGGTTCGGATGTGTCGAGCGCATCGTATCGAATCGCACCGCGCGCCTTCACCCGCTCCTTCCGTGGTCGTGTTGATGATGTGAGCTGACTTTGGGCACACACTTGCCCTGTTACTGCCCTGCTACTGCCCTTCTTGCCCTTCTTGCCACCACCACCACCACCTTCTGGCCTACCGCGAAGCAGCGCTTGTGCCTGGTCCCTGCAGGTTCGGGAGCACCGCGCTGTCGTCTCTCTCGTCCCTGCCTCTCGTCTTTCGTCTGTTGATATAAGTCAATTCTTCCCACCTGCATCCTCGTCTCCCATCATTTCCTCACTCTCTCATCCCACTCTCGCACCACTTTGCACGGTCGTTATTGCACATCAGCAACATCTGTTGGTCTTCACCGACTCTCACCTTCGTTACCGAACCCAAGGTCAAGGCCAGGATACAGGCCCAACCAAGCAACAAGACCCTTTCTCTCGCTGCTCTCACCAGACAAGATTCGTTCAGCCAAAATGAGACTCCTCCAGATCACCTCCTTCGCCGGGCTTCTCGCCTCTGCTCAGGCTGGCAAGCATTGGGGCACTGGTACCGGAGGCCCCACGGGTGGTGCTCCGCCCACGAGCACGGAGTGGACGACCGTCGTCGTGCCCACTTACACCACATACTGCCCGGTATGTCTTTCTCTCCAAGAAGCTTGCACGGCCGCTCCTGACTAACGCCCTCTCCAGTCTCCCACTACCTGGGCTTGGAACAATGTGACCTACACTGTCACTTCTGCCACGACCATCACCTTGCGTGAGTACCCTTGCTCTTCCCAGACTTTTCGGAATCTTCCCTTCTTGCCTCCCTGTCTCTTTCTTGGTTTGCACACGCAGTCGCTGTGTGACCGGCCTCGGGAAAGTCTCCTGCGGAGCTCGTGACTCTGGAGCATTACCCGGATGTATATTTGCACAAGGCTGACCGTCCTTTGTAGCTTGCCCATGTACCCTGTCGGTCACCACTCCTCCGCCCATCACCACCACCTCCACCTACACGACTGAGGTGCCTTGTGAGACCACAACCCTTCCGTCAGGCGGCGTTCCTTACCCGAGCGTTAACTCCACCGTCGTGATTCCTCCGCCTGTCACCATCCCCAGCGGCACCCCTACCCCCGGTGCCCCTGGTGCCCCAACGACACCTCTGCCGGGTTCCTCTAGCACGGTGACCTCGACGACCGTGATTGTTAGCACACCTCCACCGTCGACCTACCTGTCCGGAACCACTCCCATCGGCGGCGGCGTCCCAGCTCCAACCCCTACCACTTTCGCCACCACTGCGCCTACGAACACGCCCGTGGCTCCCACTTCGTCTCCTGCCGGTGTCGTCACTGCGGGTGCTCCCAAGATGGGATCTCAGGCCGGTGCTCTCGGCTTGGTCGCCGGTATTGCGGCCCTCGTTCTCTAATTTGTGATTGGTTGAGGATTTTGAGAGGACATGTCTCGAATGATTCTTGGACGATTTTGGACGTCTCATGATTGAGCAAGCTAATGATGGAGATGGATGCAAACTGTTTGTCACGACTTATACCCTTCTAGACTTTCCTTCACTGGACCAAGCGAAACGGCTGTCATTTACCAAAACCATGTCGGGAGTAATGGATTGGCGAAAATGGTGGAACTCGTGGATTTGCTTTGGTAGCTTCGAGGTTTTAGCCTCACCCCCACAATAGACCTTAATATTTGATATCAAGCTCTGGCAGCCGGTTTCCTGACATCACCTAACCAATTCGTATGCCACGGGCACGTATCATAGTTGGGAAAGACAGTCAACTATCCGAATATGTTATCTCAGGGCAAGAGGGCCGTCTGCTTCATCGAAGCTATTCGCACTCCCAAGTTAGCGCACGATCCGAGGCCCATTCACCAGCCTCGCGATCCACACGATGACAAGACACCCCATACCCGTGGGGAAGAAGCTCGCAGTGAACGATCGCGACTCGTATCCATTGATCACTCAGCTGCCCTCGTCCACTAAGGATTATCTTGTGTATCTTGAGTACGATGCCCCCCCCTCCCGCCCTCCTCCCAAACATACAACCGGAGCGGCTTCGCGGAGTGGCACCAGCCTGTGTACAGCCTGTCGCCGTGCGACGTCTTTCGGCTTCAATCTTCTCTCTAAATTATTCGATTTTATTACCTTGAAGTACCTTTCCGCCTCTGCAAGAGCTTGGGCGAGGGCATAATACACCCTTGTCAATATTCACTCGCATGCAGCTTCGGTAGCATTGTGGTTGGCCAGCGCTATCAGGGTGGCATTTTGACCGTTCTATTTCTCGTACCACCACACCGCATGTCGCCAAGTTCCCAATGAGCCGAATCGTGCTACAATGAGATTCCATTGCGGGACAAGTCACTCACGCTGTGCGAAAGGCACGAGGGACGTTTCTCTGCTTATACATACAACCAACAGAAAACCATGGGGAAAGATCGCCATCTGGGGCCCCCAGACCGAACCCCAGATGACAAGGGGTTTCCTATCGAGCCAAGTGTTCGATCTGCAAGGTCATCCAGACGACACTCAGGCAAGGTAGCTACGACGTTGTGATGCCACTATCATGCCCGACCAGATCACACCAAAACAAAAAGTGATGCGACAAGTAAGCAATATGCCATTCCCATCAACAACCACATCCCACCCTGCCGCCCTGCCAGCAGTCGAGCCCAATGGCGCTGGTCCACACCGAGGCGCATCGCATCGCAATACGAGGTTTCCCGGCGTGGGATTTGTTCGTCCCCAGAGCCTGCTGTCAGTGTTGCCCACCCCACCGGTGCTTATCACCTCAATCCGTGCATGATGGACCTCCCCCCCCCTCCCCCGGTCAAGCACTACGGGTTGGAACCGATAGCTTCTTTCTCTGGTGTGCTGACAGGGTTGGTGGTGCGCGCCCAGTCCCTGCCCCTCTGCTACACACCAATACAGACGCATCGGGCCTCCTACAGTAGTATTGCAACCCCCTCCACCCTGACTGGTAAATCGAGAGCCGGGCTAAAACGGTATCCTCCGCAGACGTTGCGTAGGGCTGTAGGATACTGATTCGGGCGAAGCAAGCCCGACTTGTTGTGGGGTGCGATGTAAAAAGAATCCTTGTCCTACTAGGACAATGACTGTCATTCCAGCTTAGTAGAGGAACTCAAAGAGTACAAATAGTCTACAGTCTATAATGCGAAAGACCTTAAATCGGATCCCTGGCCCCTGTCAAATCGCCTTAGACAAAGCCAAATTCGGTATCCAGTTCTTGTGCCAGAGTAATAGACTTGTCCAAGATCCGGTCCACTTCCCGCGATAGTGGCTTGCCAGTGCTGCCAAGCATACAGCTCATGTCATCCTTCGTCGCGCCCTTCTCCCAGGTCCCGTCGACCATCATGTGCGTGGGAAGACCAAACTCGAGCGGATCAAGCCTCTTGTTCTTCAGGAGCCCTCCATTGTACCAGAGCACCTCGTCCCTGTCGTCGAGGTGACCGATGACGAAACTGCAGATCCTCTCCATAGACTGTTCCGTCTTGTCCTGAAGCCAACCAACCATCGTGGCGTAGTGCCTCTCGAAAGAGTAGCCTGATCCGCTGAGCTCGAAGCCAAACCACCAAGACTCCTTGTCGCCGTATGTGATCTTGTACGTGACCTCGTCTCGTACGGCCTGGGTATTTTGCCAGGCCACATGCAGAAGCCCCATAAACACATCCAGTCGCGACTTGTTGACGACAACCACGCCGGAGTCCCCTTCTTCGGCGTAATCTTCGGTCCACACAAGTGACTCGTTTAGTGTTGCGCTGGGATGGCGGATCTGTGATATCCACCACTCGTGGCGCCCACGAAAATTGTGCTGCCAGAGAAGTCGATCGTGGAATAGCAGAGCGCCGGTGGAGGCGTACGAAGGATGCGAAAGGAGATTCTCAGGAGGCTGGACAAAGACACAATCCGCATCCAGTAGGATGACCTCCTCGAATGGTGAGTAGAGGGCTGCGAAGGCCTTGATGGCCCAACCGCCCTTCTCGAGCTTCGTGGTCGTGTCGTCGATGAGCGTCAGGATATCTAGAAACTCGACCTCTCTGAACCGCGAGCGCAGACGCTCTCGGTCCTCAACTGGGAGATCGTTGTCTCCGGCGTAGACAATCTGTACGGGCAATCCGCTGTGCAGGACGTCTTTGAGCGAGCCAATGAGGTGAGTGGCGTATCTCATTGTTGCCTTACCAGTAGGAATCACGATCCCACGAGACCCCGGGATTATGGAGGAATGCAAGTCAGTAAAAGGCGTCTTGCTTCCTGGGTGCTTAGGTGAATTCTGTAGATAAGAGTACATTGACCCGATCGCACTTTCGACAGCCTCGAGGACAGCGCGACTGTCCTCCGACTTGGGAGCATCATCAAGAAACTCAACCCATCCTCGAGCGATCTGGGTCCGTTGACCCATGTCATAGAATCTAGATTTGTACGGAGGGTTGATTGGCTCTTCGACGAAAGATTTTGCGTCTTGAATGATCCTTGCGGCCTCTTTCTGCCATGATGTCTGGCTGAATTCTGTTGGCCTGCTGGTCGATTGAGGATGAATTCCTGGTGGCGGCACTGAAGGTGGTGGCGATGTCGGATGGTAGGAGGGTGACCATATCGTTAAGGTGATGACAATCAACACCAGGCTACAGACGGAAAGAATAGCCGTAGTCAACCGTGAGTACGGCATATCGTATCGATGATGAGAACTTTGAACGAAGCCCGTGAATACTAATATTCTTACAGGATGGTTTTGTAACGCCAGTTTGCCGTTACGGAATGTCCGGGAGAACATGATCTTTGGGCCCCCAACGCGTCTGACCATCCTCGGCCCAGACAAAAAAAGAGCGCACTCACAAACTGCTCTGCAAAAGCTACATCAAATATCCCATCACCAAAGTTTCAATTGAACTCTTAAATAACTTAGCAATCAATACTTAAGCCCAGCTATCAATATAGCTAGTTTATGGCTTATTTAAAAATTCTTTTGAAAAGAAACGAGGCTGTTAAGTCTATGGGTTGTGGTAGCGGGTGACAAGTTTTGGGGAAGGTGACTTAATGTCTGGGCCGAGCCATCCTGCGTGGCGGCGCTTGCACAGGTGAGCAAACCTTGGAAGGGCGCATGTTGTGTAACCCCACCAGAGCCTTGCCTTTCTACAAAACCGCGCCCTGATCACCAATAAGGACAAGATATTCGCTTTGAAAAAGCAAATTACAAGGGGCGCGGCAATAAGGGGGAGCTGAACAGCAACCTGGCCAGCTTTGAATCCTCCGAGCCCCCATGGCAGGCAAAGCCCCCAAGAAGGTCTTGCCTGCCTGTCCTCGTTGCTTGTCTCCTCCATTCTACCATTCCTTCTTGTCTTTTCACTTTCGCCGGTCTCTGGTTCCATACTTTGATCCAACTTGTCACAATGCTTGGATCTACGGGACCGCTTGCCAACAGGCTCTACCTACTAGCTTTTCTCACAGCACAGGCCCAAGGTGACACTTGCTGGAGCTACAGAGGAACAGAGTCTTATAATCAGACGAAATGCAGCGATTCCCAAGCTTGTTGTGGAGCAGATAGCCAGTGTATGCCCAACCGACTGTGCAAAAATAAGGGCACTGCCGACAACATCTTGATCCGGGGGCCCTGTGGCGTGAGCCCATATGATAAGAACCTCTGCGCACAGATTTGTGTCTTCAGTACGTCAATTCACCTAATTTCCTTCTCTTGAACTCCCATGATAATAACGAGGCTGTCAATCGCTAGATGAGGTGTCCAAAAATACAGGGTTCAACGACGACGTTTTTCCGAGGGTAGAGATATGTGGCGACGGTGTCTATTGTTGCCGTAAGGGCGACACACCGTGCTGCAATAACGATGTGGAACCGAAAGTGTACCTTGACAGCAACGGAATTCTACTTCCTGGATCCTCTACGATTACAAGCTCGACGACATCGGCGAGCTCCACCAGCACACCGATCTCGAGCACAACGGTCTCGAGCGCAACGTCGGCGGATCCAACACCCACTCAAGACACTGCTCCCGTCAGTTCAGGCTCAGAATCTGGAGGCGGCGAGGCTCTTGCGCTCAAAGTCGGACTCGGGGTGAGCCTCCCGTTAGCCGCTGTCATTTCTGCCTTGGCAATGTGGTGGTTCCTCAGGAAGCGGCAAGGAAAGAAGGGCCACAATTCAGAGCTGTCCGCGGCGACGCCAAAAGGAACAGCGTTCTCAAGCCCAAATCAGGGGTATGAGGTGCGTGAGGCGACGCACAGGCCGGTGGAGGTAGATTCGGTCAGGGAGCGACAGGAATTGGCAGGGACGGAGGTCTATGAATCACGGAGACAGGGACGTTGATGGTGGTATATTGAATAATAGCCTAACTTTAACTAGGCACGAGGAGTGTACTTATAATAATATACATATAGGCCAGCCTGCCACCACCTAAGCACATGTTGTCCAAAGATGACCAAAATCCCATCTTATGTACGCATAGGCGAAGCGTCGACGAGGCAGGTACTACCACCGCGCGTTCTAATGGTGTATCGATTTGAAGAGCAGATCACTACGCGGTCGTTGGAAAATTCTTGAATGTTGACTAGAAACTCTGTCTAAAATTCATCCCGCCGAAACTGGTATTCAGGGTCATCATCATCCACTTCCCACAGCAACTTTGTACGCTCAGACCTCTCCTCAGGTCCCCTTGCAAGGAGGTAAATGATATCCGGGTTGTTACTGTTGAGAGCTAGGTCGTATGGAGTCAATCCAAATCTCCACTGTTCCTCGCGATCAACCAGCCGGTGTGCAAGAATTAACGACACGCACTCTGCGTGTCCCGCGCGAATGGCTCGATGTAATGGGGTCTCCAAACCGGCGTTGCGTACGTTGGGGTCAACCCGCTTGTCATCGAGAAGGAGCCTCACAAGATTTTGGCGTCCTGCGTTGGCAGCTCGATGTAATGGTGTGTTCCCTTGGCTATTCTGTGTCATTGGATCAACCCGCCTGTCATTGAGAAGCAGTCGAACGACCTCCGTTTCTTCCCCGAGGATGGCCTTATTCAACGGTGCTTGGTGAACCGTGTCTTGCAAATTCGGATCCAGTTCTTCCTCCATGAGAAGGCGCTTGACCATCCTAGGGTCTCCGCGTTCAACCGCGAAATGCAAGGCAGTTTTTTTCTTGTTCCGGGTTTGTCCATTGATGAGATTTCGATATTTGTCGAGTATCAAACCAAAGTCCTCTTCATGTCCCGTCCAAAGAGCCGCCAGATGAAGCATCGTCATGCCGTCCGCTGGCGTAGAGCTCTGGTTGAAGGCATTGTGCGAAGATTGGGGATCTACCAGCATGTGTCTCGCCTCTTGACTGATCATGCCTATGCCGAACGAAAGAAATACATGGGCCAGAGACGAGTTCCGAACCTTGTGCTTCAACTCCATTCTACCTACCATGGATTCGTCAAATCTGTCCTCTAAAAGAGAAAACCACACATCTCCTGGACTCTTGTAAAATGCGTAGTCAACAGCATCAACGCTGTCCACAGAATGAGGAATGAAGACCCTGTCCATGTGATACAGACTGTCGTTTCCACAAACATTGAAGAATTGGCAGCACCGAGCGCCATTTGGACAGCTAGAATCTCCGACGAAGAAAGTGATGATTGAAGTCATCATGGGAGATCCGAGGTCTTCAAATGCCCGCCCGCCCCCAACGTAGCATTCTCTGGACTCTGGATGCCTCTTCAGATGTGACAGAGTAAGTCGAGGCAAGCCGCACATCGCAAAACAATGAAGAGCGATACTTTGAGTCATGGGTTTTCCTTGAAGGTGATTTCGTATGAAATGGCTGTGTAATCGCCGTTGGCGGTCGTGTTGCATCCACGGAATAACATAATTTAACCAATCCTGAAAATTGAAGCGCCCGGAGTCGAAGAAATCTTGCTGCGATTGGCCACCTTCTTCTGCAGCCTCACAATGGCGTAGTACCTGCCAGATTGAATATCTAAGCCAGGTGTAACGACCACTCAACGACTCATCTTGTTGTGCTGAAGGAGGAGGTAAGTCTCCAACTGGGGTTTGTAGGTAATAGTCAATGCAAACGTTGCGTAGTCGCGTATGGCTGAGCCCGTGTATGTTAGGTCTGAGGCTGGGATCAAGATGGCCGAGACCCTGACTTCCAAGCAGAAAGCTGCGAACGGTTCCATGAATGAATTGTACTGCGAATCTGTCTGTGGGCGATTTGAATTGCCACCATCTTGACGAACTGATTTTGCGGAATTCTACCAGGCCGTGGGAAGCTCGCAAAATGTATTGCTTCATTTCCGACAAGGTCTCCTCCGGCTCCCGCGGCGATATTTTTCCCTCTCGTGCTACCGAGATCAAGAGGTGGTAAAGTATTTGCACGGTGGGCCCGTCCTGGTCCCAAAGCCCAAAAAGAAGAGCCTGGAAACAAGTAACCGTGACTACCATGTTTTCGGTTCTTTGTCTTCGTAATTTGGCTTGATAAAGCTCATCTAGATGTCTTGGTTGTTTGTCCAGTTCGCCCAGGAGAACTTCCAAGGTTTCATCCTTGTGGGCTTTCAATGTTTCGACGACTAGGGCCACCCAAAGAAATACACCGGCAGCCCTTTGTAGAATTCGTCTTCGAAGAATTGTCTTCTTTTTGGAAGGAAAGTTCTCGAGACGTGCATTGATGTATTTCTCGATGCTGATCTGATGATCTGGATGATTGCTGAGATCGAGCAAACACCTTGGGTGCGGCGGTATGATTGTTGGAGATGGCGTTGTTGAAATACAGAAGCTCACGTGGCGGTTCAAGTCGTCGCTGACGATGGTGTGGACGAAGTCGACGATCTTTTCGATGTCGTCTTCGGCGGCTTCGTCTAGGGCGTCTATGAAACAAAAAATGTGTCCGCATGTAGCATGGGCGTTGACAGTGTCTTTGAACAGCTTTTTGAACTGGCCAAGCACCCGAGGATCATCATCGGTAAGCTCATTTGTGAAGACGGCGGCGTCTTGGAAGATGGAGGCGTCCTGCGGCAATGACTGGAGGAGCTGCTGGATCAGGGATCGGTACAATTGTGGTGTGTTCCGTTTCGCATTGAAGAAGAAGGCTGCGACGAAGTACTTCGGAATGCCTGGCGCAAATAATTCAAGCCGTTCCCTATCCTTTGCCCGCCTGGCACGATCAAAGAGGAACTGAACCAGTGTTGACTTTCCACTTCCTCGCTTGCCTCGGATCCACAGAATGGCTCGGTCATCACTGAAACTGCCCGTGCCTCGGGATGCCCAGCGCTTATACTCGTTCGTTTTGAGAATCCAGTCGCAGGTATCCGGACTCACGTCGATTAGAGGGCATTCGTCATCACAGCGAAGAACGTAAAGCAAATTTTCTTTGCGCGAGTCTCCTTTCGCTTCTGGCATTTGATGGACTCGAAGAGTGTGAGTGAATTGAATCTTGTACCAAAGCTATGTGGTCTGCTATAACTAGTGCTGAAGAGGGGCACTGGAGTCGACTAACTGTGTGTGTGTTTATGTTCGCCACCAATGAAGGCCCCCGAACCAGCTGTCTCGAAGTTATATTGTGACCCAGTCCCATGGTTCGCGTAGTTCTTCATCGTATTCTGATTTCCGACTTGATGATAGCCTGTTTCGCTGGCAAAAGCAGCGTCGGGCACTGACGGTTCCACCGCGGACAAGTCATCTATCGCCTTGCGAATAGCATCGACGTCGATCGCCCTGCGAAGCTCCTCGATGTCTTGCGTGGTGGCGGTCTCAAAGATCCGATCACAAGCCATAGCCTCGGTGTCTCTCAAAATTTCCTTCATCAGATCTTCAACCCTGTTGCCCTTCCCGAACCGGACGAGGAAAGAGCGAAACCCGAAGCCGAGAGTCTTCTCATCTGCTTGCTGAATCTCGTAAAAGATTTCGTTCAGCTTTTCCACCTTAGGCTTGCAGCTCTGGACAGCTAGCTGCACACTGTTCGTAGCCGACTCTCCTTGATGTGATTCTGCGTGCCTCCGGACTTTCTCCAACGCGTCTTCGACCTTAGGTAGGCGGGCTACTACCTCCTCGAAAGCAGAAGGAAGACCTTTGAGCTTTTGTATCGCCTTATATGTGGTTTTGATCGCCTCGATGGTGGCGATGACGGACGCAATGCCGCCGAGGATTTCGAGAACGCCTGACATCTTGGGAAATGACCAAGTTCAGCCGATTTTACCGCTACTGAGAAATAGCCAAGAGAAATCTTGTCGAGTATGTGGATAGCCACGGTAGGACCGTAGAAGACAGTCGTGAGACAGAGCAGTGAGCGACGGAGACGGTCTGGTCGATGCGTTGGGACCAGAAGAGTTTGTTCTCCCGCCTAGCTCGAGTGGTTGGGCTCAGTTATATATCCGTCCTCCCGATGCTGCAAAAGTCCTATGGAGTACAAAGACTTCCGTCCTGTGCACCTACCTCTAATTGAATTTCCTTGCACGAAGTCGCGAAGCCAATGACAGCGAGCCCAGGGTTCACCGACTAACAGCCACACGAGCTGAAGATTCTGGTCTGCTTTTTCTCCGAAACCGTGCAGTGCAATCCGCTTGGCGTTTTGATGCTGACGCCCAACAAATAAGATCAAGCCAACGTTCTATTGAGATGAGCTGTACAGCTTGTGCCCCCCGACTTGCCGGTCTCCTCCGGACTATGCGCCAATGTGATGAACTGTGCGCCCAGATGCTGACGCCAAGAATGTCTAGTAGCTGTGACCCAACTTGACTGGTTTACCTAGGTACTAATTGTTACAGTACGTATATAGGTGCAAGCCACGGTAATGCTCTCGGCATTATAACGTCCCTCTTTTGGGTGTTTTGGCGTAATAGGCTTTCTTGTGCCGTGATAGTTTGTAATGCCTTTACAGGGGTTGTAAGTTTGAGCCTGGGCATTATAAGAAATTTTTCGCTGAAAAAAAAAATTGAGTGGATTTCTGTGGGTGTGTTTCCTCACTGGGAAGAATTGAGCAATGCCGAGACCCGGGGATAACTTGATTTATAATTTCGAAAATAGGGCCTTTGGATCTTTTTTCAGGGGGTACTTAGCAGCAACCTTAATGGTTTATTGGGACGATAGACCTTAAAGGGTGGCTATTGTTATAGTATGTATATAGGTGCAAGCCATGGTAATGCTCTTGGCATTACAACGTCCCTCTTTTGGGTATTTTGGCGCAATAGGCTTTCTTGTGCCGTGACACCAATCTACCTACAGCTTTGTGTCTTATATGCTTGACCGCCGTTGACGGCATGTATAAAAACACCGAGGAACCTCACACTTGATCGTGGCTGGACTCTTCGGGCTTGAGATGACGCTTGGACTTGGGGTACTGACGCTCTTGCAACCTTGGATAACTAAAGCCGTGTATGATATCACCTTTCCGGTTCTAAATAGTCACATTAATCGTGACATGGCGTATTACACAACCCATGCGCTGTGATACTCTTGCCCTCATCTAGCACCAAGGCCCGCCCACCATCATGCTGACTTGCCATTATCCAGGGATGGGGTCTCGTAGGCCATCATCGCCATATTTCGTGTTTACTTTTTTAATTTTAGGTAGAGCAAACCTTTCCGGCTTCTTGAGGGCAAGGAAAATCGTCCCAATGTCTCTGTTTGGATGAACAGAGGCATGGTGCCATGTGGGAAACTTCTGGCCCGGCTGAGGCAGGCTTAATTAGTTAGGTATATACATTAACAACCACTCCCGGCTTGAGAGACATTTTGCACCTATTCTTCATACTAGGTAAAGCTAGTCTTAGAATTGTCCTTTGCATGGCTGGCTCTCTCTTGTTCATGCTCAATCATACAAAGAAACCCGTGGGTCTCCTCACTTGCAACCATCTGAGAGTGTTCGTTTTCCGGGCCGTGGGTTCCGAGTCTCTTCCGGGGTTGTCCAGGACATTGAACACAACTCGATTATTGCTAGACGTTGAAATGAATTCACTCTTAAAGACTGTGTGAAAAAAATGAATGGGTCTTGTAAGCACCCTTGTGCCCTTCACACGTCGTGAGCACCTTCCCATCATTGCATGATCACACGTGGCCTCGAGACTATTCCATGGAAGTCTGCGACCAGGTGACGTGGGCCGTGCAAGATATGTTTGCTTCTACTAGGAGCCTTTCCAAGATGGAATTACTGACTGCGTCTGTCGGAAAGAGGTCAGGCTGCCAAAAAGGCTGACTTGGGACGATTAGGTACGTAGGTCTACTCCATGTGAATTAAGAAGTCCTGACCAACCCCCCTCAAGGGAACAATTCATTTTATACGCTAGCGTGAAGCTCCTGAATTGAATTACGCGGCCGGCAGGCAAGCAATGACGCAATCGGTCTCCTTCTCAGTAGGCCCTGATGGATCTTTCGACAGCAACCAGCTCAACCGCGACAGACCGTCTCTTAATCCTTTCACAACCTCAACGCCGTCTCCTCAGACAGCCAGCGCCTGGTCCAATACTCTTCAGGTCGCTTCAAGATGGATCGTTCATCTCGAGATCCAAATTATCCTCGGCGCAATCATGCGTACCCTCCTGCTGGTGCGTCTGAGCGCGCCGCCATCGCTCGCAGTTTGCAGGCACACACCCACGACCCTGAGGTCTAGGAGGCCTTACAGGTATGCTTGCGCACCCTGGAAAGCTCATGATACAACATGTATATTGACGTTCTCAGCGTGTGGTTGCTAGAAACTCTGCGCCAACTGAGAACGATGGCATGACCAGTGACACCGGTCGCGCTTCTGATGCCTCTCCTCCGAGCCCAGACCAGGCTCGCCGTCCCCTCCTCGCCGGTCCTGAGACCCAAACTCGTTCATTCGAGGGCCACAGGACCACTCAGGGAGAGGCTCGGCCGGGTAGGTTCTCCATGCTGCGGTCATTTGCTGCGAGTCGCCAGCCGTCCATCTTGCTGCAGCGCCGCCACCCTGCCGGCATCACCGAGGCCACCGCGAGCCCTCTCTCTAACCGCCGCACTACTGCGTCCATCGCAGGCGGTCTCACCGATGATAACTTGGGTAACCGCACTGAGCCCGCCAGCGGCACTGGTCCCTCTAACCGGGCCACCACGTCCAACCTAACCACAGGCCTGGACAGGCTTGCAATCACTAGCAGCTTTGCGGCCCACCTCGCATCTGCGTCCAACAACACCTCCCAGCGCCCGAGCATCACCGCGTCCGGCAGTCCGTCACTGATCCTTCGTGTCTCCACCAACGATGGCGTCACCGGGGCCCGTGTGAACCCTCGCGTTGGTGGTTCTCCCTCGGCTCGTTCCACTCCTTCAGTTGGTGGTTCTTCTTCCTCGGCTGGCTCTGCTCGTACGGTCGGCGGTGCGGCCAACGGCCGCGGTACTCCCGCGCCTGGTGATGGTGCTACTGCGAACGTGGCCATGCCTGCGAGCGGTTCTCTCCCCGTCAGAGCTAGCGGTGCTCAGACGGCTAGCGGTCCTCCTCCTACGACCGGAGCCATGCCTACGAACGGTTCTCTCCCCGGAAGAACCGGCGGTGCTCAGGCGGCTGGTGATGGTCCTACCGCGGACGATACGATCATTGCGGACGGTGCTCTCCCAGCATCTGGCGGTGCCCCTGCGGTGGGAACCATGCCTGCGATCGGTCGCGTCGCCTACATCACGGTCCAGTCCCCCGACAACCGGGTAAGCTTCCTAGGTCACAGTAGCACTGGCTTATTTACTAATTGATGTGGCCCAGTTCTACACCGTTCGAGTTGACCTGACCGATGCTGCACCCAATGCGACGTACAACATCACAATCAACATCCCGCCTCCCTAGGAGCTTGGCCAACACTTTGTGATACATACCTAGCATTTCCCTGGGCTCGAAGGACCTGGGTACCATGGTGGTGTGGTCTCTGTGTGGCCTTTGTGTCCTTGATCCGATCGGCTGGTTCTCCATTCAGGATAGAAAGCAAAGGCTTTGGATGGACTTTGAGGAAGTAGTTGCTTCTTGGAACTGGAAGCACATCGTCTGTTTAGGAAACAGGCCCCTTATCTAAAAGCGGCACTTTGTCTGTGCAGTCAGCGGATGATTGATTGGTTTGAGCTGACGAGAATTCGGCACGAACGACGAATGATCAGCATGAGCAGACCAAGATTCAGATGAGAAGATGATAAATCAGCATGAAATCATGGAAAATCGGCACGAGCAGATGAGATACTGGCATGAGCACCAACATACATCTCCATTTGATGGGTGCCTGATGAATAAAAAACTTCTTCATTGACCATGATGCCTCTCTTCTCCATGTGCCTTACTACAGATGATGTTTACAAACTTGACACCGCATCACTGGTTGAATGCATACGAAAAAAAAATGTATGAAGCAGACATCCCATAGAACCACAAAGCCATTCCATCTCATGAGGGGGCACAACCCCTCCGGGGTTTCAAGACCTAGAGGGCATTATCCAATTGTTAGACACCAAGGATTGCAAAATTTCAGCATCTGAAGATGAGGTGAGTTGCAACGGCATGAGAAGCTGATTGTTGAGAATTAAGCCAGCAGGCGTCACGGGTCAGTATTGCGAAGCGGCTTGCTATGGGCACAAGTTCTTGCGACGTCAAAATTATTAACCGGGGACCTTTACCACTTTGGCTTTCTCACTCTGCCGGGAAAATACAATGTTGATTGGGTATCAATTTTATTCTGAGACTCAAGTCTCTGCTTTGCGAGGCCCATCGTGTTTCTCAACACCAGAATACGAATTTAGAGCTTGGCCTACGGCATCATCAGGAATGAGCCTCGGCTCTCCCAAAGCCAAAGCCCACATGACTTGAATGAATCGCCACCGTGAATACATATGGTCAGGTGCCAAGCTGAGCTGATGTGCTGTATCCCCGGTGCCCGGCTCGAGTTGCCTGATGTGGGACAAAATGATGATAGGACTGGAGATGCTCCCGCCCCAAGATGGCGCAGGGGGAACTTCAAAATCCCAGCAGCACCCAACACCTCAAGATTGGTCTTGAGGTCTCCCCTAAGAGGTCCTCGCATTTGAGGACAGAGGAATAATGGCGGAGAAACGCAGCACCTAGCCATCAGAACCCCCCGCCACCCCAGAGGAAAGGTCCAGCCTCGACCGCGCCTCGCGCATGATGGCCTTGGCCTCCTCCACGTCCTGGCCGTCCTGGCAGAGCTCGTTGGCCAGGCGGTTCGCCGTGTCGAAGTCGGCGTGCCGCATTGCGTATCTGGCGAGCCACATCCTGGCCCTGCTGGTCACGTTCGTGACGCCGATGCCCTGGTTCTGCTTCTCCCGCTCGTCGCCGTCCTCGCCTTCGTCTGACAGCACGTCGCTGTGCTTGGCGGCGCCGTCGCCCAGGTTGTCGACGTTGCCGTCCTCCTGGACGATGCACAGCTCCATGTAGGCCCTGGCCTCCTCCTCCTCGTCCAGGCTTTCGTACATGAATGCGATCTGGACGAGCACCTCTGTGTCCAGTCGGCCTAGCGCTGTGCGGTCGAACCCCGTGGCTGCGCTGCCGAAGCTGCTGCCCGAGGATTCGTAGTAAGTATCGGCCAGCAAGGCTCGCTTGAGTGCCTTGATGCCGTCTCGCTCACGGCCTAGCTTCTGCAGGCAGGTGCCGACGGCCATCCACATCTTGCCGTCCCAGGGCCGTAGACCTGCAGCCTTCTTGTAGTACCACAACGCGTATTGATACATCTCCAGCATCTCGTACGTTTGACCAAGACCATACCAGGCCCTGTAGTCCCTTCTGTTGATGTCCACTGCTCGTCGATAAGATTCGATGGCAGCGTGCGTGTTCTTGAGCTCGACGTATTCGTGCCCCATCAAAGTCCACGCGGACAAGCACGACCTGTCCAGCGCCAAGGCCCGACGGAAGTATTGCACAGCTTTCTCGTGTTGTGAAAGCAGGGAGTAGTAGTTACCGATGACAACGCACGATTCTGGCCGAAACTTGTCGACGCTTGAGCAAAGGTGAGCTAAAAAGGCCAGCTTTGGCCTTTCGTTGAGCACGTAGAGAATGTTGGAGTAGATGTCGAGACTGTCTAGGCGATGGGGATGAAGAGAAAGGAGGTGGCTGAATCGTGTCGAGGCATCTTTAAGCTCTTTGGTATGATAAGACAAGAGGGCGGAGCATGTGAGCAGGAATGGGGAATCTGGGAAGATGCCCAGGAGTTGGTCCAGTGCCGTTCCAAGCTCATTCGTTGGTTGGTATAGCTCTAGTGATGTGTGGATGTGGAACATGTAAGAGACGATATGTTGCGGTAGACGAGGTACGATCTTGTTGAGCTGTAGTCATTCGTCAGAGAACGAGTCTCGGGCAAACAACATTGTTCATGGGACTGACCATTTCTACCCTGGTGATGGCTGAAGTCATCTCGAGCCAACAGCCCCAGTTCATGGGGAACAGATGAACGCTCTTCAAGAACCACGCCATCGCTTCGTCCGTGTTCTTCTCCTTGGCCAAGACCATGCCATACCTGTGGTGATGTCAGCTATCCCAGACTCATTAATTTCGCCCTGATCACCTACAGATATTCCAGCCAGCCTTGGCTACCCTCGGCAGACTGGTCGTCGCTCCGCTCCTCGAACCAGGTCTTGAGATAACGGCTCACGATGGGCAGCTGCTTGTTGCCTACTGTGCCGAGGTCCTGAGGGCCCATAACCATCTCCGAGTCCTCATCCTTCCTCTTCTCTCCCGAGAGCATCTTCGCGTAGAGGGCCAGGAACAAGCTCTTCTGGCTCAGCTCAGGGAGAATACTGGGTCTCAGTTGGAATATAGTGTGAGTTGGGACCAAGGACTCTTTGCCTTTGGTGGTTTTCAGTTGAGAACTTAGTGGTGAGTCGTCGCCCTTGGGAGACAGGACGCTGGATAAAAGGGAATCGGGCAGGAAAACCGCCGTGCATCGATCGAATTCCCGACAATCGAAGAATGACTTGGCGAGTAGATACTTGTTGAACTCGCGAGCCTCAAGCCGGGCCTCCTTCTCATCAGGGTTCGGAGTCAATATCGCAGGCACGTAGCCTCGAGGGGTGCTGTTCAGCTTCACCCCATCGTCCTCAGAGGTTGCTTCTGGGAGCACGTCAAGCAACTCAGCAGCCCTGTAACCCGTGGTTAGTGGCGTGTGACTTAAGAGGCTGATGAGACTTGTGTGAGTACGGACCACTTTGCCGATTGATACAGGCATCTCTCTGAGCACTTGACAACGGCATCCTGGAGCGACGCCCGCAGGTTGACGATGTCCTGCTGGGTGAAGACCATGGTGCAAGTGGGTATGGCCCAATCAGGCCGGAGCAGCAAACACCCCTGACGCACCAGGCTGGCTTGCAAGATTGGGACAATCTCAACAAGACGGGCTCGGATTGAGAGTCAAGACACCTCTGATGACCGTGTCGATCCTTGCAGCCTGGAGTCGTTGCTAGGGTCCTCAGTGCTTGCAGGAGTGGATGTTGTCGGGATGCCCGCAGCCAGCCATCGGACGGAGAGGGAGGCAGTCAACACTGGGCGGCGGTACCGGTCCCAGGGTCAGATGCAGCGATGTGCGATGGTGGTATTGTCCAGGTGTGTAACGCGTTCCGCCCTGAGGGATCGGCCAGTCCTTTAACAAGGGTACCCTTGTGCTTCGCTCTTTACCGGGCTGAGAAGGTAACCCCGCCAAGGGACTTTCCATAATTTTGTTTATCTTCGAGTCGGCTCTGTACAACCGCGCTGACCTCTGCCCTATTTACTCGGCGTCAGCAGAAGCAAGTCTCCCCTCTTTCTCGCTAGCCGAAACAGCCGGAGCAAGAAATCAACTCTCCGACTGACATTTCTCGAGTTTCGACACAGCCCACCACAGCGACAGCGACCACAGCCCCACGCCCTCAGCAACCACAGCCCCACGCCCTCAGCAACCATGGCGCAAAGAACTACTCTGAAGGAATTCGAGGCCGTCTTCCCCAAGCTGGAGGCCGACCTCGTCGAGCATGCCGAGTCGTACAAGCTGCCCCAGAAGCAGGTCGAATGGTACAAGGCGGTAGGTGCCCCGGCTGACATGCCACCATCGTGGGCATCACCTTTTGGCGAGGTCACCCTCAGGTCTAACCAATCCTGTCTGTTCTTCTACAGAGCTTGAGGACGAACACGTTGGGAGGCAAATGCAACCGCGGCATGTCCGTCCCCGACTCCGTGTCGCTGCTGCTGGGCAAGCCCCTCTCGGAGGACGAGTACTTCAAGGCCGCGACCCTGGGCTGGTTGACCGAGCTGCTGCAGGCCTTCTTCCTCGTGTCCGACGACATCATGGACACCAGCATCACGCGCCGCGGCAAGCCGTGTTGGTACAGGCAGGACGGCGTGGGCATGATCGCCATCAACGACGCCTTCATGCTCGAGGCTGCTATCTACACCCTCCTGAAGAAGTACTTCCGCTCCCACCCGGCCTATGTCGACCTGATCGAGCTGTTCCACGAGACCTCGTACCAGACCGAGCTCGGCCAGCTGACCGACCTGCTCACCGCCCCCGAGGACAACGTCGACCTGGACAACTTCTCCATGGAGAAGTACCGCTTCATCGTCATCTACAAGACCTCCTACTACTCCTTCTACCTGCCTGTCGCTCTCGCGCTGCACCAGCTCAACATCGGCACGACCAAGAACCTGAAGCAGGCCGAGGACATCCTGATCCCCATGGGGGAGTACTTCCAGATCCAGGACGACTACCTCGACAACTTTGGCCTGCCAGAGCACATTGGCAAGATCGGCACCGACATCATGGACAACAAGTGCTCGTGGCTGGTCAACCAGGCCCTGGCCATCTGCACGCCCGAGCAGAAGAAGATCCTCGAGGACAACTACGGCCGCAAGGACAAGGACAAGGAGGCCGTCGTCAAGAAGCTCTACGACGAGCTGAACCTCGAGAAGCTGTACAAGGACTACGAGGAGAAGGTCGTCGGCGAGATCAGGGACAAGATCGCCAACATCGACGAGAGCGACGGCCTGAAGAAGGGGGTCTTCGAGGCCTTCCTGGCCAAGATCTACAAGCGAAGCAAATAAGCGCTGGGTTTGGGCCCCTTCCATGGTATTTTAGACGGTTAATACACGCAAAACGTCATTGCTAGACCCCAAGACCTGTTGCTCGTGGAGGGTTTATTCAAGAAAGAGTTGTAATAAGACGTAGCTCACCGAGCCTAATACTTCAATATTCTCATACCACGACATTCGTCAGCCCAGGTGACTTGAAGAAAATTCCGGTTTCCCATTGTCATGCTGCATCAGTAGAAACGTATGGTACAGTGCACAAAGGGAAAAAGACAAGGCGTGAATGAACCCAAACTCCTGGCAGAGGCAAAACCCATTCTCCCAACCGAACCATTTCTACCTCTCTCATCAAGGACTAGCAGCACAGCTTATGCAAAGCCCCATGCCTCGCCTCCCCCATCCTCGCCCCAATCAACGACCCGTTTCGGTGTACTCCCCGCCCCCCTCTCAAAGCGCCAGGTTATAGCTATACTCATCCTCCATATTCTGGCTAACCCAAAGCACAACACTGCTAAGCCCAACGAGCGCATTCGCAACAACGTTCTCGACCCCCATGCCCATCATGGGCCACTCGACGGAGGGCACGACGAACTTCAGGACGAAGACCGTCACGCCGCCCGCCATCCCGCCCGCCAGCGCCGCGAAGCCCAGGAACAGCACGACGCGCGCCTTCCACGCGACACCGGACCCGCTGTACGAGAAGGAGTCGGCCGACAGCCGCTGCTTCTCGACGCTGTTGATGATGAGCATCCCCAGCGAGGAGAAGATGAGGGGCAGCCAGTCCACGAAGGTCACGTGGACGTCGGAGCCGTTCAGGGGCGACTTGGACCACACCGAGGCGTCGAGGAGGACGTAGAAGGCGAGGGAGAACTGTGTGTAAGGGGTGCGGTGTTAGCTCGCTTGTGGCTTTTTTGGGTAGGGAGTTCGCTTTCAAGGGGGCGAGAGCGCAGAGGGCGGAAGGGGGATGCCATTGCGGATGATGCTGTCGTGACCCCGTTGATCCAGATTTCCCCCGGTCCCATCTCCCTCGTGGGGCCGTGATGCCGAGAAGACTTACCAAGGCGCCGGCGCTGTAGACGCCTGCGTTGCGGGCGTAGACGCTGTTGAGCCACTCGGGCTTGCGGAACTTCCAGAGGCGCTCTTCCGACATGGCGGCGGCCGGGATAGGGATGCGAGGTGGGTGGGAATGTGAGTATGTAGGCAGGCTGGTCGGTGTCGCTCGAGCTGTGACACTAGGATCGTACTAGAGATCCCCTCTCGATCACGACGGCTGGTCCGCTTGTTGTGAAGCCTCGGAGCACTGGTAGCTCAGGTATGGAATGTGGTGGGTTCGGTGTCCGTCGAGTTCGGGATTCTAGGACTGATTCTTGGCTGAATTCGATGGTCGTCGTTGATGGGGTTGCGACACTCTGGTGGAGGCTGAGGATGACGACTGAGCTTTGGAGGAGCTTCCCCAGCCGCGTCAGGCTGCCTGCCGGGTCGGACCTGACAGGGGGTAAGGGCGCTCGAGCGCCGGGGTGTCCTCATACGGCCCTGGTGTTCCACCTTGATGGACGGACCTGTGGATCGAATTTGTCTTGCATATGCGAGGTAGAGCATTCAGTCGAGTGCTACTCGTTGTTGAATATTTGCACGTACGTGACGGTGGCAGGTTGGTCATATTGTGATTTACACGTCGATACCTTGAACTACAGGAGCAGGACAGCCGCCTGCCAGTTCACAGCAGTATGACGACCGCTAAAGCATGAGTCCCGCAACACTTCCAGGGGAATGATTCCATGGCAATCGGTAACGAATGTATTCATACCTGCTCAGGGACTTGTGGCTACAAGGAACACACATGTGATCACGAGTAAAGCTTCACAACTATGCCGGCCTCGCCTGCGCGAACCAACGACCGTATCACGTTACATGTCACGCACCCGCTCGAAAAGCCCAGGGCAGCACAATAGAGTCAACAATTGAAGGCTCCTCAACGGGACGATTTATTGAAGTCTGGCTCAGGCAGGTTCGCCGTCGCTCGCAGGTGTACTAGATGGAGAAGTCCGAGTCCGTCGTCGCCACCGGAGGTTACGTCTCTCTTCCCACTGACGTCCCCCAACTGCTCGTGGACCCCTCGTCCCCTCTACACGACCTTTAGAGATTTCTGGTGTTTTCGTCCCATCCAACCGCAAACGCCTCAAGCAGACCACCTCCAAATCTAGAACACACGACGTTCAGACTACCACCTCGGCCTTGAATGCGTAATTAGTGAAGAATATTCGGTGCGACGAAAGGACAGGCCCCCACGCGGTGGGCATTGTCTGTTCCCGCCAGAGGAGTAATATACACAAAAACAAAACCCCGACTTGGCAAAAAAAGGCAGAAGACGGGGCTTATTAATTGTATCCTTTCGCTTCCAAAACGGCCAGCCAGAGGTTGGCCGGAGCTGAGGGAGAATGCAAAATCCGGTGTGGTGTTCGTACAGAAGGCGTGCTAGAAACCAACGCATCCTTCAAGCCGTATGGCGATGTTCGGAAACAGGCCGGGAAACCGATGACGACATCCGTTTTCTCGGTCAGAAGTCGCGGGAGGTGGTGAACGCGCAAGGGGCTGAAAGACTTTGAGAGAACGGTTTCGTCTAGGGTCGAGGCTTCGTCAAAACGCCGTAAACGCCAATCCCCTTGTGGCGGGATATATATGCTCTTCCCTTTCGTTGCAGGTATCATGTTCTTCATCGCGGAATTCCATTAGATCTCGATCTCCTTCATAGCCTCTTCTGTTACCATGGGCTTCTTGCCGTTGACCTTGGCCGAGGAGGGTGATTCAGATTCCGCGCTATCTGAGGTCTCACCCTTCGTCAGGGCCGCGAGTCTCGGGGCGCTGCTCTCCTCCCCGCTGACCCTCGGTGTCTCCACCTCCACGAGCTTCTCTGGCTTCGTAAGTCCGTTGGGCGAAAGTTCCTGGAGCGAGGCCTCCTCTGTGACGCGAGCCAGAGGGCTCGCCTTGCCATTCGCACGCATGGGACTGGCCAGAGGCGAGCTGCCGCTGAGGCGGTGGAGCGAGCGCCCACGGACCTCGCCGTTCGGCTCTGTCGGGCTGGTGTAAGGTGAGCTTGGTCCAGTCGGGGTGCCGGATCCCGGAACACCTGATTTCCTCTTCGCAGCTCGGGCTGCCGCCCCTCGGCCGTACTTCTGATCCATCCTCCACCTCAAGATATCGAAGTAACCCGGCTCGACGCGAGCCGCCTTAAACTCACGCAGCTTGAGCTCCTGGCTGTCCTCGTCGATAAACCACTTGCCGCTGTTCAGATCGTCCGCAACAACCGCCAGGAAATGAGCCCAAGACCGGGCCACGACGTACTTCGTGTCGTAGTCACGGCCGAAAAGAATGATCTGGCCCCAGTTGCCCTTGGGGCCGGGGGCGAGATCGACGGCCAAGTTGTTTCCACCCCAGTCCCTGACCAGAGGGATCCAGGCGGGATGAGCGTAAGCCTTGCGGATCGAGTCAGCGGGGACGGATTCCTGACGAGCTATGAGGGTCTCTCTCCAGGCTGTCTTGTCCTGTGGGGTCGGGCTCGGTGCGGACTTGGAGGACGAGGCCTCGCTGCTCCCGCCAAAAGCCTTGGAGGGAGCCACTGGCTTCACGACTGCCGTGTCAAGTAGGAATTGCTGGTTGACCTTGCGCCACTGATCCCAGTCCTGCACCATCTCTTCGCAATCAAGGAGCATGTTGCTGAAGATAATACCGGTAGGCATGCCGCCTCTCTCCTGGCCGTCATGGATCTGGAGGGAGTCACGGACATCGGGAGGTAGTGTGCAGTCCAGCTGGTGTTCCAGCTCGTTCAAATCGTTGGCAGTACACCCCTCACAGAGCTGATCCCAGAGCTCGGGGTAGTTGTCTTCAGCCCAGGAGTCGATACGCTTCCAGGAGTGAGTGACGGGCGGTGGTGGAGGCTGGCCGTCCTGAAACGACTGCATTGGGATCTCGCCGACCGGGCTCTGCATTTCGAAACCGTCGCCGGTGTTGGACCGAGCAAGCTGGGAGCGCATTCCAGGCGAGTATGGCCTGCTTCCGCCAGGGCTTTGAGGGATGGCGGGCGAGACCGGGGCACCGTTGTACGAGGTCGAGCTGTCAAGATGGGTCAGGGAGCTCCGGTTGTTGTAGTCGCCGTAGGGGGATGTGATGTCTGCTCGAGACTCGGAGGCGGTCGCGACTGATGTGAGCCCACCCTCGCCGAGGGGGACGTGGCGACCAGATCGGTATGGAGAATCGTGACCGGAGTCTGTGGTTTTATCTTCAGCATGTGCTCCAGTTGGAGGGACGAGAGCAATTACGTACGTCTGTCGTAACTGGTCATTGTGTGCCAGAAGGACTTGAAGGCGGAGCCAAGTCTGTTTGTTGTCAATGGAACTCGGTCAGCCTTTGTCTCGCCACGTTGATTCCTTGGGGGACTGGGGGGTTGACGTACGGGTTCGCCATCCTGGGCAGCTGTTCAGCGGTGATGCCACGTCGGACCGGATTGCTGGACAGGAGGAGACGCGGGAGTTTTGTCGTTTGCAGGAAAAGGGGGTTGGGTTATGGTGGCCCAGGCCCAGGGAGAAAGGAGAAGGAACCAAAAGAACGTGGGTCTTTTCGTCACCGTTGGTTGCCCGGTGGAATTTACCCGACAGAAACTCGCAGCGACCGACGCGGTCAGCAAGGGGGGAAAACGAAAGTTGAAGAAAAGTCGCCGGGGCGCCTGTGAACGTGTGTGGCTGAAAGGTCAAACTGCACGATCGACAGGTTCGCGGTGGAAGCTGCGAATTGAGTTGACGCCTTCTCCTGCGCGGTCTAGTGTTTACCGTACGTTGGTCGGCTTTTTTGGCGCCCAGTCGGCGGCGGGCGTGGGCTTGGGAGTGGGCGTTGGGGTTGTGAGTGGGCGGTGGGCGGCGACGCTTTCTTCTGCGTTCTTTGTCTGGCGGGAATGTCGCAGCGTTCAAGTGCTATCCATCCATGCCAGGGCCCAATCTAGGAGCGAGTCAGATTGGCTTGGTCTTGGTCGATGTTCCGTTTGTTTCTTGTGCCTTGCTAAAAAAAAGGGAATCCAAATCCAAAACGAGTGTTGGACTGACAAGTGGCAAGGCAAATGCAGACAACACAGGCACGCACACTCTCCCAAGGCAGTCAATCGGTCCTGGAAACGATGGTGAAGTTGGGTTGTGTTGTGACAAAAAAGATGAGAGGAAGAAAGAAGCCGGACGGAAGAGGACTGATGAAGCCAAGTCGAGTGGCTGCAACTGGAGTGGCCAAGCTGCTCTGCTCTGCATGGACATCCGGTCCAATTTCACGGAAAATGCAAACTGCAGAGCCCTCTCTTGTAGTCTTCCAATGAGGGCCGAACGACAAGGCGGTGGTAGTACCTGAACCTGGGAATGGGGCCTGTGAGTAGCGGGAGCACCAAGGAGCAAGCACCAGCACACCCCCCAAAGCTTCATCCCTTAAAATGGAAGCACCGTGCCTCTGCCTCCTCCTCCCTCCCCCTCCCCCTCCTCGTCAATCTAATTTTCCCTGCCATTATCAGGAGGAAGGGGCGTTCTGTAGGTGCGGTACGGAGTACAACACGCACCCGTGCCTAGTCGCCTCCTCTACCCAGGCCAGCAGAGAGATTCGGGTTGCACGGGTACCTTGCTTTTGACACAATCTCGGCCACGCACTCCTGTCTCTCCCTACCATTATGACGGTTGACGACCTCTCCATCACCCTCACTCGCGTTCCTTTTCTTCAGCACCAGCAGCCCAGCCTTTGCCATGCTTGCCTGCTCATTCCTCCCACAGGCCTCACCATCTCCTACTGTACTTATGTCGTAGTTGGCACCCACTTAGCAATGGCCCAGTAGTCACCTGGGTAGTGCGCTGCACGCCTAGCAGAGCTGCAGAAGCTTGAAAATCCCACCCTGACCACCTCGGATTTCGAGATGCCTATCAGCAAAAGACTGTGTGTGTGTGTGAGTGTGGTTACTGGAATGGAATCCTGCTGGTCCAGTATCTCACATGCAAGCATACAAGGTCAATGCCTGCTGTGCGGCCTCTCTCTGCTGCGGCGCATGCGACAAGCACTTCCTGACTCTTGTTTCCGTCGGCCGACACGAACACGTCCTTTGTTCTTTGTCTGCCCGCTCGTCTCTCTGCCTCAGCGTTCGTCCAGCAACCACATTCTCAATGTGTTGTGCTGCCTTGCACATGGAAAAGAAAGAATCGAGATATCCTCACGGGCCCAATCCACAACTGCTGCTTGCCGTCCCCCCGACTACCCCTAGCCCCTGTCTCTGGATCATGGATCCGGCCCTCGTCTAGATGGAGCGTTGGATGGGGAGTGGACACAGCATTTATTGGACAACCGGGCTCGACCAACCACAGGCCTGTTTCGTCGCAAATGCCGTCAGGGGCACCAGGGGCGAGCAACCCCCCAGCCCATGCCGCTTCGGCGTTGCCACACTGCACTACCACAAGGACTACCGCACGACTAGACTACCGGACTACCAGACAGCACTGCTTTCATTAGGTACCACCAACACACACACGCGCATACGCACACGCACCCTCACACCACACGCACATAGTGATCGGCCGCCGTCTCGTCGTGGACTTCTGGTTCTGTGACCCTGCTGCGCCCAGGGAAACCGCATTCCCGCGTCATACCGAGACACTCTGGCGGGAGTTTGTCTGTCGCCACCTCAGCTTGTCTCGCCCACCGATCCCCAACCGCCCGGGAGCTCACCTCGTGTGAGCTTGTCTAGGTGTCACTGATCGTCCTGGTGTGGCATCCCATGTCAATGAATATCACGGGATATAAAAAGACATCTGCAGGATCGACCACCAGATAGACGAGCTTGGAAACCCCAGAAAAGTCTTGGTGGGCAACGGCTGCCTCCAGAATATCTGACCACACTGTTCCCTGGACCGCGGGCTCCTGGTACCCCGCAATTCCGCGGTTCACCAAACAACCTTGGAACCTCGCTCGGGCTCTGAGCCCTCTTCTGACTGGGACCAGTCTTGTTTCCGCGCCGTGACAGAAAACGTGGGCTAGCCAACATGCGACCACCACTGCAGCTGCTTACGCGCGCAAGGATAGGCTGGCAGGTGCCGGCGGCGCCAGCCCGCAATCAAGCTTGCTTGTCATGCAGAGTTCGTGGGAGGCCAATCCGTGCCGCCCTGCACAAGATGAGGTTATCTCACTGCCAGGTTGTTGACCACCCTGGCTATATGGCCATCTAATATCCGGCCTCGCAGAAGTCTATCTACCCGGATGTTACTGTCCGGCATGGCTGGCGATATCGACAACAACTACTGAGCTCCTGACTACGTGAACCCGCATAGGCTTCCTTCCATTCGTCACACCCTGGGTCCAGCACCAACGCCAGAAGGCAATCATGTTCTTTCAAACGTAGCTTTCAAGGTGTCTTAAGCCAGACTGAGGTACCGAGGTACCTTGCCCACAGTAGCAGCGCTGATGTCACTTGGTGTAACATGACGGACTTCCTCTCCTTCCAGCCCGCCACATCTCGCGTTGGTTTGAGACGCAGTCTACCAGCCGCCGGGCAAATAAATGTTCAGGACGTTTCAGAAAAGCATACTAGACTTGCGTCGATACGGTGCGGCGACTTAATTAGCCAATGGTCGCCACTAAAACAGCAACAGATCGACACCAAAAAGCAAGTTGGGCACCCGCGGCCCTGGGAAAGTCCACAAGTAGGGCATTCCTCCACATACTAGATAAATATCATTTCCAGCCCCATTCAATGGCCTCAATGCCATCACAGAAACAGCGGGACGCGGCGGTTTCCTCATCGCGGCTGGCTAATGACACCTAACCGTGACGTTCGTAATTGCTTCGCCTGCTTCTAGTGCTATCACACGGCCACGATGTCTGATCCTTAGAAGTTCGGTGGCCTAGTGACAGAGGAATTTGTGTTTATGATAGACTTGAGCAGAATGAACTCTGAGCCCGGGTTGCTGAGACCTGGATGCGAGCTTGGGTCTACCAAGAGCTCACCTACCGGTTTTGGATTCGCTGGGACTCTACTACTAGTACCATTTGCAAAAAGGTGTCTACCGTAGAACAAAGCAAGTTCCGTTCAGTTTAGCTTCCTGCCCACTAAAGACACAGGTGATTGTACTTCGTTGCGGAGAGCAATTTGTTCTATTATCGAATCTGTTTGCCAAGTTCTGTGGGTAATAATTGATCTTCGTTCTTGAATATAAGAGCAGTGCAGGCTCAGGTGCAGTGCTTTCCAGGCATGCACATCTGTAGTCTGGAACATTCTCTTCAACCGAACGTATTGGGATTCGATGAAATACTTGTTGAAGTGAGATATTGCTTCATTTGTACGAACCTTGATTGTTCAACGCCACGATCGAAGAAACAATATTGCTAGTAAATACGATCAGCTTTCTTCAAGCTCACTTCAGCCTCGAAGAGGCTACAGCATCACAGTTGTCTTTCTTCCTGGTTCTCTGTAGGAGTGTGACGTGCGCAGCCTACGTGTGAAGTACATTACGGATAAATAAATCACGGGAAAAGACACTAAAGGTGGACAACACTTGGTTACACAACGTAGCCACACCACATGGCTAGCCACTCAATATTTAATGTACTTGTGTCGTAATAATTCACTTCAATTTTCCACCCTCAGTCTAGAAGCTTAAAAAGAAGCCTTTCACTCCATGTACTGAATGGTATCCAATCTTCCGGTACAGACAAGTCATCAAAGTGCAATTTGCGGCACTGTTACCGGGTCCCTTGAGGACCTCACTTTCCACGGAGAGCGGAAGCCGCGAAAGTACAATGGAGAAGGCATGCTGGAGTTCAATCTCGCTGTGCCGGAGCACGTCGTCCAATTCAGTCTGCCCCAAGATATGATGAGTTGGCAGGCCCGCTGCATAGCTAATGCTCGGATGGGGCTTGCGAGCGTGTGTTGAGCTAGGATGTATAAATTTACGATTCAGAGCGTAATTACGAAAGGGGCCCTAAGTAGAATGAGGATTGTGTAAGTACTACTCCTCGTATAAGCACTCGGTGGGCCCTTTTCGATCGAGAGGAGCCGTATCTGCACTGGCACTCCACTTAGTGGAATATCTCTCTGGCTTTACAATGTACAACCTGAGAATAATCTAGTCATCGTCCGCCGTACTTGGCTTCTTCTTCGTCCGGGTCTTCTGCCCGCCCTTGAAGTGCTTTTTGCCGGACATGTTCAACTGCGCGTCCCTAGGGTCCAGGCCCTTCTCCAGCGCAGCCAGTGTCCTGGCTTTCCTCCCGCTCAGCTGCCTTCCTTCCGCCTGGCCCTGCTCGGAGTACTTGAAGCTGAAAGGCTTGTTGAGGTGCCCGGCGCTGCCGCTCCCGGGGCCGAAGAAGGTTTTGTCCAGCTTCTTGGACTTGGGCCCGGCCGGCATGTCCATGATCATGTCCAGATCTACGGACGCTCCATCGTCTGCGGCAACTGACATTGACTCCATGGCGCTCGAGAGGGCCAGTCGTCTCTTTCCTGTCAGATGTGACGGGTCGTACAGCTCACTGTTGAATTCCCTTGCGTCAATGTCTCCCGGCGGAGGCTCAACATAGAGGAGCTTGCCGTTGACGTAGTCCTTGAGGACATATCTCGCCGCTCGAGATTCGTCTGGGTTTCCTTGCCCCGTGGTAGCGAAGCCTCTCGCGCGGGCATACGCTCTCAACATCTCTGAAGCCGTGACTGTTCCGGTACCGCCCTCCTCCAGAGGCCTCATGTTGATCGTGATACCGTACAAAGCCTCCAGGAAGCTCTTTGGTATCCTCTTGGCCACCAGGGCAGCAGGCCCGGTGAACTCCCGCAGCTGGTCAATAGGAAGAACACCGTTGCAGACCAGCTCTGCCTTTGTGCTGGCAAAGTTGGCGAAAACGAGACCGGGACAATCGCAGAGAACGACGTTCTCACTCAGGTGGATCGTCTGGAAATGCTTGGTCTTGCCGGGTGTGGCCGACACGGAGACCTTCTTGGCTCCAATGAGAGCGTTGATGGTGGACGATTTTCCGACGTTGGGATACCCCACCAGGCCAATTGTCAGCTTTGTGTTCTTCTCCGGGTTCGTGGGTGCGTGTTGCAGGAAGATGCCTTCTAGCTCATCCACGGTCAATATTCTCGTGTCTTCGTCGTCTTGTTCGGGTGCAATGGCGCTCTCGGTCAACGGGAGATTGGGGTTGTCATCTGCCGCCTCTGCGTTATCGTCTTCCTCCTTCTGCTCTGATGTCCTCCGCGACCTTGGAGCTGCTCGGTTGGGGCTCTTCGTCGGAATATTCGTCAGAATCTTCGTCTTCCTGCGCCTCGTTGTACTCCTTTGCCAGCTGAGCGGAGAAGAACCTGTAAGCAATCTTCGCGCCCTTCAGGTGATTTGCCCAAGCTTTTCGCTGCTTGTATGTCATCATATCGGCCTTGTTGATGAGAAGCAGGTTCTCCTTGCGTGGGTCAACCTCCTTGACATACGTGTCCAAATCCTCGGAACGGAACATCAGAGGATTTCGCGCATCGACAATCTGCACGACTAGGTCCGACCTCTCAATGACACGCCAGAGCTGACGCCAGACCTCTAGATTTCGCTCAAACGGGGTCATCAGAAGGTCGTGGTTCTCCTGCAGCTCCGCAAGGCCTCGCCTCCAGTCGAGAAAGCTCTTCCGCTCCATGGCATCCAACTCCTCAGGTGTGGTAGACGCATCCCAGTGCGGCCGTCTTGGTACTGTCAACTTGTCCTTGTTCTCCTTGTGTTTCTTTGATGCGATGCGCTCCTCTGCTGACGAGAGCAGGTAGGGGTTCTTCTGATCGGTGTGGATGATCTTGACATTGTTCATCTTCTCGGCTGTGAAGTCGGTCCCAGCGAGCTCCGCTGTCGCCAAGAACTCGTCGAGGGCGCCCTGCTCCGTGACCGACCTCATCTTGACCCAACTCGCCTCTTCGCGGTCATTTGTAATGTACTCCTCGCCGGTCGCGTGGTTGATACGGGTGACTCCAGTGCCCTTCCTTCGATCCTTTCCCTTGCCCTTGCCGAAGCGGTCGTGCATCAGGGCATTGCCCAGGCCGACGCTCTTCTGGCTCTTCGGTTGCCCCATCGTGGATTCGATTCCCGCACAGTCGAATGTGGGATGCGATTTTGAATGTTCCTGTAGGATGCCCCCGGCGAAAGGTTTATGTTTGCCTTTCTCTCAAGGGGGTGTAAGGACGAGGTTGAGGCAGAGACTGAGAGATCAGGCAGAGGCAAAATCCGGCGCGGGCCCCTCTAGTAACAAGTGACGAAATCAGACCCGGCTTAGAAATTGGGGTCTGTCGCGGGGCACAGACTTTTCGAAGCACAGCAACCCCAGCGCCAGTAGCAAGTGCCCCGCGCGATAAGATAGCGCGGCATGTAAATTGGATTTTTTTTTGGCATGCGACAGTATTTCACTGGACCCCAGAACTTTTTTTTGGTAGACCATTTTCATCGCACTCTAGACCAACTCTCCCGCATTTCCATTGCTACCACCACTACCAACAACATACCAGAAACAGGAACCTCTTTTCTTCACTCAGCTCCTCAACCACCTCAAACTACATCAAGATGCCTCCCTCCAACTGGCAAAAAGCCAAGAAGGAGGGCACCGCCCAGCACTTCACACTGGTGCACCGGCCCCAAAACGACCCTCGAATCAATGATGACTCGGCGCCGTCCATGGTGCTGAACCCGACCCCGGGCAGCTCGAAGTCAAAGAAGCTGAACGACCTCGCATCGGAACTGGGGTCAGAGGCAGAGAGCATACGGGACAATGAAGGCGAGGCGGCAAACTTCGGCGTATACTATGACGACACCGAGTACGATTACATGCAACATCTGCGCGAGATTGGAACTGGTGGCGGAGAGGCCGTGTTTGTGGAAGCGGAGGCGCCACAGAACAAGGCAAAGGGAAAGCAGAAGCAGTCTCTCGAGTCAGCTCTCAAGCAGATGGAGCTGGAGCAAAAGTCTGGAGACCTCTTCGACGAGGACCTCCTGCCTTCCAAGGACCTGCAGAGGCTGAACTACCAGTCGCAGCAAGATGTGCCAGATTCCATCGCCGGCTTCCAGCCCGACATGGACCCTCGCCTTCGCGAGGTCCTTGAAGCTTTGGATGATGATGCTTATGTGGACGATGACGACGACATCTTCCAGACCCTATCGAAAGACGCCAAGGAGCTGAACGACCACGAGTTCGATGAGACATACGACGAGTATGAGGACGATGAGGGCTGGGAGTCAGACGGCACTGCGAAGCCCACAAAAGAGTACAGAGACGACGAGGTGCCAACTCTTGTGAACACAGCCGAAGTGCCGGCGCAGGGCCCATCGGAAGGCTGGCTGGAGGACTTCAAGCAATTCAAGAAGGACCAAAAGGCAGAGAAGAAGCCGGCCGAGCCAAAGCAGGCGGATGGCCTGTCGTCCATATGGACAACGACGACGATGGGCGGCCGGAAGAAGAAGAGAAAGGGAGCCCTCACGAACCCTTCAGCCTACACCATGACTTCTTCCTCGCTTGTGCGCACAGAGCAGCTGGACATTCTGGACGCACGCTTCGAGAAGATGGAGGAGCGCTACAACGATATGGAAGACGAGGGATCGATTGTGTCGGGCATGTCAGGTATGTCGAGCGTACAGGGCCCGATGAGACAAGACTTCGACGGCATTCTCGACGAGTTTTTGGGCAACCACAGCATGCAGGGAAAGAGGCGCATCAAGCGAGGAAAGGACCAGAGTGGACTTCAACAGCTGGACGAAATCAGGAGAGGGTTGGGACCAGCGCGGATTAAGGGTCGAAATGCATAGGCGCATCAGGAACACCCGGCAGACAACCTCATGACTGAACGATAGCATAGCTTTAAAAGAGCTGACCACAATCTCAAGATACCCAGGCTTCATAGTCTTTGCAATGAATGCCCTCACCACTTATGCTGTACCGTTTGCAATGTGAAACAACTTGTTGCTCAGTAGCATCTACTCAAGCTTGCACTATCAATATCAGGCTGGATGTAGGCACACCAAACACGGCCTGCTCGTGAATGGCAGGAGAGACACAGTTGGATTCAAAAGAATTAGATACTCAAGAATACGCTGTCTTTGCAGAATTCCATCGCAACGCTGGAGCAGCAAGACGCTTGCCGGTTGTAATAATTACATATGTCTACAGTGAGCTGAACGACCTGCGTCAAATTCTTCCAACTGGACTTTCCTCCCCAGCCTTTTCATCCACTCTCATGTCAACACAAACCCATTCTGCCATCTCTCAAGCCTGCCACCACATTCATAACATCTGCCATTTCCATTCTGCCAGGCCTGATTCTGCCAAGTCAAGTTGGAAAATCTACCTATGTTGAAACTATACAGAGGGGATGTGTGCTTCCATTTTCCCTCTGTATCCAAGTAACCGTCTGGTTTATGCAACACGAAATGCAAGCATTATGGCCAACTTTCACTCACTCTGCCACTTTGTTGCATTGTAGCCTGTGCAGAGCAACAGCCCGCCGATAGCCTCAGTCTTCTCACGTTTAGCGATTTGAAGAGTACAAAACAAATAATGAAAAACACAATGAGTCTACACTCAAACTGTACCCTTGTGTTGTACAAGCGCAGTGCCCATGGTAAATACAGTTATTTTCGCTATTTAATGCTTTAGATAGTGTCTATTCAATTTCCTTCTGCAGCCCAATGCCGTGTTAGAAGCCACTATTTTGCACCGAACAGTCTTAGTGACAGGCTACAGCTAACCTATAGTTCATTAGTGCCAGCACCGTTGAGCTACCAAGGTCGAAGCCATCAAGGTCGGAGTTACTCATGCAATGAAATTGCACAGAATCGGCAAACAAAACAAGTTATCAAGGTCGGAGTTACTCATGCAATGAAATTGCACAGAATCGGCAAACAAAACAAGTTATCAAGGTCGAAGCCATCAAGGTCCAATCCGTCGTGGTCGAAGTGGGCCTTCAAATTGCTCGTAAAGGGCAGGTATTAAGAAACCATCTCGCAGACTGAAGTTCTGTCTCTGCTTCGAACACACAACAAACCAACACAACTTGCTCCTCTGCAGGGTTGAAATTAGTTTAGTTTAGTTTAGTTAATGGGTCTAACTAAAAACTAAAAACTAAAAAAAAATTAGTTTAGTTAATAGGTTTAACTAAAAACTAAAAACTAAATTTTTTTAGTTTTTAGTTTTTAGTTTTTTAGTTAATTAAGTTTAACTCAAAAAATTTTTAAAATAAATAAATAAATAAATAAATAAATAAATAAATAAATAAATAAATAAATAAATAAATAAATAAATAAATAAATAAATAAATAAATAAATAAATAAATAAATAAATAAATAAATAAATAAATAAATAAATATAAATATAAATTTATATATATTATTTAATTTATAATATTATAATATTTACTTTTAATTTTATATTTAATTTATTAATTATAATGATTATTTAATTAATATAAATATCTGTTTTTAAATATATATATTAAATTTCTTTTAAAAAAAACTAACGACCTAAACTCCCGTTATAGCCTAATGGTATATAACGTTGGTTTATTTCTGAAAAATAAAACGTAATATGCTTAAAATAAATTATTATTAAGGGGTATAATATTTATTACTAGCTTATTGTGTCTTATATAATAAGGAAATAAACTTCTTTTTTTAAAGATTTTTAAATTTTCTTTTATTTATTATTTTATTTATAAACTATATATTATTTTTATTAAGTTTTATGAAATTTTATATTTTATATAATATAATTTTTTTTTATATAATTAATTCTTTAAAATACTTATGGCTTTTTAAAAATAAAGGTTTTAATATATTTATATTAAATCTGCTAAATGGCAATTGCTTATTTGGGACATGACCACCCCCCCTATGCCCCCTACCCTTAGCGTCACCACCTAAATATAATCATTAATATCTCTTTATATAAGAAACTTAAAATTATATAAAAAATACTTTTTAATAGGTTTTATTTATAACTTAATAAATAAAATATTATTTAAAATTATTCGCTCTCTAGAAAAACAAATATAAAAGGATATATTACTTTCACCTTAAATATAAAAATTAAATACTACTTTATATAATTATATAATAATATTAGAATTTTTCTTAGTATAATAATATTATTTTTATATATAGAAAGAAATCTTTAAAAATATTATGTATAATTTTATTATCCTTGTTTATTAAAACTTATTTACCCCTATAAATGCTCTATTTTAAAACTAAATATAGAGCTTATTAAGGCCTATTTGCTCTTATAAATGCTCTATTTTAAAACTAAATATAAAGCTTATTAAGGCTTATTTACTCTTATAAATACTTTATTTTAAAACTAAATATAAAGCTTATTAAGGCCTATTTGCCCTTATAAATGCTCTATTTTAAAACTGAATATAGAGCTTATTAAGGCCTATTTGCCCCTATAAATGCTTTATTTTAAAACTGAATATAGAGCTTATTAAGGCCTATTTGCCCCTATAAATGCTTTATTTTAAAACTTACTTTTAAAACTTAAATATAATAAATATACTTAGAATTAAACTCATAAGGTTTAAAATAAGTGGGTTTAATTAATAAGCTTACATAACTTATATAATAATAACAATAATAAAACTTTATAACCTTGCATTCTTATATATAATAATATTTAATATTTATTAAAAGTCTTATTAAATATAATAAAATTTAAAAATTAATAATATATAAAATATTTTTAATAAATAAAATTTTCTTTAATAATATAAAATATATTCTTTTTTTTCTTAAATATTAAAGTAAGTTTATAAGTTTTTTTTTTTTATTAATAGGTAATCACCGTAATCTAGCGGTAAAGCGTATGATTATAGTGACTACCTAGGTTACCGTTGGGAAAAGATTAATTTATTTTCTTTAAAAAGCTATAGCTAACACTATATTAATTTATAGTTATTAAGGGCTCTAGGGGATATTTTAAAACTTAATAATCTGGGTTTTATTATATTATTTAAACTTTAGGGAGCAGGGTTGTCCACTAATTTATTAGTGTAATGCTTTAACTATAAGCTATTCTAAGAGTAAATTATACATTTCGTTATATATTTATCTTATTTATTCTTTTAATAGCTATATAGTTTTAAAGCAGTTGTTAGTACTTATGTATTTTTATTTTTTATAAATTAAATTATAAAGTTTATTTAATTTATATTATATATATATATATATTATATAGTTTTAAAGTAATTATTAATATTTATATATTTTATTTTTTTATAAATTAAATTATAAGGTTTATTTAAAATAAGTAATATATATATTGAAAACGAGCCACCTAAACAATGGGGAATAAGTTTTGCTAAACCCTCTTAAGGATAACTTAAGGAGGAGCTTTAATGCAATAAAAAGGAAAGATAAGAATAAAAGGGAATTAAAGAAAGGGAAAAGATAAATATTTTAAAAATTCTTAAAAATAAAAAAGCTTAATTAAAGCATTAAATATATAAAAAAAGAAAAGAGTTAATTTCTTAAAAGAATATTTAAAATAAGCATAAAAGCTAGCTTTTTATAGCTAATTAAAATTTAATATAATATTATTTCTTATATAATTCCTTGCATTTATTAATATATCCCTTTTTAAGCACTTTATAATAAATATTATAAAAATTATTAAAATAAAATTTTATTATTTTTAATTAAGCTTTTAAGTTTTAAAATTTACCTTATTATAATTTTAATTATTATTATTATTTTTAATTCCTTGCTTATTTATCTTATTATAGCTTTTACTTTTTTATAAAAGCTTTAAATATTCTTAAAACTTACTTAATAATATATTTATTAATTATATTTTTTTAGTTATTAAAATTTACTTTAATAGCTAGCATTAATATAGTTATTAAAAATTTAAATATCTTTATAAAATAAAAAGTAAATTTATTCTTTTTTTTAATTATTATATTAAGTATAACATGCTAGCTTTATTAACTTTTACTTTAGCTTTTTATAAAGCTTTTACTTTTATTTTTGCTTTTTATAATACTTTTATTTTTAATATTTATATCTTATATTTAATTACTTAGCTAACTTACTTATAAGCCTTTTAAATTATCCTTAAGCAAACTTTATTATTATTTTAATTATTTTAAGTTAGTTAATATGCTTTAAGTTTTATTTATATTTATTATTAAAATAGATAAATAAGAAAGATTTTTATATATGCTAAGGTAAATATTCCTTGCTAGCTTTAAAATATCTTATAATATAATGCTTAAGTTAAAGGCTTATTTAATTAAAATTATGCTTAATTAATTTTAAGTTATTTAAAAATTTATGCTTTATTATATATTAAATATTTAAAATTAAGTTATTAAATTAATTTATATTAAAGATATTATTTTCTTTATGCCCTTCTTGCAATTAATAATAATCTTAATATATTGCAATTTAAATAGCTATTACTAAATAATATCCCTTTATAATAAAAGCTTACTTCTTGCTTTAATTACTTTTATATTATTAATTTTAATAAGGGGAATTAATATAGGCATTTAAATAACTTTATTAATCCCATTAAGCTTTAATTAAATAATAAATATTTAAATAATAATGCTAGCAGCAATTTTAAGCATCTTATAATATATAGTTTTAATTAAAAAAGCCTTAACTTAATCTTATACCTCTTAATTATTCTTTCCTTAATTTTCCTTAAAATAATTTCTAATAAACTTAGCAATATACTATTTATAAAATACTTTATTAATTTATCTTAATCTTAATGCAAACTCTTTATTAAAATCTTATATTTTATTTT